CTAATGGCACTTCTTAGTTTAAGAGAGAGTTTATAATCTTAGCCGCGCTATTTAAGTCGTACGAAAGAGCCTTTCTAAGAGGTCCGGGACTAGGAGGTCCGTACTATACTTCCCTTATAGCTCGCGATAGGAGTTACTAACGTTACTAAGGCGGCTCGGCTAAATCTCCTATTTCGGTATCTTCGGAATTAGGGTTACGTACTTAGTTTTCCTATATATTATATAGGCGAATCCCTAGCCTCTAATTAGTCGAACTTTCCGGCTCCGGTAAATCATTCTCGGCGCTATTATATACTACTTCTCCTATCGGTTATATCCTATACGTTATATACCGTCGTTAGCTCTCTTTAGGAGGCTAGTAGGCTCTAATATAAGGATGTTTTACCTATCTATACCCTCCTTACTAAGGTACTAAACGCTTTCCTAGTGCATCGATATAGGCCGCATCCTATAGTTAATCGATCTAAATGCCTCTTATACCGATAGCGGCGGAAACTCGAGAATCGTCTTCTAAGTCTTCTAGAGCGGCGTAATTTAGCCTTAAACTGGCTCCGCGTATTACATTCATTCTCGCCGACGGAGGTAGTACTTTAGTATCTCTCGTACTATACGGCTATCTAGACGTAACTCCGGTATTCGCGTCGATCTCCCTTATAATCTATTCTAGTCGTTTAAGTTTTATCTCCTTTAGAGGTATTATTAGTGCTAGAGAGGGACGCTCCGTTCCGCGAAACTTTCTAAGGGCGATTCTATAGTCTAGATTAAGATATAACGCTCTTATAGACTTCTAGTAGACCTACTAGGGATCTTCACGAAGTATATATCCGGCCTAGTTATATAGGAAGTAACTCGCTCCGCTAGCGCTTAAGTTCGAACTTCGTTAAGTAGAAGGTCTAGAGTAATATTAAGGTTTATCTCCGAACCTTACCGAACGTTCTTATATTAGAGGAGCTCGGGAAGGCTAGATAGCTTCGGGAGGTACCCCTTTCAGCGCTTTAATTAATCGGTTTATAAACTCCGGGGTAATTACCTCTCTCGTCTATATAGGTAGGGTAAGTACTCCCATTAGTTTAGTTAATTCGTCTATAGATCGTTTATTACTCGCGGTAGGGGTCGGAGGTCAATCTACTATCGAAAGTGCCTCTTTATCTATACGAGGGCGGTAATCAACGGATTCTCCTCGGGTTAATTCGATAGTACGCTCGTTAGTTCTCTTTAAAGGTTAAGTCTTACGTTTATACGCTAGTTCCTAGAACTCTACGTTATAGACTCCTTACGTAAACTTATCGGTTTCGTTATCTACGTCCTATAATTACTTTACCTATTCCTAACACTTTTAGAAGTTCGAGTTCTCGGGTTTCCGATCTAATAGATCCTACTTCTTTCGAATCTTATCCGTATAGTTCTTAGGTAAGCCCGAGAGTAAGAGACGGTAGTAAGTATGATTTATCTTAGCTCCGATCTTAATTAGGTATATAGTAGCTTTACGGAATTATCTAAGGTATAGATCTAGGTTTTAAGACTTCTTACGTCTATACCTTATAAGTACTTAAAGGTATTAAACGCTTATTATCCGCTATACTTCGTCCCGATCCTTATATTCCTCTAGGACCTTTTCCTTAAACTTCGTCTAGTCTATATCGTTATATTCGGTAAGCTCCTTATAGCGATCTTTCTCGATCTTTAATATAAAACGAATGGATCTTCGAACCTAATCTTCGCCAGATATTACGCTATTATATTCGCATAGTTCTTTAAATTCTTTAAAAAAGGAAGTTACGTTCCGACCGTTAAAGTATAGTAGATTATCCTATCTATCCGAACTCTACGGTATCTCTCTTATAGACATTACGGTGGTAGTCTATATCGCGGAAATCAGCGAACTTAATGTCGGTAAGTCTAGAACGCTTAAAGTCGACATCGGGGATAATCCTAGCTTTCCTTTACTATTTAATAGTCCAGAAGAAGACATCTTTCGTTCTTATCTCGTCTTTCGTGTTTTTTGTAAAATAAAGAAAATAAAGTAGTAGCTTTCTAATGCAATCTAAACGCTAATAGTAAGTAAATAGAATGTTGTTTTTAGTGTTTTTCTCAGGGGTTTTTCTATTCTCCTTTCTTTTCTTCCTCGCAATTTCCAGTAAGTCTTCTAGCTCCACTTCCCGATAGTAGTAGCTTTACACTCCTCCTCTTCTAGTAATCTAAGCTTAGTAGCTCAGCCTTACTATTCCGCAAGCAGTTGTTAGTGGTTTTAGTATTTAAATGCTCTTCAGCATCAGAGGTTGTCAGGGTTAAACGCCCTCCCCTCCCTCGAGGGTATATCTCTATTAGTTCTTCAGGCAAGTAGTTCAGTAGTCGTAACGTCGTTAGTATCTACCCTACATAGTAGTAGTAAACATATATAGCTAGCGTCCCTAATGGCACCCCGAGCAGCGGTTTCCTTAAATAGCTAGCGTAGCCCGCCCTATATAGTAGGATAAACATACTCAGCTAGTCACTTAATAGTACACTCTACGTAGCGGTCCTACATGTATAGCCAGCTTCTCCGTTTCAGTAGGTAGTCAGTCAGTCGGTTTCGGCAAGTAGATAAGTAATTCTTCAGTTCTATCGGTCCTATCGTCTTCGTTCAGTTATATAGTTATATAGTTATTTTCAATCGTTTTCGATCAATCTTCGGTTCGGTTTTCGTGCTGGGGTTGTCCTACCGCTCGTAGAGAGATACCCTTCTTCGAGGCGTTCGTCGCAGTTGAATCTTCATCTTGTTAGAGGCACTAATGAACTAGGGCGAGGCTCTTAGCCAGAGGTATCAACTCGTACGGCGGTGGGCATAGTAGTAGGGGTAACGACTATCGCTCAATAACAATAACAACAACATAGAAGGTCCTGATTAGATAGGTTCCATAACTAGATAGATAACTTGATTACTCTCTACCGTGTCTCACGGTGTGTCCTTCTCTACTTAAGGAAAAAGAAAGGAAAACTCAGACCTAATGCCCGTGTCCCCACTAACTAATGATCAAGAGTGCCTACCTGTACATTGTACAGGCTAATTCCACCAATCACGTTCCAGCTTGCCTTTCTCCCCCATTACAATATTGGCGGTGTAACTTATAGATTTTACCTAATTCTAATCTGGATGTATAGAGTTGAGCTTTGACTGTCGCGCAGTGTTTAGTACAAGCAGCGAGCCTTCACTTACCGGAAAGTGGACCTTGAAGTACATTATCTGCAGAAACGAAAAACCACGCATATTAATTTCGACCAGTGGGAGGAAACAGGAAATGAGTGTAGAACTTGCGGAATCACGTAGGCGCAGAGGCACATCACATCCATGCATGTAAGCTGTTGCAAGGTGAAAGACCCGGATTGCTCGAGAACGAAAAAACCACGGACGAAAATGGCGGTTCGGAAACTTATCCAGAATTCTCGAGGATATAATGGAAGTAGACTCTACTCATTCATCCTCATTCCACCGTTTGCACAAACGACACTCCCCGTACACCACGCCGCGTCCGCCGTGCACAACATCCCCACCACGCCGGCGACCTCACTCGCATACGCCGGCCTCCTCCCTCCCATCTTCTCCCTAACCAACTTCAAAAAGACCGCATTGTCAGCATCTTTATCACCACAAGAATCCTCAACCTTGCTTAAGGGCGTATGATCCTGCCACCCCTGAAGGTCCCTCCAAAATCCTTCCCCGGCACCCTCATACATGACTCCTTTTACTGGACCTGGGTTCACTGCGTTCACCGTACATCGGTCGGCCAACTCCCTCGCCCAAGTTCTTGTCATCGCCTCTAATGCGGCTTTCGTTCCGCCGTATACCGTCTGGTTCGGAAATCCTAGGCTTGAGCCTACGGACGATACGTTGACGATTCGGCCGGACCGATCTTTCGGTAAGTAGGGTAGAAGGGTTTGAAGTAGAATCAGTGGGGCAAGAACATTGATGGTGTAGTGGCGGGTGAATTCGTCTAAGGTCACATCGGGGAGGGCTTGGTTAAACGCAACTCCGGCGTTGTTAACAATGATGTCAATTTGTAGAGTTGCGGTAGTGGTAGTATCCTCTGGAGAAAAGGCGGTGGTTGAGGAGGAAGGCGAAGAGGAGAAATATTGTTTTGCGGCGACAAGGATCTTCTCCGAGGCAGACTTAGGGTCGCTGAGGTTCGCTTGGACGGGGTAGCACTTGATGATGTGAGTGGCGGAGAAGGTGGCACAGAGCTGCATGGTTGGCGCGGTTGAGCTGTCTGAAGTATAAACAAGAAGAAGGTTGCAGCCTTTGCTGGCGAGGTTGTTGGCTATAGCCTCTCCAATTCCTGTTCGGGACGGTATTGTGAGTGGGAGGACGCGAATCTCGCAAATCGAGAACAAGATATCTTACCTCTCGAGCCGCCAGTCACAACGCCGAACTTTCCCTCAAGCAGTCTAGCCATTACGGAGAACTGTGCTTGTGGTAGACCGTAACGTATATTGACTCATACAAGAAGGAAACAAGTCCCAGAGTAGGTATGAAGAAGAGAAAATGTGAAGATGGAGAACGAAAGATGTTATAAAGGGCAATATCGGAGGCCATAGCTTCGTCGAATATCAACTTGTCAACTAAATGATCTACCACCAACCAACCAATGAACTTGCTGACTGATCGCCAGGATCTTCGACCAGAAAAGGAAATTCACGTTTTGTCCCTCGCGCCAGTTGGCCTTCAAACGTGTTCTCAGACGCTTAATGGCATGTCTTTTCAACCGACCATCCCGTCAAATTCAATTGGATGGACTGCTCTGGTAGCTTGCATAGGTCGCAAGGTGGTGTTGATTACCGTGGCTATACATTTTGTTATTGATCAGAGTTAACAGTCATATTAATTAACGAGTACTAAATCAGTCCCCTCGGTCCCTCGTGTGGTCATGAAAGAGAACTAAGAAGTTCTTGGATACCTGGGGTGACTCCTCCTGTGTTGGCGTGTGGAGTCGGCGGCCCGCCGCAGCCGCCACTTTTATTGAACGGAGTTCCCTAAAGGGAAACCCGGAACTGAGCATTTCAGGTGCACCACCTTCATAAGGATGGCACGCCAGCCCGGCTTCTCTTTAATAGGCAGTACCGCGGCACGTACAAGCTTCAGGCTGGGGGGGCGTACATAACACTTCTCAATTTCCAACCCAATCGACAACGACTCTTGCTAGAACTATACGGGGACTTGAACTGAGCCAGTCAATCCCGGCTGTCTAGGAATCCCGAGCTCTCCTGCTTGGGCATGCCGGTGCATGAGTCAGGGCTAAACTATCAATGACTTTCTGCATCACATAAGTCGCACTCGTCCGAGGATTTCGGATAGATCATAAGTAACTATAGTGTATGTCTTGTTTGTTTGTCAGGCCGTCTCTACCTCCACGAGGTCCAATGATGGAAGAGCTTGTGGCGAAAAGGGGAAAGTAGAGGGAGAGTAGGGGAAAATGTAAGGACCGGGAGAGGGAGAGGGAAAGGAAGAGAGGACGGTGAAAGGAAAAGAGAAAGAGAAGCATTATCCTATAGAACCGAAGGATTCAGTTAACCCCGTCTAACGACGTAGTAGGGTATCCCTTAGGGATCCCATCTTTTATCAGGGCCGAAACGGGCCCTCATTAATGTAATCGGGTAAAGTTACCACGAGGCTGGATGTGCGCAGCGTTAGCGCCTGTAGGACTAGAGCCCGAACAGGAGCCTCCCTAGTAGGCGAAGGAGTATAGCAGGAGCGGGCTAGAGCCGTGAGGGAGCAGAAGGGAGTGGAGGAGGAGAACGAAAGAGAGGAAGGGAGTGGAGGAGGAGAACGAAAGAGAGGAAGGGAGTGGAGGAGGAGAACGAAAGAGAGGAAGGGAGTGGAGGAGGAGAACGAAAGAGAGGAAGGGAGTGGAAGAGGAGAACGAAAGAGAGGAAGGGAGTGGAAGAGAGCAGACGAGGGAGCGATTCGACTAAATAGTCGTTGGCGGGAGAGTAAAGCGGCGGGAGATGAGTCAGCAAAATGATCCTGGGCGTCGACTGTTCGGGGAATATATATATCAATATATCTTCGTCTTTGAGGTGAACAAGTAACATCTCCGGACCCCGGAATTCTGCTAAATCATAAGTACCACGAGGCAATCAAAACATTCCCGACACCGCCGAAAACACCACGTGTAAAGTAGGACTTCGGTATATCCTCCCACCTTCCCCACTCGGGATTCAGATCAATAGCCGAACACAAAAAACCCAAGCGGAAAACCGCCGGTCGTGCGAATCAGGTTTCCCCCCAGTAGAGACCCTTGTGGGGCTCTTTGGCTTTCTCCATTGGAGTTATTTGTACGAAGGGGTTACTCGGTGTTAATTACACGGTTCAGCAGTGGCTGGTGTTTCGCCTCCGTTGTCGGCGTTGACTGTGTCCTTCCATCTTGCCACACATACATACATCGGTTTAAGCGTGCACGGGCTGTAGCCGTGATTGACCCTGGGGGGAGTTTCTCTTGTCCAGGCAGTGTATAATACCACAGAGAAACAAAGTCCAAGAAAAGAGAGAGAGAGAGGATCGAAAGAACCACCCGAGTGTGCCTGGCTCAATGACACTCCTCGCAGGGCCCGCGGGCTCTCAAAGAGCGATGACTGTTGCGCGAAGCTCTATATCGGCGTCACCGTCATCGCTGTCGTTACGGTCCTTGTCGTCGACACCTCTGATATATCTTGCTCCGAGGACGCAGGTCAAGAAGCGGTACTTCAGCGCCAAGTCGTGCCGGAGGGAGCGACAAGAGGCCGTCTCGGCGCAACCACGACGACCAGCTCCTGTCGTTGATCGAGGGGCGTCCAAGGTCTTCAAGAGCGCAGACGCTGCCATTGCCGATGTCCCCGACGGCGTCACCGTTCTGAGTGCAGGTTTTGGACTGTGCGGTGTAGCAGGTGCGTGTGTTGTTGTTGTCGTCATCATCCTCGTCATCATCCTGGTCATCCTATCTGGTTGGGATATGGCGTCTCTGTTTTTTTACAATCAAAATCACTTCGAGGTCAGAGAAGGACAGTAAAAGCTAACCATTGACACGGGAACACAGAAACCCTGATCGACGCCATCCGCAAAAAAGGCATCCGCGACCTGACGGTGGTGTCCAACAATGCCGGCGCGGGCGAATACGGTCTGGCCAAGCTGACGTCGACGGGCCAGATCTCGCGGATGATCGTGTCGTTCATCGGCACCAACAAGCCGCTCGGCAAGCAGTACCACGACGGACAGGTGTCGATCGAGCTGTGTCCGCAGGGGACGATCGCGGAGCGGCTGCGCGCGGCGGGGGCGGGGATCCCGGCCTTCTTCACGGCGACGGGGGCGCGCACGCTGATCGAGACGGGCGGCATCCCCATGCGCCTGGGGCCCAAGGACCCGCAGACGGGGAAACACGCGGTCGTGGAGCCCGGGCGGGCGCGCGAGACGCGCACCTTCGACGGCCGCACGTACATGATGGAGACGGCACTGCGGGGCGACGTGGCCATCGTGCGGGCCTGGAAGGCCGACGAGGCGGGTAATTGCATCTTCCGCACCACGACCAAGGCGTACGGCGTGCTGATGCCCAAGGCCGCGCGGCTGGCCATCGTCGAGGCCGAGAACATCGTCCCCGTCGGCGCGCTGGACCCGGACCACGTCGACCTGCCGGGCATCTACGTCGACCGCATCTGCCCAGCCACGTCGCCCAAGAACATCGAGAAGCTCGTCCTCGCCGCGCAGGCCGAGCAGGCCACGACGGCCGACGAGCACAGCCAGAGCCCCGAGATCGCCCGGCGCAACCGCATCGCCCGCCGCGCAGCCAAGGAGCTCAAGGACGGCTTCTACGTCAACCTGGGCGTGGGGATTCCGACCCTGGCGCCCTCGTTCCTCCCGGCCTCGACCAAGGTGTGGCTGCAGTCCGAGAACGGCATCATCGGGATGGGACCGTACCCGGAGTCGCGCGAGACGGCCGACCCGGACACGGTCAACGCGGGCAAGGAGCCCATCAAGCTGGTTCCGGGGGCCTCGACGTTCGATTCGGCCGAGTCGTTCGGCATGATCCGCGGCGGCCACATCGATGTGTCGATCCTGGGGGCCCTGCAGGTCTCGGCCCAGGGCGACCTGGCCAACTACATCATCCCGGGCAAGGCGTTCAACGGCATGGGCGGCGCCATGGACCTGGTCAGCAACCCGGACCAGACGAAGATCATCGTCTGCACCTACCACACCGATAAGGACGGCCAGAGCAAGATCGTCGACGAGTGCGACCTGCCCCTGACGGGAAAGGGCGTCGTCAGCATGATCATCACCGAGCTGGCCGTCTTCGAGGTCGACCGGCTCGGCGGCAAGGGCTTGACACTCAAGGAAACCGCAAAGGGCGTCACCGTCGACATGGTCAGGGAGAAGACGAGTGCAAAGTTCACCGTGGCAGACGACTTGGGCACGATGGATTGAGTAGATACCCCACAAACAAAAACTCCTGGCATCTATCTTCATAAAGGGACAGGGGACATGGGAAATGAGTAGATTACGGCGAAAAATAAGGGATATCCTATCTACATATTATCAAATAGATACACGTTTTCCGTCGTTCCCACCGTTTTGCTTGGACAGGTTCTGCTTTGAGTTGGCGAACAACAACGAACCACGGGTACCCGCAGGATTCGTAATTTTGACCTCTTCTCTCAAAGTGCGTCAATCCTTCCCAGCAGCCACTGCAGGTGCCGATACGAGCTCCGCGGTTGGAACTGGGGCTGCATGTGGCCACTGAGGTAGGTCTCGGCCCACATCAGCCCACGCTCAAAGTGCTGCACGCCCATGACCCCTTGGTGGACGTCGAAGCCGTCGAAACCGCTGTCGGTGAAGACTTGCTGGTACTGGATATCCGGGATGTTGATGATGATGGGCTTCGAAGGCGCCGTCTGGAAGCCGAGCTGCCCGTTCCATGTCATGTTCTGGATGGCGAGCATGGTCCCGTTCAAGAGGAGATCCATGTCCAGGGCACCATTGGACCTGATGACAAGTTAGCTCGCGGAAAGGCCGATAGAATATGGCAGAGAATATATTCTTAGCCAGGAGAGAAACGTACACCAAGACACGATTTGTAGCTTCAATGACTCTGGGCAGCACGGCCTGAATTGGGTCGAGGCTCAAATCTCCCAGATCCTGTGGACCGCCTTCACCTACAAACACTGGTCCCGTGCATAGTGCCCAGTCACTGTCTACAGGAACATGCAAAGCTTTCTTCACGTCGGTGCGGTTGAAGTACGGCGGCAATCCAGGATATGAGTAGATTAGATCACTGGGGAACCCGAGAGGGTCGGACAGTAAGGGGCACTGTAGGTTCGGTTCGTAGACGTTGAAGCATGGATTGACGCTGTAAGCGCTGTCATACACGAGATCCCACAGGTCGCAGTCAGGGTCAGCCGTCGAATTGAGATAGAGGGGTGGTTGCGTGCCGTTGGGCGGGAATTGCAGGAAGTCCTCGCGATACTGCGAGTAGCCACAGCTCTGGTCACGTTGGGCGAGAAGATCGACGAATGTGCTGTTGAACCCCATAATGTTGTTGTTCTGTTGAATCCACGGATATATCGCAATGGCGTTGGAATAGTCATAAGACCCGATGCACGGATCGTAGACCAAAGCACCTAAGACAAAAGATCAATCTCCTGCCGTGGAATCTCATGATGGCCAGTACCTGAGAGATTAAAATGCGTAGTATCGTTCTGATCGAGAATTGCATTCGCAACATACGGGACGTATCGGCCAGCGTAGCTTTCACCCGTGACGTAAATCTTATAGTTGCTGATGTTGAAAATCGTCTAGGAGTTTTCAGTATGCATACCTCAATGGTAATTTCGGATCGATTTGAGTCTCACTTGGAAGTTGCGGAAGAACTCGATGAATTCAGCAGCAGGTTCTTCTTCATTCGTGGCGGTCGGCTCGCCTCGTGAGAACCCCACGCCGATCGGGTATTCTACCCATAACATGTTGGTTAGATTTACCCATGAATAGGGGTTGATTCCCGGTGCGTATCTGCTTTTGCTTAGCATCAAGTATCTGTGTGTCCATGGAGAGTGTTGGGTGGTGCAGAAATTTGCGCCCAAATGTTGTGGAACACATACTGTCCCCAAGACCATTGAATTCGGCCATTCTCTTGAAGAAACCCTTCGAGAGAGCTACAGCCTGCGAACTCAATCAATGGAACATCCCGCAACCAGTTTGCAGAGTCCTACCTGGACCGCCATTGAACCAAATAGTGATCTCCTCGACCGGTGGACCGACACGAGGCTGGTAGACGAAAAACATGCCACGGCTATCGTCGGACATGTTGAGTGGGATAACGCCCGAGTACATCTCGGTCATAAAGTTCTTTGGGATGTCGGGCAATGACTCAACATAGTATTCTATATTGTGCCATCGTTAGTCAAGCGCAATTGCTAAGGACGGCGACAGGCGGGCCAGGGGTTTCAGACTCACTCTTGGTCGCGTTGGTGTAATACTGTCGGTCTGCCACTGGGGTATCCCTGCCGTAGAGAGACATAGCTCGCATATCCTCCAATGCTCTTGGAGTAAAGCCTCGATTTTGAGAAACATCTCGACGATGCCCGGAAGCGGCGGACAGCAGGAAGCTGCCCACCACCAGAAGGACGTCCCATCGTTTAAACAACATGTTCATTATTTCGTGAAGAGGGTGAGCTTCGATGAGAGTTGACGTCCGAGTAAGGGTGCAGCACCAGCCAAATATGAACCCCGGCAAGCGAGCTATGTCATCATACCAGAATCATGCCCTGTCCCAAGCTCTTGTGCAGCACGAACCTTCGCGAATAGCGCATGCTTAGAAGAACTCTGTTTGCTAGGATCGGCTCTCAGAGAAACACCAGTCACACCACTCCTCAGATAGGAGACCGGGAGCCCGCAAAAGCCATTGGCCAACGCAGCGTTGTATTGCCCGTTGGGCGGATCGCGGCAGCCTGAAGCCGAGACTGAACGTTTGCGGTTATGGATAACCTTGAGTTCGGCCCACGACTTGTGTTTGCTTAATCCTCAAACGACCTTCGCCGATTCTTGGCAGTGATGAGTGAGGCCTTCGAGTGGTGTTTGCCGTGTTTTTATTGCACAGACCCATCCTCAGAGGGTCCGCAGCGGGCTCCCCGACCTCGAGGAGGAAAAGGCGGAGAAGAACAAAGTAGAAGGCCTTGCGATTATCGATTGGCAGATAACAAGCTCGATAACCGAAGAGCGGAGCATATCACATCCTATACGCCAAGGTTGGCCGGCAAGTCATGGATGTTACTGCATGCTAACCAGTTAAGTGGCATTTTACCTTTGAAGGAGGACAAGGGATCGAACAATGCAGTAATTCTGACCATCCACAAGCAAGATACGACAAAGATAAGGAATACGTGGGGAAGGGTATCTGAGATTTGCCACAGGTCAGGTACCTTTGTTCTCAGTAATGATCCGAGATGTCCGAGAGTTTGAAGCCTCAGATATACGTCAAAATTTGAGAGTTGAGGCACATGGCCATTACAGCCCAGGACAAATAGTACTCCGCCCGCAATTGAGAAACTGAGGAGCTTTTCGTTTCCTGCCATCGTACCAGACTGATCGCGGGGAGAGATCGCCGTCTTATCAGTAAGATGTTTGGGTGTCACGGTGACAACGAAGCTAAATGTGCAAAGCAAGTTTTTAGGTGACATTGAGGGCGGATGATGACCGGGGATGATGTTGGGATTTAATTCAGTCAGGTGACTGACTATGTTCACGAGTCATGATCACTTGGCAAGCTGAGTCTGTTGAGTCAACATATTCAGCCTTGCCACCATCGCCTCAGCCTTGCCTGTCACGCCTGTGTCCTAGCTTTGCTTCCCTCCAGTTTGACCCTTCAGATGTTTCCTTCTGCTATTTCACCAAGTCGAGAGTTGTCTCCAGCTGGGGTATCCGTCGTCGAAGACCCATATCCGACTTTCATCAATTGAAAGCTGTGAGTGCGACTGCATCATCCCAGCTTCACCCCCAAGCATCTGAGGTAAGTCGTGTCTCGTTCATCATTTGTCGTTGTTCAGCCAGGGTACTTTGGCGTCACACCTTGCTGTTTCGGATTGCACCTTTCGGGATTTGGAGGATGCGATGTGAAAAGTCCTCAGGACCGATCACCGTTCCAATCTTGTTCAATCCGATATCCTCTCCACTACTCGTTGCGAAGCGGCCCAAGCTAGTCCGGAGGACGATCATGCGGAGCTCGATGATCTGGTGTGGGGAAGAGAAATGCTCCGACCGCAATGATGAAGTAGCAGGCACAGAGCAAGCTTCCTTCCAAGAAGTTTGACTTGCGATAGAGAATGAGCACGTTCACCAGAAAGGTTGTGGCGAAAAGTGCCACAGTCTCAAAGATACCAAAATACATGGTCATGTCCCTGTTCAGAGCCCAGCCCGCAATGACGATCAAAGGCGTGACAAATAAAGAGATCTGAACGGATGATCCAACAGAGACGCCGATGGCCAAGTCGAACTTGCCTTTCTGTAGATATCTGTTAGCCTCTATCAACCACCTCAGCGTCCTTCTTAGCGTGACCGCTTGGTTACATCCGTGTTTCGAGGGTAAAATGCGACTTACAGTGGCGACCGCGGTCGCAGTGATGAGCTCCGCACAATTTCCAGCAACTGGGAGTATAATGAGCCCGATGAATGCTTCCGAAAATGGCCCAGAGTCGACAATATCATCGAGTGTGTTCACAAGGAACTCGGCGCAGAAGGCCACAAGTAAGGACGAGATAACGAGGAGTAAGCTGGAAGCTAGTTTCCCAATAACCAATGGTGGGTCCTCAAGCCTCACAATATCACTCGGACTGTCGACATTGGCGATGGAGCTTCCCAAAAGCAGACGTGGAAGACTGGATGTTGAACCTGCGTAGGACGAGCGATGCGACCTTAACGGCTGCAAGCCCGCAGGACTCATGTGCCGTTGACTCGAATTGCCGGAATCCGGTCCTTGTCTACGCGCAGGAAATTGATAGATGGAGCTTCTTGGGTTCCGTATCTTGTCAGACGAAGTTTTCCAATCCTGGCCCTGTGTGTCGCCATCTTCATCCTCGTCAGATCTTTCGAAGTTAGGGTGTCCATTGATGTCGTCCGACTCCATTTGTGATTGTCCGGAATCATCGAACGCAGACATCTCCAAGCTGTCTTTCCGCACAAGGGGTGTGTTTTTATAGCCTCCGGCCGCTTCCTCATCTTGGAACCGAATCGAACGCGGAAATAACAATCCACTGGAAGCAGCAGCATCACCACTCATCCGTACAGAACCATTCATGCTGTCTGGACCAACAACGCGCACAGGTGATCTGTTGACAATAGTGTTCTTGATCTGCAGAAAGATGTAGAGTAAATAGATGGCCAACAAGGTCAACGCAGACGCTCGACTCAAGGTTAACACGGCTGGTCTAGCAGACTCTAGATCGTCAAAGGAGTGGACAAGGGCACTCTGAGATGCATCAGCCTCGGACAGTACCTAGCATTCTGTGATTGACTTGGTCCTTACAGGTATGAGCAAGCTGAAGACGGACACACTGAGGAGGCAGGCCAGAGCCTGTGCGTCCTCTATTCTGTGAGACTGCTCTTGATGATAAAAACTTCCGGCCAGGATTGCTAATCCCAAGACGAGCAAGAGGTTCACGAGGATGGAGCCCAAAAGAGAGGCTTGCACCACTTCATATTGCTTATGATAGAGAGCGGCACTTGAGTCATCAGCGAGATATAGTGTAGGAACTGGAAGCGGTCTGCATACAGACTGGTCGATGTTAGTTCTCGATATTTGTGTAATGATACAGTGCTGGACTCACAAGATCACAATCTCGACCAGGTTTCCGAACGTCACGTTGAGCAAGGCTCCAACCACATCGCCTGACTCTCGTGCAATGTTTTCCGTCGCGCAGGTGAGCAAGCTCGACAATGGGACTACCGCGATGACATTTGCTGTGAAAACCAGAACATGGTTTGCTCGAGCCAAGTAGCTGGCGATGGCCAACGGGACGAAAACCAGGAGGCTGTTAAGCCATGAATATCCCAGGATGGCTCGGACAGTCGCAAAGATCTCGACTACTGCTTGAGAGAAACAGTTGCGCTTCACTCCACGAGAGTCGGAGTAACGAGAGAAGTCCCGGTTGTGGTGACCAACCGCGCAGCCATGGGCGGCAGATGAGCGGTGAAGAAAGCGAGGGAAACGTCCTGCCAGTCATCGTGTCAGTGCAAACGTCCTGGCTCGTGAAAGGTTGACAGCTTCAACGTACTCAGGACTCTGGATATGGGACTGGAACTAAAGGCGGCATCAGAAAGTGGTCACAGCGCTATTGTTCAGCAACCAGGATTTACCTCGGAACCAGGCGGGAAGATTCTCCAGCATCATCTTCGCCGTTTAAATCTGAGTCTTCTTCCGCTGTGCTACCATTGAAGGAGCACCGTCGGTCTGTGGTCATTCCTCGAAGACTGCACGTGCTGGTCTCTCAAACGGTGAGGAGTAGGATGAATGGGAACAGGGCAGGACAAAAGATCAAAGATGGATTGATATCAAGCCAAGAGGTTGACGAGTGTCAATGCGCTGTTCCGTCTTCCCGAACACGCATCCCACGCCCAATGCACACGAGCGGAGTTTGCTGTAAGGCGGCTTACAATTGGTCGCGGTTACGCAGCCTTCCTTTTCCATCGAGATGGTGCCTTTGAACCCTGGTCGAAGGGCGTTTCTCCTGCGGACAATGCCACATTTAATAAATCTGCATCTCCTCCCCTATTTGATTCAGCATGACCCTTACCAGGCTTGGTAGGAAGAGGATGCTCAAGCACATACTTCTCCCTCTCTCTGACAATCTTCATATGAGGCATTTTTGCTGCTGAGTCTGGAAGACGCGTCTGACTATCTCAAGCCCCGTTTCAATGGTCTCGTCGATCCTCCAAGTCTACCTTGGGCCTCCAATGCCAGTGGAGACATCTTTACACCACACCAGGAGATGGGCCATGGCTCAAGTCATCTCAACCAAGTGAGTCTTGATGGTCCTTTGGCAGAAACCCCAGATTGCGACTGTCATGGAGGGAAGAATGCCCTCAACCGGTTCTGGGAAGCTAACAGGGGGTCGGTTCCATACAACGGATCTACCGAAACTCTTTACTTGTCAAGCATGTCGTCTAGTCCCCGAGCACTCGCTTGATTTAGACGAACCTAATATTTCCCAGGGGCCAGGGGGAGACCTTTCAGCGACTCTGTTCTAGTGGCCACTGCTGCGCGCTGAGTAAAACCCTGACCGAGGGAAAAGTCAGCTAGTTGGGCAGGGACCAGGCCCATGCATTTCATCTCCTAAGGTACCTAAGGTTCTGACAACGTCGACTCTGATACGTGCTGAATGAATGATCACCCTCAATTGGATATCCTTCGACAGTCTCCCCTCAGGGCGGTGCCCATACATCTTGAAGCCAGCCCATTTTACACTCTGTGGACTTCGGATTCAGAGGCCTCAGATCGGCGACGAGGCTGCAACTGATAATCCGCCTCGAGATTCGCCGCCTCGACGCTGATGTGAAAAGTTGAGGCGAGGTAAGATGCGTATCGACGACGGTACGCGTCCGTGATCTGATCAATCGGCCTTGATGGCACCGACGACGCCGAGGTGACTGGCCGTGTCTTAAATAAACATCTTCTCTCCTGGGCAATAAACTCAAGCTTACTCACCTGTGATTCTCGAAACAGTGGCCATGGGCTTCGTTGCTGATGGCTCCCAGATGGTCCTTGATTGAAGACCACCACCAACATTCGAGGCCATGTGCCTGAACCCTTAGGAGGACCGATTTCAAGCCGACTCTTAACGGTGCCTTTGTTAGGGGGCTTTGCACCTGAGACTTCGATGCACGGCCTCTGTCCCGACCAGGAGCAGGCGAGAGCAGAAGCGAAGATTGAATCAAAGTGAAACCGTGGCCAACAGACCCTGCGTGAAAAAGCGGAAGAAATTGGTGTCGCACTTGGTTGCTGTTTCCCTTCAAAAGACCAGAAAATATAGCAAGGTAACTGCAGCCAAGCCAAAGGGACACAGAAAGTATGCAGTTGCGATGGTGAGAATCAGGGCCATTTGTAGAAAAAGCACACTGTCGCTCATTTGTGGGAATGGTGGATATTGTTCCCCCATGTAGTGCATGGGAATGTCTTTGTTATATGAGTGAATTTCGAACACCAGCAGGACATCTCCAGCTTTCCTCGTTTTACTCCTGGGTTGTGCGCATTGCGTAGAGCAGGTGTGTAGTCGTGCAGGTGCAATTTGTATGAGCCATTTTTACCAAACAGTGAATGACCCCCAAACGGACAGCACATGCAAGCAGGTCGATCTCCACATGGATAGTGCTAGTCAGGGAAAATCAAGGACCAAGACAAATAGCTTTGCCCCCATATATGTATTCCCGGGGTAGGTACCGAGTCTGGCGAATCAAAACGCCTGCTTCCTGTCGCTTTGCCTGGATCACCTGCAGGTGGGGGATGAGATTGACGACGGGAGAACAAGGTAAAGGGCAGGATTGAGGCGCAGTCAACGAGAGGGGTGTTGAGCCATGGACAAACAAATCAGAAATCGCTCATTCTCCAACAAGTGCTGTCTGCTAGTGTGGTCGGTGGACACAGGCGTGGGTGATAGAGCCATTAGGAGATGCACTGGGTAGTGCACTGGGCTATCAGGAAGGACGACCCCGAGAGCTGGGACACAACGTCAGTTGAGGAAGGCATTGTCACTCTCTAGTGGTGGTGCTTTTTTGAATAACCGAAGGGTGTCTGTACAGCGTGCTGTAACGTCAATTTCAACGAGTACGGAGTGATCATATTGAAGAAACCCTTAGTTTTGTGATATTAGTTACACCATTTACCCAACGACGATCGTCTCACCGTGACCGTATATGTTCTGCCGATAGCCTTTGCAGATTATTTAGCAGCCAGGGCCACCTTCCATTCTGGAGCTTGAACGTCTTCTCTTCCTGACATAAACCGGACACTGTTTTGTAAGATTTTGCGCACAACTTCGATTTCATCCGTGTCTCTGGGTCCGTATATCATGAGGTATGTGTCGGCGACATGAGCTTTCTCGAATTTCAATCTTGCCGTCTTCGGTTTTGACAATCTGTGGCGTTCTCCCCAGCCTTTCTCGATGATGAGTCGAGCGTCTGCCGGGGCAAGGTATAGATGGATTGAGTACTAACAGACCGCAAGATCAGCAACTAGGAGTTGATAATCAGGTGCATTAAGATGTGCAAGCAGTCAGAGGTCTTCGCTACTTACATCAGGGTGGACGTGCCCACATTCGCCGCGAGCAGTGTAAGCCGTCGAGGACGGCTTGGGAGCTGATGGATCCTTGCTCGCGAGGATATCTTCGCGTATGAAAATGGCGGGATTGTGTTTCTCATATATAGAGAGGCGTTCTTCCAGCAGTTCGCTGTTTTGTACAACGACATTCTTGAACATGTTGGTGATGTACTGAAAATCGATCAGCGACCCAGCGGCTGGTCATCAATGTCACGATCAATCATACCGGCTTCATCTCATCAGGCGAATGCTGTGAAAGCTGACGATGTGGGATGATTCCCCCGACGGCCGCGCGCTCGCCTTTTCTCAATGGCAGATTTTTGATGTCTTCGTGTGCACCGTCGGCTGGGTAGTCTGAGACCTGGGTTGCGCCGCGTTTAGAAAGAGCAAATATTCGAATCATGGTCACGAATGCCCAGCCCTTGACATTGTATGGAACTCCGCCAGGTCCCAGAGCCAGGAAGGCATGATAATCTCGGATGCACCAGACGAGCGCGCTCAATGCCAAAGTCGATGCGCCAGTGAGAACAGCAGCATTTGCAGCGCGGTCTCGCGAGGCAATAGGGGGAAGACGCTTGATGTAGTCCATGTTAATTTGGGCAGCTCATCGACGCTTGGAGGGTGAAGTATAAGGAGACAAGTAATTTGTACTTGATGGTGATTGCTGGTGGGAGTGAAAGTGCTGGGAATGACTGGAAATGACTCAGATCATTGAATTCGACATCAACATCGATTTCGCGTAATGCTTGGCCGAACCAAGCTACACGTACTACACTAACAATAATATCCTCACCATCTATTCTACCTCGCTCTTTGAAGAGGTCATGTCGCAAACAACTCTCATTATTTGCTGAATAGAGGCGCCCACATCCATCTGGCACCAACGCGGAACCATAAACTACCCGCTCCGACAATGCGGGGTTGTTGGACTGCGCCCTTCGTCTCGGAGGCCTCAGTCGAGCTGCTTCGGCCGAGAACAAGAACTCGCAGTCAGTCGCTCACGAACCGAGTCTGGACTTGTGAATTCGGTGGACAAACGTCACCCGATTGAACATGATCCACGGCCCACCACAAAGGCCGTGTGCCATCTCCAGCAGCTGAATTACACTCGTTGCTTACATCTGTCGCTAAACGGAGAAGACACAGCTACAACTCGTCATGTCGCCCCAAATTCCAGATGCACCTGTATACGAGGCCTTTAAACTCAATGAGAGGCCCTTGTTCTGCGGTACGGAGTTGTATATGCCACGAATGATATGATTATATCGCCCACACCGCCCAGAGTTGTTAAGCTGGCTGGCTGACCTCTTCGGCCAACCGTCTGTGGCAGACCACCTCCTCACAAGTATGGACAAAGCACGGCTGGAACTGGCACACGATGAAGTGTAATCCGCGGCTGAAGGAGAGGTATATAGCAGACAATGCGAGCCTCTCTACGCGGGCGATCTGAACACCCTCCACTAGGCCGGCCAAGTCAGCACAACGGTTTCCTATCCGAGAATGCGCTCTTCACTATTGGCTCCACATGAACCGCCTAGACCGAAGACGGCACATGAGGCTTGTTCACACTTGCTAAATACAGGCCATTGAACTCGGGTTGGACTCATCCAGATCGTTGTGGACACTCCCTTGCTGTTGGGAGTTCCAACTGTTGGATAGAGTTGAGGCTAACGTTGATGCCGACCCTTCCTTTTCAGCCAGCCGTCCATTGGTACCTAACCAAATCGCTACAGCAAAAGCCGCTCTCAATGTCATTGGCATCAGCACCCTGCAAGCAAGCCTGATAGGAGGCGGTGAATTGATTGTATTATACTGGTTCCGATCTCGGCAGCAGCTGTGGTCAAATCTGAACAGGGCGAGCGACTATTGCTTGATTGGCAAGGGATATCTGTACAAAAATAGCCTCGTGCAAACGAGCAAAGTGCACCACGTTGTCCATACCTACTTCAGCTGCTACCCTGACCTGAAATGTCGGCTGCGCTAGATCTTACGATGTGGTCTGGACGCAGGATCATGGCGTGCTCAGGTTACTTATCAGGTTCAGCGTGCCCACGACAACAAGTCAGTCTATCGAATGGCTTCAACCACACCAGATATTCTTTCACCAGATCATGGATTTCACACAGCAAAAGAGCGCTTTAGGCTGCCTTGAGTCGCCCGAAGTAGGGAAGCCGCCAATCATTCTAAGCATCCATGAGACAGCCTCGATAACCAGCTCAGATAGTTCCGAGTCGGGTGCTAAGGAGTTTCAAGTGAGTCAACACGAAAATATCGAGCGTGATTGTAGACATTGTGCTTACAGGACTCTAGTATACAAAGCCAGTCTGCTCATCCATCTCTTTCCAGTCTCCAGACGACTCTCTTCCGCGACAACCCCTTGAACATGATGTCTATCAATCGCCAACAACTACCACCTGGACAAAGCTTGCTGAGACTGTCAGACTTATATACACACGCGGCAAAGTTTCACTGCAACAGCACGAGCATGAGCAGCAGCCCATCTCTGCGGTAGGGAGGTTCAATCACTGCTACGTCTACCCGCTGGACAACCGGAGCGGAAAGAACGAGCGCATATTGCTGGGCCGCTGGGCTCCAAAGCTGGAAATTCAAGACGGTCAGGGTACAAGGCAGATTGTTATTCAAGCGGCATCACACAACTATGCTGGTTTCTACCACCTCACCAAAGAGGCTGAAGAGTTGCAGCACCTAGCACTTGAGAAGTTGCCCGTGGCCGACTCAAGTGCAGTACGATCCCTGGAATCGGCTATGCACGACGGCATTGCCAGATTCTTCTCAGCCGACTTTTGTTGCACTACCAGTACAGGGTACGGTTCCAATCTACTGGCTTTCTCGGCGATCCTGAATGAGGACTGGCTTGTCATGCTTGACGACAAGTGCCACAACTCGATGCACGTCGCCGCATACTTCAGTCATGCCGGACTCGTCAAGAAATTCCCACACGCCGATCTGGAAAGAATGGAAGAGATGATTGCCGAATACAAAGGCAGATTTGCGAATGTACTGGTCGCGATTGAGGGCTTCTACAGGTCAGTCATCATGTCATCCCATAAATCATTTGCTAAAAGAAACAGCATGGACGGCGCGGTCCCGGCTCTCGACAAGCTCACGCGCCTCAAGGAAAAGTATGACTTCACGCTGCTCGCAGATGAAGCTCATTCCTTGATGTGCCTCGGCCGTTCTGGTCGGGGTTGCATCGAGGTTTGGAATGAACAGCACCCTGACAAACTCGTCCCAAGCGACCTCTTCGATATGCGCACTGCAACATTGTCCAAGTCAGTAGGCGCAATTGGTGGCATTGTGTGTGGGAAATCTCGATTTGCCTCTGCAGTTCTGAGGCGTCGTGAGGAGATGCTTGTTGCCGGAGTGGATCCTATTCCGACCTCATCTATCATTCAGACTCTGAATGTCTTGGGTCAGCCAACCCTGCTGCAGCGTCATCTGCGGAGGTTGGCGGTAATGACTACCTTCGTCCGCGAAGAACTGCGCCGGGCAAATATCCATGTCTACGGTAATGCAATCTCTCCCATTCTACCAGTTTACGCAGGCCGGCCCAGTATGGCAGCAAAAATGTCTTATGCACTTAGGAAGGTCGGACTGCTCGCAACGCCAGTGTCAACTCCCGCAGTTCCCTTTTGGGAGTCCCGCGTCCGCATTTGTCTTTCAGCAGATCACGATAACGACACGGTAAATGGACTTATCGTGGCAATCGTTACGGCTGCTCGAAGTATTGGGCTAATAAGGAACACCAAATTTGAGGCCCGATTGTTCAACTACCTTGACGAGCCACCTCCGGAGCGGGAAGGAATCGAGGCACTGCAAACAGCCAACTATATTCGACGACTTGTCGACCAAGATGTAAGGAGCACAGACACAATACACAGCGACGCTATACTGGGTGCTGGCCACACAGCACGTAGTAAATATGGGCTCGGCTCTGGAGGTGCTCGCTGGATCACAGGCACGTCGCAACTACATATCCAAGTCGAGAAGCTCGTTGAAAGGCTCACGAGGACCCCGGAGGCTCTTACTTACCCTGACTCGTTTATTGGTCTCATGTCAACCGTTGCAGCTCTCTGTCGTCCGGTATTGGGGTTCAAGAAGCACGTCTTTCTAGTCCCGGAATCAGCACCCCAGGCAGCCTGGGCAGGGTTTCGCGTCGCATCCAAAAAGGGAGCCCCCAAAGTCCAACAGTACGGTAACAGCATCAACTCGCTACTTGACCATGTGCGCTCGTGTGGCCGAACGACCTATGTCACCCTTTTAGTCGATTCCGCATTTAAGGGTCAGCGTGACGGGATGGTAGAGCAGTGCAATCCGATAGAGATGGTTCAGAAAATGCGCGGCCCCTCCGGCATGACAGTCCTCTTGTACGACAGTGTTGGGGTTGGAATTCTATGGTCGAGCGCCAGACCACGAAGCGCGTCCGCGAGTGCTGCTTCGGCTATGATGCCTAAGTTTCGAGACCATCACTTCCTTATCTACGGCTCTTTCTACACAGCGTTTGGCCTGCCGGGCGCATACCTCGCGGGCTCCGCGGTTCTTCTGAAAGAGTTGAGATACACGAGTCGCGGATACATGTTCACGACGTCGCAGCAGCCGTTCATCGTGGGCATGGTTGCTGCGGAGCTGCAGCGGATGATGATGGAGGGGGGAAGTGATGATACCGTTTAAACGATGTAGATAAATGAGTCTGTACTTTCATTTTGTTTATTGGTTTTGTTCTTCCCGCATTTGACTGAGCTATTGGACGGGGGAGTGTGAAGTATTCGCATATGGTGTATTACAATCAATCAATCAAGTATCGTCGCCATCACCGCCACCGCCGACGACTAGGTACATATACCTTATATATTATAGTAGCGTACCTGTCACACATATCACGTATATCATACATGCCGCAGATATCACGCGTATTGCCCAAGAAAGTCATATCGCACAGGTCGCACAAGGCCACATATGACACATATGACACAGTAATCATGCATATGACACATAGTAACCACTCACCCAACCAGCATGTATCCACGAACCTATATCTCCCTATCTCTTCACGCCGACACCAACTCCTCCCACGGATTCGTCTCCGTAAACCCCCCCTCGACCACACACGTGCGGGGCACCTCGTCCGCCGGGGGCAGTTTATTCCGCCACGCCCAACTATCCACGGGACCCGTGGAATGGTATTTCTGCCCGACGGGGCGCGACCCCGTCGCGACGTCGCGCCCGAGCATGACGCGGTCGAAGACCACGGAGACGGTCTCGGGGGCGTACGCGCTGACGGCGTGTCCGGCGTCGAGGACGCGCGTGAATGACAGGTTGGAGAACTGTTTCACGAGAGCTGGATGCTTCGCGCCGCCGCCCTTCACGGCCTCGTACCCCGCGACAGTGGCAAACTCTGCCTGGTGCGCCCACCGGGCCGCCAGGGCTGTGGCCTCCCCGCCCGTCCACGGGCAGCGGTAGTCGCGGTCGCCGAACACGAGCGCGACCTTGACGCCCTCTGTCAGGAGGGATTCGATGTTGCGGAGACCCGCTTGGCGGAAACTGTCGCCCGTGCCGACGAAGGGGGTAGGTGGCGGCAGGAGGCCGTAGACGCCCGTGACGAGCACCGAGTCGTAGGTGAAGTTGAGGGGTGCACCTAGCGAGTGCTGCACGTCCGGCCGGTTCAAGTACTCGCTCACAGAGACGTAGTAGGGGCAGGGGTCGGGGCTGGGGATCGCGACGTCGAAGTCGCTTCGCTGGGGTGGGCGTTGCGTTAGCTATATCATGGATATTTATATGTATGGACGCTGTCGGATGTACAGGGAAAGTTGGATGAGGGATAGAGCGAGGGCGAAGGGGGATAGGAGACCAAGTAGATGGAGAAGGGGGGACAAAAAGGACGTGTGATATCCAACTCACATTATTGAGCGCGTCGAATGCGCCCATGATGCCCTCGCAGCTCGCCGAAGCCGCCAGACACGCTTCGTTGACAGTCTCATTATTCCCGTTGAACTGCGGGTCACCGGCCAGCCCGAGCGAGCGACACCTCTTGATGAGATCCAAGCAGCCCTCGGGCTTCGTGATATTGTCCATGGTCTCGTTGTAGATCGCTTCAGGGATGAACCGCACGTCGTAGGTATTGTTGTATGCGAACTGCGGGTATCCCTGGATGGAGTACTCGAAGTCGATGCACCCGTTGGTGATGCCCAGGGTGTCCACCGTCAGTGCCTTGGGCTTGAGCGGGTGTTTGGCCGGGAGGGTCTTGAGCTTCTTGCTAAACAGCGCGGCGGTCTCGGGCGCCCAGAACCCGCCGTACGAGTTGCCCCAGATACTGACTTTCTTGGACGAGGTCGAGTAGCCCGGGAAGGAGGATAGCCAGTGCTCGGCGGTGTGCCACAGGGCTCTCGCGCTCGACACGGTCGTGTTTGTCGTATGTAGTGGATTTTGGCTGGAGAACGTGCCGACTTGGAAAGTTGCATTCGTGGCGGGTATAGATGAGGAAGTGAAATCTTCTGGGGTGATGAGCAGCGTCTCGATGTCGAAGGTGCCGTTGACGAGTTCGTCGTACGACAATCCAGTCTGGACGGGCTGGTCGAGGTAGAGCATGTTGACGTGGTTGTTGAACGACCACGGATTGATCGTCGTGTCGTTGCCTGCGACGTTGACATAGCACGGGCCGCTTTCACTCGCCAACGCCGCGTATATGGAGCTCTCGCCCGGGCCCCCAGCGAGGTAGATGGCAAGCGGAGCGGTCGAGGCATTGTGTCTCGCCTCGAAATAGATGAAGTAGGTGTTGATGTCGAAGCCGCCGACGTCCGCGAGGAGGGTCCCAGGAAGATGGACGTAACCGCTGTAGGACTTGACTCCGTGTGTGGTCTCGCAGATATTCGTCTGTCATTCTGTTAGGTAGATGGATGTGACTTCTTGCAGGATACTCACTTCCTTATAGGAGATTTTGACCCGAGGGTTGACCTTGGAGGTAACAACATCGAGCCCAGTAGGGGCAGACGGGAACTGCGCTAAAGAGATGGCAAACAGGGTAGAGAGCGAGAGTGCAGTAGTGCGCTTCATCTTCGCTTTCATCGGTTCGAGAGGATTGGAGATGGCTTGTGTTCCTGCCAGCAACAAGAAATGCGCGGTCCATTCTTATATCTCCTTTGTCCTCACCGGGCTCGGGCGCCTGATATTGCATGCCAATAAATCAACTCGCAGCCTCGTTGGACACGCACTCGTCGTGAACATCCTGGGGTGCCAGAATCGAAATTTGAGGGGCGGAAACGCAGCATAGCATAGCCGTGGTATACCTGGTACCTTGTACAGGGAGCTGGAAAGTTAGCCAGCCCCAAAAGATGGCAGTGGAAGTAAATTAAAAGGCCCTGCTTTGCCGATCGAGGTTGGTCCATCCGAGTACGAGTTACTCACAGAATCCGCTGGTGCTGCTGAAGTAGTCCTGGTATGGTCTGGCTTGCTCGGTTTGATGTACATAATGGATCGAGGCGCAGGCTAGCCAGGCATCGACCCAAAGTGGTTAGTACATACGAGCTGCACCATGTCGTTCCTGGTTGTGTAAACGAGCAGAACACAGCCAATCTGTCTGATGAAGGGGCATTAGCGTTGAAATTGAGGCGTCCAATTTTGAAGATGGTAGCTCATATATGCAGGGAAGATTTTGTACTCGGTATATTTGGACAAGTCAAAGCCTCTCGCTTCACTTGTCAGGCAGCGGGGGTTCCCACTTGTTAGAGGTTTCAACTTGTGCTGGCGGAGTATCTGGCACACTCCAGGTGGGTTGCAATGCAGATAAAATAGTATTGCGATCGTTGCGAGGGTATCTGAGTGATAATTGTGCCAACAGGAGGAAAATGCAGATAGAATCAGTTGGCAGTATGTGACACCACAACCTCCCGCCAAGCCATCGATATAAAACCACCACCACATAGACACTCACATTCACATCACCCTTCCTCCCCCATGATTCTCCACTATGCCCGTGACCGTGAATTTGTGACATATAATTTAAACCCCCAGAAAAGCTGTCACAAATTCCCCGGTTGAAAAAAGGCGCAACAGCGATAACAAGACCTCATTAAATAATGCTACCTCCTTTGAGTAGGGGAATTTGTACAAAAAAAATTCAGATCGGGTTTGGTGGGCGGGGCCTTTCTCCCCCTCCTTTGATGAAATATGATATGTGCTCGCTGTTGCCTCCTCACTCCCCCCAAGCTTGGGGTGGTGAGGAGGGTAGCAGATGGTCTCGCCATATCACATCAAAGAAAACAACGAGTTCCAGCGCAGTGCAAGGTGGTGGTTCCAATATGGAAATTGGACGAAGGGCGCTGGAACCTAGTTGTTGGGGGGGGAGAAAGGTAAGATAAGATGAGCCGGTCCGATCTGAACTTTTTGCTGGTTGGAAGTATTGGCGTTCGATTCGCGTTGGCAGCAAATGTATATATATATATATATATATATATATATTGTTGCCAAAGGTTGGATTTTTGACGTTGATTGTGGAACGCCAAGGTAGTGAGTGTGACAATCTTCACATGATGTTCATTCCTATGTTGACCCTTGTCTTCATCACCTAATGTTCACACGCGGCTCGATCCCTTCAGAGAGTCGAGTATAACACATGGCTTGTGAAGCGAGTCAAACCAGGAAGATATCTCCTGAGCATCCCGCTCGCGCCAGATCCGCAATAAAAACGTCTTGGTGGCTTCTTGCACGACTGGCATAAATTGATCAACGTACTCGTCCACGTCCTGCACCGCCTTGGTCCGTGCCACCGGGTCTCGAATCTCGATGGCGGCAGTGATAAAAGGCAGCGTGACAAACCGGAGCGACCGCCGCGTCGTCCGTCGAGCCAGCTCGAGCTCCATCAGCACCTCACGCGACCAGATGTCTGCCTGATCGTCCTGCTGGCCAAAGGAGTGTTGGATGCGATGGGCGAGAAGCAGAGCCGCCAATCGATACACTCTCGCTTGTGCTAGAAGGTGTACCACTTCGACGGGCGAGAACTTGTTGATGAAGTTCTTTGGCGGGGTTGGCTGCCATGCATTCACGGCGGCTTGAATACCGGCGAGATGCTGGTGGAATGTGGCTATGATATCGGCATTGCCGGGGCTGACCAGCGAGTGGCTGACGGCACAGAGATCGTAGTAGTATGGCAGGAGAGGGAGGCAGAGCCCCAAGTGGCGATCCACGCTGGTAGGTGATGGTGACTGGATCTTGAGTGTCGGCTTCCGGCGGTGGACCGCGCAGTCCATCACCTCGAGCAATACGAGAAAGACAAGCTGAGAGTCAGTCTCAGGGGTCGATGCCATCGGCTCAATGTAAGGCCTAGCAGTGCTGAGGCAGTAGTGGCAGATGTCGGGTACACCAACACCCACGGCAGTGTAGATATACATGGCCAATGCAGCTCCCAGGGTCAGACACAACGCGGCATCCTCGGGACTTGCTACTGGCAGCATACGCAATGTTCTCATGGCGGAAGATGCACGGCGGAGGTTAGCGTCCACGTTTACACCGGGTGTGGTGTCGGCATGAGACGCTCGCAGCCCACCTGCATAGGCGAGATAAGCGTCTTTGAGTACAGGCCAAGCGGCCGGCAATGGAGCTTCCAACGACCGCCGTTGGGCGTTCTCAAAGCTCGGGCTGACCACGGAGAAGCGCAGGGTTTCGGGTTGGTAAAGGAGGTACGCCATCAGTTCCCTCTCTTCCGGGCCAAGATCAGGGACATCCCGCAGCCAGTCACCGACGTCGCGGTGCGATAGATCGCTCGTACTTGAATCGCTGGACCCTGTTTCAGAGGCTCTTCGCTCCTGGTGCTGGGGCTTTCGACCCGCTTGTCGTAGTGGACGCACATTCAGGCAAATATGACCAAGCCTCTCACATCTGATACACTTGGATGTCATCGGTGTCCGCTCGCACCGTTCCTTGAGTGAATAACATCGGTCACACGCAGTCCGGACTCCACGGCGCCGGGGCGTAACTGACGCCATTTTGACCTTCCAGAGTAGCCCGGCAAGAGGACACCAGCAAATGAAGGAGGGAGGGCGAGAGAGAACAGCGACTGATCCCCAAAGCAGCAGAAACGGGACTTTTCTGGGGTGAACCCAATCAATGACGGCGGTAAAGTCGTCCTCGCTATCAATCAGGAGGCGAGGTTCACAGAAGTGAACAGAATCAATCTTCCAGTCGCGATTCACACGCTTATTGTTGAGAGTGCTGCCCCGAAGACGAAGGTAAGAGGTCGGTTTCCAAGGTTGGAAAGGGACACAACGTGGTCACGCAGGTGGGGAGGTTCGAATAGACCATCAAGCTCCCGATTGGCGCAACCAGCCGGGAATCCACAATTGACCGGAACGATGACCGGAGGGTTTGAGGGTTTGATATAGGATTAGTCCTTCCTGAAAAGCTAAAGCGAACTTTTACGGAGAGAGAAACACAAAAGCTCAACTCCCGCGGGACATGAGTCCGAATGAGAGATATAAGGGATGCAGGAGGGGAATGTCGCACCAGAACCTTGCACGTCGACCTCAGGACTCGGGGGCCTGACCCAAGCCCTCGTCTCAACTGCGTGGAATCGGATTGTTTTCGAACCGGAACCGGCGAATTCTTAAATGGTTTGAGCACCATGCGGTGAGCCTCCGCCCCATTTACTCCCAGCAAGATGAATCATGGTGTTTGGGGACAGGGTCGAGAGCTCCCACCGCAGTATAAGAGTGCCAGCGATGGACGTCTCCCATTACAGCAAAGGCAATCAAACGGCTACTACTCTGAGAAGCAGAAGACGTGCAGAGCAACATGTCGAGCGCCCCCAAGAATTACCAAGCCATCGCGGCCGAGAAGCAGTTGGAACGGCAGTCCAAGATCCCCAAAGAATGGCTGGTACCCTCTGATCAATACCATGGGCTCACAAATCTCATGCACGTGCCGCAGACGTGTGGCATCTTGACAGACACCGAATGCGATATCACCTCGAACTTTGACGCGACCGCGCTTCTGGAGAAGCTCAAGGATGGAGTATGGTCAGCAGAGGAGGTCACGGTGGCTTTCTGTAAAAGGGCAGCCGTTGCACAGCAACTGGTTGGTCAATCCGCATCTTCGTCTCGTGGCGTGCCTTGCATCATAACACTCACCGTGGAGACAGACCAACTGTTTGACGGAGATTTTCTTCGACCAGGCCATCGAGAGAGCCCGTACACTTGATCGTGAACGGAAACAAAACCCTGAAAAGCCGCTGCGTCCGTTTCACGGCCTCCCAATCTCGCTGAAAGATAGCTTCCAGGTCTCTGGATATGACACATCGACAGGATTGGCATGTTTTGTGAACGAACCAGCAGACGAAGACAGTGGGACTGCCGCCATGCTGCTTGAGTTGGGCGCAGTGCTGTACTGCAAGACAAATCTTCCACAGACGATCATGACCGGCGACAGCCATAACAATGTCTTTGGCAGGACCTTGAACCCTCGCAATACGGCATTGACGGCAGGCGGAAGCACTGGCGGCGAAGGTGCTCTCCTTGCCCTTCGAGGCAGCGTGCTCGGAGTCGGTACGGATATTGGCGGGAGTATCCGTATCCCCTCCCTCTGCAATGGCATATATGGATTCAGACCCAGTGTCGGATTGGTTCCCCATGGTGGCGTAAGGGATCTCACAACTCCTGGTACAGATGGGGTGCGCTCGTCGGCCGGACCGATGGCCACGTCGCTTCGGGATGTAGCTCTTTTCCTCAAAACAACAATGTCAGCACAAACCTGGCGGTATGACAGCACGGTGATATCGATACCGTGGGTGAATCTCGAGCCCAAGAAGAAGCTTCGGATAGGCGTCGTCGCCGACGATGGTATGTACACTCCTTCGCCACCGGTTCGGCGTGGCCTCCAGAAAGCAGCGGACCTTCTGCGACAACACGAGGATATTGAACTCGTACCGCTTTCCTTGCCCAATGTCAAAGACCACTATTTCGACCTGATTCGGTATTGGACGTTGCTGGGAAGCGAAGTAAGCTGCAATGTCCCATCTCCTCTTACTCGAAGCTTTTGGAAGAAAAAGACTGACGCGAGGTATCTCCTATCTCAAGAATTACCTCGAGCTATTCGCCCGAACTGGGGAGCCTGAAGTTCCTTCCGTCAAAGCAATTAGGATCAATACCTTCCCAGGCACCGATCTGCGGGGATTCTTTGCCCTCAACGTGCGTCGTCAAGCAGCAGCACGCGAATACCTCAGGCTCTTCCTCGACAATAGACTCGACGCGATCCTGATGCCGCCGGCGCAGCACACAGCCGTGCCCTTGGATCAGTGGACGACGGCGACTTACACTGGCTTGTGGAACTATCTCGATTACCCGGCCGTCGTCATTCCCGTAGAAACAGTGTGCGAATCCGACGTGGTGGATGAACCCAGCAATGCCCGATTCGGCCCCGACGATGCTCGCATGTATAGTCTGTGTATGTGAAACACTCCTTCGAGTTCTAGTAGGATAAGCTTGCTAACCTCTCACACCTGGCAGACACGGGACCGGAAGACTATAAGGACGCGCCTATATCTGTGCAGCTGGTTGGATACCGATATTGCGATGAAGCATTGGCCAACACCGCTGCCCGGGTCGACTCGATCATCAATCGCACAGCACGGTCAGGGTGATAAATAAAGCCTTTTAGGCATATGGATCCACAGTTTCGGTGTTTGACCCTGGAGATCTGGAGATTTGGCATCATTGGCACATCAAGGGTGGCTGGATAGCTGCGGTTCAAATGCAACTAGGTCCGGATAGGATTGATTCACTTGAGGCAGTAGGCTGTTGCCGGAGAGGACGACGGTTGGGAGGTTAAAATGAAAGTCAATTTGACCGAGAGCTGCTCTATTGCAACCTACCTGATTATCAGTAGATGTGCTGTTAGTCTTTCATTCTCTCTCCTATGATGGTCAACGAACCCCCATGGTCTTGCGGCCCTCGCCATCTAAACTTGACTATTTGACTATTCTTGCAGTATTCGGCTAAATGGCGGATAAACTTGTGGGGCTTGGCAGATCCCCGCCATCGTCATCCGCTGCGTCGCTGCAACTTCCAGCAGGCCTCGAACATCACCAAAGTTAATTCGTTTTCAGACCACAGGCATCGCACTTCGCCAGGCCCTGCGCATATCTCAAGGTTTCGATACTGTCTAGGTGAACCCAAAGACATCTCTCGCTCCAAATCTCTCACTATACCCAACGGCTCTTTGGTGAATCACCCGAACAGTTAGCCGCCGTATCCGTCAGCCAGAAACCAGACCGGCGTGCTGGTCTTGCGCGCTCTTCTTCCGATCTCGATCAATATGTCTGGCCTTGAGAAGGCTCTCTTCAACCTCAAGGTGAGTCCTCGGCACTTGTCGATTGACCTAGGTGCTGCACGGCTGCTTGCCGATCGGTAACTGTGGGCGGATTTGCTTTCAACCAACACTCCCCATATCAGGGTCCATAGACTGACGATGCACTTATCAGTTCACTTCCAAACAACTCAATAGGCAAGCTGCCAAAGCCGACCGAGACTCCCGCGCCGAACAAGCGAAGCTCAAGAAAGCCTTGACTCAAACCCCGCCTCAACCCCAGATCGCTCGTCTCTATGCCACAAACTCGGTGCGCAATTCCCAACAGCGGATCCAGCTCCTGACATTGGCGGCTCGTATCGACGCCGTAGCCGCCCGTGTGCAAACAGCCATAACCATGCGCACCGTGACTGCCTCCATGGCTCAGACCGTCAAGGGGATGGATGCTGCATTGAAGAACATGGACTTGGAAAAGATAGGAGCTGTGATGGAGAAATTTGAATCCCAATTTGAGGATCTCGACGTGGTTACAGGCTACTACGAGGGTGTCGCAGGTGGCGTCGAGAGTCAACAGGTCGGTGTGGAAGGTCAGAGTGAGGTTGAGGCTCTGATGAGCCGGGTCGCCGACGAAGCGGGAGTAGAGCTATCCCAGGAAATGCAGCAGAATGTGCCGGAGCAGGAGTTACCAGCAACTGAAACTGCAGAGAGGGCGAAACTAGAGGAAGGCTTGGGAGACAGACTGAGGGCCCTGAGGAATTGACCCGCTGTCAGCACAATGTCTTGTACGGGATTGATGATTGTTCCCGGTTTTAGTTCATGCTGGCTAGATTGCTTGAAGCGAGAGGATCAATCGGGAAAGGGATGCGGCGTTCGAGGGTAAAATGTAGCTTTTCTCCCAATATACAAAAGGTTCAGCATCAGAGCCTCGTGGAGGCCTGCGTATACTTGTTCCCACGTCCTCATCTATACATATATGTACATTGAGCGATGCTTGACAGAGCCACCACAAATGAGCCACGCAGGTAAGTCAAGTCACGACGAGGACCGCAGAATCAAGTGAGACAACAGCGGGTATATATCCCCGGAATTGCTTCATTACCTAGGTACAATGGCATTCTTTCGCCATGTACGGGGGAAATGCGCTCGCAGAATATGTATTGATACTTCAGACACAGAAAGGGGTTTGTTATGAGCTGCCTTTCTCAGACACGTTTGACAACTTTGGGCTCTCGAAATCGTCCCTATATCTGCGAAGCGGTCGTCGAAAGTACTGGCACGGATTCTGTTGCATTGTCGTTGAACACGGTTTTCTCCTTGTCTCACCGAGACAGCCCGACCCGTTAAACCCGGCGTCTTCTTTGAAGGCGTTCTGCGCCGTGAAGTCGAGACGAGCCCAATCTGACGACCAGAGTTAGGGACAAGACAATGTCAGTCATTGCCTCCGCGAGGTCCTGACGGAATGGCTGGCGGTCTCATCGGAGCTCCATTGAGTGCCTAGCGGACAATCAATCCTGGAAGTGGGCGGGCGACCGAGTGAGAAAAAGGGCAAGGCGGTCTGCAGTGCGATGTACCGTTGTCCATTTGTCATCTATCTATCCCCCAAACTCCCAAAACCAGCTTATCGGTCAATCAAACGGGTTGGAACCTGAATGAAGAGGAGGCGGAAGAAACTCATCACGTGCACGGACCGCGAAGCCGTCCTCGAACAAAAAACACCAGAAACCTTCATTCAGACCTTGTGACACGGACCTCGTTCGCTTATCTGCGGAACGTCATATGGCGGATTTCCTCCGCGGTTTTTGTTGTTTGTTGTTAACTCACTTGCATGCTCCCTGGAGAGAGAACAGGTCACAGGGCCAGGGAGCATGATTCGTGCCATGAACAGGGATCGCGGCGCTGGCGGCTAGGCAGTGCCACGCATGTACTGCCTCGACTTTTGCATCACTTCTCTACAAGGCTATATGAGGTTGGTAAAAGTCGGAGATCTCCTTCGTCAACGCCTCTCTCACTATCGATCCGCACAGCTTTGCGTACGGGTTGGTCTTGACCGCCAGCTGCCGTGCGGTCTCATTTCCATAGCGACCTCCCGCCCCGAGCTCCCGGCTCGCAGCTTCCTCCAGATCCTCTCTCGAAAGATGTTCAAGATGCGGCACGGCGGCAAGCATCTGTCGATTGTCGTCGGACTTGCTCGCCAGCAGCAGCAGATAGCCTCTGTGTGTATGTGCGGACGCGAGCACCTTTGCGTCAAAGTCCAGAAGGGTTGCGCTTGGTCCGGTTAGAGTTGAGAGTGAAATTGCCCGGGCAAGGTCTTGAAGGATCTCAGCCACGACGCCTGGGTTCCCAGGAAGGTCTGCGTCCCTGATGAGCATTCGCCGTGCTTGCGCCCTGTTGTTCCATGCAGAGGCGTATGAGGGTTCATTTGTGATGATTTCGGTCAATTGGGCGATTGAACGCTCGATGTCAACTCGTTGGGGCTGTTCCTGATTGATTGATCGCAATGCGAGTCGTTCCTGTTCCTGAAACCTCTTCTCTCTGCTGGGTATTCGATCATCAAGTCTGCTGCTGTTGATAGTGACAGTGCTTGATAGTGAGGCTTCTGGGTCGAATAGTGCCGACAAGACACTGGAGTCATTCGCACTCAGTCCAGAGGCTGCCATCCTGACAAGTCGTTTTGGATAGAAGATGTTGATTGCCTGTGGGATGGTTCCTGGTCGACTTATGAGCAAGATGGTGCTTCAGTGCAACTGCGGAAGCACAACCATGCAAATGACCCGATGCTCTCAAGTTGAGGTAAGAGCTTTACGCGTCTCACCGTCCCAACCCTGCTTTTCTTTGTCAAGGTAATGCCCATTGTTCGCTTATTCGCGGAAGATGTGCCCGGAGGTGCCTTGATGCCTTCCGTCCCCACAACTATTGAGGCACCTCAGTGTAGCATATGAGCAGTTACATAGCACATCCAACGCGTCTTGATAGCAGTCCTTTCCTCACTGCATGTTGCACACTCTCCTTCCTCTTCATAACCTCCGAATCTCACGAAAAGTAAGAACTTCAAGATGGCGCCCAGTGCTGTAGCTCCAACACCACTGCCCATCCATGAAATCAGACCCAAAGCGGTCCATAACAGCATGGAGTCGATGCAGTCATTGCCAAACACATCCAAAAAGGTTGCAAGTTATCGAGGATATGACCACGTTGCGTGGTGGGTGGGAAACGCCAAGCAGGCGGCAGCATTCTATGTCTCCCGGATGGGCTTTGAGAGGATCGCATACCGTGGTCTGGAGACTGGGTCGAGAGTGGTCGCCTCGCATGTTGTTCGCAATGGAGATGTTGTATTCGTCTTGAGTTCGCCGCTGCATGGGCCCGACTCCAAGGTTCCCTGGCTGTCCGACGACGATCGAGCTCTTTTGAGGGAGATGCACGATCATCTGACCACCCATGGGGACGCTGTCCGTGACGTTGCCTTTGAAGTTGACGACGTTGCTGCTGTATACGACGCTGCCGTTGCAAAGGGAGCTTATCCTGTTGCAGCACCAGCAAGCACGAGCGATGACTTTGGGTCCACGAAGACAGCGTCCATCAGAACATACGGGGACACCATTCATACTCTTATCGAGCGACAAAAGTATCAAGGGGCTTTCTTACCTGGTTATCGAGCCGTGGCAGATGTCGAGAAGACGGCCAAATACCTTCCGTCGGTCGATTTGGCCGTAATCGACCATTGCGTGGGTGAGTTTTGACATGCTGACTGCACCGTGAGCTCCCGTACTGATTTTTCCAGGAAACCAAGATTGGGACGAAATGGAGGCTGCTTGCGAGTATTATGAGAGAACACTGGGCTTTCATAGATTCTGGTCGGTGGACGACAAGGATATTTGCACCGACTATTCCGCGCTGAAGTCGGTAGTGATGGCCAGTCCGGATGAGAAGATCAAGATGCCAATCAACGAGCCTGCAAAGGGCATCCGGAAATCCCAAATAGAGGAATACATCGACTTCTACAACGGCGCAGGTGTCCAGCATATCGCGCTGAGAACCGACGACATCATCACCACTGTCACCAACCTCAAAGAGAGGGGGATCGAATTCATCAGTGTTCCAGATACTTACTACGAAACCATGTCGAAGAGGCTAGAGAGCGCCGGCATGAAGTTGAACGAAGACTTTACAGCTCTGAAGAAGCTCGGGATCCTCATCGACTTTGACGAGGGCGGGTATTTGCTGCAACTGTTCACCAAGCACTTGATGGACAGGCCGACGGTGTTTATCGAAATCATCCAGAGGAACAACTTTTCGGGGTTCGGGGCGGGGAATTTCAAGGCTTTGTTCGAGGCCATTGAGAGGGAGCAGATGGCGCGTGGTAATTTGTGATTGATAGGAAAGCTAATGCCATCTCAAATGCTGCAGATGTAGTTGTTGTGTGCAGAGCATGCTCATGTTGTTGTTGTTGTGAGACATGATAAAAAAGAGCGAGACAAAGAGTTGGGAGCACGACAATAAGCCAAAGTCGATCTCCGAGGCTGAAATGCGGGACGGAACGGCTTCCGACTTGCTGCCGTTGAATATAAACTCTACCTCTTCTTCTATTCCACGGTGTATCCAATAACATCGGGGTATGTACGTCGATGGTATCCTCTAGGGCATGAATCAGCTCAGTCCCCTTCAGGGTCGTGTTCGACAAGCCTGCGATCCGTGTAGACGCAAGAAAGTGAGATGTCCAGGCGAACAACCCAGCTGCAGCTTCTGCACGCGCCTCAACCAGCAATGCAGCTACACACGCAGCAGCAGCAGCAGCAGCGGCGGCGGCGATACGCGCGGATATCGCGTCGAGAAAGACAGAACAGGTGGCCGACCAACTGTGTGATTGCTCTGCAAACCCCTGGGGAGAAAAACGTAGCTCACGGTCTGCGTAGGACGATGGCCATTCCGATCGACAACGCGTCCAGAAACTGGAGGCCAGGATGGAGCAGATTGTGGATGCCGTCAAGTCTGTGAGCTCCTTTAAACAAGATGTAATAAACTGCCATGACTGACGTTTCAGTACGCTTGTGGAGCTCCAATCGGGACAGTCGTCGGCCAGACTCCATGGGACTTCGACGCCGCGACTCAGTGCCTCGTCCATTCTGTCCCAGGAAGAAATTCAACACGATGGCACGGCTCACCCTAGCGTCTCGAGATTCGATCCCTTACACCGGTTGTTCACCTTGACCTTTGCTCAGTTGGCGATGCTGACCAGTGCCAGACCAGATCCTCCGCCGGACGTGCTCCAGACATTAGTCAAGCTGTACCTCGAACGGATCGCGGATCAACCTCTGCCTCTCTTTGACGTCAAAAGACTGCCTTCTCGTGCGCAGAAATTCTCAAGAGGGCTTTTAAGGAGCTTTCTTGCCTTGACTGTCAGATACTCGGACAGTGATTTCTATAGCAACAGCCGATCCCGCGCCGTAGATTTCTACAAGAACTCGGCGTCGGAATTGTTGTTTGCCCAGGCCGCAGAGCCTTCTGGCGACCTGGAGACTCTTATGGCTTTCTGCCTGCTGTGCCTCAGCGAGATTGCAGGTACGTGAAGGCGTTGCGAGGATTGTATTAAGCTAACGAAGGATCCGGCAGATGGGAAAACAACTAGAGCTTGGATGGCTCTAGGCGTGGCTGTGCGAATGGCCGTATGCTCAAACACAATGTTCAATGCCGCCACGAGTACGACAGTCTCTGCAAACCCCGAGCTGTCCAGATGTTGCTGGAGCGTGTTCATCCTTGACCGAATGCACGGGAGCAGCTTTCGTTGTCTTCCGGCCATCTCTACTGAAGAGGCTATGCCTGAGATGCCCCCTGTTGCAAAACGGCCTTCATTAACTCTGCCAAACAGACTCGCGGAGTTCGAGGGCGCGGAGGAGAAGGACGCCGGTATCAACTCCTACGCTTTACAGTTATTGTCTATATGGGGTCGCTTGATGTCGTACCTCAAGACCATCAAACAGGGCAATCTTGAAGAGCCATGGGCCGCCAACTCGGTGTATCAACAGATCAAGTCGGAAATGTCTCGGTTCGAAACGGTGCTTCCGGAAGCCCACCGATTCAAGAACAACCGATTTCATGACAGGACACCTTCAGAGCTGGAAGAGCAGCGTGCATATTGGGCAGCTTGGGTCTTCACACAATGCATCTACCACACGATACATTGCACCCTGAACCACCCCTTTCTCCATATTGCTAGGATCCCGGGTCGACCACGACTCCGCTCTCCGTCATTCCTTCAACATGCAACCGACCAAGCGGTGCTGCACTCAGCCTGGGTCGTCCTTGTTCTAAGATTATGCGAGGAAAAGCACTTTACCATTTTCGATCCGTTTGTCGGTCACTTGGCTTCGATGATTACAACTGCGCAGTTTTTTTTGAAATTTTCAAAGGACGAGTCGCTGGCAGCAAGGGCCTCTAAAGATTTTGAAATGCTGAGAAGCTATGTTGATAAAATGGCGAATACCCACAGTCACCTGCTGCATACCGTGAGTACCTCAAGTGCATCCCCTTCCTGGTGTCATTGGACTAATCCTCTGCAGGTTTCGAAGCTTTCTAGGCTTGCACAGTTCGCAACATCACACGTCTATGCGGCTTCGAATAGTCCACCAAAGGTCGAGACTGCACTATTATGGGATCTGCTCGACTATGCAGTGTCATCGTCACCCGTCGTCGACAGCGGTGACTCCTCCGACAATGTGGAACTGAACGTGAATACTCAGTTTCTATCACCAATCAACCCAGACACACCCTTACCGCGAACAGCCCTACATAGCTCTCAAGAGCTTAGCTTGTCTGGGCCAACCATGTGGAGTGATGCAACGTTCGAATTTGACATGGCTGATATCTCGAACTTGCCTGATATGTCCCCCTTGATGACGCAAAGTGAGATCTGGATTGGGGGTCACCTGTGAAAGGTGGATGCTCCATATTTGAAAATTGAGACCTTTGAGAGACTCGTGACTCACGTCTCGTGTCTTTCCTAGCACTGCGAGACGAAGACCGGAACTTGATTTTTTCAGGAGTGTCGACAAGGCTGAATGTTCACGAGGCTGAGCTAGGCCAATGCCAGATCCGAAGTTCTTCCGCCTGCGCATCTTGTTCACCCCCTTGAGGACAACTCAACAATTCCCAACGACTCCACGCTGGCATCTCCTACAAGCCCACGACTCCTCCTGTGCACAAAAGGACGCGTATTTTTCTGCTGCCCGCAGTCTTGGTCTATCGTTAAACAAACCCTCCTCTTGATATTTGGGAAGAGACGCGTCACTCCTGAAACATACAACTTGTCGCAGGATACTGAGATGCCCAGCATGTGGCTCACGGATATGCAGAGTATGCGCTCCCGGACTTTCTTCCATGCCCAGTTGTACAATTTGAGGCTGACAACTCACAGAGGTTGGTGTCGCATTCTGCTCGGGAGGTAAATACATTGACTGGACGCTGTGAAAGTCGCAAACGCTAACCGATAAAAGGTGGATTGTTCTTGTTCGGAGGTGTCCTCATGTTCTTCGATCGCTCTATGTATGTGTTCTCAGCCACAGATCCGGGACGACATGCTAACATCTTGACAGGCTAGCGATGGGAAATGTTCGTTCACCCGACGATGCCGCAGTCACTGTACGCTGACTTGAACTCCTAGATCCTCTTCCTCATCGGCCTGACCCTTATCATCGGATTCCAAAAGACGTTTGTCTTCTTCGCCCGACGTCAAAAACTCAAAGGCACCGCTGCGTTCATGGCAGGCATACTTCTCATACTGATCCGGTGGCCACTGACTGGATTCCTGGTTGAACTCTACGGCATCTTCGTCCTCTTTGGCGACTTCTTTGCGACCATAGCATCGTTTGCCGGCAATATCCCCATTGTGGGCCCATACATCCAAATGGTACTGCAGAAGATCTCGAGCGGGCGGCGGAATGCAGAATTGCCAGTATGAAGACTGGGGACACATTTTGAGACGTCTCTATATCCTTGAGGACCTAGATTGCCAAGCGGGCATATTGGTACACGGTGGTCTCAGGAACATCTGCTTGTGCTGACCGACAACCCATGCGTCACCATCAGCGGGATGTATGAAAGCAAAAAGTTCCCTGAGAGACTGAAATGAGCCCGAATAACCATACATGTATGGGCTGTGCATAACTCCATACTCCTCACTGAATCACCAGCCTTCCCCGTCCTCGAGAAGATGAGCACCGGAAGACAGTCACAAATCTCCAGGACATTCGGCCATTTATTGGCACCTTGTACATGGATGTGCACACGCGGGGGGGGGTCTATGGTTGACCTTGTTGTGCAAACCTCACGTTCCGCGCATACCTACATTCTGCAGACCTGTGGGAATCCATCACCCACAAAACGACCGGCAGATGTTATCGACGGCAGCCAGAGCCCACTGCCACACAAGCGAGATCAACAGATGCTGCCTCCGTGACAAAGGTCCGAGATCATCAATCACGTGTTTAGTATCTGTCGCAACTACTCAAAATTAGTGAGAGCCTCACTATCGGAACGGGTGGTATGGTCCGAGGATGCGCACGGCTTCACCACAAGACGAAGTCCGAGGCAAGCGGAGTGAGCACAGGTCGTTGGGAGTCCTCTCAAGGCATCTTCGGAGCGAAGCAGGTTGGGAAACTAAGCTTGAGGGAGTATGGGTGCGCACATTCATAGCTCACAGCCCATCCTTCTTAGTCGCCGCCCAGACATCTTCATGGCTTGATGGGTACTGGCATTACCGTGGGTATGGATATGGCACTAGGCCTCAGCGCGGAGCACAATGCAAGCATATACCTACTGTATGCCTGTGAACCCAGAATACAGCAAGGCCATCCATCCATCATCGCAATACCTCTATTCCTCCCCCACCCGTACCGTGGTCTATGTTTATGTGTGTATGTGTGTCTTATTCTACGCAGCATATCAAGTGTCTATCAGAGCTTTCTCTCCCTCTCTTCTTCTCTCATCTCCCGTCTCTTCATCCCCCTCTCTCCCTCTCAAGGGCTTAAGGGGATATCAATCACGTAATATAATCGCAATGGACGGCGTTACTCACATGATATTAACCCCCCTCCTCCCCCCTGTTTCAACCATCTCTATCATGTGACAGTACGAGGTTTTTGCGGTATTAATCACATGATACCGAGTACTGAGTATAATGACAATGAACAGGCGTTATATCACGCGATGGACACGTACCACATACCGTACACTTTTTTCGTACACGCAGGTAGCCGTTGCTATGTACATACATACATGTAGTGAGTAGTGCAGTATGTATGGCGTACGTGTGTATATTTGTATGTGTGTATGTATGCACTTGTATACGTTTGTATGCAGTTGACGTATGTATGGCGTATACATACGTACTAGGTATGTGAGTATGAGTATGTGAGCATGTACGCACGTATGTATGCATGTTTACCTACCAACCTACCTATTTACTGGGTACCTAGCATGCATGTGTCGTTTTATCATGTATTGTACTTGCCCGCCCACTTTTCCAGCCCTCTGTGCTCTGTACTTGTACTCGGTACTTTTCCTTGTACTTGTAGTGAAAGTGAAAGTGAAAGTGAAAGTCAAACGCCCCGTGGAATCTTTACTGGAGCACATGCCATACCATGCTGTACCATGCTAGCATAACATATGGTTCAGTCCCACATTGTCATTTCTTCTCCCGGCAATACCAGGTGGGGATATAGAGTCGATGGGTAGAAGAGTGCACATATGTACCTGTATAACTAGTCTGAATCTCCCCCCATGTGTGTTTGCTCATAGGCCCTGCGAATACGAATCAATGCTCCCCCCACCGCCACCGCTGCCCCCACCGCCAGGCCACCCGATAAAGGCGCCCAGGCCGTGGGCGTTGACGTCCGGCGCCGTCGCCAACAGGTCGTAACCCATGCCCATGCTCCAGAGCATGTCGTCCTCGGTCTGCCAGCCGCCAAACGTGCCCGCGGAGGTCGACGTGGGCTGAGAGTGCGGGGAGAGGGCGTAGGGGTCGAAATTGGTGCCGCCACCACTGCCGTTTGAATGTTGCTGCTGCTGCTGTTGTTGTTGCGCGCCACCTGTTGGGGTGAAGGGTGTCGGAGAGGTCGTGGTGTGTTGTGGAGGGAGGAGGGTCGGTGTGGTGGTCTGGGACGAAACGTACAGGTCTGGCGGCTGGTTGGCATATGATTGTCCCGGAACCTGGCCAGGATGTTGCTGGGCGTAGGGCGTGTCTCTGCCACCGTTCTGTCGCGAGCCCATCACTGCCGCTGCCGCATCGAGGGATCCGTACCCCGGGGTGCCGTTTTCCGCACCAGCAGGTCTTCCAAGCTGACCGTTCCCACCCACCAGGTTGCGCCGCAATAGTCTTTCAAAACCATCGGCCATCGCGTAAAGGATGTGGCCTTTGCCTGCCTGACAACTCCTGAACAGTTCAATGACTTTTTCAATGAGGGGCTTTGTCTTCAATTCCGGGTCGATGCTGACGCCAATCCCCGTCCATCGACTCGACATTTTGATCAGGAAGACCACCGCGAAGGCAATCACGGTGTGCAAGTAGAGCGGCACACCGACCATGGAGTCGCGAATGGAGGGCTCTTCCAGCACGATGATCAGGATCTCATGCGCCGAGGAAATCGCGTGCGATGCGAGTGGCCGCAGAGATGTGGGCAGAGTTGATGTGGAGGAAATGGTGAAAAGGGAACGACCTCGTAACGCGAGGGAGTTGAGCATCATCGACGCAAAGTGGTAGTGCAATTCGACGCCTAAGGGGGGAAAAGTAACCTGGTTAGACGGAGAAATGTAGATAGTATAGTGGCGGAAAAAAACTCACCAACAGCAGGATAATCCCCCACATGCGCATCCCTATTCAACGCATGACGAAACTGATATCTCCAGCGATGCAAATCCTCGATAAAGCGCTGATGGGTGAGAAGAGTGACATCATCCCCATCCATCAGTCTCTCGGCCTCCAAGCCAAAGTGGTTGTACGCTTTGCTCAAGATAATGAACAAAGTAACCTGCGACAGCACTCTCCGATCTGACGGCGTACATTCAGGAGCATTGAGGAAGACATCGTACTCTTTGATGGCTTGAAGTTCTGCCGTCACCGGCGGCCGGCCGTATGCGATGGAGAAGTGGTGATCGAGAACGTAGAGGAGATACCATAACCTGGCTCGCTCAAATGCGTGTTCGCGGTCACTTACCGACTGCTTTTGCGAGTAGAGGGCTTTGAAAAAGGCTTGGTGGAGGTTCAACTCGGTCGCCATACGCACGCAGTGGCCGGAGAGTTTCCAGCTGAGATCCGGAAGCCAGAATGCTGCGATACACAGGGCGCGGATGTCTTCGAGGGTATGGAAACGGTCGAAGAAAGACGCGGCGATGAGGTCTCGTAGATGCTTGTGCGCAGAGGCGTGGATCTTCTCTTTGCCTGGGATATGGAGAGACGTGACGGTGATGATGGCAGTGAAGAACAGCGTCGAGGATTCGCGCACGGAGAGCAATGTGCGGGATTCGTGGACGGTGGCGTCGAACAGATAGCGCGAGAGGGTCGTCTTGAACAAGCTGAACATTTCCTCTGCTTCCTCTACGCTAATGACCCCCATAGAAATGAGGTCGTTCTCCATATTCTTCTTTGAATTACGACGTGCTGGGTCGCCATACTTAAGGCGGCTCCGCAGGGTGTTGAGTTGAGTGACCTCGTACAAGCTGCCCATAGGCGCAGGAGCAACTTCATGCGCATCTTCTTGGTTCGGCTCTCGCGAATTTTCCCGTGTGGTCTGCGCGTTGGAGTCGGCGGGAATAGGTTGTGGCGGTGGTTGCAGGTGTTGGGAGGGATGAGTGCGAGAGTAAGCTTCCAGCGGCGGCATCTTCAATCGAGAGAGAATGTCTTCGACAGCTCTGTCAAGCCTCACAATTGACGGGTGAGGGTTTTCGCCATCGTCGTCAAGACTCACTCTCATGCGTTTCGATGTAATACAATCCAAGCCCAAGCGCTGGCATCTGGAGCATCCAGCATCGCCTCGTTCCAGACTGTCGCATTTCACCTTGAGTTTGCGGCACGCCAAACAGGCTCTACCCTTGCGCGAAACATGGGGTTCCGTCGGCAGGTGATCGGCGGACCTCTTGCGACCGTGCAGAGGCGACGTGTTGATATTATTGTCGTCGGCCGAGCCTGCCCACGAGGCCTGACGAGGAATGTTGCTGATGGACGGATTTGATTCCGCCGGAGCTTGTTGGGCGTGATCTTTGGTGTCGGTCATGATCGGTCATAGGCTTCGTCCCCAGCTACACCGTCGGCAAGAACAAGAGACGACAGAGACTATCGCAGATGGCGGCAAGTGTCGAGGACAAATAACAATATCATAGACAATCAATCGGGGGTCATGGGTTCAGGTCATTCCAGGCGCGGCGCATGGGGATCTGGACCATGGAAAGCGAGGAGCTGCGAAAGTTTGATTTCCTCCGACGGAGACAAATGCGCGAATCCCCGCTTCCCGCCTCCCGCCTCCCGCCTTGCGCTTGGCGCCGCGTCGGTTTCCCCTTCTGCCCCTCTGCCCCTCAAACCCCATCATCACAGCCTCGCAGATTCACAGCAAATAGGAATATGGATCCATTGCCCCATTATGTATTAGCCCCCGAGAATTAAGACGATAACTGAACCACATTCTCTCTTGTCTCATCGATAAGGCTCACCACCGAAGTGGCCAACGCCAACGGGGAAAGGCGCTCGACTCTGCTCGGATAAGTGATGAATTACTGCTATAAGAATATCGGTCTGAGCCATATGTGCTGCAGCCGTCCATTCAGGGCATTCAAAACACACTCCCCTCTCATGGTATCCGTCCCGCTATTCTGCACGATCAAGGTCGTGCTGGCAACGACCACGTCGGGTCAGAGACATTGCTTCTCCCTCCCAACATCTTCTCCACGCGCAGTTTAAACACCGTCCCATTGTGGATATCCCACTCCCCTTTGGTTCTTTCCAGGTTGATACCCGCGGGTCCTGCATCTTCAACAGTGAAGAATTCCGGGTTGCTATCCAGTATCTCTGCGTATAGTTCTCCTTGAGCCGCGTACAAAGAGCACACATCGTTCTTGACCCTTGAGGCCAAGACCTCCATTCGTCGATAATCTTTCTTCAGCTGGGCCATCTTTTGAGCTCCTTCTTCAGTTTCATACCCTCGCAACTTGCCCATACCACGAGGATGGTGACCGCCATGAGGACTTTGAATCGTTCTCTGCACATCTTCTTCAAGAGTTAGACGACTCTTGAACTCGAGCCAGCGGCGCCTCTTCAACTTGACTTGTTCCAGCAGCTTTTGGGCCGCGGTGTCGTGCTCTAGCCAGGTGCTGGACAGATATTGGACCAGTCTGGCATCGATCAAACGGCAGTCTTTGTGCAGCAAGTTGTAAGCGCTCCAGATGCGGGCATGGGTTTTGATCCATTTCTCCAACGCCGAGTTCACCACCCCGATTTTTCCAATCAGTAGTCGACAACTCTGAAGACTTCGCAATGTCATTCCAACCCCGCCCGAGGCCTGGGTTGTCGGCACGCTTGCTGCAGCGTCGGTGGATTTGGGGATCGGTTCCAGATCCGGAACGACATCATAGAATCCCTTTGGGACTGGACGCTCCAAAAACCTCTCCAGGAAAGGGCGCCAAAGACTCGACACACGCTTTCCTGGGTACACTAGGTTTGCATCTTCTTCCCAGTCTGTAAACTCCCCTGGTATTGCCAGGAAGTACATTGTCTTCTGCTAGTTCCAGGCCTCAAAGCTTTGGTTCAATTGTATTTATCTTCTGCCAAACGAGACTTCCTGCGAGGTCCAACCCGCCGACAATTTGGTGAACAGTTGTGGCGTGGATGAGGGATAGGAAAATGTAGGCAATGCGGAGAGAGGTGAGGATCAGTAACCAGAACTTCTATCGCCTTCGGCAATGCAATCGAATCTGTGTTCTGAGACTGAGTGGGCGGCAGTTCCTGAAGAATACAGGGAGGCTAGAAAGCAACGTCAATGGAACGCCAACTAAGGATAGCAGCAGAAACGAGAGAATGTAAATGTTGGCATACAACAACAAAGACATGCTGGGAAGGCAAAAGGGGAAGACGGTCAGGGGGTTGTTTTGAAATGTTTGATAGAGGCTCAGAAGCTCCTTCCCTCAGTAAGTCAGTCCTGCCTCTCAGTAGACGGTTCCTTTAGCGGATGCTCAGTTGATGAAGCCACACCGTTACCAGTCACATCCTGCGCGGCTGGGAGCTCGGGACTACCGTTGCTTGACGGGGTGAGGCCAGCCATGTGAAGTTGGTGATGGGAGCCGTGCTGCTCCAAGCAGTCGGCAACCACGCTCTGTGACGAGACAGAGAAACTTTTCAAACCAAGAGGTATTGTGTGTCGGGGTGAAGTCGGTGTTGAGACGAAGAGATGAGACTGGGTTTCAGCGGAAACGTGATCTGAGTTTGTGGTCTGTGATTTAGTTCAGAAGGGCACTGTTGTTATCTGCGAGAGAGACTGAGTGCCAATTTCGCGTAGAGTGAGAATCGGGGAAGGCTCACATAGCAGCACAGTTCAGGTTAAAGGCTCAATAGTACCAGCGAAGAATATCATTATTATCAAGGCGTGGAAGAAGAATGTCTACTAGTAGTGGCTGGAAAAGAAGAGACAAATGTGAGGTCCTTTTCGCGCGTGTCTTTCTTCCCCCTGACAGAGCGCAGGCACACCCACACGCACACGTTTTTCTCTCTCGCACATACCCTAGATTTATCCAGTACATTGTAAAGGTCCGAATTCGAGGTATTGACTTGACTCTCTATCTCACACACAATCTACCTTGCCCTCTTTATTTCATTACGAATTCAGCATCGCAAAGCAGGGAAGGGAGAGAGTAAACACTACCAGAAAAAATCCGAATGCTAGGATGATAAGATGTTTGAAGAGTAATATCCCGCAGGGAAAGGCAAGAACCGAGAGGAGCGAGTGAGAGAAAAAGACATGAGGAGAATAAAAGGCTCAAACACGGATCAAGAGAGAATACAGAGGAGAAATTGATGGCCCCTTTTGTTGTGTTGGTTGTTATCATCTGATCTCTGCTTCCAGGAGGGAGGGCCAACGGTCCAACGCAAAGATCTCTGGCAACCAGAAATTCGCCAAGAAGTTGGAACTTTTGGTTACTCGCGATTTGTGAGAAGGTTTCCCCAAGCTCTGCTTGTCCTTGTTCACTCCGTAGTGACCCAACCTCATAAGGCAAGGTGACTTGAACGAAACTGAATCCTGCTTCGCTCAGTCTCGCATATGGACTGCTCTCCACTGTTGTGACATGTGCTGTCGTAGCGATCCCCATGTTTCTGCTCTGGCCATACCAGCACGGCATATGTAAGGAACGAACGGCTTGCTGCTGCCTTTCAAATCATCCGGTGCACTGTTTGATCAACGTGGACAGAAACCCCCCTATCACTGCCTCACTCCCAACTCCCCGTCACTCTCTGACAGGGACACAATCCAAGACTCCACGGGAAGAAAACCTCTGGCACAATCCCTGGTTTCTGTTCTTGGCCACCGGCATTTATTCTCTCCTTCGGCTGGGGGAAGCACGCGTTTGGACCTTCTTGACATGATCATCAGCCCGCTGCTGTATCTCTCTTGCAGCTGTCAATAGCACATGAAGTTGACCATAACTTCACGTATAATCATTCCCGCCGCCCGGTACCTACTCCGTTCGTGGTCCAGTTCATTCCGATACTCGGGGTACGTTTCGACTAGAGATGTATAGACACCATTGTCTCCCCATTTTCTCCTGCCCACTTCACTGTGTGCTTCGATCAGATCCCAGAGAGGACGGCCTCCGCTCCATTCGCTCGTGTTCATGATTTTTTTCAGGACAAGCTGGTATTGTTCCTCTAGGTGGGGAATATACGAGTTTGGGGCGGAATCTGGAACTGGGCCAGGGGTAGAGGTAGAGGCCGAGGAATGATAGTTGGGTCCCGTTGGGGAGGGCCACTCCAGAGTGCCAGAACGGTGCAGGTTGTCTAAGTATTCTTTCAGGGCATCTTCAGCATCCTGAAGAGTGTCCACGAGTACATCGAGGTCGAGGGGCGTTATGGGTCCGTCAATGTGCCGGTGATCGCAGTCTGGATATCCAGGCTTTATTCTTGTTTTTTGGGGCATTTTTAGATGAGGCGAGTACGGCGTGTTCAAGCTCTCAAGTTTGATGTTGACGTTGTTGTAGTCGTTGACGTACTTTGTAGACGAAGGGGTAAGGTTAGGAAGTGGCTGCCTTATGGTGAAGCTGACGGGGCAGGGGAGTGCGAAGTAGGGGATGTGATATCCATGTCAAAAGGCAGTGGTTGAAATTCGAGTACGTGTTGTAGAAGGTGAAGTCCCGGAAAGGGGACTGCCTTCACGTCCCTAAGCATGCACGACTGCCTAGCACTTGCGTGAAACAAGAAAAGGCGCAGTCTGTCAGGTCACTTTAATGTCTGATGGTGAACATCCTTGAGACCTCAAATGCCTAAGAACTGCGTTCTCGATCCCGGATTATTTTTGATCATCGCTTGCTCCATTTCCTAATCACTATTGTGAGTGCGTCATGGGCCTCACCCGGCCATATCTCCCACCACCGACTCCTGACGTACACGAATCCAAGTCAAAGTTCCAAGGACATAGTGAGCTCGGGGAGATCCATTCGGGGATAGTGCTGCTGAATCTCGCGACAGAGCATCTCATAGATCGACATCCGCCTTTAATATTCTCCAGCTTCAACAGAACCAGACTCCTTGTTTATCTCCCCTAGCGCAACTGACAGCTCACGCGTCATATTCTCGAGTAATCTGTTGAATGCCTCCGAGCACCTCACGATATGGCGTTTTGCCACCCCCAGCTGACGCATCTCAACTGTCCGAGCTCGCAGAGGAACAGACGGCAGATTTGGAAATCCATTGAGCCTGGTCTGGATATCCTCTGTAATACAGTCGATGATGCGTTTTGTCTGGAGAAGGACAACGTAGAGCACCATAGCCGTAAACAGTGTCCAATATTGTGGAAGCGGACCATGGTCTTGGTCTTTGGGCAGCCGTCCAGTGTCTTGCATCACTCTGTAGGTCTCGGTCCACTTGAACATGTCAAAGGCCAACCAAGGATATTCCTCCCAAGTACTCTTTGACATGCAGATGTCACTTCGGAATTGTCTGTACTTTGGCCGAAAATAGGCATTGGATCGACGACGCTCGCTCGCGATCTGCGGTCCAGACGCCACTGACAACTCCACTAGAGCCGCAACGTTGGTTAATTCGGCCACAACCAGATCATCAGGGTTTTCTGTAGCAGAGGTCGGCGAGCCACTGTCATCTGGTGTATCTGGTCCTCCAGATTTGACTTGATTGGGTGAAGGGGACAAAATCCGATCCGCTAAGAACGACCTCATCGCGTTGAAAACGTCCATGTCGACGCCGGCACGTGCTAAGCAATGCCAGTTTCCTTGGGCAGGATCGGTACGCTGTCGTGGTGGTGTATCGAGTGAGTTAATGCCCGAGGACTTGCTTTCGATGCCAAGATAAGTAAATACTGCCCCGAACTCACCCCCGATTCGGAAAGAGGTGATGCCGCCCGGTGGTTGCCCCGAATCACCTGTGGCTCACCAGTCATGGGGGCCAAAATCCTTGGCGCCTTAACGCCGATGGTGCGACTTTGCCCCTGCTCCCTCCAGTGGATTTCCCTGCAGACAGGCGTGATTGGCTTTCTCTATTCCACTGCTGTGGTGATCATGGCCCATCCAATAGAACCGCGAAGCCTCTCAAAAGCAGCGTCGCTAGGGGGCACTCTCCAGGGCTGGCTTCGACTTGACAAGCGATGAAATGACTCTTTGGAATCATTCCTAGTCATCGTCTCACACAATTCAATTCATTCCTTGAATCCAACAAGAATACCTCCTCGCTCCTTTCACCAGATTCTAACGCTATCACCTTTCCGCTCCCTGCTTTAGCTAACTATGCAAAACCGTTAGTACTCGTGGACTAATCACACGTTGGAGAGAATAACTTAAACCTATGTAAGTCCGACCCTTTCCCAGAAATTCCTGCTAGCGATAAGTCTTCTACCGCCTCTGCTCGCTACCCTCCGATCTATCTACGTCCACCTTCCTTAATGTCCTGTCGCCCGTGAATATGACTATTATACTGTAACAATGATACCAATAGAGGGTAAGACTTGTCACGTACAGGGTGGGCTGAGAGGAATCACGAGTCGCTGCGAGGACACAAGGTAGGGTATGGAATAGCAATGTGCTGAAACCTATCTCTCTATCCCAAGCCCTTCGAGCCTTTCTTATAACCCTTTGGCTATCGCGTCCGGCTACCGCGTTCGGCCACCGCGTCCAGCCACCCTTTGTGGTATCCATTTCCTGTCGAAAGGCTAGGAACTCTGTTCGGAGAGCTGGGAACCCTATTTTGTTGAGGTTTCTGGCTTCCAGGAAGGCTGGGATTCCTGCCACTACGGTGGGTGTTGCATTTAACCTTCGTACGCTGATCGAAACGTGTTCCTGAGAACCTGTCCTATAGTACAGTCACGCGAGTCGTCCTTTGCCCTGGCTGTACCGTACGGCTCTAGTCGATAGGTTGTTTAATTGGATGCGGCGCCTCTGGACGATTCAAAAGGCCATCCTTGTAACAGAGCTTTTCATCCAATTCTATGATGCATTTATTCCCATTGATGACCTTATCCCATCTTTGGAAGAACAGTTTGTGGATCCTGTCCTTACAGGGCTTGGGCATTCAATGTCCACTTTGACGTCGACAGTCGGCCAACAAATATTCAACATAATAGATGTCATTTATGCAATGTATTGGCAGTTCACTGGCAAGCTTGAGGATGAAACGATCGCGATTACCAGTTTACTCAACATCGATGCTTAGCTTTAGCGAATATCAACCCCAGTGAAAGAATGAAGGGATTCCACATAATGGTTTACAACCTCCGTAGGTCAATCATCTTCCTGGACTTGCCCAAGCTCCATGACCAAGAATCCAGATGAGCGCCGCCAATACTTCTCTACCAGACAGGGCAGGGAATATCTCGTCATGACCGCACTGGCACTTATAAACGCGACGGCTTCACAGCTGAATACATCACACTCCGCTTTGATGAGGTATGCATTGAGCAGGAGGAGAGTGTACGTCTCGTCTCCTCCCGTTTGGATCAGTTTTACTTTCTGTACAACGAGAGTCCTGTGTCTGGGACCTACAGCTACAACGCCCTTCTGTTACGGAAGCCGCTAAACCCAGAGGATTTCGGTGAAGCTGTCGCTGTGCTTTGCAAAACACCCTCTAGCTTCGACGACGATAACACCCCGGTAGCTTGCATTTCTCAAAGACTGATCGTGGCTGAGAGGCTTCGCCCAAAATCTGAGGAAAGAGACTGTACGTTTCTATGAACTGTCGAAGACTTCTCGCGTCTCGGGAAATCTTTCGCAGTAGGACCACCACTCCAGGATGGCTTTTAACTTCAATTTGTGCTGTTTTGGAAGGCTAGACAAAACTTAGACCTACCTAAATATGTGTAGGTATATCGTGAGAGCCACAGCGCTGCATGGACATGGGTCCTTACTATAGCAGGGAGGGGGACGTAGCGTGACGGCAGATACCTGCAGAGGAAGCAGAAGCAGAAGTGTCAGGAGAAGCCAATACCGTCCAGTCTGATTCGATCTTTACACGCTCTTGCTATATGGAACTTTTCCAAAGTCCCCGAGTCAGTCGCGAGATTCGAGCCTACTGTATTGACCTATCTCTATGAAAACTATAACGGCATGAAATGAATGGTCCCGAAGAATCGCGGTGGTCAATGTTAAGCTTAACAGCAGTGCCGAAGACACGAGCCTTCCTTAAATGACATGTCTGGAAAATGTAATGTTCCCTTATTCATCTATTTTCAATGTTCTTGGTGTTCTGGTTTCGGTGTGGCCGGTCAGAGCGACCGGTAATAATGCTTCTTGCTCTTTCCTTACCCGATACAAGTTTTTGACAGCTTCCAGAAGCTGTGTTTTTCCCGACACGATGATAGGTAGGAGCTTTGGCAAATAGAGCAGGTGCAAAAGCCCCTTCTTCTTCATTCAAGTCCCCTCTTCTTTCGCCCTCTCCTCCACCCAACTCTTCATCCTTGAGACATCCTTACTCATCGGCTCATTGCATCACTGTCCCCTACGGTCCATTCATTGCACAGCCATCTTTAGCATTACCCAAGCAGTGGTATCCGTCCAGCTCATCAACCTAATCTTTCATACTGCATGCTTGTGGCATTGCTCATTGCAAAGGCAGGCTTTCCCCATGGAATCCCAATGATAGAAAAAACCAACTTCCAGAGTGTCGCGGCCTGCGGGCTGCTTCACAATGTGGATTTTGTCATCCTTCTGAAGGGACACCCAGGTGGTTTCGGGTTTTTTTCGTGTTTTCGCTATCCGCACCTGTCTCAGCTTTGGCTGACAAAAAAAATTTCTTTTAGGACTTCGAATCGATATCCATCAGTCCCCGAAATGGTATCAACAATTGTCAGTTACCCTCGTGCAACGACCTCCGCTCGTCTCGCTCTAGCCTCTTTAAGTACTCACCTCAGTGAATCGACCTATCCAGATCCGGGCACCTCAACGGACAAGCGCCGTATAAGAGTTGGCGGTAGGCAAAATCACATATTGAAGGAACACGAAATGATCGGTCGACTTTGCGAACTTGAAGTCAGGAAGTCGAGGTGGGAAGGCGGATAGTAGGATACCCGTCTAGGTGATAAAAGCTTGTACATAGGCAGCTAATCGCATAACGTTTCCGGGGCATCAGTTTCTCTCCATTAATCAAAGATAAAGCTAACGAGTGAAAATATGTGTTAGGTCAAGGTGCCTCAGAATGGTACTCTTGTTTAAAGCCGACGAGCTAACCGAACAAATCGGCGCTCGAGGACGTTTAGAGTCCTGAGTTCATCATTGGCAACCCCTGAGCCCTCATGCATCTATCGACCAACTCGTTTGTCACCCTCTCGATAATGCTTGTAGAAAAGAAAGGAGGATTGGTATTTACTCTGGCCTTCGTTTTTATATGCGCTCTGAAATGGCTGCCTAGAAGACCCACTCGCTAGATGCTTGGCAATAAAAGCTTGATATCCCAAATTCGTTCGAATGACTAATATGATGAATAATGCAAAATCCCCTCCCTCCACCAAGCAGTCTCAACGTCACGACGAGCCTGGCAATCCTCTACTTCATCCTGCCGCGACCGTGACCGCACTTATCGAGAGGCCTGTACTCACCCTGTCGGCTTTGTCTGATGAGAGCAATAAACAGAACCTTCGTTTGTTGTCTCTCTAGTGGGAACGGCTTAGTCCATCGAAGCTTGTTGCCGCCAGAAAATGCTGCGCTTGTTCAGCCTCTTCCACTTCCGCCCTTGCCATCTCCTTTCTCTGTTACGAGTGTCTGCATTGGTTTTGAACTAGGACATGCGCATCTTCGACCAATCCGGAATCCTCCCTGTCTACCTCCTTCCCTGTGACCCGCCAGCTCCATATTCCGTAATAAGTTTCTCAACTCTTACCCCAAGCCTCGACGCCGATCGACGGCGGCTTGGTTCATCCGGGATGAGGAGCCAGACTATCCCGATAACCATCCTTCCCATAAGTGTGCCCTGATCGTTCAGCATTCGGGCAAGTCCTTCCCTTCTATAACTGAGCCGACTCTAACTTCTAAAGGAATGCTGGGGGATTAAATTCAGTAGTGGTGATTTCGGATGGTAAAAACCACGTAAGAGAAAGGCATAGGTGTTATAACTAAACAAACTGTGGGACACTGAATCCCCCTCAAACCTTATAAAAAATCACACAGCGCACGCCTGCCACACCGCCGCAAGCTACGCGAAGACACGACGTCACAGTCTATGGTCGTGGTGGTTGTGTGAGCAGCGCCGACTGGTGAGGCCGATGACGCGCCTGGCGCAGGGTCGGGGCGGCGCCTTTAAGTCTCACCTCATGACCTACATTGTCCAGGCTAAACGTCTCGCACTTAAGGAGTCCATCATCGGTAATCCTCAGCGAGAAAGATAGAGAAGATGGCAGGTCGCTGTGGTATCGAGCCCAAGGGAATTAAGAGCATAGGAAATCGGCACATTGCAGGCAACGACGCCAGGGCCACGTGGGGCATCGTCATAAACCAGTTGAAGAGACTTACCAGTGCGGAAGCGTGAAGGGTCGTCTCTTGCCCCCAAGGCTGAATTCTAGGAGCCATCACAGAAAGGAATACATATCGTCGAGAGTAGCAAGGTGCTCAAGGTGCCTTCTACTATAGTACATAGTGATAAAGCCTTTATAGTCTCAGTAGGAGCTCTTCTTCTATATGCCGCTTCTTTTTCACCTACTCCGTAGTAGCAGCCAAAGGGAATCTTGCCGCGCAGGCCTCCGTCGCAGCCGGGGTGGCTACCTTCGCGAGCAACGGCTCGGTGCTGTTAAAGGTGCAAGACAATATGGCTGCAGTAGCATAGGTAGGTTCCAAACCAGTCATCAACTGCCAAATCGTATCCCGAACACACCACAGGGGGAACCAAAATTCGGCACTCATCTCAACCTATCAAAATATGTAGACAATAGCCCAGGTTTCGCCGTACATAGAAGCAGTCAATTCCCGTTCTTCGTCGTTGTATTCAAGTCTCGAGCGCCGAACAGAACACACTATCCAGCAACAAACCAAGCAGCCGGAGCCGGGGCTATCGCGCCCATTTTCAAAACTCGGTCAAGCGATGTAATCAAATGGCTGACACTAGTCAATTCAGGTTGGGTGAAGGTGAGCGAGATGAGTGCGAAGGTGAGAGGAGGGTGAGTGCTTTTAAAAGAGGCACGGCCTGGGTGAGTCGCACCCGAGCTCGGAGCAGTTTTTACTTCCCTTTACGTGCAAGACAGGTAAATATGGAAAGGCATAGGCGGGTGAGGGCTCTGTGTAACGATGAGTAGGGGCTCTGTTCAGCGGTCAATTCGAGATTGAAATGAAAAACTTGAGGTGAAATGTTGAAAAGGCAACTGCTTGACTGCGCCCAAGTAAGTATCAGGGTTGGCCATATTCACCTGCGAAGTTCGGCAGGAACTACATGCCTAGAAATATTTTGCTTGTTTGTTTGATTTCCCCCTTTCCCATGGAATGGGTCTTTCTGCTAGAGCTGCTTGTAAAATAAAAGCCACGTTGATCCCCAGACTTCATTCTGCAACGTGAAAATGCGTCTTGATCACCTTCTTCCCGTCCCGATAGCGATCCAGGACATCATTCACCTTGTCTACATCCAGCCCCTTGACCACCTCGTACTGACTCGGCTTCAGCTTTCCCTCGATCAAATACTGCGGCACACGTTCCCAGAAAGGCTTGCACACGTCGGGTTTTGCGTGTGAGCTGCCAAAGACGTTGAGCAGTTCATAACCTTCCTTCTTTGGGTGGATCTGAGACTCGTCTACCGCTCCAGTGGGGAGCAAGCGGGCAACTTTGCCTTTTTTGGTCGAGGAGAGCGCGTTGATTGCGATGGTTTGCGTTTTGGGAGGGTTGATGGCGTCGTAGGCGTACAGCAAGTCATCACCAACGAGAGATCGGATTCGCTTGGTGAGGTCCTCTGGCGAGGCGTGTCGGTCAACTACGTCTGTCGCGCCGTAGGATCTCAACTCAGCCTCGTCACCCCCGACCACGACGATACGTCCGATGCCAGCCAGCGCAGCGAGCTGGACGCCGAACCTCCCGCAGTTGCTGCCTCCGCCCATAATCAGTAGCGTGGTGCCTTTGTAGTCGAAGCTGGACGCGGCATCGGTCCAGGGAGCGGGAATGGCCAGCGCTGAAGCGTCGAAGAGTGCAACCAGCGGGGCAATCACATTGGTGGGCAGAGTAGCCGCGTCGTCGTCGGTGAACCCCTGAGGGATCTTGGCTGAGGCTTCAACGTCGGCGACGGCGTACTCCTGGAAACCACTCTGGGCATAAACATTGTCAAATCCAGCTTGGGCGACAATGTGGTCACCGACGGCGTACTTTGTCACATTCGCGCCGAGGGCGACGACTTCGCCCACCACGTCGTTGGTGAGGATAGCTGGTAGCTTCTCAGCGATGAACAGGCCCCAATCACGGGCCTTTTCGTCGTGTGGGTTTGGTCCAGCAACAGTGACGCGGAGGAGGACCTGATCTGGGCCGGGTTGAGGAACAGGGCGGTCTGTGACTAGGACTAGAGGCTTGCCGACCTCAGTGACGAGGAGAGCTTTCTGAGTTTTGGGAACCATGTCGTCAGGCTATGTGTGTACTGTGATGAATATGGATTGAATAGTTGGGTGCAGAGCAAGTGATGAGAAATGGTTTATGTATGTTCAATCGCTGAAACAAAGAGTCTCAGCGCGGCTCAACATCCACATCCAATGCACGCCTCCCAGCTATTTAAATACACTTTGAACCTCTACATATTCATTTGTCAATATAGGCCTGTGCTCTTGTTTGGCTTTGTAGTTACTCCGGCCCCGCGGAGTCTATCACGCCGTCCCCATCACATCAATCAATCAAACAATCAATCAATCAATCAGGCCACAAGCACGAGCGAGGCTGACGTGGGGTTGGCTCCTGCGTTGTTTTGTGGTGGATACTAATCAGACTCACCAGTAAGTGTGATGGGTGAGGGGCATTTTCGACCGCGCTTAGTAATTACAAACTCGGGGTTTCGAAAGCAAGGGCCAATTCCTTTCCCCAGGCAGGCACAGCAGGGGCAAGGGACAAGGGGCCCTGGGGGCCAAGGCTGAGCGAGCAGCTCGGGCTTAACGAATGCCGAACGAAGCTGGACCATCAAGCCATGTACATGTGCATACCGCAGCTGAAATGAAGGATACCCATACGCTATATCGCCGAGTACTATCTATCTTATGTCCGAAAGCCTTGAGACTGCATCATTCCTGGCTAAAAGAGAAGAATACAGATGAATAATTAATTTGCTTGCACCACAGAATACAGAATGCAGGGTGAGGGAACTGGGAACTCGGGATCAATCCGCTTGTTTGGACCGAGTTACTACTGATGGTTGACTGAGGGCGAGAAGTTGATGACAAACACCAGTCACACCTGAAAAAAAAAACTTGCGTTCTACGAGAATACTGGCCTCGGACATGGAAAGAATAGTAGAAACGGCAAAGGGACAACTTTCGTCCGATTGTGTATTTGTAGCTCTAGCGATCGTTGGCTTTGTTTAATGTTGCCAACCGAACCTCCATTTGTTAGGCATAGGCGAGTTGACCAATTATCTCTATCGTCAAAGGTTGTATAACTCCTCCTTGACTGCTACTGCTCGACAAGGAATGACACACGTGAGTCGGAGCTATCACCTTGTCGAACTGTCCTCGCCTCCCAGGCTGAATGGACCAACAGAATGAGACTAGGTCAGGGCACGAAGACATCGATGAACGCCGTGAAACTTCTAACTGGCCAGCTTTTCCTCCCAAGGACCCCCCTCAATTTTGATCTCCTCCAGGCAGTTCAACAACGTCAAGTCGTAAAAAATAGCAGTCAAACGCTGCAACAATGACACTCCATACCTCCGAACCACCTTCGTCCGATTACCTGGATCGCGTCTTCCCCATCTTCCTCTTGCCCTTGATCAAGTGGGCTGGTAGCGATGCCGTCTCGTGACGATCTGCCTCGCCTTGTCTGGCCATGCGGTTCATCTTCCGTTGGCTCAGTTTTGCCATACGTTGGGCCTTTTCGCTCTTTGCAGGGTCTGTCACTCCTGTCGCACTCACACCCAAGCCATCCGTCAGCCTGTTTGTCTTTGGCGCTCTGGACAGTGACTTCGCTAGTCTCGCAGAGGGTGTATCGTCCAATTCCATCTCATCGGCGGCGACGGACGCAGGTTTGGCGTTACGAATCTCTGCTCTTGCTCGGTCAGCGGGGGCCGATGCGTCAAGGCCGATGGAGGTAAAGTGCTTCTCCATTTGCCCAACTGTCCTGGATTTCTTGACCCGTGGTATTTGAGCTTTGTTCTTCAGACTCTTCTTCATGCGCGCCTCATTCATCATTAGCGTCTTCTTGTTGCGGATCAAGTCCGCTTTCATACGGATGTCGGCGTCATCTTCATCTTCCATGCTGTCGCTCTCGTCGTAGAATCCTTCAGCTGTCAACTTCTCTTCTTCGGCCTCCAGTTCTGCGAGCCTCTGTTCAATATCGGGATCGACATAGTCGGCAATGTTCTTGCCATTGAAGAACTCGGGAATCTTATCATGCTTCCATTCTGGGACAGCAAGATCGTAAAACTTCTTCAGATCGATATTATAGACCCCTGCACCTCCATTTTCCTCTTCAATATCACGCTCGAGTTTCCGTCTATCGGGATCTGATTTGTCGTATTTTTGGTGGGTACCGTTTCTGACGGCCTCTGGGATGTATGTCTCGCTCACCGAGCCTTCCAATGGCCTGGCCACATGAATTCGCGCAAGGAGATCGCCTAAGCGGCCTGTGGGCGCATCTGAGGTAGCGGACTGTGCGGCTTGTCCAGCTTTAAGTTTTGCTGCCACCCGATCTGCAATCAATCGATCGCAGACCGTGTTCTTCACCTCTTGAACCCCTTCGTTGGTGACGCATGACAACTGAAGAAGTTCGGTGTTGGCGTTTTGAGTCAACAGATCCTTCAGTTCTTGCTGGGTCTCGGGATCCAAGTCCTCCGGTTTCATGACATCGGTCTTGTTCACTACGATGAAAACAAGCTTGTTGGCAAAGAGGGGTTTGATCGAATTGAAAAGCGCCATCTGTGCAGAGACTGAGTAGCCACACTGTTCTGAGAGATCCATAAAGTACAGAATGGCAGACCTCAAATGTGCGATAGCGGTAATGGACTGCATTTCGATAGTGTTCATCTCTTCTAATGGGTGATCGAGGATTCCTGGTGTGTCAATGGCTTGAAATCTGAGATATTTGTAGTCGAAATGTCCAACAAAGAGTGACTTGGTGGTGAAAGCGTAGGGTTGAACATCGACGTCCGCTCGGGTGATCGATTTCAAGAAACTCGATTTCCCCACATTTGGATAGCCACAGATGAGCAGTGTTCGAGTGTTAGGATCTATGCTCGGCAATCGTCCAAGATGTTGTCGCACTTGTTCCAGATACACCAGAGGGTCTTTCAGTCTTTTGCAGATTGTGGCCATCCGGCCTAGGGCCGCTCTCTTGAGAGACTTGCATTGGAACAACGACTGGGCGTACTTGAGGAGCCGCACGTAGTCTCGAGACACTGTTTCTATCAGCCTTTTGGCAGTGGACAACGTGCCTAGGGCGATTTTGAAATGGTCGGCATCGTAGAGAGTATTGAGGAGGTCTTTGTGGAAGGGGTGAATATCTTGGAGTCGAGGAAATCCTTCGAGGATGGCTTGCAACTTTTCGCAGAATGTTTCGGACGTGAACTTGACTTTTCTTGTGTAAAAACCTGTACAGTTGTCTCAGCAATACTTTCTCTCTCAACGCAGGTAGGAAATTTGACCTCTAATTCGGCTAATTTTGAAGCCTGCACGAATCTGAGTAGGTAGCCGACGCTGTGTGCGGCTAAGGACAATGTCTATAAATTCCTGAGAGGTAGGAACCGGTGCAATATCCTTCCAAGTGGTCTTCATCTTGCCGACGAGCGTGCAGGGCGACGATGTTGTGGCGGTTGTAGAATCTCAAATGCGGCACAAAAATTCGCAACTCGAAATTCGCTTATCGCTTATCGGTGGTATGGCAACTTTGCCGAATGCCAAGACGCTATATGATTGGTTTCTCAATCAGCACCCACCAACCTGCGGTACATTGTCCAGAAGCTCTTGAGTCACAAAAGCCTCTCAGTTGTGGAGACTAGGGGCAGATTAAGTATCCGACGATTTGATTGTTTACTCTGGTATATGCTCTGGACTTTTTTTTCTGCCGCAAGCCCCTTAAGATCGTAGAAGATGAAGAAAACCACGCGTCCAGTTTGTCCAGTCCCAGCGTCACCCATGACCACTGCTCGTCTGCTCCTACGACCCATCCAACCATCCGATCTAGAAGATTTCCATGCCCTTCGCACTGAAATCGAAGTGATGAAGTGGACCAGAGCGGGGAAAGTCGACATTGACAAGGAAGCCACACAAGTCTGGATGACCAAGTTTCTTCCACCCAACAATGCCACCACTTTCAACTTTGCCATTGAGGAGATCGCGAGCCCCGGCAAAGTCATTGGGGTGGTAGGCTGTCATACACCGGAGCCTCCCGAGTGTGGTTACATGTTGCGCACCAACTCCTGGGGTCAGGGGTATGCCACAGAGGCGCTGCGACGATGGCTCCAAGCTTGGTGGGAGTTGCCTCGGAAAGAAGTGGTAATCAAAGAGGTAGAAAAGGGTGACGATATCGATGACACCATTGTAACGGTACCTGAGGTCTTGATGGCGGATCTAGGCGCTGACAATATTGCAAGTGCCAAAATATTGGCCAAATGTGGTTTTCACCGGGTTGGTGAAGAGCTGATTCAACTGAACGGGTCGACCGTCAATCTAGTCAGTTTCGAACTCCCTCGGCCAGCATAAGAACCTCGAATCACCACCTTAGTTTTGAGCCTTGGAGCGCTTTTCTTGGTCCTGTCGTTTCATTTCTTGTCGCATTTCATCCTTGATTCGTGATATCGTACCAACGCCTCCGTATACCAAGGCAGTATAAACCATAGCCACATTGGCACCCGCGTTGAGAACTTCGAGGGCTTGTTTGCCGTTGGTGATGCCTCCAGTCGCAAAAATTACCTTGGGTTGATCGACGGATTCCAGATGTGCGGGATCGATCTCAAGTCGGTCGAGGGCGTCACGCTGCGCCCGAGGAGGGAGTCGCTCAATGGCCTCCTGAATTGACTGAAGTTGTTTCTTCTCTTCCGCCAAGCGTACTTCTGCATCAGGTGCGGCCGCTTCCGCCACCTCGGCATTTTCTGTCTCTTGCTGTGTCTTATCATACTGGCGATCGTTGGGAAGAGCGAGGAGAGGTTGTTTGTCCGCACCACTCTGTTGAAGCATGCCACTGGCTGGCACAACGCCACTATCAACAGACGTGGTGATTTTGTCTGAGCTCGAGGAGGGTGTGTCGGCAAGGGTGGCTTCTTCAGCGCTGGATGCCAGAGATGCCTTGATCCGATCTGCTTCAGCTTCTAGCGCCCCTTTTCTTGTGCTCGGCGTGTTCACCGTGTCGACCGACGCGGGCTTCTCGACTAGAAGCTTCCTGTATTTTTTCACCAGATCAACCGTTTTTTCAAAAAGGTGAGGCCCGGAAAATCCTCCTTTTTCGAGCATATTTTTTTCCTCGAGAGGTGACAACTTTTTCAGGTGAGCAAGTGGCTCGGGTCGGCGATTCGTGGTGTTCCCGACAATGACTCCATCGACACCGGCTGCCCAGACCGCATCACATATCCCAGCAATTTCCGACTCTGAATCTTCGTCTGGGCTCACTTTGACCATTACATATGGCCGCGTTCGCCTTTGCACCGATCTAGCCGCATCCACTACCCCACTCAAGATTGCCCGCAGCTTGTCGGACTGTTGTAGTGAGCGAAGACCAGGGGTATTGGGACTGGAAACGTTGACGACTAGGATATCAGCATATGGCCCAAGCTTCTCAACACAGTAAACGTAGTCGTTAGTGACGGCCTCGACATCATCCTCTGGCGTGGCTTTATTCTTTGCAATGTTGACAGCGAGTAGTTTTCCTGGAGTTAAGCTTCCGGGAGGGACGCCTGCGATACCATCGAGCACAGCCTTCTCCGCGATCTCATCATCACCAAGGCCAAGAGAGTGTGCGAACTTCCTCACCCTGTTTCGCAGTCTCATGGCCACATGGTCAGCACCTTCGGAGTTGAGGCCATATCTGTTAATCATCGCTTGTTGTGATGTCAACCGGAACACACGAGGCTTTTCGTTGCCCGCTTGGGGCAGTGGCGTCGTTCCTCCAATCTCGATTATTGCGGGGCCAATGTCAAACAGCAAATCCGGTATGTCGGCATGTTTATCTATACCTGCAGAAGTGGCGATAGGATTTCGGAGGCGTTGCCCGAAGACTTCGACCTCAAGGTCATGGTTCTGGTCCGGGTCGCCTCGTTCCCGTGGATGTAGACCAAAGTCCCAGAGAGATTTCAGAATCCCATTGCCTGCGTGGTGTGCATCTTCGGGATCGCGATAGACCAGTCTCAGGGCTGGAATGACCACGTAACGATGGATGCTTGCTCGAGTATCAGTGACGTAGACGTAGATGATCCCCAGACCCAAAGCAAGAGTGGCGGCATATAGAACATTGACCAGTCGAGACGGCTTCTCTTGAGAAGTGGAAGCATGCCTACGAAGTGGAGGATTGAAAACTCGAGGCCGAATCAGTAACGGGTGCGCTGGCAGACGAGGTCGTGAAGCGCTGAAGAGCAACCTCGTGGTTGAGTGTCTCATTTTTGGCCTGGCAATGACACAAGTGGCGCGGGAGAGGTTAATGTGACTTCTGATCCCAAAGAAAAGTTCAAATAGTGCGGCAGAGCTACGTCCAGTATTTTTGGTCAAGGCATCCTTCGTCTGAGTCTGAAATGCTTTGAAGCCGTCGTCAACAGAGGGGACAGGAGGTTGAGAAAATTATGGTGCCAGGAACAGCCACGAAGCTTCCAAAAACTCAACGATGCTGATTGGCCAAGTGCTGAGCTCGGCAGACCTGCGTCTTCTGTAAAGTGATTACAAGTGGCTAATTTGCGAGACTCTCATTGGCCATAATAACACAACTACTAGCGTTCTGCGGCTCTACTGCCAAAGTTGGCCACATCAACGAGGAATTCTAAGCCATTCTCACTTGCTAGTCAAAACTCCAGTATCTAAGTATACTCAGGAGTAGTATATCCCGTAACACTCGCTGGCGAAGCTTGGCCTCTCCAAAGTTCATTTCCGGTTCCAGACATGACTATTCCGCCACTTAATCTGAGCCAAATAGGTTGACGATGTGACAGACGCGATGATCGACGGTTTGGACAGGATTGAAGGTTGTGAAAAGTCGCGAGAAAGCAATTTTTAGCTGTAGACGAGTGTGTTGCAAACATGAATCAGAGTGCAAAGACCGCAAGAGGTGATAATGTGACTTGCTTTCTGTTGGTTTACCAATCAGCCGCCGGACGGAGGGTCAGCCAAACCCTTCTCGAACCGGTGATTTATTTTTTTGAGTTGGCACCTTGAACGAAAAAGCCCAGTAGCGTTTAAGAACCCTAGTAATGACTCCATTCTTCGCCTTCTCCTCCAACGAGTCTGCCGCTTCTAACGCCTTAATGACCACAGTCCTAGAGTCGAAAGTGCCATGTCAGCAGCCTTGCATCAGTTGGCCCAATGGTAGGTTCGCGGTATCAGGAAACTGGTTTTCTTCATATAGTTGTTGATAAGGTGTGTTCGACTATCAGACCTTTCGAGTTCGTGGTATGGGTATTTACCCGTCAGGACTTCGTAGATCACACACCCAAACGCGAAAATATCGGTCTTCTCGCTAACGTCCTGCGTTGATCGTCGATAACTGTACCATTGATAGCAGGAGCCGTTGGCTCCGCCATCACTACTGGCACCTCCCAAGTCAATCAATTTCAAGCAATCAGATCCCATACCCGTAAAGCCACGAGTTCTTGTCAATATCATATTGTAGCATCCACCATCAGCTTGAATAATACCCTTTTCTTGTGCGAATCTTATACCCTCCGCGGCATCCCTTAATCAGCGAAGCTTTCGACGCAATGGGATCTTTTCCACACTCAACTCTTGAATCTTTTCCCGAAGAGGCTGGCCCCGTTCCAGAATTATAGATCCATCCTTTAGGCTACCCAGATATCTCGCAATATTTGGATGTGAGCCGAAGCGTGTATATGCTCGACGCTCACGCTTAGCGTCGCTCATCTTCGCCCTCGAAGTATCGTTTTATGACTCTTTTCTTATCGATCCCGTAGATGAGGCCCGAACCGCCGGTGGTGATGTATTTTCGTCCCTCATACGAGGAACCGTCGAAAATCTGCGCGATTCTGAAAGTGAAACATCTCGAGGTTTTTGGTTGAAGTACTTGTGCATTACATGGCAACCAGGAAACCAACGCCGGAAAATGATGGGTAGGCAGGGCTGGCAGGTTGGCAAGGAGGTTTCCTCAATAATGTTACTCGGCGCGTTGGGAATCGATCGACGCGAATTCACGTGACTGGCGGCCTCACCAAGTACAAATGAACGGCGACCATTTCCAACATCCTCAACACCAAGACTCGGTATCATGTGTACTTACATCTGCAAGTTCTTGTAGGCCCCTAAAACAATCATACCACGTCATGACACACCTCTTGGTTTTCGTGGATGAGGCTTGTATACGGTTCGTACTGGACAAATCTCACTCATCATTGGCTGACAGCCGCCACCAAGTTCCTAGCATCTTCTACGACGCCTCGGCAACTGATTGGCGCCGAAAGCCTCAAGAAAATACGGATACGCGGATTCACACCAATTTCATCAGAAGCATGAGACGGGTCGGATGTCTAAATATACCCCGGATTTCGGTTGGAAGACTGCAAAGTACCTCATTCCCGTCACCCAATGCTCTCATCAATGTCTTATCTCGTGACTCTTGTCCAAGCCAGTGCAAGGCATTTTCCGAGGCGTCTTTTTCGAGGGCAAGGCAGATTTCTGTTTCAAGTACAGGCACAGGTGTATATATATCCAGAGGTTTTGTTGGCTCAGAGTGATTTCTGAGCTCAAACACATTCGGGCTTGCTTTGTTATATGCATGTCTCAGGCTCAACAATCTTACATAACCTCACCGCAATTTGTGCCAGTTCACAAAAACTTCCGAACCAAAGAAGCGTGCAGAACGGTGGTAAGGCGACACACGACGCGTTTCCAGGCCGCCTCAGTGGCCCCGAGTTTCTGACACACCACTTCCCAAACGAGTCCAAGGAGGCATCAGGACGTCTAATAACGCTGACGCAGCACTCCACATCAGCAAACATTCTCAGCCATCGGCCAGCTGGCTGGGCCGCTTTTCGCAAGTCTGAGCATATCGTGGCTAGGCCTGCTGGCCTGCTCAGCATTCCGTCTGCATCCGAGCGGGCGAACCAACCATCAACGTTCCGGCTGCCAATAACACCGGGACCCCCTTTTTTGCACGTTTATCCACACTCATGACAGTATCTTGACGCCCTCTATATTATTTGGCACACAAGGTCAGTCTTGGTCACGTTGTTGTTATATCTTTCGGTCCACCCCAGACTCTTAGACAGTGTTTGCCCCTTCCTTGAAATCTACTCCCAGCAACCCCAAAAAGCTCCTTTAGCATTTTCCAATTCAGCCTTGTATACTATTCACACGCTCCACAAAATGGCAGACGCCGACGCACTCCCTTCGTACAATGCATTGTTCCCCCAGGAGGAGGCTAACCCCGTCGTCAATGGCCGAAGACGGTACACGACCATTACGCTTCGAGAGATCTATTATCCTGGGGGCTGTCCCTGCCATCCCAAGGAGCAGAAACTGTCCAAGAAGCGAAAAGCGAAACAAGAACCCCAGCGTCCACCGAACACGTTCGAGCCAGATCCTCTGCATGACTGTCTATGGCTGGGGCACGCCCGACCGACCCTCGCCGAACGGTCAGCGAGTCAGAGCAGCGAGAGTTCGAGTCGCTCGGCGAGCAGCAGCACCGCCAGTTCTTCGAATCCGATGAACACCGGCAGTTCCAACACGAGTGGCACGGCCCCATCCGACGATTCGAGATCCTCAAAAGCGCGACCTTGGGACTGGTTTGCCCGCAGAACCTCGTGTTGAGCGTCGTCGATGTCGGTGCCAGGACCGTTCCTACGGACCATCTCACCAACATTTCGACACTACAAAGCTCTCGTCACGAACCAGCGTTTGTGACCAGCAAGATGAAGTGGTGGAAGGAGAAATTCTTTCTTCCCCCTTCGTTTCAGATTTTCCCCGGCACTGCTCACCAGCTGCACCCGCAGCACACGGGACTGCAAGGCGAGGAGGCCGCTCAAACGGAAATTGAAGGCCCTGGACAGTTGCCACGGCCGCATCCGCCGTCACAGAGAAGCGTAAGGCATATCTATACCAATCCCAGCGCAGACCCTGTCGACGTCCTGGTGAAAACCAAGTCCTCAAAGAGCCTCGATGGTTCCAAGAGGGACGAGGACCCATACCCCTTGGCCGAGATCAAGTATCAGGGCTTACAAGGGTTAACTCGCATGTCCATATCGCTGACCCTCTACAACATCTCCCCCGAGATGCACTACTCTCCCTCGGCGCAAGAACTTCACAGCATTCGCTCCAATTATACCATTGCCCGCCGCGGCTGGAAGCGCGAGTACACCTTGAGCATTTCGCCATCCTCGCCGGTCTACAAATGGCATTCCCCGCTCCGTCACAACAGCGAGGTTCTCTCCATGCCAGCCGTTGACGACGGATTCGACCTGGCCAACGGGAATCTCCTGCTAGAAGATCCCCATGGGACGCTTGTGGCCGTGTACAAGCAGCGACGGGACCACCAGTATCTGGGCGCCTTGACGATATTCCTGGCCAACGTCGCCGGGGGTCCCAGTGGTGTTAATCATCACCATGTCAAAGCGAACGGTAGTGAACCCCGACAAAGGCAGGAGCAGGGACATGGAAATGGACATGGGCGCGAATACCGCCAACGAGAACGCACGCACGGACGCGGTGATGGAGGCATAGAGAGCTGTGACGAACGAATTTCAATCGACGCCGTGGTGACGAGTTGTCTTGCCGTGGTGATGTACGAGCGGATCGGATGGCAGAATCTCTTGGGCCACTGACTCGACTCGACCTTGCCCGACTTGCCCCTGGCTTTTCTATCTTCCAAGCGAAAGTTTTTGACACAACCACGAAAGACATTGACCGTTGGCGCTCCTGCCAGGCGTGCAGCAAACAGGATGTGATGTGTGATGTTTGATGTTTTATGTGTGATGTGTGATATTGTTCTTCTTTTCAAGAATGATAAACGACGTTTCATGACACCTGGAAAAATGTACAATGAGAGTACTACGTTATATGTAATCTACAGTCGATGTACTGAGGCGTTTGGTCTCGGGCGACTGGAATCCATTGATTTGTGCGGCTCATGTATCTAGTATTGGTTCCTTCCGTTGGATTTTGCAACAAACATACCGAGGACAAGTACAGTCTCTCAGAAATCCCTGCAGATATGCCTAACGAAGCTCCACATTCCACACTTTCTTCACACAACCATATGCTGCGCAAGGTGTCATGCGAATCAGTCTACTGTATTGTACCTCGGTCTTCGACAAGCATTGGTGAGCACAACGTTAGCAGCGTCTACAGAACGGCAAGGAACGAAGAAGAAGTATAAATTATGCAAGGCATCCACGCTTATTTCGGGGCTTCCCACCCCCATGCCTCTGGCATGATCATGATGCAACTTTACGGGCTGTGGGCTACAAGCAGGTACTCGTACGTAGTTGTAGGGGGGCTGTAGAGATCCGATACCCGACAAATACAATACCATTCATTCACCCAGCACCACGATCACAATCATCATCCAACATCAGCATCAGCATCAGTAAGTGGCGGCTGTGCGGGTACCTCGACGTATGGGTCCAAGTACATACTCGTAGTACAGAAGAAACGGGACCTGTACCTCGCAGATGGGCCCGCAATCAACCGATTCCCACCACCTTTGCCCATGGTGGGAAAAAGGGCATTTCTGTGGGCTTCGGAGGATTACGCAAAGATGCTTTGTCGGGCCACCATCACTCTCCCTTACGATCTTGCTGTGAACGAGGTACAAGGTGTGTACTTGGTCAGTTCATCAGTCAGCAAAACCGCCAAACCACCAATCCGCCCACCGCACCCGCTTAGCTGTCTCGTGTACATATACTTGTACAATAGTTCTGCCTTTTCACCATCATGTACTCGGTACTACCGAGCACAATCCTTTTTCCCAACCTCAAGCCACAATTTTCAACCCTCCCTGCATTGTGCGCCGGCCTAGTGACGTAGAACCTCCAAAGCAACACTGGCCCGGAGTGTACTGCATACTGCCCCACAAGCGGGACGTCCGCCGGCTTTCGTCGGATAGCAAAACAGCAGCAAACCAGACCACATCCCCAGATATGGAAAGGCCATCAAATACAGATGTTGGAAATGTCCCAGCACGTGTCGAGCCCGTGGACTCAGAAGAAAAACAGTCAACAGCGTTTTGAAACTGGTGGCCGTAAATACTAAAAGGTGGCCCCTTACTTTACGGCCTGATGAGTTAGGCTCTCTGTGGCAAGTTATTATAGACAATGAGCGGCAAGCCTCAGGTCTGGACTTCGGGGTACAAGGTCACGAGGTGCAACTATATGGACGGAAATTCGACATTTGGTCTAACCTCATCGCGCATTGGTATTTCCTCGCTGGTGCTCAGCCGGAACAGACGACGCCATCCCAGACAGAGTCATCGCCTCTTGATAGTGGCTTGCGGTAAGTACATGTCTATGCCACAATGGCACAGACTTGGCCACAACCAGGTGCAGTGTCCTCTCAACAAGTCGTGCAAAAAGGAAGAAATGTCCTACGAATGACACATCGACCAAGGCACCAACAACAGCACAATTCTAGTACGGGTAGAGGTTCAGGAGGGGAAGACTGGAGGTGTCATCTAGAAGTAGACACCACAGGTCTTCGCAGGCTATCATCGTAGAGTGGCATGGTTGGTCCGACGCTGTCATATATACTGTTTTGAGTCTTTGCTTGTCACGCTGGATGGTCGAACAATGTTTACCATATCCAACAGCAATAAAAATGAACTGGAAAAAAAAATAGTGTATGATGAGAGGAGTGGGACTCGAACCCACGCGGGTTTCCCCATGAGAAATCAAACCTCTGTAAGCAGAGAACAAGAACTTAAGTAGTCTTGAGTCACACGCCATAACCGCCTGTAATTCACTGTTAATATTTGGCTTCAACCAACACCAGCAGAAGTTTTCACGTACTCGGCCATCCTCCCGACGACAATATTTTTTGGAGTTTTGGCCATTGTAAAATATATACCTATCACTAAATTCTTGCTGAAGCGACTAGCGCGCCTTTGCGATGGAGCTAAGACCTTGGCTCGGACAAGGTTGACATCATTACAGATGCGGGTTGTACAAAGGAATACTTCCTATATTGAAGCTTGCGGTGACGAATATTCGCTGCTTACAATCTCTCAGTCCAAGATGAAGCCGGAGCCACACAAACTCGCCCGTTGTGTATTAATGTGCCGCTCTCAATTCCTGTCTGTCACACCTCTTGTTCACCCTTCTCTACAATGTCTCGCTCCCCGAGATTCATCCCTCCCGAGGGCGTCATCGTTCCCATGTTAGTTAGAGGCGGCTCAGCCCTAGTTTACCGATCCAAGACACATCATGGGGAGGTATTGAAAGTGCCGGACAAACTTGACACCACAGGATGTTCGAGCGCAGCCACCGAATTTGCCCGGGAGGATGAACAATTTTCGCAACAGTGTCACGATGGAGAAGGGAAATCTACACAATATTACCGCCACACGAAGGAGTTCAGTCTTTGATCGACGTCTCAGTCGAAGGGATTCCATTTCCGTTTCTGTCGAACGAGAATTTACGGAGCTATCTTCAAGAACACGGTGCCCGCATCTCGATGGCGACGCGCGAGCAATGGATCCAAACTGCTGTCGAGGCTATCGCCTTCATCCACTCGCTAGATGTTTTGCATTATGATATAATTGCCCGTAACTTCCTGATCGCTGACGACCTTTGTCTCAAACTCTGCGACTTTGCAGGCTCCGCCCTTCCTGGAAAGACTCCACTCGTTTCTGAAGAGGTTCGATATCGGAAGATAGACGGTGTTTCCACACACAGACCGAGCTCTTCGCGATTGGATCTCTCATCTATGAAATTATCACCGGACTACCGCCGTACGACGACCTGAGCGACGAAGAAAATCGAAGAGCGGTACGGCAAGCAGGACTTTCCTTCCGTTCAGAACCTGCAGTATAGTCATGTCATTCAAAAGTGTTGGACCTCGAAATACGAAAATGCTGAGGAAGTCGTCAAAGACACGCGGCCTCCCTGTTCAAGTAAATGGCACATCGACCCATACAAAGCCTGGCATTCCCTGGGAACTGGTTTACCGTGGACTGCTATTCTCGTCATAGCCTTCAGCATGGGCATACTGGGCTCGGCGACGGACAAGGTAACTCGCTGTGAACACTGAGACGTCCCCCTATGTCGTATTTATGTGTATCTAGCCTTCCCGCTCTAATGATGCCCTCATCCTGGTTGAAATATTCTTTGTTGTGTACCGATATTCCTTGGCTGCTTCAACAGAACTTTAAGAGCTTTGGGTCCTTAGGATTCTGTGTCGTGTCAACTCGTTGTATCGGGAAATGAGTCTGAGACAAGGGGCCCTGTATAGGATTGATGTAGACTGTGACATGGTCTTCGCATCGCAAAAGTCTGAAAGCTGCAACACTCTCCTCGCTGACCCTTGATCTAATACAGAGACTCGTTTTCCTGTCTGTTTTCATGATCGAGGGCTAGCAATGCTGACACCCCTGACATCTTCGTACTACTCGTGGGAGACGATGGTACGGTCTCTGTCACTGAGTACTAATACGTACCTACCACTTGGGACTATATCTCGCGTATTATTTGAGATAATGTTCACAAATTGAACCTTGACCTTCTCAGACAATCCTTCGTCCTGCATTTGAACCAACTAAAAGCCTATCGAGCCTCTCATCTGATCACACCAAGAAAACGCAGGGGCTCCGCCCAGGTTATCCCCCTTTTTTTAGCATATCACCATCCGCTAATCGACCAGCCCAAAGACCTGTCCATTATGGCCTCCTGATACACAGGGACGATGTCTCACAGCGTCTCCACATGATCACTCGGTCCCTTTTCCGTCGTGACCGGAGTCTCGCCCTCACCAACTTGAACCTCCTTGACACGGTCCAACCTCGCCGCGAGATCCCCTGTCATAAGTTTATAACTATCAGGGATAAACAAACAAGTGAGTATGCCGATGGTGCTGAAGGCAATCGTACACAGACTGACAGTCCTGTACGCATCGGACGAAGCCCACTTGTAGGCCGTTGTTCCGGCTTCAATGATGGACGCCGTCACACCGGGCACATCGTTCATGGACGTCCCAGTTGTCAGGGCAGTGATGAATTGGGGGATGCTCTCAGGATCCAGGCCAGCAGCGGTCAACGCAGGCGGAACCTGATTGCCAATTGTCGTCGAAAGTCGGCTGCTTAGTACACTTGTGTAGATGGCCGAGCACACTGCCGAAATAGAAACTCGGGAGCAGGTACCGAGATTTCCAGCTGGGGATTGTCAGCGACTCGGCGTCCTTCTAGATCGTGGCTTAGATTCTGACTTACCAATCCCGATATCACGTTGATCTACAACCAGGAGCGTGGCCATGGCGATGGTGATGGTTTCGACGACACCAAGACACACGGCTCCACAGAATAGTAGTCCGATCGCCTGACTCCTGCTGTCAGGAGTGCATGTAGCCAGGCCTAGACGCGTGGTTAGATCTATCTCCCCCTGCTGAAACAAGTGGCCCCGAGGGAGAGAGTGATGGACTTACAAGCCAACAAGATCCCACCAATGGCAAAAGACACCGTCGCCAGAATCTTGGTCCGTTTGTATAGCTTTGCAAGCACGCTTCCCAGGATCCCACCGGTCCCCACGCCGAGCCCTGGAAGACTCATTGTCAAATTGTTGATTGTCTCTGACTCGGTGGCGTAAAGGGTCGACACCATTCCGGGCCAGATCAGCGAAAATCCATAAAAGGCACTGGCGGCGAGACCTAGTACGGCGATCGCCGCGAGCCACTCTCCATTCTTGAAGATGTGCTTTGGGAAGAGAGGCTCTTTGAGGGGGACCAGGCTCTCGTAAAAGTACAGGGCGATCAGACAGACTGTGCCCAAGACGATGGATGCAATGACAGCGGCCGACTTCCACGGATATCGTTGTCCGCCCCATAAAAGACCCATGAGGAGAGTCGAGAGACCTGCGATGAAGAGGAAGCTGCCTCCAATGTCAAAGTTTCTCACGTACTTGGCCTTGCTTTCCCTGCCGTGCTTCATCTCGAATGTCGGCGGGTGGTAGCAAAGCAGGAATCCAAAGAACGCCGCCGCATTGAGGGCAATCACCATGTAGTAGACGCTTCTCCAGCCGGCAGCCGTGTTTTGCACGAGGCCTTGTGATATGGCTGCTGAAAAGGCAGTAGGGACACCAGCGAACAGGAAAACGACTCCGGACATGGTGTACCGATGTTTCATGGGAACAAGCTCTCCAAGAATGACATTGTAGCAGGTCTGTGCCGGAGCCGCCAACCCGATCAACGCGGTTCCGACGATGAGCGAGGGCACATTCTTCGCTGTGGCTGCCACGACGGACCCCAGAAGGGCTAAGAGATTGAGGCACACAACGGTCCACCTGCGACCGAAGATGTCCATCGCTCGGCCACACACGGGCATGCTCACTGCTCCCGTCAAGTTGAAGACGATGGCTGCCCAAGTAATGTCGACAGATGGGCCAATGGCACTGTTGATGTTCATCAAGATGGGTGCTGCGAAGCTAAAGCCGCCAATTCCACTTATGGCGGCCAGGTTTCCAGCGACACATGTCCCCAGGAACCTCCAGCTGTAGTAGTAGCCCTTTGGAAGTGCCGCTTCATGAGACTGAAACCCCACGATTTCGCGATTCGCGGTCTGGGCGTGGGTCTGGGCGTGGTCACTAACGACGTGACCATGACCTGTCTCGATTTCATTCTTCTGGTCAGACATCGTTGTCGACATGAGCTTGACTGAGGCTCAGGCTGTGAGAGTTGTCTCAGGGTGATGGGGAATATAATGTTTTGATGGCCTTTGGTAGCTTCGAGGGAGTATCGAACCTTTTATGGCCGAGCAGGATTCAGTTCCTGGGTGAGGAGGAGTGGTGCATACAGACCTTTGCCAGCTTCCAGCGTCTCAAGTGCTGTATATATCGATGCTACAGACGCCGCAGTCTCTACTAGTGTTGAAAGACGACCTCGGTCTCGGCATCAGGGACTGTCTAGGGCCATCTCTCGCTTGCCTGCATCGTTAAAGTGTAACTGGCCAAAATATCATGCAGTACTTGGCCAGACCATGTGGAGTTCCAGTGTCCCGACCGAACGGAAACCATCCTGGGGCTCCACATTTCCCCAGGATTCTGACTAACCCCGTTGTCTGCCTCGTAACTGCGCACACCCGGACCGAGGTGCGTGTTCTCATTGGTTCGCCGCAGCGAACACTTTTGTCTGTGCTTGCTTGTCCCACCTGGCTGTCTGAGGCGCCTGACTGATCTAATAATGGTACTTTGGAGCATTTTCGTTGCCAATTCAATGCAAGCTCGAAAACACCATGTACTGTCCATGTCTGATTTTTATGGTCATAGTTGACGAGCAGAGACAGCCTCTAGCAATCCATTGTGGAGGCTAGCTATGTATCTAGGCCAAAAATACCTACCTCCCCCATTGTCGAGATGTACACCAGTCTCCCATGTCATCTCGTCCAAAGGAGCTGATGGTCCTGCTCTTCCTGAATCTCATCGTCATGCCCTGGGCTGTGCCGACCTTTGACTGAACTTGATGAGGTCTTCTGGAGAAGTGTCTTTGCTGTAACCACCTCCCAGCACGTATTCAGCGGCAGCATTCGCGTACTCGGGATCCGTCCGGTAGATGAGCTCGCTGCCACTTATCTCCACGGCTTGGCCAGTGATGGACTCGTCGTCAAGAAAGCTTTGGATGACCTGCACAACCAACGAGGGAGGAACAATCATCTCCGCTGGAGCGTTGTCGATGAATGGTCCTGCAGTCATTGCAGTATCCACGAGCCCGGGGCATATCACATTGGCGGAGATGTTTTCGCCAGATTTCCGCAGTCTCTTGGACAATCCTCGAACAAGTGCAACGGCCTAGCAAGTCAGTCGTCCCGAACGGTACCGGAAAAAGGACTAACTGACCCCAAATTTCGCCGCGCTGTACAGCGGGTGTGTGTCGGAGGAGTATATGCCTGCTTGGATACTGGTGACCACGAGCCTTCCATAACTCGAAGGCCTTTTCCGGAAGTATTGTAGCGCTAGCTTTGCGGAGTATGCAACCCCTACGAGACAAACGTCAATCACAGATGTATCGGGCGTAGTCGATTCAGTCGCCTCTGGTTGTGCTGCTGCTGATGCGAATTCTTCCCGTTCCGATATGCCCTGAAATGCAGTTAGACTCCTCAGGATATGATGTGAGAAAGATTGCAGACAATAAACTCACCGCGTTGGCAAAGACTGAGGAGGGACTCTGTGTGAGTTTGGATCTCTACTTGTAGTGTCAAGGTCCTACGCACCTAAGTCGATTCGACCCCATTTCTCAAACGTGTCGCGGAAGGCCCTTGCCTGGCTCTGGTAGTCTGTCACGTCGCCCTGGATGAACAGCACTTTCTCTCCGAGCCGAGTGGCCTCCCGTTTCCCCGCGGTGGCATCAAAGTCGAAGATGGTTACATTCCACTGATGCTGCAATAAATGCTTTACGACAGTAAGGCCCAGGCCGGATGCTACAATGAATAGTGTCAATGCTTAAGATTCATTGAGAAGAATATTAGCCCTTACCACCTCCGGTGACCAACGCGGTTCGGTTGCCATCGGAAGCCATGCTCTGTGAATTGAAAAGTGGCAGATCTCGTGTAAAATATACAATATACCTTAACGTGATACTAATACTGCCAAAAGAACACTGACCATTAGACAACGCGACCTAGAAATACACGGCATGTCCAAGCCCAAGTTTATGACTGCATTTTATGCTGCATCAAATCTGGAGTCGTGCAAGGCCAACCGAGCTACAAAGTTTGACCGGCGAGCCAATTGGAGTAGGATTAGGGTTAAATGCCCCGAGCGACTTGCAGGAGTCGAGCACTGGGCAAGATTGCTCGTTCACATGGTTCGGGAGCCCTTTTCTCATTGTTCGAGTCAGTAGAACAACTGGCCGAGGTGGATATGAGTCTCCACCGAGGCAGCCCATCTTGTTCACCCAAGCATAAAACAAATAATGATATATCAAGGTCGTATTTCTGCCATTCTGTGAGTCCGAAGAAACAAGTCACCAAGTTCAATTCCACTTCTAGCCTTACAAGCTCTCCTCAACTCTGTCATCATGTCGCCCGAGTCTCAAGCCATCGTTGATGTCTTCGGCTTTGCCAGACAGAGAATGATGGAGAATCCAAATATGTCGGCCCGCGAAGGCCGGTTATTCATTGAATCTTTCGGATCGCTCGCCAGCGAGCCCACGGAAGTGACGTACGAAGAAGTCCAATGCCCTGGGTCGACTGGACCAGCTATATGGTGCAGACCATCGTCTGCAGACCCCTCCCACATCATCCTTTACTTGCACGGCGGAGCTGGGACCGGAGGATCTCCCTCGAGTCATCGTAAACTTGCTGGACATCTAGCCAAAGTCGCATCTTGTGTTGCACTTTTGCCAGATTATCGACTTGTTCCCGAGGATCCGTTTCCAGCGGGGTTGGAGGACTGCCTCTCGACATACAAATGGGTCCTGGATCAAGGATTTAAGCCGTCGCGGATTGCAGTAGCAGGAGACTCTGCAGGTGCCAATTTAACGGCTGCCCTGCTATTGAAGCTGAAGGAACAGGGACTTTCATTTCCCGGGGCGGCCGCCCTCTTGTCGCCATGGCTTGACATGGAGAACCTGGGCGAATCCCGACAATTCAATTTCGAGCACGATGCTCTCGCCGGCCTTGCGACAGCTTCCACAGCACTTTATTGCCAGGGGACATCGCCCAAGAACCCATTTGCAAACCCCTTGTATGGAGACTTTACGGGGGCGCCACCTCTCTTTGTCTCAGCCGGCGGGTGGGATACTCTGCTGAGTGATGCACTTACGTTGGCCGAGAAAGCGAAGGCAGTGGGAGTTGACGTGACGCTTCACGTGGCACCTGAAATGCAGCACGACTACCATTTTATGGTTGGTCGAGCTCCTGAGGCAACGGAGACGGTGACAGAGATTGGTCGTTGGATTGCTGGAAAGCTTCAGTGAGCTGTGTTGGCATTGAACTTGTCCAGGGCCACAGATAGACAGTGTCTTTCACATCACCAAATAGTGATGGTGCTACAGCCTACGAAATCTACACCATCGAGTCCAAAGAGCTTGAATCAAGTGTTGTGGAAATCACTGTTTCTTCCAGTTGCTACCATTGCTAGGATCAGCCCCGATAAAGAGTACGCATCACTTTGACTTCCCCAGCTAGACCTTCCTACTCTTTTACTCGGTGGAGGTTCTTGTGTTCTTTCAAAGTCAAAGGACCCAGGAGACTGCGTGTATCCATTGCGCGGGGAGCCAGCCCTCAAGGAGCATTGACAAAGCCAAACTTCGAGACCTGACTCAGTGGATAGAGCTCAAACGCTGCGTCATCGCTATGTTCTCGGCCACAAAGGACCCAACAAACAGCACCCTCGTGATACACCGTTCTGAAGTCGAAGAGCTTCAACGAAGTCTTGAAGACCTCGGTAACTGCTTGGATTGGCTGATAATTCCCCCGTCCCCACCCCCGCCCCCTGGGGCCTCATTCCAAGACCCATTAACCTTTTTCTCTACCGAGGACATCGCATCTCGGAGTTCAAGAGAAAGGGACTTGGGCGCGGGGTTGCGGAGGGCGGGGGTCTTGCGGAGGACTGGTTATGCCTGTCCTGGCTTCCATGGGCATGCGAGGGCGGTGGTGTGATGGCGGGATCCTGCAGGAGACCTAGAACAGTATACAAGTCACCATTAACAACCCAGACAAGGATCCTCACCCAATACATCGTGGGGCTGTTCGCTTCAGTAAGGCCAGCGATCGTATTGGTCGCACGGGATGTCTTGGGAGTGTCGCCAGTCCAAATTGTAGAGTCAATTCTTTGAGATTGGGACTCTTGATGAGAAGCGAGAACACTTTGCACACCTGACGTGGCTTTCAACGTCCATGTTTGGGCGTGAATTCTGCTTGAGGCCCGCTTCTGGCAAACCCCAGCCCGTTAATCTGAGCATCGCCAAAGGACTTCTCAAAGATGAGCACTCTCGAAGATAGTGAGGCACAATCTTCAACACCCAACCCCGTTGCTGGGACTGATCGGGCTACCCAACCACCAAACGATACAACCTCTGGGTCTATGTTTCCACGCAGGCGTGCAGTGGTAGCCTGTGAGTCTTGTCACGGACGGAAGGTTCGTTGCAATATTGTACAGTTCGGCCCTCCCTGCTGGAACTGCCGACAAGACGGGAGAAAATGCATAGTCCCTCCGACAAAAGCTCGCGGGTACGTTTATCTCGCTCCCTCCAAGTTCTCTTGCAGCTATGGTTTGCGATATGGCTTCAAAACCGGCTGAATATGCCTCGGTTTCAATTCAAGCGTCTGACTACGTACTCTCTGATAGGCATCGGAGAGGGCGAGTGCAGCGTGTCCCGACAGACAAGTCTGCATCGACTGGGGAAACGTCCGATCTCATGGAAATATCCGCGCCGACAAGTGGCATTTCTAAGAATGCCACCGTCGACGAACTTCGGAAGGTCTCAGAGCAGTCGTACCAAACAATTCAGCCTCCACGGCCATCCACAGGTACTGATACATCGCCCTCAGAGGTACCTGGAAGTAACGTCGAGACATCCGATGGCACAAGTCTTCCGGGGGCCGCCACGCCAGCCCAGGAATGCGACGAAGGTTACAACGGAGCAGCCTATACCGATGCTATGAATAACCGCCGGGCGCAGTCCGCCCTGCCGCTCTATCTTGGTGAGTTAGTATCGCTGTCCTCTTTGAGAGTATCACCTAATATAGTGCATGTACAATAGGAGAGCCGCACGTCCTGAGCTTTGTGATGGATGTCTGTCAGTCAGAGCATCAGCATCACTACCTGGTTCCTCGCGCTGCCGCACGCGCTCTGCCCCCCGATGACTTGGCCTTTTTGAAAGCGAAAGGCTGTTTCTCATTACCGGTCTCGAGTGTCTCTAACAAGCTCTTGCAACACTACTTCCACTACGTGCACCCCTTCCTCCCTGTTGTGGATGCACATACCATCCTCACTCAGTATCACCAAAAGTCTGCGCAACAAGTGCACCTACTTCTATTATGGAGTATGCTTTTTGCAGCCGCTAGTGTAAGACCAGTCCTCTACCCCTTTACCGGTGTCAAGTCTGTACTAACTATGTCCAGTTTGCGGACCCCGAGCTTGTGCGTGAAGCTGGCTATCCATCACGCAAAGCAATGAAGCATGACCTATACCAGCGAGCCAAGGTTGTTCAAGGCATCTCTTTGTTGTCAGATCCAGTCTTCTTAGTATCATTGTACTGACGGCTCGTCTCCGCCTAGTCCCTGTACAATTTCGAGTATGAGACCGACAAGACTATCTTGATCCAGTCCACCATTCTTCTCGCATATTGGTTCAATGACTCCGAAGACCGCACAGGAAATTGGTACTGGATTGGCATCGCCATCAGCCTCTGTCATTCTATTGGCATACACCAAGATACGCAGAATCCGTCTTCCAGGACCTCAAGCTTACCACAGACACAGCATGTTTTGTGGAGGCTCATCTGGTGGTCCTGTTACTTTCGGGAGACGTGGATCTCGTTTGGGATGGGACGGCCTATGCGCATCCACCTTCAGGATTGTAATGTTCCCATGCCTAGTGTCGACGACATCATGCTACTTTGTGGAAGGAACGACACCCCTCAGACGCGGTTCTATCTACCCAACGGAACTCGAGCCCTTGCCCGCTGCTGGCTCAAGATATTACATCTGAGTGCTACTCTGGACTGCATTCATCTAACACATTATAAGCCAAATCGAGCCAAGGCATCCACGAGCGAAATTCTAAACGATCGAGAAAGGGTTCTGAAGTGCTCACAGATGTCTCTGGAAGGGGTGGCCGATGACGAAGACCCGGTGGTGCAGCTCGTGTCTTACCAAGTACAAGTCATCGAGCAGTAAGCCCCTACCAACTCCGCCTCGATCTTTGAATTGGCGTTCGCTGCAATGACTAATGGCTTCCGGTCTTTGACAGTTCCGTCTATATAGCACTGTACCGGCCGTACCTCTTTGCCTCTCCTTCCGACCTGACGCCGGATCAGTTCAAGGTGTGGCGTCCGACAATCCTGAACAAGATCTATACCGCCGCATCCGCAGTGACTATGATCTTGACGAACCTCAGTCAAGCCGGTCTTGTGGACCGTGCTCACTCTATCTTGTAGGCGCAGCTCTCTCTCCGCCAGATTCAGCCGCCGAAACACCTGCTAATTGCGTCAATACTAGGGTTACGGCGATTGTCCCCGCCATGCAGATGCATTTGTACGGTTCCGTATCTTCACAAGGGCTGGGAAAACAGATGAGCGCCTATCAACTGGAGGTCTGTATGACAATCATGGCTGAAATGGGCAAAACATTCTGGCACGCCAGCATGACCCATAAAATCTTTTGCGAGGCAGTTCGCAAATTGAAGGACAAGGCCAGCAGTTCCGGCACCGTCCGGCAGCACGGCGGGCCGATGAGCTCCTCGATGCAAGACCAAGAGCCTTCAACGTCTGTCTCAGTCGAAGACGTCTTTAGCGAACGCCGCAATCAGTCAACAGACCCCTCGGACACTGAGATTATCTCACTCTTCACCGAGGACTTTTTGTTTCCCCCTGACGATGGCATGTCATCCATGGCCTTTCAAGAGTCGGTATGCCAGTAAGTTCTTTGCACCCAGGTGAACATCCGTGAGCTCGTGAAAACTGCTCTTGAGATTTTGTACGTAACTTGAAAGACTTACAATACCAATCTTAGGTACGAGCCTGGGTGGGATTTTGAGACCAACACATTCATGGGTTCACCAGACATATTGAATTTCGCCGACCCCGGGGATGGAGAGAATGTGGGGCCACGAAGGATAGATTGAGCTGTGGTCAAGCGTTGGGGGGGAATGGCTCCGTCTCTGAACTGAGGAATATGATGTGAGATACGTGTAATATGACAAATGGGCGAGTCGATATGAACAGAGGGAATCTTTACACCTTGCACGCGGACTCTGGTCAGAGTTAATTGCTATCAACTTTCAGTTGGCCGTAATAATTAAAGTATAGCCTGTCCTGCAGACCATGATATCAGCACCTAGACAAAGAGTCACCTCTACTCCCGTGCTGAGTGTTTCAATGATCACATACGGTTCTGGGAAAGGGTCTGTCACAAATACCACTTCATCTCGCAGGAGTTTCCTGGCTTTTCACAAATATTCATTAGGCGAAGCGCTCTCATTTCTGCACTGCATTGAAGCAACGGTACCAGTAACTCATATTAGATTGCGATACAACACTGCACCCAAAGAGGAAATGTGAGAAGTGGGTCTCAAGGTGGGTCTGTTGACTCTTGATTCGCTGCACATAGACGTTTCCCCCGAACTCCCTTCGGTGTGTGGCACGACAACCTGGCCTCACCTGACAGGTAGCGAAAGCGCGCAATGTGCAACAATTAAGACACCGAGGTTGACCGTATTGTGCAACTTGTGCTACATACTGAAAGGTTTCACGGTGTCTTCGCTGCCGGGACGCATGCGCCAAACCTCGGTGGGTCGCCAGAACTCGCAACAGCCACTCAGGGACCATACCTCGGCCGACATCCAGGTCTATTAAAAACAAGGCTTTACAGGTTCCAAAACACCGCACAGGTAGGCAGGAACACAGCACAGCACAGCCATCGACTCTTTTTCCTTACTCTCTGCCCCCTGTTAGAGCTAATCCGAATTCACAATGACAGAGGTCTTTTTGCCCGTCAACTTCCCCCAAGAGGATGTCAAACCCAAATCAGTGGTCGCAACAACAACGACAGAGCTTCAACGCGAGAATGGCCATCCGGCAACTTCTGATGTCGATGCCAGGCTGCAAAAGTACGCGACCGAGAGTAAGAAACGTTTCAGGTCGGACGGGAATGCTCAGTTTATCGACCTTGCCACGTCAGACGTCTATCGCAACTTCTCGGAAGACATCTGGGCTAGAGAGGTCACTGACGACCCTGGTGTGAATTCCGTCACGGATGGTTCACGCTGCGAGATTCTGATTCTCGGGGCAGGATACGGAGGGTTGCTGGTTGCGGCTCGACTCATCCAGTCGGGAGTAGACGTCAACGACATCCGCATGGTAGACGCTGCAGGAGGCTATGGGGGAGTCTGGTGGTATAACCGCTACCCGGGCCTCATGTGCGACGTGGAAAGCCACATCTACCTGCCGCTCCTGGAAGAGCTTGATTACATGCCAAAGAACAAGTATTCCTACGGCACCGAGCTGAGAGAGCATGCCAGGGCCGTGGCGCAACATTTCAATCTCTTGGACAAGACTCTATTCCAGGTAAAAGTCATCAGCACGGCATGGAATGAAGTCACAAAAGAGTGGACCACCAAGCTCCAATCCACGCGAAAGGGACACGAAGGATTTCTGAATGTCCAGTCGCGCTTGACCATCGCGGCCGGTGGCAATCTCAACTGGCCGAAGATTCCCAGGATACCGGGCCTGGACAAGTTCAGACCAAAGGCCTTTCACACGTCCCGCTGGGACTGGGACTATACTGGCGGATCCGAACTTGATCCTCAGCTCGTTAACCTGAAGGACAAACGAGTCGCCATCATTGGCACCGGCGCGACTGCCGTGCAAGCCATACCTCACCTAGCACGGTGGGCCAAGCACTTGTACGTCTTCCAGCGAACTCCTTCGGCGGTGGACGTGCGCGGCCAGTCCGAGACCGACAGAGCTTGGTTCGAGAAGGAGGTGCGCAGAAAACCCGGCTGGCAGAGGGAGAGGATGATGAATTTCTGCGCCTTTCTCGCCAACGCAACACCTCGACCAGAAGTCGACATGGTCGCGGACGCTTGGACGAAATTCCCTACCTACTCGAGCCTCACGGGTGGACCGAATGTGCCGCGGACGGCAGAGGATGTTCCCTCTTACGTCGCAAGGATGAACGAGATAGACGTCCAGAGACAAGAAAAGATCCGGGCCCGAGTCGACGAAATCGTCAAAGATAAAGCCACGGCAGAGAAGCTCAAGGCCTGGTATCCCGGATGGTGCAAACGCCCATGCTTTCACGACGAGTACCTCGACACCTTCAACCTGCCCAACGTCACCCTTGTTGACACTGACGGCCGTGGGGTGGATAGTTTCTCGGAGAATGGACTGGTGTTCCGAGGAGAAGAGTACCAAGTCGATCTTCTCGTGTTCAGCACCGGCTACGAGGTCGCGCTGAACACGAGCCCTGCAAGTCGCGCTCACATGGAGATCTACGGCCGGGACGGTCTGTCGCTGAACGACAAATGGCGACGTGGAGCTGCCACGCTCCATGGTGTCCAGAGCCACGGGTTTCCCAACATGTTCTTCATTGGACTGACTCAAATCGGACTCACTCCCAACATCACAGTGATCATGGACTATTTGTCCGAGCATATCGCCTCCATTCTCGTCGATGCCGCCGCCAAGGCCAAATCACAACTCAACGAGGCTGCCTCGAAGACAAAATATCCTTTTGTCGTCGAAACCACCGCCGAGGCAGAAGAAGATTGGACGCAGCAAATCGCCGCTGGTGCGTACGTCTATGCAACGATGGCCCAGTGTCCACCGAGCTACTTCAACGGCGAGGGAGAGGCTCTGCGCATCGCCGCCGAGGGAGTTGAATCCCAGCGGAAACTGGCGAGACTGGGCGCTTGGGCGCGAGGGTTTGACGACTTTGTCCAAGTCCTTCGGCGGTGGAGAGAGCCACATGACCTTAAAGGCCTGACGGTGACGGCCATCTGACGCATACAAAATAGATAAGAATCATCTGGCTAGCTAGCTCTACGTTCGTGCGAAAAAACGATAGCTCCAGCACTTTATGCTCCTGTGAAGGAGCAATGGTAGATCCAACCCAGCAGGTTTAAACGGACCACGCCGAAGAACCGAGAATATACTGCAGTCTACCCGAGCTGAAGAGCCTATAGCCACTCACTCATACTACGTAGTACATACTAGTATGCAGTCAGATTGCGCACTCTCCAAGTTGACTTCGAAGCTGTACGAGCCAAAAGTGCGCGTTGCGCCTAAACAAGCCTAGCTCTATGTTCTTGGATCCCCATACGAGACATTAGGCAGCCTCTGCTTAGCACGTTCACGTATACGATTGGGGTATAGAGCTAACTAACTCCAGAGATAGTCATAAAGCCCGTCACCATGTCCGGTGGGGCCTAGTATGCCCGGGGGGGTTATAAGAGTGGCTCCTCTTCTACACTTTATAGCTTCCGGACCTTCTTCCCTCTACCTCTCTCATATATCTGCTGCGTTGCACGATCCCAAGGTATACTCTAGACTAGGTGTAGATAGATCTCGGCGTCCACAGAAAACTTCTTTCACGGCCCTTTTGTATGTACCGCCTCGAGCGCTGCTGGACTCTCTCATGATAACGGCTGAGTATGACGTAGCCTACTCCCATTGACAGGAAGACTAGAACCTGGGTTGAAACTGATGATCATTGGCCGTATGTATGAAGACACTTCACAAGATATATTACCGATCCCTCAGAGAATCTGGAGGAGGGCCTTTCCGGAACTTCAAGACTCATATACACCTCCCCCCATCGACCTCCATGCATATACCAGTAATGAAGGAAGCGTCATCACTCGCGAGGAAACTGGCGGCGTTGGCCACGTCTGTGCCCTCTGTAAACCTTCCGAGAGGGATGGAGGCTAGAATGGGAGCGCGATTCTCCGCCGTGTCTGGTTTCCCTAGAACCTTGGGCAGCCTGCCAAAGTCGCACAATACACATCAGTAAGATATCCACACAACTGATTTTTCTTTGACTCCTGTTCTTCAACATCGCGCCGTGCAGTGGATGGTGGACTCACATTGCAGTTTCTCCCAGGGCGGGGAGGATGGCATTGAATCGGATCTTGTTGGGGGCGTATTCCACGCCCAAGCTCTTGGTCATTATACTCACGGCGCCCTTTGTCGTCGAATACCATGTCACACCGGGTCTCGGTCTCGAGGCCCCCGTGCTCGACAGGTTGACAAAGTTGCCGCCTTCTCCGCGTTTCTGGAGATACGGGACAATGACCTTGCAGCTCCAGAAGAGGGACTTGACGTTGATGCGCATGAGACGGTCGAATTCTTCCTCCTCGACCTCGTGGCTCGGCGTGTTGTCGTAGATGACTCCGGCGTTGTTGACGACGATGTCGAGCTTGCCGAACTTGTCCAACGCCGTCTCAAGGGCCTTGTTCCACGTGTCGGCCTTGGAGACGTCGCCGATGACGGGCACGACACTGCCGTCCGGGTAAGCCTCGACCACGCTGTCCGAGAGTGCAGGGCTGATGTCCACGGCGACAATTTTGGCGCCTTCTCGATGGAACTTTTTGGTTATGGCTACACGCCGCATAGAAGTAAGCCAACGTCAAAGGGTATATCCAAAAATATAGGGGGTCAAAGGCAGTATATACCCGATCCAAAGCCCATGCCCGCTCCTGTTACCAAAGCAACCTTGCCCTGAAGCTGGCCCTGGCGAGGTGCTTCGACAGTGTTGGTGTCCGTGCTTGCTGACATGTTGACAATAGGTCCTTTCTGTAGACTTCACAACAATCGGCGGCAAAGCGACTTCTCTGAATCTCTTCGTCTCGAAATATACCACACAGAATGCACAGTATGATATAATAAGTGCCAAGTATTCGGTACCGAGATATGCTCGTTGGAGATGCTCTAAATCCCCCGGCATCTCCCCGCTGATTCCCCCACCCGAGAAAGAAATCCCGCCTTTTCTCCGGGAGAGTCAGAGAGTCCCAATTGGAGAGGCGCGCCGAGTTCCGCGGTTGTAGATCTATTTTCTCACTTTTGATCTGCCTTTCCTTTGAGAGAGATTTGGGGGAGGAATTCAAAGACTGCGGAGACGGGGAGAAGAGCAGCTCTCAGAAAAAAATGCCACCGGAAATGTACCACCAGCTCTGGAGGCGGTGGGACAGTAGTAGTGGTGGTTCTTTTCAGCTGTAATCATGTTTTGATGTATCTCGAGCTCTTTTCGAATGCTCGCAGCTTCTCGTCCAAGGTTTTGGTGTTGGTGTTGGTGCCGCACACGATAAAGTCTGGGTCACAACTCGTACCAGCCAAGGAGAATCATCACGACCAGAAAATCGAGCGACTCGTAGGTGCTTCCTCGAAGCCGAGATGCCTCAGAAATCTCCCTTTTCGATCACCATCCCCCCCACGGATCTCCTGACGTACCTCTTCCCCCCTGACGCAAAGCCTTCGACACAACCTCTGTACATCTCTGCCGACGAGCCTTCTCGACATGCGCTGTCGCCGGCCGAGACGCTCGTGTGGGTCAAGCGCCTGGCGCTCGGGTTCCAGCGGATTCTCGGGGTGGGTGGACGGACAGGGGAGTCGTCCAGGACCGGGTTCACCATCATGATGTTCACCCCGAACCATGTGTTCGTCCCTGTTGTCTATCTGGCCGCCATCGCCGCAGGGGGCATATTCAGCGGCTGCAGTATAAGTTTCGGTGTGCATGGTACGCACTAAAACCCACATTTTCCATGGCTCGCTCACTCAAATCCAAACCCAACTCCACCCCCCTTTATTGTTCATTTGGTGTAGTTATACCATTCTCTTGTTTTTTGCAGAATTATGAAAATGACTGACAAAATGGCATCCCACAGAAGCGACAACTCAGCTGCAAAACACCGGCACCGAGATATTCCTCGTCCACCCGAGACATCTCGCCGTGGCTCTCGCGGCAGCCAAAAATGCGGGCTTGTCGAAATCCAGAATCTTTCTTTTCGACCAAGAACCTCAACCGGAGACCGAGGGGATTCGTGATTTCCGCTCCATCCTGGCTTCTGTCGAGGACGCTCAAAAGTGGCAGTGGAGACGGCTGAATGGGGACGAGGCGAGAAACACCACAGCCGTGCTCAATTACTCTTCTGGGTAAGCATAGCAACTCCGTTGCATGCATGCATGCATTCAAGATCGACATAGTTACTAAACCTCTTTTCGAGGATGAACTGACTTGGGATGATTTTCAGGACGACCGGCCTCCCCAAGGGCGTCCGGATCAGCCACACCAACCTGATCGCCAACGTGTCCCAGTCGATCTACATGCGGGATCTCGAACAGCCGTACACGCCGACCACGCGACCGCAAGAGCGCTGGCTGGGATTCTTGCCCCTATCCCACGCCTACGGGCAGCTGTGGACGATTCTCGCGGCGCTCAAGACGCTGTCGCCCGTCTACATCATGGCGCAGTTCCACTACACCGAGTTCCTCCGACACATCCAGACGCACGCCATCACGCACCTCCAGACGGCGCCGCCCGTGCTGGTGATGCTGGCCAAGCGGCCCGAGACGGAGCGCTACGACATCAGCTCGCTGCGCAACATCCTCTGTGGGGCGGCGCCGCTGAGCCAGGAACTGCAGAACGAAGTCACGGCGAAGCTGCAGGGCGGCCGCGTCGTGCAGACCTGGGGCATGACCGAGGTGACGTGCTCGGCGCTGCACATGCCGGGCGGACGGGACGACCGCAGCGGCAGCGTCGGCTACATCGACCCGAACTGCGAGATGAAACTGCTGGACGACACCGGCGCCGAGGTTCCTGTGGGTGAGCGTGGCGAGATCCACGTACGCGGCCCCAACATCTGCCAGGGCTACTGGCGCAACGAGGAGGCGACGCGCGCGCTGTTCGACGCGGACGGCTTCCTCCGCACGGGTGACGTCGCCATCCGGAACGCGCAGGGCCTGTACTGGATCGTGGACCGCAAGAAGGAACTCATCAAGGTCAAGGGCCTGCAAGTCGCGCCGGCCGAGCTCGAAGCCGCGCTGCTGGAGCACGAGGCCGTGGCCGACTCGGCCGTCGTGGGCGTCAAGCTCAGCGACGACGGCGACGAGGCCCCGCGCGCGTACGTGGTCCTGAAAGACCCCTTCCGGGGGAAAGTCTCCGCGGCCGCTCTCGCGCAGTGGCTGCAGGGCCGGGTGGCCAAGCACAAGCACCTCACCGGCGGGGTCTTCTTCATCGACGAGGTCCCCAAAAGTCCCAGCGGGAAGATCCAACGGAAACTGATACGAGAGTGGGCGGCCAAGGACTCGGCGCAGGCCGCCGTCAGGGCGAGGCTGTGAAAAAATCTTTGCGAGGCACCATATGCGAGGCATAGTGCAAGGCAGATTTCGATTCCTCCTGCGGCGCCCCGGCCAGGGATATCGGGTTCTAAGTCTATCGGTCAGTCGGTCAAGCAAGCAAGCACATACGTCAATACCGCCGACTCCCCTTCCCTCCTCCTTTGTGTGGTTGCATGGTGGCTTCTGGATTTCTAGAAAGGATTAGAGGCACATCTGTATGTATATGTATACATACATATATATATATATATTTTTTTTCCCTACCAACCCCCCGAACTGTGCTTCGTCCGGAAGAAAAACGAACAAGGAACAAGGCAAGGGGCGCGCAGATCGAAAAGGCGCAGCCGAGCCGAGGAGAGACAAGGATGAAGGGGGGAGAACGAGCCACAGAAAGCCCCTTTCTTTCTTTATGACTCCTCCATGTCCCAGAGGCCCAAATTCGCGGACCAACTAGGTATGCAGGCCTGAGTCAAGGTGGTGGTCCTCCCTGATCCCACCCCAACCCTAGGTAGGCACGGTAGGTCGGTAGTACGCAAGATGGGATGAACGACAGCCTTGTTTCTCGTGACATCCCTCGTTATCAAGGGTTTGCCGCGCACGCACGCACCTCTTGGCCAAGTGAAAGAGAAAGGGGGAAAGTCCGTCCACTATTGTTTCAAAAATCTCGCTGACTTGCCAATAACCCGGCTGTTGCTGTTGTTGCTGCTGCTGATATCAATACTTGTATATCTCGTCTTCATGTCACGCTGCGCCTAATTGATAGATGCAATCAATCACCTTTTGAGCGAGGTAGCAACACCCCTCTGTCCTCACAAACTCGGTCCGTCACAAGTCAAAAACAGCAATATGCGCTAATACCAGCCGAATTGGGCAGATCAAGCCATCCTTGCTCTGTACTGCGCGATCCCCCTCCACTCATCCAAACGGACGGCAGCTTACGACGGCTCAACCGTCCATGGAAGCAAACTACGTCTATCTCGACGGCACGACCGTGACCGAAGACATCATCGGAATAGGCGGCACGGGCATCGTCGTCTCCCGCCGAGGGTACGCGTACAAGATACCTCTAATATCCAAAATCCTCAAGATCGACGGCATTCCCTTCGACTATGGAGCACTATTGCCTCGCAAGGAAGGTGACTATGACGAGCGCGCCACGGCTGTCAAGGCCTTGGAGCACGAAAAAGACATCTATAGGAGACTAGGCGACCATCCGGGGATTATCCACTGCCTCAACCTTCAATCCCCCGACCCTTCGATCCAGATGCCGTTGATGGAGGGCGACCTGCGACACTACCTGGACCAGACACCAACATGGCCTGGAAAAGCGACATTACTGTCCTGGATGACCCAGTTGGCCCACGCCATGGTCCACATCCATTCCCGCCGGGTCATCATCGCCGACTTCCGTTTAGACAACATCGTCTTTGACGAGAAGATGGATATCAAGCTCGTGGACTTTTCCGAGTCCACTCTTATGCCGCTTGACTGGGATCTAGACGGCCGTGATGCGAATGGCTTTTCGATATGGACCGACATTGGCCAGTTTGGGGCCGTCATGTTCGATATGACAACGGGGCAGCGATGTACCTTTGACATCTATCAAGATTGGAAGCAGGTCGGAGATCCGACAACCTGGCCTGGACGAGAAACTCTCCCGTCAACTCGCCGAGTATGGTTAGGTCCCATCATTGAGAAGTGCTGGAACAAGCAATTTGCGTTGGCGCGACGTCTTGCAGAAGAGCTGGAAAAGGAAATGCCTCTGCTGAAATAAATGGTAGTGGATGGATGATCAGCTAGTCTCTATTGTCCTGAGGAATGCCGAAGCATTTCATACTGTACCAAGCCGATGCGCAGCCCAGTTCTCTTTGCCGCAAAGTCGAGGATATGAATATTCTGTCCCTTCTGCATTTCAAACCGTAGAGCCATTTGTTCATCGCAGGATCATCGGTATCGAGAACCTTGAACCTATTGTAGTATAGCAGCAAGAGGCGTATTCATCATCCCTGTTCAGCCGATATCGTAGAAGCGCACATAAATTTGGCTTCCGCTGACATCGTTTTGCTCTGGTCTGAGTTAATTGCTTTTTGCGTGGAGAAGCGCAATAATTTGCCCCTGCTGTTCCAGTTGCCGTTCCATTTGCCCCATTTGCTTCTTGCTGTCTTCTCTCCGCTGTTGTAGCTGTCGCTCCATTTGCTCCATTTGCTTCTTGCTGTCTTCTCTCTGCTGTTGTAGCTGTCGCTCCATTTGCTCCATTTGCTCCTTGCTGTCTTCTCTCTGCTGTTGCAGCTGTCGCTCCATCTGACCGAGCAGTTGGTCCAACTGTTGCTTGCTCTCGTGTCTTTCCTGATCAAGCTGTTTCCGCAGACTCTCCACCTCTATCAATCGTGACGCGCTTGAAGGTGGACCCGGTCTTTTGAAAACGTCGTCGCCCTGCGAAGACTCAGCTTGCGAATCCGGCTGTGCGTCTAAAGGATTGACGCTGACGTCTGATGCTCTGAAAGAGGGGCCTGTCCAATCTGCAGGTAGAGGTAAATGAGCCACGGCATCCTTGATTCGTTGTCGATGATCGGGTGCAAATTTCTCGTAGGCAGTACAAACAAAATTGTAGGCCTTCAAACGATCCGCGCCATTGTTAGTGGACAAACTGTACAAAGCGATGGGGTAGCGGTAGTATCTGAGTCCGCCAGAGAAGTTGCGATCAGGCACAGCATAATGTCCATACAAAAAGACTCGGTCATTGTCGTGTGAGACTGTGAATACCAGGACTTGACCATGTAACTCTGCAATGCGGCAAGACTGTTCGCCAGCAAAGGCTTCCTGATAGAGTGACATTATGGCTCTTACTGCGATACTTCCACTGTGAATATTCTGACAGTCTGCTTCATTCAAACCTCTCTCCCCTGTCTTGGCTTCACAAATGAGGAAAGGGAAACATAAGTCGGGAGTGAAGTAGAATGGCCTCTCGGGAGTAGCGTAATTTTCTAACTTTCTGATCTCTTCTTCCGAGAAGCTGGTACGTTGAAGACCAGCTGTATAGTCAGGCTTCGGCGTGGTGCTTCCCAACGTAGCGCACCTGATCCATTCTGCGTTGAGCTCCTCGCCGATCCAGCCGTGGAGGTGCTCACCTCGGATAAAGAGTGTTTCTGCAGAGGGTACAACCCAAGGTGTGATGTCGCGTTGAATGCGCGTCTCGTTCAGATGGCGGACACGATCAAGGACGTTTGCGAATTGCTCCTGGCTGAAAACGGACGACTTCACGACTCCACGACTTCCGTTCAGATATGAGCCACAAAGCTGTTGACTCGTGTCTTGTATATGGTTTGAGCTCTCCATGAATACTCCATGGATGGCCAAACGTGCAAGTACTTGAGACCGATGGCTCGAACTGCTCCGCCTTTTGTCTGAAGGTGTGTCCGACATACCGAAGCCTCGTCGCCAAAAGTCTTTGGGCCAGGATAAGGTGGTGACCCAGTGAGCGATCGGATCGTCAGGCCCAGGATCGATAGAAGGGCCAGCAGGGTTCGAAGGGCTGCAGTCTCTCGAATGTCGTCGGGGTTTCTCTGCTTCCAAACAAGACCCCTCCAGCACACGTTGTCTATTTTGTGAAGGCTCAGGCTCAGGCTCAGGCTCAGAATGTGTTGACGGCGAAGGGAGCGTTTGGAGTTGGGTGTTCGTTCGCAGGCTCGTAACTCTATCGAAGTGTTGCAAGCCAGCGCTTCGGCGGGAAGAGGTAAACTGCGCGCACTCCGGAGCGCAGCGGGCGCGTATGGCTACAAACAGTCAGTGAGCTCATAATCTTTCTGAAGCAGAATACGTACCGCCGTCGGGAGCAGCGTTACTCTCGTCGTATCTCTTCCTCTTAGGCATTGCCTTGCAATTCAAGCAGGAATAGAGCCGCCAGATTTGGGTGGGGCAAGAACGACAGGACAATGAAAGCGTTGGAGGAGAGTAAGAGGAGGATGTGTTTGCCGCGCGGAGACACGTTAGTGCTTCCGATCTTTCTAAACCCGGGGTAGCCTGCGTTAACTTCTTCTGGTATGCGTGCTTTAGTCATTCTATTAATTAGGAATCAACCCGCCGATTCCGAGCGGCTCTTCACGTCTGTATATTGTACATAGAGTATATAAGTATATACACTATTGGTCATTACCCATTAGACTCCCACGCTCCCCAGGTGTTACTGCGCCGCTCTTGTCAGGAAAGCGAGTTACCTGCTCCACCACGGGCAGCGGTGCACGCTCCGCCTGCGGATCCTCTACGATGATGGAGCCATCCGCGGCCTGGGACAGCGTGATCTCTCTCCGACCCTGAGTGGTGATCCAATCCTTAGTGGACCGCACACTTCCTCCTGTGTCGCTGCGATATTTCTCCGACTCCGACTCGAACGGGTGAATATGAGTGTGACTGTCGAGGGTGGCGTGTGAGGTCATGAGGCGCCCCGGCGACGTCCGGTCCAGGTATCTGCGCATCTTGGCGGTGCCGGCTCGGCCCAGACACAAGACGACCAGGACGGCGACGAGGACGCACAGTGTGCCGAGGAGGGTCATGAAGGCCGGAATGCCGTATACCATGTGGTACCTGACGCGTCGCTCGAACACGGTTACGGGCATCAGGAGGGTCGGATCCTCGTCACCACCTTGCGACGAGGAGCTGTCGTCGCGTTTCTGCAGGGATCTCTGCAGTGGCTGTTGCAGGCTTCTCGTGCCGACGACCGAGTTCGCCGCCACGTCCGTCCAAATGAGATTCAGCATCCGGGCGGCGGTCGCTGGAGTGCGCGAGAGATCTTGCCAGAGCCGATACATGGCCAGATTCGATCTGCCGGAATAGTCTGTAGTGCCCGTGCTTCCGTAGGAGGAGATGTCGTAGATTGCTCCAAGGGCATCGGCGTGAAAATCGAGACCCGGCAGGTTCTGATAGCCAACAGACAGTGGGCCTCCACCTCCTCCGCCAACATAGCCAGGGAGGTAGAGGGATTCCTTTCGCAACGTTGTAACACTCACGTTGCCTTGGTCCGGTCCTGACAGGAGACCCCACAAAACGCGGACATCGGCAAGGACCTTGTTAGTCTTCTCAACGCCCCAGAGAGGCTTGGAAGTCTCGTTGGGGTAGACCTTGTTGGATATATTGGTGATGGTTAGCCCGGAGAGATCGTCACTTCCGTTGAAGCGGAAGGAAACAGTCTTGATCACGGCTTTCGAGGTCGAAATGCACGAGTACAACGGGATAGTCCACTTGGAGCCGGGCTCGAAGACGACTGACTCGCTCCCGCCTCTCCGCCGAGGTGCTCCATAGAGCAGCCCACATGCAGCGGCAAAATTAGTGATGTTCGCAATATCCTGGCCACCAGCGCCTTGACAAAGAAGTTCTGGCAGAGTGTAAGTCGACAAAGGAACAAACGAAAAACATCAAGGCATTTTTGACTTACCGGCACTGGAAAAGTTTGACTGAGTGATCTTGAAAGGATTTGAATATAGCGGCGGAACTGATGGAGTGCTGGAGGTGCTTAGATTGAGCGAAGAGCTATAATTGTCGTATATTCCCGTCCCCTGATCCAAACCGGATAAGTAGTACCCGAAAAGGGTCGACGTCGTGAGAAGATCAGGACCCAGAGAACTGGACATGCCGCTGAGTCCCGATGTGTTGGAGCTCATGAGTGGAAAGGTCTTTCCCACGTGAGAATTGAGGTATTCAAAGGCATGAGAGTCTGGGTCGCTCTGATTGGCGAAATTGGTCACGTTCATAAACGCCATGGACCACGCATTGTTGATCCAAGCGGCCTTGTATGCGCGCAAATAGAGGTCTGGGTTTTTCTGCGTGTCCTCACGGTCCCAAAGTGGATACTTTTGAATGAGGTTCGCAAAGCCCCCTCGGTCTGTCAGCACCAGATCCGAGACTTGTCTCCCAAAGCTAGTGTATACAGGGATGGTGAAGTCCAAAGTGAGGTTCGTATCGACACAGACCGATTCGGGCTCCACGAAGAGCAGGTCTTCAGACCATGCGCTGCCGAACGGCGACACGGGTGGTGCGCTGTGATTCCTGAAACCGATTCCGCCGTTCTTCATGTCCACCACCAGGCCTTCAATGGCAAGATAGTCATCTTCCAAGACCATGGTAGAAATCTGTCGGTATGCAGTGACAGGGTAGGCCGATCCATTGTCTGCTACTAGTGCGCTAGGATTGTCGTTGATTTGCGACCAAGTGTACGATCGTGACTGGATGTCCCAAATGCTCGAGACGGATTTGGGTTGGGTTGCGAGGCCGCTTCCGAACACATCAATGACATATTGAGGTACATGGGAGTCGTAGTAATCTGCTGAAAAGTATTCTCCCGTGGCATTGGTGAAATAGGTTATGGTCTCAGGCGAGTTCGGACAATTGGCTGGGGTCCATCCCCCACAGATACGGCTCCAAGGGAGGTAGGTCCTTGGAGGAGTTCCAAGACCAAATTCTGACTTGTCTGCAATATAATGAAAAGCGGATGTGGTTTCTGTGTTGCTCGAGATGATGTCTTGGTAGAGACCAAGAGGAGTAACAATGGCCGCCACGCCGATCAAGATTGTGAAGAACGACTTCAGGGCGGAAATGGTCACCACGCGCGCAGGGACTTGTGAGGTCGCCGCAGTGTCTCCAGAGAGAATGGTGGGCCAGTAGGAGGAATGCAGGAATCGACCGACGACAGACCTAAGAGGGAGATGAATCAAGACTCGTCGCGCAGGTTAGGCGGTGCTTTCACGTACCATCCAACCGCCGTTGCAGTTGCAGCCGAATGGTTTTCATTGAGCAGCCCAAGAAGAATGACTGGTAAGGCTGTCGGAACGAATATCTGGACTAAATGATGATATTAGCCATGTAAGGGTCCCAATCAAGGCTCTATAGTGCTACCTACCAACGAAAATGGCAGCGGCGATGATACCGGACACGTAGCCGACGGTTAGGTTGTTCAAGTCAACCATCTTAACGAGATGTAAATCAACATTCCTACACGGTTTTCGTGAGGCGACACGCTTTGCAAGAGCCGCACGAGGACCGTGGCCAAAAGAATGACAACCAAAGGTCCAAAAGACACCCAAACGAAAGAAGTGTAGGGGAAGTATTCTTCAGCGAACGTATATCTCTTCAGAGACTCGCGACGCCACATTGTGACCATCCTACCTCGTACGCGGTACATATACTGCAACGCTTGGATTGCGATCAGTCGGCAGCCAATGACAAACCACGTCCATTCGAGAACCCGAATACGAAGGCTAGGTGACTTGGTGACGAGCTACACCCGCTGGCTTGAGCCGCCGTTTTAGAAATGCAATCTAGACAAGCAGCGAACACTGGGGCCAAAACCTTGTTGTACCCCTCGAGGGTGGCAGGTTAACGATCAACTTTCGTCTCCCGGATGAGGTACCCGTCCCCGTGTGCTTGGTTTTGTCACAAGCCATTATTCAATGGTTTTTCGTCACCGCCTTGTGTACTCGGTAATCGTATTCGAGACTTCTTGAGAAGACAGCATACCCTGAAAGATCGGGTCGTGGATATCCCACCCCTTTTGCGAATTGATGCCCTGTCGATCAAAAGTGCCGTGGCAGCCCAAGAAAAACAGTGGCTTGTCCAAGACTGAGTGAAACATACCTAATCGACTCTTTGACCGGGGTGTCCCATGAGGAATCGATTTTTTTCCGCGGAGGGTGATGATTATTGGGTGAACTCACCTGCTTTACCGGGTTCACTTGAAATGGTGCTTTACTCCGCACATGCACCGAGTAGGGATCTACTGGCAAAAGTGGCTAAGACAAGACGCCCTTCGAGGACTTTAGTGGTGATTCGTTGGCTGTGGTTGGTGTTGGTAAAGACTCGGACTAAATGTTTTGCCGCCCCCGACTTTGAGGAGAAGCAACGTGGCGGGCTGGGCAAAACTTCCATCCCCACAGCGGGCATGAGGCTCATTAATCAATTAACTGACCCGAAGACCTAGTACCTATGAGTACAGAGTACTCGGTACGAATACTCCATGGCTCACTAGCCTAATTCGAGGCTTCTCCCCCCTCAGGTTAGTTGCACGGGCCCCAAATGAATGGACTAGGAAAAGAGTTTCCGCCCTACACCCAATAGAATAGGCTTTTCGATCGACAGTCTACTCATACTACTGCACTACAGACTACTATAGGTTTTGTTCCCGCGAATACGAGCACATCGAGACAAACAAATCGCACGACATGTACGGTCAGTGACTCCCTGTCCCTCCCTCCAACACGGAGCAGCCTGAAACCAAAACCGATCAGTCCTGAAATGGCGTACCGAAATTTCCACTGCCCAGAGGCACGAATGGAGGCGACAGATCGAACAGGACATGACACTTCTGCATCGTCATGGATTCATCTGAGGGGCTCGTCAAGGCAGAAAATGTTCTGATCGACAAGACGAGCGACCGTGGTTGATCGACTTTGGATGGAGCAGCACGGAAGGCTGGGTTGAAGAGCATAAGAGCATCTGGCAGAGACGATTCAAGGAGGTTTGCAGGGTCTGCGCCGTTTAGTCGAGTTATTGGGACTCCAACAATAGATGCATTTCTCAAAGGCACGAACACTTTCTGGGATCCTGCATGTCATTGTCAGAGACAGGATGAGACTTGACAGCCGACCCAGCCACCAGCCATGTCGAAGTACACGGGGGCTCAACATCCTCCACCAAGCAGAAGAGTAAAGGCTTATCCCTGAAAGGGAGAATCGAGTACATGCCGCCCTTCCTGCGGATACCAGCTCGCTCTGTCGAAACAACTATCTACCTTTCATTGTACGCTATGGATAATGATGTTTTCCCTCGCCAGCAGCTTCTCATCAGTCTTCCCCAGTCTGTTCGACCGCCTCTGGGTTCTCACACCATCCTATTTCACCTTTGCAACCCCCAAGATACCCTTCAACACCCAGAATACGGTCCGGACAATCCACGCGATGATTCCCAGCAATCCTGCCACCATTCCCAATACACGCATAGCTAGCGTGCTCAATGCAGCAAAGATGATCAAGTAAAGCAGGCTCCTGCCCATGTCCAGTACAAATCCACCGGCCGTCTCCCCTTTGCTGACATGGAATTTGATCTTCCCAGTCTTGGAGTATACAAACATCATCGCCCATAGACGCCACCCCGTCTTTGTCATGAGTTGCGCCATTGCCCAGCATCTCTGACCCATTTCCTTCCCAACGGTAACGATCTGAGGGTGATTGCGAATCCACATCTGGCCAGCTTGAAGTGGTATGAGGACACAACTGCCATAGGATCCCAGCGATAAAAGATTCGGGACCTGCAGCTCGATCGTAGTGGAGCTCGCACCACTGACATTGCGGCTTTTCGAATGGCCATCCTTACTTGACTTGGAGCAGGCCATTGCGAAGGCGAGAGGTGTGGTAACGCGGAGCCGAGAGCCACCGCTTGCGGCGCGGAGATATTGAGTGTCCCTATTACTGGGGCGTGAAGTGACGCCGGTCCCAATAATGGGTAAGCTTGAACTTCTTTTCCTTCTATGGACAGCTGGGCGTGGCGCAGAAACTCTGTGTTGTGATACCTCGATGGCACCGAATGCCGCCGCCAACGGCTGTTTCATTCTTTTCTGCCATGGTGGCTCCATGGCGCTCACGGCTGCTGCCACTGCACCAGGTAGCCAGTTGACCGAGTCATGAACAGATTTCATCGAAGGTGTTGGTGGGTGCATAGTCAACTCACTAGCGCCAGCTTTAGACAAGGCTGCCTGAATATAGTTACCAGACTTGGTTACCTCTTCCTCTTTATGCGACCTCTTCAGTACAGGTTTGAGGTCAGCAAGCCGAGTGAACCTGCCTCTCTCTTGAGGCTTCTCCATCTCCAAATGGTCTTGCGTTTCCAAATCACTAGAACTGATTGGACCCTGAGCGTCCAAATAGAGGTTGCTCATACCACTAGATGGCCATGTCGGGCTCGGGTGTCCGAGACAACCTTCATGACAATCTTGTTTGCAGCACTCGGGGCAGCAGATAGTATGATCACGTTCATCGACGACATTGACGTTGTCGTGCAAGTGACTCATGATATCTTTTTGGGCTTCTGCGTTTTGTTGTGGAGCTACATCCTGGCGCAATTCTGGCAGTGGGCTTCTGTTTGGATGCAAACGTTTAGTACCCACGCTTGCTTTGGCGACGTCCTTCTGGAGGGCGGACATAGGGGTGACACTATCCGAATTGAGAAGCTTGACGTCCTGGTTGCAATGGCTGCATTTCCTCTTCAGGCCGGCGCTGCTCGCGCTCACTGCTGCGTGCTGGGGTTTTGTATCCTTCGACGCGACGGGCCCTTGGAAGGGTTGTAATCGTAGTTTCAGTGGTTTTGGCATCAGGCTCGTTTCTGTCACGAATCCGTGTTCTCCTGCTCCAGGCTCCACACTCTGTGACATCAACATCTGGCGGGTTTTTACGTCTCTTGATTCTGGCTGATTGCTTATCGGCACGATTCTGGGTACCCAGTACATCTCCTCCCTTGTGAGCAATGGGGGCCGTGCTGCTTCCCTGGGCCTGATCCTTGGCATTGGGACTGGCATGAAGGCATCGGCATTCGGGTTCATGTTGTTGTTCATGATGGTGTCTGTGCCAGTTAACGGAAGTGGTTTCGGGTGGAAAGCCTGCTGGCCATGGCTCGCTATCCAATAGTCGGGCGGCTGCGGCTGTCGAAGTGGCCGGCTGGGCCTTTGAAGACGGCGCGCATCCATAGATATGTCTGTGGACATGGTAGTGATATTCGACAGTGGATTGAGGTTCTGTCTCGTTCCATTTAGAGGTTTTACTCCCCGTAGGGGCGGAGCCCTTGGTCCTTCGACTTTGAGACCACAGGTCTGCGTCGACGGCAATAGGAGCTTCGGGGGGTTGTCGTACTCTGGGATTGGCATCACTCTCTCCCCCATAGGTTTGAGGCGCGTCGCCTCCGGGGCTATTGGGTACATTGGCTTCCTCCTGCGACCGTGTGGATGCACGAAGTCGCTTGCCCTCGGCCCCTTCGGAGGCGCGCTGTGCAAGGACTGAAATGCCGTCATGCTCGTTTCTTTCACTCCCTCTGGAGTAATCGGGTACGGTGTCTGCTCCGGGATCGACCAGGATTGGCCATTGTTCGTCGGCAGACATGGTAGTTCTTTTTCGACTGTATGATGGCCAGAGATGTTTGAGATTTTTGAATTTTGGCAGTCTACTTGCTGGTCTGCTTGTGGAACTCCTAAAAAAGGAGACTCCCCAGTTTGACTTGCAGTATCTGAGCTAGAGGTCGGAATCTTTGGTAGAGTCTTCTCCATTGTGTAAGGTCGGAACAAGCGTCCCTTCACAATATCAGGCGCAGAGGAGAACCGTACTTCGCTGCTGAATATGGGGTTCCTTCGGACGGTGTCTGTGCTTCCGCTTGTCCCTCGCTGAGGATGCGCTCCTGGATTAATTGCGTTTCCAGCTGGAGGACTCCCAACAGGCTTCCGCTTAATGGGTCTGTTGATGGTTATACCGTCCTGTATATTGGCTTGTTGAACACCAACATCCTCTTTCACATCAACTCCCAGCGACTTCTGATGAAGATAAGGGTTTTCTCCAGGAACGTAGGCTAGATTGATCGCAGACACATCTTCACCTCTCCCATGATCAAGCAATGAATCCCGGTTTTCCTGGGTTGCGAGCTTCTGTGGTACCCTCAGAGGTTGATATTGATGCTCCAAAGGCTCATCTATCAACGACGTTGGCTGGGGCGTTGGCTCATCTAGACCCAAGCTGACCCATTGGTCACCTCTTTGCCGCCATCGACTCGAGGGTACTTGGCTCCCAATCCTAGACAAGTCATTTTGGTTCCGGTCAACGGAGCCACTAGCGCTGTGGGATCCTGGCGTAACAACTCCGGTTCGGGGGTTCGCACCACGGGCGAGAAGGTAGTCATCGCTGTTGACAAAGCGGTGCATCTCCGAACCGGTGGTTGCGGTGGCTGCGGTGCCTTTTTTGACCTTTTGAACCGAGTAATCGTCCAAAAAGCCACGATTTCGGCGATCCAAGCGGCTTGAGACGTCGTGCACAGCATCAAGCTCCGGCACAGTCTTCACCTTGTAGGAGTGAAACCCTCTCTGAGAGCGATGGTCTTCATCGAAGATCGATATGCCCTCGGCACTCCGCTCTGCAACGTGCTGCGGTTGCCGGTCGTCGATACCGTCGGCGTAGAAAATGGCACTTCGTTTCACTGGTTCTTGGTCGCAGGTACTTTGACTGTTGCAAAATTTGGAAGTGTGTCGTAACGAACGCTGATGTATGAAGCCGACACCTTCTTTCTCAGATAAGGTCTCCTTTTTGACGTTAAGTGAGCCTAGTGAGGATGAGAATTTATTGAAAAGACGAGAGGTAAAAGAAGGTGAACCGTTAGGGGAAGAATGTGGATGTTTCACAGGCATTGTAGAAGACCTTGGTGGTTGCTATGACATGTACTGTACTTCATACCATATGCTGGTCTGTGCACCAAGCATGGTGGTGAGAACGTCACACCATAGTGCCGTTGGTATTTTGAGAGACGGTTACCATGACGGTCGAAGATCTGTGGGCAGAGTCATGCTGCTGTTGCGGAAGGAACAACTCGAATTGAATTCGCCAAAGGAGCAGGAACGGGGCCCTCCCCTGCATGACATTTACGGAAGGGTATCATGCTTTTTGTTTGGATGAATCGTACATCTATCAGAAGCGACCGCTCTCTCTGCGATGGCTATCAGGTTGAAGTTGAGGCCATCTTTGAGTAGCCGTAGCAGCAGGGACACTCATTCTCTTGTCCGGTGACCCCCGTTTTTCTGGACTCGCCATCCTATTCTCACGAGAAAAATGGGCTGACGCACTTTTCCGAAGAGGAGATGCAGCATGAGAATATACACCAAGACTTCCACCCTCGCCCCCAGTTGCAGTTGGTCGAAAATTTGGTTGGCGCATTCCTCCCAGAGGCCTCACGGCCGTGCCGGGGTTGGTATTGTGGATCGGTGAACGGAGATCCGGGGTAGTTAGGCGTTGTCGAACATTGGTACTGGCTATTGCTGTGTCGGGATCTGTATACTGCGCGTAGTTGGGATTTGGATTGGGTCTGAAACCACGATTGATCACCACCATAGGTGTATAGACGTCGACCTTATTGTACTTTTCGTCGCGACTCGCGCTGTATGAAGCTTGTTCACTGAACTGAGTCCCCACATCTCGATACAGTGGCTGAGTTCGTGGTCTCACATATTTTGTGTCGTACTCATGCAATACTTCTTTAGAGATCAAGGCCGAGTCTTTGACCTGAGCGGAATAGCTTAACTGAAGCAAGGAAAGCTGTGCGGAGAGGAGCATTGCGACAAACATGGCCGTTGCAATTGTGACGCTAGGTCTAGGGTCGGAAGGGAGAGTAGGTAGGAACAGCCAGTACACGAGGATGTGGCCAGGACTGAAATAGCAGAACAAGCGTAGGGATATAGGTAAAGGGTCCCAGACTGCGACTTCCCAGACGTCTCTTGTTGGATCAGGATGTGCCCTTGACCGAGCTGACTCTGTTCCTATGATGCGCGACAGGTATTGCAGTGGAGAGGAGGAGACCGGTGATGAATCGACTCGCACTCGTTTGGCGGAAGGGGTGCTCGGCACGTCGTCGACGGATGTTTCGAACAGACGATAATGTCTTTTCCGCCAAAAGGTGTAGGTAGCATTGACAGTACAGAACAATGTCAAGAAGTGAACAATGAAGGTAGCCTATGAGATATTAGATTCTAGGTGGTCTTTCATTTCGGTGACAGCACCTACCAGCCAGGTTGTCCACGCCACCCCTGGAATATCGCCAAACACATCATCATAACTGGTCGATTTGGATTTGGAATTGGCCCTCGCAATGACAAAAATGACATTCAAGGCAATACCAATGGGTGCAGCCCATTCTTTTTCCAGTTGATCCCAGCCATTGGACTCAAGTTCTTCTGACAGCCACAGGAGGAAGTCGTAGGGGTTCAGGTAGCCCTTGATACGTTCCGCGAGAGGCTGCCGCCTCACGAACTTGGGCATTCTTTCGATGAAAGGGGATGCGAAAAAGGCCCAGAAGACATTCTCCTGTAGGTGACCAGAGGTAGAACGATGCGATTGCGAAGTGTCGCTTTGAATGCCAGTGAAGTAAGGGTGAAATTTGGGGTGCAGTGGTGTCCCCAGGAGTAGGCAGTAAACAATGACGAAATGCAGCCAATCGGAGATGTCATTTGCCCGCCGACGCAACTGCGCTCAGCTGCAAGGTACATTCACTTCTGCAGAAACAGCTTCAATCTATTTCCAAAGCTCAGGCTCCAACGGTTGGCAACTATGGCAGCGCCAGTGTCGGCATACAAGGTAAATTGTATTGTCTCTGTGTGGAGGTCTTTGCTTACCACCGCTGTCTAGGATCGGCAATTCGTTGCTGTCATTGGGGACGAAGAGTAAGTCCCGCATCTACTGCTAAACAGCTGACCTCTCGACTCACTTTGGTGTTCCAGCTCAGTCACTGGCTTGTTGCTCGCTGGCATCGGACATATTACCGACCCTCCTGACTCACAGAAGAACTTTCTTGTGTGCGATTCAAAGACAGAGAAGCCTCAAATCGAGCAAGCTTTCAACAGATTTACCAAAGAGCGGAAAGATATTGGAATCGTCCTGATAAACCAACACGTATGATAAGGCGGGAGTTTTGAGGTAGAATTGCAACGCTGATCTTGCTATAGATTGCGGAGCAAATCCGAGACACTGTCGACAGATTCCAGGACCCGTTCCCTGCGGTCCTCGAAATCCCGAGCAAAGATCATCCTTATGACCCCGAGAAAGACAGCGTCCTACGCCGTGTGAGAAGACTGTTCGGTGAATGAATCAAGCAAGCATATGCCCACACACAGAGCGCTGCAATTCATGATCTATTGCCGCGACCATATGCCACAGGTTTTGGCTCAAACCGCCCAAGTGGGCAAGCCAGTGGACGGAACCAAACCCAAGATTTATTTTTTATGAGGGCAACTCCAATAGATCTACAGCCATGATTGTTCGATGAAAACTGTGGTGGCCAGCGACTGATCGGAACTTCAAGATAACATTCATCAAGTCGACAGAGAAGTATCGATTAGGTTGTTGAGCCCTCTAACAATATGATGACCTCTTTTACAAGCCTGGAATCATTCTTGCCTCGCCACTCTGCTTCATGAATGCGAGTTCTGATATCTTTTGCTCACATAGCCATAGTATTCTCACATACCTTCTGCAAAGTATCTCTGACCGGCGGTCCCAGCAGCGACAACTCACAAGGCCTTCCTTTCCGGGCAAACATTGAACCGGTGTATTCGAGCACTAGGCGTACGCCGACAGCACACGTTCATTCGTTCCTCCTTCTCTGCTAGATCTTGAAAGGAGTGCGCGGACAACCTTCCTCAATCCACGCACGGTATCTTATTTATGAATGATGGGCCACGAAAACCACCAAAAAAACTCACGTGGTGAGAAAAACCCAGAGTCGCGTTTTTTTTTTGTTTCGCATTCGATTAGCTGAGTGATGATGATTTATTTGCTCCCACCGATCGCTTTTCCTAGACCAGAGCTCCTACGCATTTCCCTGTAACCACTATGATCATATCCAAAGTCAACATATCACCCGAGTTAGGGAGTTACAAAGTAGAGCTCCTACGTTTCAATGATGCTTGGCTATTCACTTCTGGCTGCGAATTAGGGAGATGAGGATGAGGCTGTAGACAGGACTTTGTTTCAACATCACTTCGCAAGTCGAATGTGGACAGAATTTGGCGAGAGATATATTTATCTCGAGTTATTGCCGGTGAATGATTATGGAGTGGGTCCTACTTCTTGCTTGAAGCCAGGGAGTCCGCCAGCGATTGAATCCAAATGGACGCCGGCTGGGTTTGAGTGACAATGAATCAGGCGGCCGCTGGTTATCAAACATCCACTCCCAGCGTCTATCTCTACACCGACCCCAAGTTCGGATTCTTGAGCGATATCGGGCATCACCACCACTATCACCTGGCCCTCGATGCCATGAAGAATTCCGCTCTTGCCATACTCGATGAGAAACGAAGCCGACGAATGCACCATGTGGGAAGATATAGCAGACGACTGTTGGCAAATCTGCCAGACCAACTTTCTCTAAGTATGAAACCCTTGGTCAAAGGCAAGGGCACAAAGTCGCGGAATCAAGGTCCCAGTCCATAAGGGACACAGACCTCGATTCGGAGCAGCACATTCACACTATCATCTGATACCAACGTTCCTCTTCATGTATGGCGAGTAGACCATCACTGAATGCCTTTTGGGTGGGGTTGATGGGTGTTTGTGCTCTCCCGAACAAGCCACACTCAACTCACTCTACGTCACCAACTTCTCAGCTCACTTTTTCTTGTAGATATATGACTTTCCTCGACTGGACTATGACTATGATGACTACATAAGGCGAGCGGCTTTAGTGCTGTTGACGAATCCAGACGACCAATACAAGTCCACCGTTCACCAAAAATGATATGTTTGAGATAGAGACAGGAGATTATAAAGTTTGTTAGGGAGAATGGATCCTCGAGCAGAACGAGAATGTAGGAAGCATGGCATTGAAACAGCTGCAGAAGGGAGTTAGTTATTTCTTGTATTTGTATGGCCTTGCGGGTTGAGTCAAAACCAGACGAGGCTGTGACTCCTTTGTCCTCCGAAAAAGGCTTGTGCCTTCCAACTTCGGTATAAACCGCATAGTGGGGGAGAGGTTGATGTTGCACCACTAAATAGAGGATTGAGTCTTTGCCACACAAAACAGTATGACTCTTCCCACCTTGACAAGATCAGTCTCATTTGGGACCTGCTAGGATTATATTCTCTTCTACTGTAAATAGACAGTATGTGTGAAATTGGTGCTTCTCTTTCACTCCAAAGTTCAACATCTTGACCCGAACACAACCGGACCATGAAAGGTGAAGCCCAGCATCGAAGAGATGGCAACAGTCTTACACGTAGAAGACGGGAATGTCGAAATCTCTACGTCCAGGCTCCTTCTCCGAGGTGCAAGAGCAACCACTACCGATGAGGCAGCCCTGTTCGAAGCATTCTCAGATCCCGAGGTGATGAAATACATGTAAGTTGGCTCTTCTCTGCCTAGTGCTGCGCCGGCCCTTGGTCATGAAAATCTTCGATTCGAACATATCCCATAACAGAAGACTACAAAGGGGTTCGGATCCGCACACTTGCCTTGCATCCACTGCGAAATGGCTCTCTACGATGCTCGAGTCTCGGCAGAACGGTGTCACAGACTTCCTCATCACACTCACCACTTCGACTTCAGCACATCATCCCGTTGTCGTGGGCAAGATCGGCGTCTGGAAAGACCAGGAGATCGGATTCTTCCTGGTCCGCAAATACTGGGGCCAAGGTATTGCACGAGAAGCGCTTGATGCTGTCATTCCTTACTTGTTTGGTGAGGCAGGGTTGAGCGAGATTACGGCGGATGTGGATCCACGTAATCAGTCGTGCTGTGGGCTATTGAGGAAAGTCGGATTTGTGGTAAACGGATTCGAGGAGAAAACATACAAGGTTGGGGAGACATGGTGTGATAGTCTTTACATGAAATTGGAGAAGGAGACATGGCGAGAAAAGGTCGGTCTGATCTAGTGATCAGTGTCGGTTGTGCCATCCATACCCCATCAATCCCTTGATGATCCCTTCCTTGACTGAAATCAAAATATCTTCGTCCTGGTCACTGCGAGACTCAGAATGGGAATTGGCTTCAGCGAGGCTATAACACAAAGGTGAGCAGGCACATAGAAGCTTTGGATAGCGGATGCTTTGACGAGGAGGCCGTCAGCCAGGTGCAGCGATGAGAGAGCCCGAACTGCTACACTTTGATCTGGTTGAGCAGGAATGTGAATCAGTGACAAAAAATTTCTCAGCTGTCATCGCGTGAACATGATTTCTTCATTCCACTGCTTTATCACATGGTCGAGGTAGGCAGAAAGAGGATATAGTACATTGAGAAACATTCCCTTTCCGAAAACAGTTGAACTTGTCACAGTTCCGGAAGCTTCCCTCGCGAATCTGGAATCGACGGATCTGCGCCGTTCGCCAGTAACAGTTTGATCAGACTTTTGTTCTTTGATCTTGCAGCTTCGTGCAGCGGAGTGCCGACCCCTAGGCATTCAAACTGGAGATACGAAGCAGAATGATTGCTGAACATCATTTGATTGATCGAGGCGCCCTTGTTCAGCAAAAGCTGGATAATTGCTTGCGGGCGCTGGTGCCGTACGGCGAAATGAAGAGGCTGGCCGAACTTGACAGAAGCACCCGCGTCGAATAGATATCCGATTATTTCCAGTCTCGCAGCTATTACGGCGATTGACAGTGGTGTTATATCGAATCTGCAGCGTGCATTGGGGAGGGCGCCGTGAGCGATCATCCATTTCGTCGTCTCTATATCATCCTTCATCCGCTCGTACTGGTCCACTATAACGCAATAAAATTCCAAGCTTTCGTACAGATGTGAAGAGAGAGGAGATGCGGTACAGCGGTAAACCGTTTGTCTATATATGCTAGTTACCTCGCCAATCAGCCCTTTTGACGCCTGCTGCGTCTCGCTGAGGCAACAGGGGCAAGCCGTTGAAGATTTGCCTCCTGATTCTTCTGTGAACACGGTCAGAATGCCCTGTGCTCATCGGAAAAGTCACGAAAGAATACAATGCTCAACGCCACTAACACATCACTACCCCGACTCTTCTGAACACGATTAGATCTCAGCAGACTAGGCCCTTTCTTTGGCTCATTGAAGCTGTAGGAGCAGGTGGGCGCGGGCGCTCTTTCTTGTGGTAATTTTATTTGCGATGATGGCATAAAATAGATGGACATTGCAAGTAGAAGTTGCTTGACGGAGTGAATGCGCAGATTGTGTGTCTTCAAAATGCCTGCCGTCTGATTGGCTACACCAAACTGCGCTTTTGCATCATCCCCACAGCCGTACGACATCTTCGGAGCTCAAAGCTCATTTTGCAGCACTGCACGACGACGTTGAACTTGCTTCCACAGCTTGATACCGCCCGTCTTAATATCGCTGCGCCAGATATTCCTACGCGAAAGGCAGGATGCCTTCCTACGAACACTTTCAAAGTTCCGGCCGGACGCCCCTGCGTGTCTACAACAAGCAGCCAACATACGAGACCTACATTTCACCCTATGGACCAAAGTACGTTTCAAACTCGCTCTCTCATCTCCTGTCCTTGTAGATCCTTCTTGCTGGTTCTGAGCTGAATTTTGATCTCTTCCAGGACTAAACACGTCCCCAACCTCATGGGCTTGAGCCTGCCAAAAGTTCTCCGTTACGGCTCTATCGCTTCAGGTTTCGGCGTCGCGGCTGGCGTCTTTGCGATCTTTTTCTTCGGCGAAATCCCTCGCGTGAGGCAAGATATCCTGTCCAAGGTTCCCGTCATCGGCAACTACTGGATCAGGGAGGTGCCGCCGGAGGATAACCCTTTCTAAAGGAATTATGCTGGAAGAGGTTTGGGAGCTTGGGAACCAAGAGTTGCTGCAGATGGAGGGAAGGGAGCTCAAGATATGGGCGAGACCGACTGGGAATGATTGTACATATTAGATCGCGGAGAGCCTGTTGCAAGGACTGGACGGAATGTCTTGAAGGGTTGAAAGAACGCCTCCCTTGGAGAGGAAATACACATCAAGACCATGGATCAAATCAATGAAAGTCTTGTTTTCACGGCTTCCATCAGCCACTGGCAGATGCAGAATTACAGTACATCAGGGCTGTAGATTCACATTTCTGTTCCTGCGGATTGTATGTACAACTTCTGAGATAGCCTTGATCGGCACTAGACTCTATCGCCACGTTCAAAGTATACCCATTGACCCGTGGGGGTCTTTTCTTCCAGATCTTCCCATCTAAAAGTTGTTAGCGCGCACCACAAGATAAATTGAGAACAATGACGACGCAAGTCGGAAGACTTACACTTGATATTGTAGCATTTCTCCCACCAGGTCTAGCTCGCCCTCGGCAACTTGGATAACTTCTTCGATCAAGCCCGCACCGATCTTCTGCTCGATTCCTTCGATCCTAGCGTTGATCAGCAATGGTATATCCGACTCGAATTCGAAAACGTACTGCTCTTTTGTCAATGGTGGTTCCACCTCCAGGTCCTCTACAGTGGGCGGGATCCCTTCCTTGTCCTCCAGTTCCTTCTCTCGCACTTCATCACTGACAGCCCTTGCTTTTGCCTCTGCCTGAGCCAATGAGTTTGGTCCCTCAAATTTCGCGTCCTGCCTCGTGATCTTGCCGTCCCAATTGTCCACTGGTTCCACATGCAGTTTCTCACTACCCAACGAGCCATCTTCGTTGAGCAGTTTATTGTAAGCGGAGGGGCTGGCTTCGATCTGCTTGCGCACCCGTTGCAGCCATTGTTCGTAGCCCTCGGGTTTCACGGATTCGATGATCTCCAGGCGCTGTTTTGTGAGTGCCTCGGTGGATTGGCGATAAACGGAGCTTTTGGGCAGTTGGGCAAGTTTATTGAGGGTTTGTCGGTAGGTGTAGATGAGGGCAGGGCGAGGTGATGGATGTGTCGTGAGCCCTGTTAGGCCTGTTGGCGTATTCGGTTCAAGATATTTCGAGGCTGATTTGACAGTCGCGAAAAGCCGCGACGTCGCTCGCATCGTGGAGAGTGTCTGAGAGGTTTGGTAGGTGAAGAAGAATAACCCCTTTGCAACGTTGCCTAATGTGGCTGTTGACTGAAGAGTCTTGAGCTTCAAGCTTCAATTATTCATTGACGTCGAGGAGCGGCGGACGTTTAGCAGTTTGTGGTTTAGTGGTTAACCGTAATTATTACCGTGGACCGCAGGATACAGAGATGCAACAGCCACGGATTATATCGCCGAGAGCCGTAGGCTTGATGGCTTGCTCCCCTGCTCCGTCAGCCTTGATCTGCAGGGCACCAAGCCCGCCGCCGCCCGCCGCCACAGTTGATCCACACACATTAGGTATGTTACGTGACTTGAGTGGGATTTGATGCATCTTGGGCGTTCCAGACCCGAACAGAGTTCTCGATGGGCCCTTGCGACAGGCCTCAGTCTGCGCTCTCCTGCGCTCCCTTGATAGCAAGGAACATTGCCCGATGTTTTGCTACAATTCTCTGCTTTCAAGTGGGGCAGCCTGCTTGGTTCTCGAACCTACCGTATTACAATTCTTAGAATCTTGACTGATTCTTATCCTCGATCCCCGTCGCCTGCGCTGTACGATCCCCTTCCTGCGCCTTCCGCTATGGTGAGAAGAAGTTGGTCACCAGCTCTCCTCGAGGAGAGAGCTTTGTGTCTGTGAGGTGCAAAAGAAACCAGAGAACAGGAGGACCTCTAATACTCGCGACACGCCATGGTGGTCACGACAGAAGGCGGTGCGACTTTCGGCCAACCGACCGACAGTCAGATGGACGACTCACGAAGGGCTCGAGAGTTCTACCACTACTTTCAACCAGACAATCTCCTCCAACCGCACCTCCGTCGTCGCCCTTCGGTTCTCAATGTCACCAGCGATGAGGTCCCCAATTTGTGCAAGGCGCTCTCTCCCCTGTGCCAGTTGACCGCGTTTCGCTTGAAAGTCCGGAAAGCGATGATCAATGTCATGGATCGCGATGTCATGTATTTCCTGAGTGAAGCAACAAAAATCTACACAGACGAGGGCGAACAGACCATTGAATTTGTCGAAGATCCCATATTCTTGAACTGCAGCTCAGTGCCGCTCAAGGGTAGAATATGTGAGCTGACCATTCGACTCGACAATAAAGATCATGGCGCTGTACCCAAGTTCGTAATCAACGACCTTATGAAATCTCAATTTGCGCACATGGATATCATCTCGGGTCCCCCGTACTACAGGTTCTATGCAGGTGTTCCGATCACTACAAGAGACGGCGTCAATATCGGCAGTCTCGCCGTCGTAAGTCTCTCCTCCCTTCGAGTTCGTTGTTCAAATGTTGGTCAAACACCGGAAAACCCGTCGACCGCTCTCTAGGATTCATCCGAAGTCTTGCAGCTAACACGATGAAACGTAAAGATGGACACACAAACTCGTCCAAACGGGTTGACACCTGCTGAGGAGTTGTTCCTTACCTCGACCGCACAACAGATAATGGTTTTCCTCGAGACAAACAGACAAGCAATAGAAGGACGTCAGTCTCGCCGTATGGCTGAAGGTCTCGAAGCTTTCATTGCGGGACGCAAGAGTATCCATGGCGATAGGGCAGGATTTCTCCACAGTCCTCTGTTCAAGAAAAGGTCAAAGTTCGCCTATGGCTTGACTGTGCCCCTGGAAAAGGACGCTTCTCCACCGCTAAAGTCGTCTGCGCAGACTGAGTCCAACCTCCGAAACCAAACCACCGTCACTCTTGAACATGCCGAAGATCTCAGCACCTCGGATTCCTCAGATTCAGATAGCCTGAATGGGAATTCCGAGACCGATGGCGAATCAAGGACACACACGAAAACCTTTGCAAGAGCGGCGAATCTACTACGTGAATGCTTAGGAGATCTCGGTGAGGAGGGTGCCGTCGCATTTGTCACCGTAGGTGCTCGTCTGCGTAATTCGAGTAAGAAGAACGGAAACAATCTTGGCCAGGCTATGGGAGCCATTGACGGAGATCTTCAATCACTGACAAAATCATCCATCATCGCCTACTCGACCCAGTCCAATCCGATCATCCCCGAGAAGGGATTAGATGAGAGGGTAAATGGCTTAGATGGAGAATTACTCCAGGATCTTATCAAACGGTACCCTGGTGGTCGCTTATTCACCCTGGAATGGAACCCTTCCTCCTCTTCCGAGGATGATATAGAGTCTTCAGGCAGACTCAGGAGCCCTGTCAGTCAGTCGCGCATACCTAGCCACCGGAAACGGCTAGAGGTCAAGGCCATCCGTGCTGCCTTTCCTTGTGCGGGACAGGTCCTCTTTACGCCCTTGTGGGACGCTACAACTGGTTCTTTTGCATATGGCTGTTTCGTTGCTACAGCGTTAGAGACGCGTTCCTTCAATTCTTCTATTGAATTGCCCTTCCTCAACTCTTTCTGCAGCACACTGATGGGCGAGTGCTCACGGTTGGACACGATGATTGCGGACAAGCAAAAATCCGACTTCGTCGGCACCATATCTCACGAAATGCGAAGTCCATTACATGGCCTCCTTGCCAGTGTCGAATTTCTCGCCGAAACAGATCTCTCTGGCTTTCAGAGATCCCTCATTTCCACCATTGATTCCTGTGGACGAACACTTCTGGATACCATCAACCATGTCCTGGACTTCTCCAAGATCAACTCATTCCAAAAGCATTGGCAAGCTTCGAACAAGAAACACTCTCACGGATCGCGTCGCCATAACTTTTTAGGTCCAGAGAACTCTTCCAAGACTATATCTCATGGTGCCCCTGCACTCCTGCAACTGCTTGGCGTTATTGATGTATCAGCTGTGTTGGAGGAAGTCGTCGACGGCTTGGTCCTTGGTTATACATACACATCGGGATTAGACCTCACGGAGATGCCACGAGAAGCACCAGGCCGGGGGAAAAGAGTCCGCTCCGAAAATCACTGCGTGGACCCCGTCAAGATCACACTGGACGTGCAGAAGGCGGATTGGACGTTCTTGACCCAACCCGGGGCAGTTCGCCGGATTATCATGAATCTCACTGGGAACGCCATCAAGTATACGAGTCAGGGTACCATCAAGATTCGACTCCAACTACAAACTTCTTCAGATGAAAACAGCAACGATGTGATGGTGTTGACGGTGACGGACACAGGAAAGGGTATTTCCCAGGAGTTCTTATCTACTAAGCTCTTTGTGCCATTTGCGCAGGAGAATGCTTTGGCCCCAGGAACCGGGCTAGGGTTGAGCATCGTGCGGAGCATTATTCTGATGCTGGGTGGCTCGATTGATGTGAAAAGCAAATTAAATGAGGGAACAACAGTGGAAGTTATTCTACCTATCAGGAGACCTTTACCTGGTCAGACTTCAACTCAGACTACGCCTTTCTCCGACGGTGCCAGTGGCCTGAACTCTACTGGTAGCTCCAACGCCGACAGCTCGATTTCTCTACTGAGAGATGAATGGTCGGACGCGACAGTAACATTCTGGCAACCGGAACTGGAACTAGATGACGACCTCGCACGCATCGTCAGGTCGTACGTACAGGACTGGTATAACCTTCCGTTCCTGGACCAGCGATTATGTGACAGTTGCGCCGTTGTCATCGCAGAGGAAGAGAACTTGGATCATTTGCTCACTAGATTGGTGGCCACACCTGGCCGCCGTCCAGCGTTAGTGGTAATGTGTTCGGTTCTGTCCAGACACAGTGTGGCATTGGTGCAGTCCCTGGAGGAACGCATTTGCAGTGCTGTGGAATTCGTTTCAGAGCCTTGTGGTCCCCACAAGCTGGCTCGTAGTATACGGTTGGCTCTCGAAAAGCAAGCGGCGGTACGGTCACGGTTCTCGCAGGCGGACAACCAACAAGTGGTGCTTCCCAGCGCTGAGATTGCAAGTACGACTCCTGGTACAACCGAAACAGAGTCCGTGGTGGAGGACTTGGCCGAGCTCGACCTCAACTCGCCTGGTGGAACTGATAACGCCAAAATGGTTCAGGCAACGGAGACTTTTGCCGCGTCCCAAGCGAGCCACAATGCGCAGATGGCAATCCATGACCCCATAACCGCTCTGCGGACGCCGAGAAATCATGTCAGCGAAGGAGAATCTTTCCCCTTTCCCTCGCACAGTCAAGAAAGCTCAAGAAGGCGTCGCGAGAGTGATCGATGGACCAACCACACGAGCTTAAGCAACCCAGCCTCACCTAGTGAAGTCCCAACCGCTCTCTCTAGGCATCCATCGCTATCCAAGCCAGCCCCTGGCAGTGTTGACCCGCATATTCTCCTGGTGGACGACAACAAGATCAACCTGAAGCTGCTCGAAACCTTCTTGAAGACAAAACGGAAATACAGCCGGATAGAGCAGGCAGAGGATGGTCAGCAGGCTGTCGACGCTGTCAAAGCTGCCGAGGAGCCTTTCGACATCATCTTTATGGACATTTCAATGCCAGTGCTGGATGGCTTTGAGGCGACCCGAGCCATTCGGCAGTATGAAGACCTTCGTGGCTGTAAACCTGGTGCTATGGTTATTGCCTTGACTGGATTGGCAAGTGCCAGAGATCAGAGTGAAGTTTTCAGCAGCGGATGTGACATTTACATGACAAAGCCTGTGAGCTTTAAAGAGGTCGGTAAACTCTTAAACAACTGGGAGGCCCATAAGAATATCGACTCAACTTGAAACCTACGCGTTTGTGGCATGAGCCTCTTTTCTTGACAGAAGACACCAAAAGCGCCATGGTGCTCCGGCTCTCCTCCAGGAGACGGAAGTGCAGATGAATGACTTCGGCTATCTAGTCATTCTTGAGCTACTCGACTCAATTCACGACAGCAGCAAGCATGTCAACCAGGTGTGATGCCCATTGTCAGCAGAGACCAGATTGATTGCGCTGGAGGAACCAAAACCAACGTGACGAAGAGAGCACAGGCGCCAAGCACCTCTCTCAACACCACTTTCATTCTGGATTGGGACAGTATGTCTCTGCTAGTGATTGGCTTAGATCACTATCTCCACCAGAAGCAGGATGTCGTGGGAGGGAATACCAGTGAACCACTATATAGCCCCCCACATTGTGATCCCCTGTCTCTCTGGAGGACTTTATGCCAGCAACCCGCGTGAACGACCAAATCAAAGAAGTTCGTGACGAATGAAAATGTCGCCTGGAATGGCAGGAGTTGTCAACAAGGGTGCAAAAACTCAGCAAGTCAACTCACCTCAAGACAGTCTACATACATTCTCCGTACCACTCGAGCAGCTTCACCACTGCTATGCCAGATGGTTACTACTTGTGATAGCTACATGGCAACATAGCCAGATAACTAGTCAGAGCAACAGCGACAAATCATAGAAATAACGTTGAACGTTGAATTGTTTGATTTATTGAACAGTAAATAACCCTCCCATCACCTTTCTATTTCTCTATCCATCTGTCAATCTTAGACACCTACTGTACATGTGTAATCCATCGCTAATCACTCCGCGGACAACAAGAGCTGCGGTTGTGTAACTGTCGGATCTCCCGTAATATATTATCTTATTTGATGTGGTGTGTGATATGTATGTATGTATATTACACGCCGTAGCATGGATATGAACCGAGACCTGGATGGCATATATCGAATTGGCGGTACAGGATTAAAAATGTCAGGAGCCCAAGGAACAGAGAGGAACAGGGACACGAATATAGTTTCTACTAGCATTGTATGTACATGTATTTGTAAATCTGCCAAACCTAGAAGTTGTTCCACCCACATGTGTCTTATCGCCCAACCATGCACCCACCCATGAAGCCCGGTCCGTGGACCAGTCCCAGTGACGTACACACATAGCGAGAAATCGAAAACTTTTTTTCTTCTATTCTTTCTTTGTTTGCCATTTGTTCAAGACGTCACAAAGTTGAGACCGCCTGCCATGACTCTCAACCTCTTACCAAAGAACTGCAAAAACACGATCAGGCAAAAGGCAAAGGCGCAGATGGCGGCCTGGATGCCGAAGCTGACCTTTGTGCCCTGAGCGTTGGCCCACGTCACCTGGAAATAGCTGATGATGAAGCCGCCGGTGGTGCGACAGAAGTTGAGCCACGAGGCCGTCTCGCCGGACGCTTCGGGGTAGCTGTCCAGATTGTAGGCGTTCAGGCCGACGGTGGTGACCATGATGCCGAAGACGTAGAGGCCCCAGAAGACGGACGTCACCATGTAGTGGTAGCCGTCTTCGAGGGCGAAGCCTAGACCCACGAGGCCGGCCAGCATGAACGGGGTGGACACCCACATGGCTCGCAGCCGGACCTCGGGCTCGAAGTGGCCGGCATGCTTGTGGATGTAGCTTGTCGCGATGTAGTCGTGGAGCCAGTGGCCGGTGACCTCGCCCACCAACGCGGCGACAATGGGCGTGAAGTAGAAGTATCCGATCTGTTTGGGGCCGAAGTTGTAGAGCGGCGTGAGGAAGATGGAGAGGGTGGTATTGATTCCGACAACCCAGGCGAAGGTGAGCATGTAGTAGAAGCACGAGATGAAGACGGTGGGCTTCAAGATGACCTTGACCGGTCGCATGAGTGCTTGAGACAGAGAGTTGCGCAGGTGGCGGGATTTCCATTGCGAAATGCCCAGAAGTCGCGAAATATGGCTACCTCGAGGTGGCTGGGAATCCTGGGGGATTCGGCGGTCGTAGTAAGTCTCCTCAACAAACAAGATGATGAGGACAAGGCAGAGGGAGGTCTGGTCGCGTACATGTCAGCGGCTGAGATTAGTAGTTGGTAGATACGGTCTTACCTCTGCAACGTATACCCAGAAAGGGACTTGCCAGGGCTGAGTGCTGATGATGAACGCTGCAAACAATGGACCGAAATATCTGCAATGACCAGTCAGCTTCTCGAGGGACTTTCTGCGAAAGGATCACGGCCGCTTACGGGGACAGAATAATAAACGCAGCCCAGATATTGATCTTCCTCGCTCTTTCGTGGAAAAAGAACATATCATATATAAACATGAGACCGCCGCCTTGAGAAACAGTACTGAAGAAACCATTGAGGATTCGAGCAGCCATGAACGACTCGAATGACTTTGCAGCGGCACACCATATTGCAGTCGCGGTGGCAAGGACCATAAAATAGAATAGCACAGGAAGACGGCCGAAGTAGGCCGACAGCGCCACGACAACAACACCTCCAGCACCCAACATGAAGACATTGCCGACTTGAGAATGATTGACGTGGTCGGGCGTCATGTTCCAGATTGCAGCTTGTGGAAGCAACGTGACTGCTCCCGTCGCGCTGCCATAATCTGGTAGGAATGCTGTCATGGAGATGATGATCAAGATGATGTGCTTCTTGAAGCGGCTCCAGTTGAGAGGGTCGTTGGGATCGCCGGAGGGCTGAGGGAGGAGGATCGTATGGCCATCGCGGGCTCGTTTCAGATTGGCGTGCTCCGGGTCGGTGGCATCGATGACATAGCCTTCTGCATTCTTGAACTCGTGTAGCTCCGTGACGTTCTCAACAGCTGAAAGCTGGCCGATTTCTTTGTCTTCTGCCATGACTATGAACAACGAACGAGACAACAACTAGATGTAGATTGAAAAGCCTCTCGATGTATTTCTGTCCACAACCAATACCTCCAGGAAAAGTGGAGGAAGAGAAAGGACTCCATCTGGGGAAGCAGACCGTTCTTATCAAGTATGCGGATATTTTCTGGGACGGACTCGTGTATGCTACCCAGGACAGTGTAAAGATCCGCAAATCATTCACAGAGATGTCCCAGACCCGATATGGAGACTCACATATTGTGGAGACGACCTCCAGAATGTCCCGGATAGGAGATCAGGGGGGGATATGCGGAATATACCCCACATCGACCCCATGAGTTTTCCGGGGCTGCGAGCAAGTATTGCCCAAGGCTAGCTCAGTCGCCCTCGCTTAACCATGGAGCAGGTATTGGTGGTTGAGAACTTCGGCAGTGGGAAAAGTACGAGTCTGGCCACCATCCGACACCCTAACCTGTGAGTCGATTCGTCTGCATTAGCCATGTATGACGAAGCATCAAGGTTCTACCTCCAATGCTTTGCCCTGGTTCTTGGAATTCTCTCGAAACTTGTCATTTCTGATTCATCGATTCGACGGACTGCTCTCCCGGTAACGCTTCCTGGTTCCTTGTTCGGATAAGAAGCGAGGACCGATATAAGGGAACTGTAGTGGTAATTTCATTGGGCTGCCTGTAAACGACATCTGAAACCCGGTCAAGTGAGGCGAAGCCGGGTCCGTAAGCAGGTCGAATATGTTTCGGGAAATTTCATGGGGGTTTGTGATGAAGTTCGTCGAGCACTCGGCCGCAGGATGCAGTGACTCAGGACTTACCTGAAGGTACTGCCCTTTGTAGCAATCCGCGCTGTCTAGGAAGCTGACGTGCCGCATTCGAACCCGTATCTTTCACCATGGTCGCCTAAATCCTTAGCCATGTCCTCCGCCCAGCGGAAAATGCAGGCCGTCCAAAGGCCAAGTGTCAGCGCTGCTACGCGTAGGAGCAGAGTCGGTCTGCTGAGGCATGAAACCACCGCGAGAAGGATATCCAACTCTCACAAGGTTGGTAATCCTGAAGGTCCGAATCAATTCGGCTCACTTCTTTATCGCTCCCACGGAGGGGGCTCGGTCCGCAAAGAGGATGTTGGACTTAATGCTCCACCCAGCATCGAAGGTTAGTATGGGCGGGACCCGGTCTCAAATATAAAGGCGCACAAAGGGGTACAGAAGGGGTCTTCAGAGGAGCATGATCTTTGTTAAGTCGTACTTCCCCTGGCGGTGAGGGTTGGAGAAATGGAAAAGACGAGGAACCTGGACAGTGCGTAGGTATTGGTAGAGAGTAACGGATTAAGCACAAGGGCAAGAATGTACATAAATGAGCGAGCCAGGGGAAAGCAGCAGTGATGGAAGTTGATTAGTCTGATTGACGTGCTCAAGCGATCTCGGTATCGGTGAAATGTGGTTCCGAAAGATATCAGTTTCTCGTCTGCCATCTTCATCCTGTCACCACAACTTGCTCCGCCGAGGTGGGCTTCTTGGTGGGAAGGATGCTACCTTTTCGAGGGACCTTTAGCCTACGGACTCGATCAGGAGGCTACCTTGGCCTCGCTTCCGCTACATGCAGGATTCGTTCCCGCAGCACCCATTCTAGTCCATCCAAGCAACCTCAGCTCTCCCGCTCGCTCCCAAAAGGCACCTGGGACAGCCACATGCATGTCGTGGACCCGACTCGCTTCCCTTTGGCTGCCGACGCTCAGTACAGGCCGCATCCGCATACTTTAACTGACGCCAAAGCCTTTTACGCCCAATATGGCATCGAGAATATGGTTCTCGTGCAACCATCAATCTATGGAGACGACAATTCATGCATGCTGGAAGCCCTTGAGCAATTGACGCCCAAGCACGGGCGCGCCGTGGTGGTCCTCGATCCAGAGACCATCGACGCGGAGACACTGGAGAAATGGCACGCTCTTGGGGTGCGAGGCGCGAGGCTGAACCTCGTCAGTGTGTCGCGGGACATGACCGAGGATGAACTGCGCGCCGAACTGCAGAGTTATGCGAGGGTTTTGAGGCCCTTCGATTGGGTCCTTCAGCTCTACGTCCCGTTGAAACTGGCATTGCCGCTGTTGAACGTCGTCCCAGATCTGGGCATCAGAATTTGCATTGATCATTTCGGATCACCTGTCCTTCCCGAACCATTTGACCCGTCCACAACTGTATATCCCTACGACATGAGAGGCTTCGCGTCCCTCGTCAATCTGCTCCAGGATGGCAGGACGTGGGTGAAGCTCTCAGCGCCGTATCGACTTTCCAAAGACCCAGAGATGAGAGATCTAGACCCCATTGGGAGAGAGTTGATCATCAAAGGTGCGGATCGTGTTGTCTATGCCACGGATTGGCCTCACACGAGGTTCGAGAATATCAACCCAATGCCCTTCATTGAGAAATGCTATGAATGGTGTAATGGCGACGCTACATTAATCGAGAAGCTGTTCCGAACCAATGCTGAGAAGCTTTGGGATGCATCTTCAGAGACATAGGCCATGAAATGACCTCGATCGTCTGAGTTATGTCCAAAGGTATCAGCAAGTCTGAGCCGCTCTCCGACCGGACCATTGGTTGTGTGATACAGTGTCCTTTTCGTAGATGTAGAGCTGTTCTATCCGCATGTGGGATTGTTGCTTATGCGCAATTTCCATTCGAAAACTCCTCAATTGGGCCGACTTATTACTAGCAAGTTTCTCATGTAGTGTGCCAATACTAAAAGATTCCCATGTGAACGCCTGGCATGAACGTTCCAGCTGAAACAGATATTTGCGACAGTTTTGGTTGTGGTGCCTCCATCACCTTCGAGGCCTCCCCCACTGTCAAGCTTAACCTCGCTCCTCCGTCCCCACAAGGCGCAGATCTCTCTAAGGTCTGCTGAAGAAGACGGTGCTCTCCATGCATGAGATCTTTTCCTTGTCAACTGTATTGACATCGGCAAGAACGGTATACTTCCCAGGCGGCTGGAGGACATGTTAATACCTTATCTTCACGAGATCGAGGTTTGTGCAAACTCACCACTTGCTTCGGGATATCTACTTCTTTCTTCAATGTCAAGACACCTTCTTTGAGGGGACATGTGATATCAATCTTTGGCAGGTTGTCACAGAGATCTGCTTCTTGCTTGATGAGGGTAATAAGCCCATATTTGACTTGGAGAAAGACGGTCGCGCCTGGTTCGATATCCTTTGAAAAGGTTCCGTTTGCGGAAATGGTCAATTTTTGGCCCCTAATACATGTTAGATTAGAGATCAGATCGCTTAGAGGCATTCCCTGAGACGTACGGGAGAGGTGGATTGGGTGACAAGTCAACGTAGTCGACTGTTAGGATATAGTCCTTGGGATCGGCACAGAACTGGACGTAGGTGAGAACAAGCTTCGTAAATTTTCTTGCAGGTAGCTAACATTTAGAGGATTTTTGCCAGGGACCTTGAACTTGGGCTCCTCGTCCACGAGAGCATTCTGAGCTCCAAACAGAGACCGTGAAGATACCGCAGAGGCGGCGGTAAGGAGCGATAGGAGGATGGCCGAGACCTTCATGGCGATGACTCCGGAGAATCGAGGGCCCAGACGAATAAAAGTGGTATCTTGACCTTCCTGGAAGGCAGCTTGCGCAATTGAGGGTTGTGGTGGTCGATATCGCAAAGAAGAAGAGATGATACTACACAACCAAGATGGCAGATTGATGAGTGACGGAACGAGTGGCGCAGGCGCATGACTTGCCTTCCCAGGCACGGGCACCAATGGCACCCAAATGGTGGCAGCTGGTAGCGATTATTTAAGCGTCTTGCGTCACTGGCACTATCGAGACAGCACTTGTTTCCAACACACTCCACCGTATAATACTACGGAGCAGCAGGGGACACAGCACGTGTCGACCTGCTAACCTGCGGAATTGGCAGGGGATGCCAAGGTCTCCTGTCGCAGATCCCAACGCCTTCTTGTCTATCGCAGACCTGGCTCGTTCTTCCTCCATGCTTCAAGAATTGTGGTCTAGTCTCGCTGAGCGGGCAGACCTTTGTGAATTGTTACAACTCATATACTCCCTTTGATTCGATTTCGCTTCTCACACTCGTTTGCTCTGTTCACAGCCAGCATTTGTGAGGCGACTCTCGCGAAACTCGCCCACGTATCCATCTCCCTAATCACCGAATTACCTGTACTAGTCGAGCAATTCGGTTCCTGTCCTGTATAGGTCGTTTTCTGGCCAACCTACATCATGAGGCCAGTGCTACTGGCGTGCGCCCTCGCAGCCTTCTTATCTTCCTCGATAGCGGCGCCACCGGGTTCACAGCGAGGGGCGGGAGTACTAGCAAATGATGCTGTGCAAGGCGAAACTCCGGCTGACGGAGGGGAGGGCTCGGACTATACAATCTTCAATGGCATCAAGGTGCCACCGATGAAAGAGATACAAGGCGCCGAGTTCGCCGAGACGATTAAAGATGGATATTGGTGGGTTAAACACTACTCGCCATATTGCGGACACTGCAAAGCAATTGCGCCACTTTGGCAGACTCTGTACGAATTCTATGCAACATCAGATCCCTTACAGGGAATGACAAAATCTGGCCAACCCGACCTATTCTCGCCGAACAGCTTTCACGGATACTACAACTTCCATTTCGCCTCGATAAATTGCATCGCCTTTGGTGACGTTTGCGATAAGAACGGGGTAAGAGCTTGGCCGACATTCCTGTTATACAAAGATGGCGAATTCGTCGAGAAGTACGCCGGAGGCAAATCAATGGAAGATTTCAGCAACTATGTCGAAGAAAAGCTGGAACAGATAAAACCCGGCTCGAGACCAAGGGAAGGAGTCCACGTGCCCAAACCTGGCGCAAAAGGTGTCGACAGAACAGCCGAACCCGAGAACCCGCTGTCCAAGGACAAAGATGTAGCCGCTGGCGTCGCTGCCGGGGAGAAGCAGAACAAGGCTGCAGCACTGTCAACTGAGACTACATCAGGAATATTGGCCTCCGAGACCGCCAAATCCGGAAAATCTCTCAACGCAAAGACCGGTCCTCCACCGAATCCAAAGGGAGTCTCCACCCCTCTAACTCCAGAGTCCTTCCAGAAGCTTGTTACCACCTCTCAAGATCCTTGGTTCGTCAAGTTCTACGTTCCCTGGTGTCCCCATTGTCAGCACCTGGCCCCAACGTGGGCTCAGTTGGCGAAAGAAATGGAAGGCAAGCTCAACATCGGAGAGGTCAATTGTGAAGCGTCTCCGCGGTTATGCAAGGACGCCAAGGTCAGCGCTTATCCCACGATTTACTTTTTCCGTGGCGGTGAGCGGGTCGAATATGAAGGTCTCCGCGGTCTAGGTGATCTGCTTTCATTCGTAAACAAGGCGCTTGACAGCGATGTCAAGTATGTGGACGCGGCTGCGTTCAAGGAGATGGAAGAGACCGAAGAGGTTATCTTCGTCTATTTCTTTGACCATGCCACAACGTCTGAAGATTTTGCCGCTCTCGATCGACTGACTTTGAGTCTCATTGGGCATGCAAAGATTGTCAAGACGGATTCCGAGATACTGGCAAACAGGTTTAAGATATCAACCTGGCCAAGATTGCTCGTGTCTCGCGATGGACGACCAAGCTATTATAACGCTCTTGCTCCGAAGGATATGCGTGACTTCCGACGTGTCCTAACCTGGATGCAATCTGTTTGGTTGCCGATTGTACCTGAACTCAGCGCTTCTAACGCAAAGGAGATCATGGCCGGAAAATATGTTGTGCTTGGCATTCTTTCACGAGACCGACCGGACGAGTTCCTCCAGTCCAAGAGAGAATTAAAGAACGCTGCACTGGAATGGATGGATAAGCAAACCCAAGCTTTCCATCTTGAGAGACAAGAACTGCGCGACTCGAAACAGTTGCGTATCGAAGAGGCCGAAGATCGAAATGACCAACGGGCCTTGCGTCAAGCCAAGAGCCGAGTTATCAGCATCACCGAGGAGACCTTCCGGAAACAGGTCGCGTTCGCCTGGGTGGACGGTGTTTTCTGGGAGAGATGGCTTAGGTCCACATACGGCGTGGACGTCTCGAAGGGGGAGAGAGTGATTATTAATGATGAAGATGTAAGTGTTATATTGTCACTAATTCTGAGCTGTCGATGGTCTGACATCTATAACAGAACCGACGATACTGGGATGTGACTGACTCTGGGGCTTATATCATGCCCTCTCGCACTTCCATTCTCGAAACGTTGCCCCGGATTGTCGCCAACCCGCCAAAACTCACTCCAAAATCCACGATTGGCGCTTTTGAGAATGTTTTCTTCCAGATCCGAAATTTTGGCACTTATCATCCATATCTATCATTTGGATTGTTGATAATCAGTGTGGTGTTGCTATTCTGGGTGCTGAGAAATGGCAGCACCATCAAGAGGACATTGAGTCGGAATAGCTCTGGTTACTTCCACTTGGACGGCAAGGAGGGACTTTTAGGAACAACGAACGGCAAGGCTGACTAAAATTGTTTTCACTGGACATTACGAGAGAATATTTGATTCAGATGGCAGGCGAGGTAGATTCTACATGTACAGAGCATGGCATTGGCGTTCGGGTGGCTGAAGGTCGGTGAGAAGGCACGAAAGGCCTGGCACATTGTCAGGAGATTCAGAGGCGACATTGGCTATCACCAAGTTCATCATGCAAGAAATAAAATTCCTGGTCAGATCATGATTGTTCACATTGCTCGATTTCGAACAGTGCCTGTCCGAGAACCTCGATCGACGCACAAAGAGTGAGCCTGTGCGAATGCTTCCAGGAATATTTGCGCGAGATGTTCAGTCAAATGCCTCCTATTGTTAGTACTACGCACGGAGCGAGAAGGGCGAGAAGGGAGAGGAAAAAAAATCTTTGGCAATCAAGCTTCGTCCCGTATTAGGGGACTAGGCGACACCTTGAATGTTTTCAATGAGTTTTTTCTCTTTTCTACTCCGCCGGTTACTGGCTTTCGAACGCAGTAGCGACTCCACCTGGTCGACACCTTGAGTGTGTTTTGTTTCCAGCTCTCTTGACAGTAACGACAAAGGGGAATCGTCCGAAGTGGAATCTCGCCCTAGTAACGGGCAGGTATCGTCTTCCGTGTCGTGTTTCTGTATGAGGCCGTGCAGGACGATTTGGATCTCAGCTGGAGGAGAATTGTGCGGACATTTTGCGTGATTGACATCAAGAAGTTTGAGAGGGAGGTACTGTATGACAATGTGCTTTGGAGAGAAGGTTGGTGTGAAAAAAATGGATTTGTGACGTTTTCCCCCAAACTTCAATGTACTCTTGCTGGATTGTTGCCCCCCACCTTCGAAAGTCGTCAACTCCGCCAAAAAATCTACTCGCGTCGACCTGGGCGGTCGGTGCCGAAGACTCTGCGTCCACCCCGCTCCTGAGGCGCCTGCTGGCTCACGGGCACCACGTTGACGGGGATGCTGTCGAAGCCCATGCTCTTCAGGAGGTCCTTGGTGTCGCTGTCCACGTCGAGCTGGCCGGACTCGGTGTTCTGGGTGAAGTCGAGGGCCGAGATCTCGGGCACGTATTGATCCTTGCGCTCACGCTCTTCTTCCTGCAGTTTGAACGAGATGCCGCGCACGGGACCGCGTTGGATACGTTTCATCAAGTGCGTCGTGTAGCCGGCAATCTGTGTCCAGAATGTCAGCACCAATGTATCAAAGGAACAAATCCGCCTTTGGGAGTACTGAGTCCCCTTTGTGACTTGGCAGGTATCGACTTGGGAGGGTGTGAAGGGCATTCATTTACCTTGTTGCGAAGGCGCTTCGAGGCGATGATGGCGATTTCATCGCAGATGCGCTTGTTGGTCTCGAAGTCGAGGGTGAGTTTGGGATAGTACCGCTCGATGATGACTTTGGCGGACTTCTTGACGGTCTGGATGCACACATGTCTCGTTAGAAAACTTTGCCGACTTCTTGTATCGGGCACTGCAACTCACCTTCGTACGAACGCGACCCATCTTGACGGCTGGTTGGAAGTTGTCGTGAGGGATGCGAAAGTTGACAGTGTGCAGTCGAGAAATCAAATGTGGAAATGAATTTTGGGGGAATTGTGGCTGCTTGGCAAGAATAGCGCCAAGAGATAAGATTTGATTTGTATTGGGGCCCTGCCTGGATTTTCACACCAGCTCCACACATCTCTACACTCAGTCTTGGCATGAGATCGCCTAGTCCAGACACTACTTCTTGGTGGTGCTGGGAAACCTACCGTGATGGTCAATAGTTCCAATGTGGTGCGAATCTGTACAGCCGTTCGACGAGGGCAAAGATGAAATCTTGAATAGAAAAAGATGCACTTCAGTAAATATCAGAGAATTATGCTAACAAAGAGATGATGATATTGGTCTACACAAACAAGTTTTATACATCAAGTAGGCTTGCTCGCCTTGTATTTCGAGTTCGCCCGCAACAAAAACCCTATCTCTTCGTCGATACTCTGGCTGGGTTCCGGGGCTGGCCGTTGCCGTCTAACAGGAGTTCCTTTGCGCCCAAAAGTCGGCAATTGAGAAGAAATGGAGCGCTTGGGAGTCGAAGCATCCTTTGGGGTTCGTCTCTCAGCGATATTGACAGGCACATCGTCCTCCACAACCCAGTCAGGCTGCATCCGAGTCTGAATCTCAACTTTACCAGCCTGCGAGATGCTGGTCGCAGTAGGCGTTACCACGAGTTTAGGTCCGTCTTTGACCGGTGCCCACTTCCAGTTCTGTTCCGAAATACCAGGGTTTGTGGGCTGCGGAACAACAAATCCAGCCACACCCACGAATGGGATATGCTTGTTATGAGTAGACTGAATCGATCGTAGAAGGCGAGCTGCAACGGGTGATCGTGTCCCTCTGGGCCCTGTGACGGCATCGTTGGCTGCAAACATTTCTGTCTTGACGTAGGATAAGCCTGCAGATGGATGTGTGCGGGGGGGTCCAGATTCTTTGTAGAGATCCGCCGACACAGTATCACGGCCATATGACCAAGGATCGGTGGTATCCGATGATGGTTTTGGACCATCAGCCAGATCGAAGAATTCGGCAATGAGAGGTCCAAATTTACCTGGTTCTGATCGCAAATATCGGAGGTGCTCTGTAACTTCCCGGTCTGAGAGTTCTGACTGGGTCTGTGGAGCAGTATCTGCCTGGCCTTCCTCAAGAGCTTTCAAGCGCTGATCAGAAGCTCGCTGCTCAGCTAAGTGATTCTTGACCAACTGTCTAAATGCAGCCCTTTTCTCCCTGGTAATACCTTTCAGGAAAGAATCAAATTCCATACCGTTCAGCCCCGCCAGATAAGGTCCAGAGTACCGCCATCTGCGGGCAGTTTGTGTTGCTGGTGAAGCCAAAGAGGAAGCGGGCTGTGGTTGGATTGGAGTAGTTTCATGTCCAGATTTTGTTGTACCAGCTCTTTCTTGCGCAATATTTTCGAGTGTATCTCTGAGATGCTGCGGCATCCGCTTTGCTCGTTCTGATGGGCTCTCGTCTAACCATGATGTGGATGCGCCTCCGTCAGGTATTGAGGGAGGCTTGTCTGCAGTGTGGTCAACTTCCGAGTCGAAAGCACTCGTTCGTTGTGTATTCAATGTTGACTTCCGATCCCTTGGCGCAGGCAATACCACCCTCAGATTTAGCTCCTGGTACTTGCGCAACGTAAGGACATGATCTGCGGCGGACTCGAAGTCGACCACATGTTCGGGGGTGTCGATTCCTCGTTGAAATCGCACAAGAGGGGTGCCGGACTTCGTAGTAGTTTTGATCGGCAGCGGTCTTTTCAAACCCCAATCTCCTTGATTGAGTGATGATAGGGGTGTTTCGAGGGCAGCTCGAGTCGGGTACGGGGTGGTTGCGGAATCTGAGTATGATATGGGTTCTGATGAAGGTTCTATCGCTGGCAGAGGTATAGCAGCTGGAATGGCGAAGAGTCTGGAATTGCGTAGCAAGCTTGCTGCTGGTGACAGACGAGCAGCAGTCATCGCTGCGGAGTCTGGTCAGACTTACACAAGATAGACGTGCTGAGGCGATGTGGATGAAGCTTCTGCAGGCGAACAAAGCTCAAGTCGCAGTTCCATTGGGACAAATTGTTGCGAAGACGAAAGACGGGAGGCCTCTTGGCGGTACCCGCGCCAAGCCGCGCCTACGGAGCTTGCAGCTATTTAACTAAGGGTTCATCCTCTCCTCAACCCTTTCTCCTCTCCAAGCAAAAGCTGTAGTTAAGGTTTTCAGATAACGCTCTGTTCTCTTCGGAGGACTACGATGAACTGTGTGCTTAAACAATCGTGAACCTAGACCTACACCCGACCGCTGCCGCTTAGGTTAGTGGATCTAGGAGTAGTGTAAAACAATGTAGTTTCGAGCTGATTTCTAGGTTCTATATCTACTTTCTACAAATGGCGAGTTGATGACGAAGGTTATAGATTCTTATCATGAGCAAGGATCTAGGGCAATTTATATGGCGCTTTTTGAGTCACGACCGGGTGGGTAATGAACGTGTCATATAGTAGTTTCGAGAAGAAACCCGTGATAGTAGAAAGAGTAGTGCATTATAGAAACAGGCGTTCTTTATCACTGGGTCACGCGCTGCCATATTTGGGTCCTGGCTGGCGCTACATGCGGTGGCAGTTTCAGGATGAAGGGTGAGTGTGAAGGTGAGCGAGGTGAGTGCGAAGGTAAATCCTAGAGGGGCGGGTGAGTTGTTATAAAAGCGGCACGCTCGGGGTGAGTCGCACATTCTGGCGCAAGGCTACGAGGCTGAAATTTTCTTGGCTGCCAGGCTGCGTATCTGGTGTCTGGTCGATGCTGATCTTTACCCTGTAGGCAAGGCAGCCGACCATCACAATTTTCAATACTTTTCGATGCCGGTAGCCGACCTGCTGTGTGGGGGGCAACGAGCACCTCGTACAGCTCGGTCATTGACTCTCTCCCGTTCAATTAGCTTCGGACATCTCTCTTTACCAACTGACCTCCACAGACCCTGTGTGACCCAATCACGAGCCAGTGTGCGCATGTCTGGAGACACATGTTGACATGCTCAAACCACAAACCACAACAGAGCAGCTTCGGAAACAATCCACTGTGAAGGCTTCTATAAATGCTTCTAATGGCACCTCTCGGCGATCGCTTGTTGTTATTGGGTGACTTGATACACAAATTTGATGCACGAGGCAAGTCTCGATCTATATTAAGATCTCGGTTACATGGTTACTCCATCACCCCGCTTCGCCTCGTTGCCTCCACCACCAACGTCGTGAGTGCGTCTGGGTGACGTCCCAATGCTTCAATGGTTATGGCAAAATACTGAATACGGATACGAGGGCGCATTCATCATTGCAAATGCAAGCTTTGTGCCTCGGCCGAGCTGCAACGGTAATACTCTGCGACCATCATGGCTACAAAGAGCCCTTCTGCCCCGGAACTGGTCTATGGGTACTCTAGCACCATTTGCTGGCATTGAATCTCATTCTGGGAGACTGACACTTCGAGTACAGCTTGAACCTCTGATATTCCACCTTTGACCAGCATGATTGTCTCTTTGTTGCTGTCCTTCCTGTGCGTGACTGTTGGAACCTGGTGTCAAACTGTTCCTCTGCCTCCTCCTCCAGTCTCTACCAACGTCTTCGTTACCACTTTTCCCCTTACAGACGCATCTCGTGTTGATCCATTTGCACCATGCTGCAATCAGCCTCGCCGCTTGATGCTATCTCTTTTCCAACCAACGAATTGCACCAAGACTAGCGGGTTCCCTTATATGCCGCCTGCTACGGCCGCTTTTCACGACGCCATGTTCAATGCTTTTGGTATCCCTAACGGAACCTTTGAAGCATTCCGGCTCCAAACATGCTCTTCACCACCCAGGAACACAAACTTTCCCGTGCTGCTCTTCTCCACGGGATCTGGAGGCTCTCGCCTGATATATAACGTACTCTGTCAGTGGGTGGCGTCTATGGGATTTAACGTCATCTCAATTGATCATACGTATGATGCCGGGATCGTGGAGTTTCCAGATGGAACCGTCATTCTGGGCGCCAATATCACCCTGCCAGACGACCTGGCAGAAGTTACTTCACTCAGAGTTGCAGATATTGGCTCCGTGCTAAACGCTCTGTCCAACTCGACTTTGACGAAGCAACTCGGCATCCCATCTTTCAACATCAGTCGTGTGGGGATATTTGGACATTCGCTCGGTGGTGCAACTGCTGCAAACGCAATGCTGGTGAAGCCGAGACTTGCGAGCGGTCTGAATATGGATGGCAGTGTGTATGGTCCTGCGATGAATCAAACCAACACAAAACCTTTCACTATTTTTGCGGCACAGAGGCATAACCAGAGCACCGATGCCACATGGGCTGCTTTTTGGCAAGAGTTGAAGGGATTGAAATTGCAACTACAAGTCAATAATACAGAACATGGGACATTCACGGATTATCCGATCCTGGCCAAAAGCCTCGGGATCAACGCGACTATCCTTCCGCCGGTTACGGACTTAATCGGGACCATTGATGGAGTTCGGATACTAGATATCCTTCGCAGATATATTGGCGGGTTTTTCCAGGAGACTTTGGAGGTGCAAAAGGTCAAACTAATCCAGGGACCGAGCCCGCAATTTCCGGAGGTTGCTTTTGTGAACAGTTCTCTGACTTCACATACATAAGCCCTAGCAGGATAGGCTCTATCTCATGTCGGTGGATACGACGATCTTGGTCCTTCTCATTCGCTTTCCAGAAAAGCAAGGTTGTGGACCAAGGGAGGACATAGCTAAATGAGTTCTAAATTTGAATGGCTTCACGAATGCCGGGAGAGTGTCAGTGCGTTAAGCTTTAGAGATAGTCCTCCCACAGGGTTTATGAAGTCTTTTTGCCATCCTGGTAGCACCCAATCTTCAAGCATCGGCTCGCTGTGGTTGTCCCAATGTCAATCCCGAACTCCTGTCCTTCACCGACTTTTCCTACTACGGAAGAAGCTAAGTGGTTCGAAGTGAGGCGCCTGGGGATGAAAGCGATGACTTCCTCTACGAGGCATGCCGCGTCGAGCTCTCCAGCCACTCAAGAATGGCCCCAGCTGTGGTTGCAAAGCAGGTTTTAAAGCAGCCGGCGAGACGGGATCGCTTCCCCTGGGGGCAGTCACCAGCGAATTTTCCAGTTGACTGAATTTGAGTCACCAGGTTCAGGATACCAAGGTGGGCTTAGGCATTGAGATCCGTCGTCAACAACGATGTCAGAGGAGAGTGAAGGAAAGTCCAATCAGTAGTCGTACTCAAGGTCAGAGTTGGGCAGCAGGGAGGCTGCACCTGGGCGGTCCGTATGGAACGTCGATTCTCCGTCAATTCCCAATGGCATCCGCCACATTTTAACTGCGAGAATTCGACCACGCTGCCCTCATTATATCCTCATGTCTGTGACCGTTGACTTACGAAGAGCTTGCCTTTCACAAATAACTCACACCCACGGACCGATGTATATTGTCCTTTCGTTGGTGGCTGACGCGGCTTCAAAGTCAACTTGGCCTACAGCAATTGCCCACCACCTTTGTGTAGGGTCGTGTACCTGAAGACGACCTCATCCGCTCGGAAAACCAAACACTCTCCACAAGATGAGAGTTGAGTCCATGCTGTGGACAAATCACCGACTAGCCTCTGAATGTCGCAGCCTAGTCATACGACATGACATCCTAGACCCCTCCAACTCAACTGGCTTATGATTCTCGTGGAGACCGGAGAGAAGATATGATCAAACCGGACATTGACGCCATGGTAGCAAATGTGCTCGCATGCAACAGAGATTTCGGCTCGTGGACGCAGTATCAGGCCTCCTGCTGCACATAAAATGAACCAAGAATTTCCGTTCGGCAAAGATATCACAAGAGGCATGTTGGGGTGCAGGTCATCATGGCCAGGCATACTTCCAGGCAGAGAAAGCAGTTGCAGCAGCTCCGGGCCAGGGAAAACTCAGAAATGTCCTGTGGTCAGCCAGCTCAGACCCGAGCCAACAGATAGCAGACACGGGGCCGGGCTGTCCAGTGGGCGTGCGGTGGTTGCAAGATTATTCGCAATATGCAAACGGGCGGTGAAAGGAGAACCGAAGCGCCCAGGCGCAAGGACACCCTCTTCGATTGCAAGGGACACTGGCTGTGTACGTCCACGAGCGCACAGTTTATGGGCAATGATACTCTCGACATCTACTGGAACCTGGATGCTTCCTCTATCCGAGCGCGTGGACTCGGGATACCTTCCTGGACAGCGCTGCGCAGGTGAAGAGATCACAATCGTCTCAGGGAACCACGAGATTTTGAGAGGTGGATTCTTTGCTGCCCCGGGGTTGGCGGAGAGGCCCGATCTTTCGACCCCCAGAACAAGATCGTTCGAAGGAGAAGTAACAAAGTGGAAGAGCACAGTGGATGGCACAGCCCTTTTCCCGCATCACCACATTGTTGGTAGACCGTCCGCATCGAGCCACTGAGTACAAGTACTGGCGACTAAGAAGCAACCATCTTACTACTTCGTGTTCTACAACAGATTCCCTGAAGGCAGCACCAGCATCACAGGGCAATGTTAGTGCTTAGGCCTTGAACCGTCCCTTCACCGGTTATTAGCGAAAGCTTGAAAAAAATCCCTGGAAACTGGATGGATGTCATGGATTCATCCACACAGGACGCACTCTGCATTCACTCTGGGAGCCTCCATTGCTAACATCATCGATGCTTTCATTTCCACGTCAGGCGAGGTCCGGCGTTACCGAGAGAATATGAGCAAGTCAATGGAGATGCTCTAGGCCGCTCGGCAATGGCTCGAGCGGGATGGCAGTGCTCTACTTGGGCACTGATCATGCGAATAAAGACCAATTGTGCTTGTCCCAATCCCCAAGTTGCATATTGCAAGTTGCATATTGCAAGGTGCGCATAGCTTTTTGCGAGGACCAGCTTCCATGGAAGGTCTACGCCACCCGTTCGCTGTGCATTGTTGTACCAGAGGCACTGCCCAAAACACACAGCTAAAGAAGCCAAAGTCTGCCTTAGCATGAGAAACCCGGGATCTTTGTTTCATAAGAGACGTTCGCTTGCCTTCTTGCCTTATCATAACCTGTGCACACTCTACCATCAGCTTCGTCTCGACCAGCTCGCAATGGCAACGAGTCTGACACACTTCCCCTTTGAGAGAATTGCTGGGACCATGGCTCCGGATGACAATAGCATCTTGGGTTTCGCTCAGTCAGCCATTCTCCGAGGCTCCAGCGTATCTATATCTGTCGCCTCTCTGGCTCTAGCTGTCTTCGTTTCAGCTACAAACCTCTTCAGTTGTGCGATTCTCGCCCTGTGCCTGCAACTCTTATTTCCTGCGAGTTGCGAGGGACAGCATGGGTCAATCCTCCAATCGACCGGACTCGCGAGGGTTCAAGTCGTGCTTGAGCGCTTACTCCAGAAACTCCTGCGAAGGAGGGTGCAACATCAATTGGAGTGCCTATGTCGACTCGCTGAGCTAGTTCAGGAAGATCTCAACCCCAAGCAGGGATTTGGGAAACGACCAAAGCCTTCGCCAAAGCAGTTGTATACCCCAAAACAACGCCTACAATTGACGCCTTCTGGACCGCTCAAGGCCCCACGAGGGTGTCGTGGTCAGCGTTCCTCTCGGGCACCGTCGCACGAATTCAAGCAGGCGAAATACGGTCTTGAAAATTACCTGTTGGGTGGGAGAGCGGCTCAAGGGGATCATCATGGTCAACTACCACTAGAGCCACAAGACAAACCAAGACCACTACTCAAACGACGATCCCCCTCCTCCGTCCAAGGTTTCAGTAGTCTCATCAGTCAGTCATCTCAGAGGTCTCCTGAAGGAGACAGTCCTCCGCGCCCACTGCATCCTAGTCAGCCTTATCGCGCTCTCCTGCCCGCCCCGCCCGAAGCGCCACGGGCCCCCTCAATTACAACGCCACCAAAAGGCGAGTTTACACAAGCTGCGTCACCCCAAACTGCGGCCCAGCCATCCTCCTCCTCAGCTGTCTATACCTCACCACAAGTCCAAGGGCGTTCGAACCGATTGACGGCCAATCCCAGGCATCAAGGGAATCCAGTTCATCATAGCCTTCTTGTCGTCGATGCCGCTGAGTACAAGCCGCCTCGACGAGCCCAGCAGGGTCCCCCGTTAAAGGGCACTTCGGCCTCTCTCGACATCAATGGACACCTTCCAGACACGGCAGCATTGCCTCAACTGGCCGCCGGGCCAGACGGAATCACCTATTGTGGTGGAGAAGCTCCGAGAAAGAGAGCAAGAGGGAACCAGAGCTCGTCGCGCGCTCAAGGCAACGCTAGTGAGCGGGACACTAATGGGAATGGAGACTCTGAGAATCCCCCTTCGGAAGATGATTCTGAGTCTGCCAATGAGGAGCGGAATCCCAACCAGAACAAAAAGAGAGTGTCTGAGAGCAACGAGACACGACCCTTCCGCTGTCCGAAGTATTGTGCCAATCCTCAGGGGTATGGCAATCCAAAATGTAAACACTGGCGTGGTCGTAACATTAATGATGTGACTCGACATGCAGTCAAAGATGCGAAGGAAGATATGGCCAAGCAAGAAGAACTACAGAAGCGTATGAGGCTCTCTCCGCGAAAACGCTGGGAACGATACTTGAAAATTTTCAGTGACGGGACCGAGACTAACCAAATCAACGATCCATACTGGCCCGATGTCGATGCAGAAGACCTGGTGACTAATTTCCTGAGCGGCATCACGGACCAAATGAGAGGCGGTATAGATCCCGTGGGGGGGTTGAGAAGAATCCAGCAATTCAACGAATTGTTGATGGAGAAGAAGTTAAGAGATGAGCGCATCCGACTCCAATGTCAGGCCGAGAAGAGGGCTGCAATGGAGCGAGAATGTCAGGCGTTACAAGCCTCCCGACGAGAACTCGCTGGGGGGATCGAAGCGCTCCTTGGTAGCGGACCTTCAGAAACAGCACTCAATCCGACGGCCCTTGTGGAGAGGCAGAACAAGAACGACTTGGTTGGGCTCACGCCGCCAATTAACCCGCCGATACAACGATCACACAGTGGACAAGGCTCAGAAGCCGACATGAGCAGATTGGATTGCACTGGGCCGATGGCGCACACTCAACCAACGACATTCCCAAATAGCGCGATACCAGCGATATACCCACGCAACTATTATTCTACCCCCCAGCAACGCGCTAATGCGGCCATCACGGTTGCCGAATACGCCATGGATGGTACTGGAAACTCCAATATGGCTAACACCTGGGAACCCGACATGGTACCCAATCCTCCGCCAAATCCACCGAACCCTGGCCTGGCCTTTTCCAGCCCCGACGACGGTTACTTTTTGTTGCCAAATAACTACCGGCCCATGAGTTCAGTCAGCTCTAATCAGAACCATTCGCACAGTCACAGCCTCAATTATGGCGTCACGTCGAGCGGAGACACCTCTTCGTTCGACCTAAGTTACGGTCCTTTGCCTCCACAGCCACGCAACGGCAATGAAGGTGGCGGATATGGTTATGGAGGTGGCTACCACTCTATGGGACAGTAGGGGATGCAGTGCAGTCTATCTTTCCATTGGAAATGGAAGCTTGTCTCGCGATTTTGGTCTATGTGGACTAGGTTATGCGGCACTTGGTTTACGTGGCTTGCGATTTATGACGACGGGTTTTTTGAACCTCGGCGATGACATTCTGGACGGTGTTTTAACGATACTTATTATGATGTGACCGGTAATGGTAATGACATGAAATTTATGATTATTTTGCCCATGTATAGCTAATTCCCCAGCATCGTCGGGCTTGTTTGAGCTGCTTGTGGGCAAGGCTACGCAAGGCTGAACAGCCCCTATGGTGCTGCTTTTTCTCGCAAACCTAATTTTCCACTTGGACAGTCCTCGCGAGAGTCAGATCGTTTAGTACTTGCTCTATCGCCAGTAACTCGCACGTAGCGATGCAGTATGTGAAATCACCTCCATTTTGACACTGAACGGGACTAACAATGTTACTTCAGCAAGTACGATCTCGTATCCCTCACTAAGGCACGGCTTGATGAGTGCGCCACCGTTACATTCTGGGTGATCACTCACTAATGCAGCCAGGACGCCACATGTGACAGTGTGACAAAGGCAGGCAACCATCTGCGTCTGCGTGGGGCTCTGGCGTTCGAGGGGGTTTCTCTCCCTTACCCTATGATTGAAAGACCCGAGAAGGGCGAGCACGATCACGAGGATGGGGATCAATTATTCGTGCAGCGATGATGTCGTTGGTGGTCAGTGCTGCTCCATCCAGCTATGTTATCCACCCTCTCGCTCTGCCTCTCGTACCGACGTGTCCTGCTCTCAACATCACTTCGCAGTCTGGGGATGGGAAATAGGTAGGCGCGAGCCTACTTACAGTACTGAAGACACACCTCGCCGTCCGCCCTGCCGCTTCGACTACGTATTGTACCACCCACCGTCATCTGTGCTGAACCGACGGCCACTCCGGCTCAGAAGGTATCGTACATACGAACCCGCTCGCGCCACGGTGACGTGTGTGTCTTGTCTGTCTATCATTCCTCTACGACCTCCACGAGGTACCTTTGACTATCCAAGGCTCTACCTACCCACTGTATGTAGGGCCAAGCTCCTCCGAGTGACTGCGTCGCGACGACGAGAACCACCAACCCCCCCTCGGCGGGAATGGCCTGTGTCGCACCCTGAGTCTGGATTTGGAGCTGAAAAGAGACATATACATATATACCTTGGTGTGCGCGGGGAAGCTGTCAATACCCGGAGAGCGGATTTCGACTTGGACTTGGACTCTGGCTGTGGCTTTGGCTTGTGGGTAATCTATCTCTTGGGCGCGCAAGTGAACGTGGCTTTGGTGAGTGGTCTCCCATCAACCCGCTCTCTGGGCAGGGACGAAAGAGGAACAGAGGAAGGAAGAAACAAACGAGTCCATGGACCCTTGAGTAGCCAAAGCTCAACTTGAGCTCGCGCGTGGTGATTGCCTCCATAAACATTCTGTACCGAGTATATACTGTATATATATCCGCAACAAAATCTAATGGCATCTGGGGCATCCATCTTAGTCTTGAGTCTTAGTATACAAATATCGGCCCGCTAATGATACAAAGTCATCCATAAAGTCGTGATGCGAGAGAGAACTAACTAGCATCTCCTCGATTTGCTTTTTGCTTTGTTGCTATTTTCGCTTTCCAATTTCACACCTCCCCGCTCAATTCAGTCCAGCACAGCACAGCTCAGGCCAGCCCGGCGCCCGCGATGAGGCTAATTACGAATACCATCGCCACGAAGAGGCCACCGAGGCTGTCGCGCACGTGGACCGTGCTGGCGCCCGAGCCGCTGGCCAGAGTGACGCTGGCGCTGGCGCTCGGGGTTGTCTGGGCCCCGTCGCTGGGCGATTCTGTCGTCGGGGGTTGGTCCGCTGTCGTCACGGTGGTGATGGTCGAGGGGCCGGCAAGCGTCGAGTCGGTCGCAGTGGCTGATGCCGATTCGGTGACGGTGGTGCGGGTCATGGTGGTATCTGGTACGAAGGATGAGTCGGAGGTCGAGGTCGAGGTGGATGTCGTGGACTCTTCTGTTGAAGTGGAAGACGAGGTAGTGGTAGTGGTAGATGTCGTAGACTCGGTCGTCGAGCTGGAGGTCGATGATTCCGTAGTAGTGGAGGAGGAGGTCGTCGTCGTCGTCGTGCTCGATTCCGGCTGCGACGTGTCCTGCACCTGGAACCAGTTCGCCGTGACGGGCTGGCCGATGCCCGCGGCGGCAGCGAACCCGGTCATGTCGAAGCCCAGCCGGGCGTTGGAGTCGGGCGAATCAAAAAAGGACTGGAACGACGACGGGATGCTGAACCCCTTGGGCTGCGAGTACAGCAGCAGCGTGTACCGGTGCGCCTTGTCCCCCGGGGGAGGCGTCGGCGGGGTGTACTCCACGGCCGGCGCGTAGGTGAAGTTCTGCGAATCGCTGCCAAAGTCGAAGAGGACTTCGGACGCGCCGGCCAGGTTGGGCTGGTACCAGTGCAGGAACTGCACGCGCGAGTTGGCGTCATTGGGAGAAGTGGCGTCCTGGTCGATCATGAAGATCATAAAGTCCAGCGTCCGGGACGAATCTTCGGGTCCGTTGACGGTGGGGAGTTCGAGGACGTCTATTATGACAAGTTAAGTTAGTCCACAATAAATCCAGAGTGAAAGGATAGCTGCTTACCATCACGAGATATCGTCATACCGGGCGGGTTGACGATGGTGGCAGAACTCTGGAAATCGACCCGCAGATTCTCCGAGACTTGGACAGGAAAATCCGGCGCCGATTGAGCGTGTACGATCGCCGCCAGGGCAAATAACAGAAAAGAGCGTGAGGCGTGCATATTAATGACTGACATGATGTAGCGAGCACAAGGCTGTGTGAGAACGACGGAACGAGGGCTGACTATATACACAAACTGGAAAAAGGTAAAGATGGAATAAAGATCGAACAAGACACTCTTTCGTCTTGGGACAGGTAGGGCTTTGGGGCCGTCCCTTTATTATGTACTTACATACTTCTCAACCCTTGAGGCTAGGGCGGTTGACGGAGATCTTGTAGGGGGGTATGAATAAGGTTGCCTTTCGAGACAAGTCCCGTGTTACAAGCTCGGTGATGTACCATGCAAGGCTCTGTCGCCGAGGCCTTGGCCTCGACCACCATTGAGTCGGCTAAGATTAGATCGATGCCTTTGGACTGTTGGTAAAAAAAAATTGACCATCTCGGCGCGTTGAGGGCGGAGTCGGGATGTGCTTTACTTGGACTTGGCCGGCGTTGGCAGGTCACCTCACTTGAAGAGGTCACAGCGAACATAGGCTCAAGGACCGAATAATAAAGGAGAAAAGGTGGGCACAGCCACTGGCGAGACGCTCAACTGTCGGAGCTTGAACCATTGCGCGTTTCAGAATTGGGAGGCGAGAGAAGCGCGAAACAAAAGGCGAGATTGGCTTTGGTTTCAGCCCCTGAGGCGCCGCCACCACCAGCTCTGCGCGAGGCTGGTGAAGCGCTGCACCGCCACAACCACGTGAAGAAAGCTCTGAAGGCATATGGAAGAGATGAAAGGATGAGCAAAAAAGTATTATCGACTCCGAAACATACACCTTGGATATGGTGTAGCTACTCTTTTGTCTCTGGCAGATCGAGCCACAGATAGTATACATAGAGAGCTGCCTCATATTCACTCCTTCCCCCATAACCGAAATACTCTGGCTTCAGACCACCGAAATCCAGGTCATCCTCATCGTATGCCTTCTCCCCAATTCCCAGAAAGAGCAGCTTACCACCCTCGCAGTCACCACCGCCATTCGCCTTGGTCAGGTCCTGGAGCAACTTCCACTCCCGTTGAAATCTCTCCACGAAGTTGGGAAAACTGGTGTCATTCTCCCCCGGCGTCGCGGTGCAAACCCAGATCGCCACATCCTTCACCTTCTGGTTGGCAGCATGTCCGACAGTGAGGTCCACGTCGGGCTGATTCTCTCCCCATAAGGGTACACTGTGGGAGACGACGTAGTCCTGCCTGGGATAATCTTGCCTGACTTCCCTGCACATGCTCTTTGCGAGATGGGCGTAAAGGTCGTATCGAGCCCAACCTCGCCAATCAGCATGGAGCCAGAATGAGGCGATCTTCTCCCAGTTGGAGTCGAGCCAGTTTTGGATCTCGGGGATGACGTCGGGGATGGGATGAGCATCCATGGTCGACTTGTTGGAAAGATCGGGCTTCTGCTTACATACATGTATAAAGGGAATTGGAAACGGGGAAAGAGGATTTGTGAAGCCAAGCCGCTAGGAATTACAATGACTTCACCAGGTGTTCTATCACCGAGTACTCCGAATAGAGCCCTAATCCAGCTACAACACGCCTTCACACCACCACCCACTCCCTACTCAGTACTCTTTACAAGTATATGCCAACGCCATGCTGATCTTCATCCGGCTGGCGCAAGACTTGTCAGCGTAAGAATGGTTTTCGCCCCGTAGGGTCTAGCGTACACCTCTACAGTATCTCGTCCTTGGATTGACAAGGAACTCGGTACTCGGAGGCATTCGTCGTCTTTGCAACTGCGCCTCATCCTTTAACGTCGCGGGGAAGAAGTCCCGCCGCCTGGACTTGATTGACTACAACTACGTGTACTCGGTAATTACTCACGGATACCCATTGCCCAATCTGGAGTAACGCGGTCCTTGGACACTCAGTCTTAATCGAACGTCCACTCACCTCAAGCCAGTCAGGCACCTGTATTTTCACGCCCTTCTGCCGTGTCTTACCTTGGAATCGATTCAGCCATTGCACTGACGTACTCATATTCCCACCAACGAATGCTGTGGTAGCCCATTACTGCCGATTTAGCCGACTACGACAACAACGCGATGTCCGAGCATATGGATTTCGGGTGTTGTAAAGGATTCAACGGACTCAATTTCGCCTTGCTACAAGCCACGCACCATTGCTGATCCATGGCGAAGAGAGTTAGTAATAAAGTCGAACGATCAGGAGCCTTGCACGGCCCTGGCTGCGAGCTGACAGGTCTTCCTTGCGAGATAAACTAGCGGGCCATACACGTCGTCCTCTTTTGCCTATATAAACGGGAGCTTTCAGTCAGCTCTCGGCACTAAGCCGTGATACAGGTGCTCCCCAAAACAGCTCGACTGCGAAGATAGCCATGATTTTGACGAGGTTAATACACCTTCTCTACCTTGTGGTAGCGGTGTGAGTCGTGTCATGTTCTGAGTCCTGCTCGAAGCAGAAGCTGACAACGCAATTCAGGGTGTCGGCGAGGAGACACACGTCTCTTGGGAAAAGACAGTCGCAGGGAGTTGACTACCCGTCAGTATATCTCGGTTCCGGACACAGTCTTGCTTCTTTGGGTCCTAACCCATGAGCAGCACCCACAACTTTACCATGCCGATTGATCACTTCCATAACGAATCTCGATACGAACCTCATACCAATGCCACATTTCAACAGCTGTACTGGCTGGATACTACCAACTACGTTGCCGGAGGCCCTGTCATTGTCCTGGCCATTGGCGAGGACTCGGCCACGGTTGACTTTGAATGGCTCCAGAAAGGTCTTCTTCACAAGATCGCCAACGCCACGGGAGGGGTTGCGGTCCTGTGGGGTCAAAGGCGAGTGATGTTGGTGGAGTAGGTTAGTTTTGGTATTGACCGTGAGACAGATACTACAGTGGCGGCGACGTTGTTCCCAGTGGCCAACCATATACAACTAAAAATCTTCGCTTCCACAGTACTGAGCAAGCCATGGCCGATCTTGCCTACTTTGCCCAAAGAGCGAGTTTCGCAGGGCTTGAAGATCGGAACCTCACCGCCTCTACAACCCCATGGATTGTCCTGGGAGGCTCGTACGGGGGAGCGATATCTGCCTTCACCCGTATCCAGTATCCCGACCTCTTTTGGGGTGGGCTATCATCTTCCGGAGTCACTGTCGCCATCGAGAACAATTGGCAATATTTTGACGTGGTACGGCGATATGGGCCTTCGGAATGCGTCAAAAGACAGCAAGAACTGACGAACCTGATGGACAACATCTACTACAGCGGCAACAAGACTGCCTTGTCTGAGCTTTACAGTGGTTTCAATATCTCCGACGCCACGGAATACCCCGATTTCGCATATTATATTACCGGTCCGTTGAACAGTTGGGACCAATCCTGGAATTTCCCACCCGATCCTCTGAACGGTAAGTGTTGACTGCATCAATCGCAACCTCCAGCCTTCCAGTGGCCAGGACTAACTCGTCTCGTGCTCCTCCACAGGCCCGGGCTCGTACTGCGGCTTCATTACTTCTCAAGCAAACGCGACAGTGGCGAGTGCGGCTCTTCAGACAACGGCACATTCTCTCCTCGCATATGCTAACAAGACTGCTACTCCCAACGTGACGGACCTCTACTACCCACTCCTAAACTTGTTCTCGTACGTGCAAACCAAGTACAATTTCTGTGCCGGAAAGGCAGTGAGCGAGTGTCTGTTCTTGAACACTCCCGTGCCATTCCAGTGGATCGAATGCACAGAGTACGGATCGTTCTCCACTGGATACATCCCTGGGACACCAGGGCGCCCAACAGCCCTACCGCTGGCCTCGCGCACTCTGACGCTAGAGTACTATCTCGACCAATGTCACTCCACCTACAACATCACGTACGACCCACAGCTCCAGCGGTTCAATAAATACGGCGGTTTCAACATGTCCTATCCGCGCCTCGCCCTCTCGACCGGCCAGCTCGATTACTATCGACCGCTCACGCCACTGGCGGAGTTCCTCGAGGATGGGAAGCCCAATCCGCGCGTCAAGGACAATGGTACGGACAGCAATCCGCAAATCGTGATCGAGAGCGGGTACCACGAATGGGATTTCCCGGGCCTGTTGCCCAACGAGACGGACTTTCACATGCCGGCGGTAGTGGCCAGTGCTCAAAACAGAGAGATCGAGGCGGTGAAGCTCTGGCTGCAGGAATGGAACCAGACTCACAAGGTCTGACAGCCAAAAGGATATTTTGGTTTCAAAGTCCTTTTTTTTTTTTCCATGGTTGGGGAGGTTCGCCGCCTGAGTTTGTGTCGTCAAGGTTTTGGCCAGACACGGTTTGATGGAACTATTGGGCTGACGGTGCAAACAGTATCTCTAGTTCAGGCATAAGATGACAAGATGGCAATGTTGAGTTTGGTTCTTAGGAAGCATGTGGCAGCCGCATGTCTGTTGCCTGCTGCCTTGGCATCACGAAATAAAACACATTAATCCCTTTATTTCGTTCTCTTTGGTGTCCCAGTTATTATCAACATTTCTTGTCACCGTTTCCAAGCAGGGCAGACGCCAGCCCAACTGCGCCTGTTGCAGACATGTGCACGCCGAGTCTACCAACACCAGCAAAGGCACGGCACCTCGTTTTCTCCTTCGACCTCCGGGACCGCATCGGCGGCTGAGGTGACTCCGAAAAGTGGGAAATCCTATGTAGCATCTCCCCCGAAACAACGGGCATCGGCAGCGACGGGGGGTGGTTCTTGTACCTCCAGGTACGCACGCTGCCACCGAAACCCTGGCCACTCTCTGTCGCCGGAATTCCACTCTCCCTCCAGCCCAAGACCGAGCAGCTTGGCGATGGACCCATGCCGACAGCACGGCTTGTCTCTCGGAAGAATGGCTCTATCGCGCGCAAGACCAAAATGGGCGAGATATGGAGGATTGGGAGCCGCTCTTCCAAGTCATCAGGAGCCACTTTCAGGAGCTCGCCATCGAGATAACAGAGGTCATGTACATGGGTAACTCAGTATCGTTGTCTTGAAGCACCGCGATACTGATATGAACAAACTGCCGTCTCGCGCCGGAAAGATTGGTTTCGGTCAAGAAATATCGATGTTACAACCCCATATTCTTGAATTCGCTTGATTCAGGCTCCATCGAGGACATGTTCTTACTGACATCCTTTCAAGCACTCCCCAGAGACGACGACGCGTCAGAAAAAGACTGGAGTTTCACAACATGGAGCGCTTTTTCAGATACGCGCCAAAAGAAGGGTTGATGGAACCAGCACGCCCATACTAGATCGCGGATAGACTGCGAACCTTCATGACATGCGACCGACATACTAACGCTATCTGGCAGGTTGCAGACGCAAGGCTCTCCAGGTATCATCGCAAAAATAACCTCTGGACGATAAAGAAGGGCCATCTTCTCAATGTTGATCTCTCTCACGAAGCGACATCTAGGGGACCTCTCATTCGAGCTGGTCTGCCTGCCCATGTCGGTGATGACAAGAGCCCCTAGCCAGAGGCTGGCTGCAGGTCTTGTCCGGATGAGCATGTTTTCTCAAGACCATGGACTCGAGCTAGTCAAGGCATGGTAGCGCAGATAAGGGGGAGGGGTAATCTTGCTCACTCGGTAGATCCTAGCAAAGCATGAGTCCGGCAAAATGTCCCACCACGAAATAAAATGACCCTTTTTCCTCGGGTGCGAGGCTGGCCCGCCCTTATACAGAGGGAGGTCTCTATGCTCTAATCTACAAAACCATCCATGTTTGACTTTCCCCCCCGCCTAATCTTCCCTCTTGTCCGCTCAAAGCAAGCTCTTACGAGTACAGACCGAATGCACCAAAGATGTTTGAACACATCTTCGCAATCTTTGTCTGTTACTGTGCACTCATCGCCACCGCCACCGCTCAGGGCACGAAGAAGAGTATCCTCGAGACGGTGAAGAGCACTCCCGAACTATCCAGCTTGGCCGCCCGTCTCGACGACTTCCCGTCCTTTACGTCGCTGCTGGAGAGAGAGCAGATAACGCTGCTCGCGCCGGATAATGCCGCGTTGAGCGAGATAGAGACAGAGGCCGCGGAGAACATCACAGAGTCGTTCTGGCAATACCACGTCCTCGACGGCACGTTTCCCACCTTCCCCACGAACTGGACGCGATACCTTCCCAGCATGCTGCAGGTCGACGGGTCTACCGAGTTCGTGGTCGCGCAGACGTCGCTGCTCAGCGGCACCACGACCTTTTGGTCCGGTGGGCAGAGGACGTCGTACACAAGCGGGAACGTGACGAGCTGCAGTAACGGCGTGGTCCACGTCGTCCAGCGCGCCCTGGCACTTCCCCGGAATTTCAGTTCGACGTACGCGCAGAGCGTCTTGATCAAGTATCCCTCACCTTTTGCTTCCACTAACTCGAGTGGTGGTGGTGGTGTGGACGTCAACGTCAACGTCGTCAAGAACGGATCTACCGAAATCAAGTCAATCGACTCCCTCTCCGGCGTCACCGTCTTCCTACCCATCACCCACGCGTTCCAGGCCATCGGCTCCGTCGCGAGTACCTGGACCCTGGAGGAGTTGCAGCGGATCATGTCCTACCACGTCGTCGACGAGGTTCTGGTTCCCGACGCGGCGGGCAACCTCCCTCGCGGGGAGTACTCGACGCTCGAGACCTCGAAAAAAGTGGTAATTTCCGACTTGGGAGGTGTCCAGTTCGTCAACAGTGCCAGGATCGTGGGCAAGTATAACTGGGTGTTTGAGGGGGGGACAATATACACGATTTTCGGGTAAGTTCTTACTTAATAAGGGATGATAATTTGCCGCCTTTCTCTCTTTCTCTTTTGCTGAAGAAGCATATGCTGAGATCTACGCCAGAGTGCTGAATCCTGACAACACCACCGTGGCCCCCAACGCCAGCGACTCGGGCATTGCATTCGCGGGCGCCTCCTTCACCACCGACGTGTCCTTCCCAATAACATCTACATCTTCCACAAACTCATCCTCGTCGTCGTCGGGCGGTCTCTCGGTCGGAGCCAAGGCCGCCATCGGTGTCGGAGCTGCTGTGTTCGCCATCATCGCAACGCTCCTGGGGTTCTGGATTTTCCACCGCGGGTGCTCGAGAAAGCGCGCTTCCGCGAAATACGAGAACGGCGGGTACCAGCTCTCCGACATGAGCATGTCCCAGAAGAACCTGACGTCTCACCCGGGAACCATGGGGCGAGGGACTTGATAGTCCCGCCCACTGATGATCTCTGATACGTTCCGCGGGGCTGGAAGGCAAGAATCTAATCAGCGCTGCCAAGGTCAAAGAGTGCCATCTCCCACCGAAGAAGTGTATGTATATCAGCAGTGAAGATGACTAGACGTGGACTGGCCTTGCAAACCTAGCGCAGTGGTCGTAGGACCAGCTGAGCATGTTTCCAAGAACCACGAATGGACCATTCAAGTTGCACATTTCCTATTTTGTCCAAGGATTGCGGGTCACAGAGCCCAAATTCGGGATAGGCTGGTCGACCACCCCACACGGCATCAGAGAGAAAATGTGCTCTCCCATCTCTCAACTTTGCGCCTGACGGTTGATCTCCCCGGGGCCTGGGCTGCAGGATTCGGATAGGGGTAGACTGGCAGACGATGCGCAATTCGTTCATTCACTCACGCCCGTCTCTGGCGATCGTGGCCAACTTCGCGGGGAAAGCGCCGTGAGTGGTCATTTTGAGCTTCGGAGCGGATAATCAGGTGGCCTGGTAAATCTGGCCTTTCAACGATGGTGATATACCTTAAGACGAGTTCTTGCACTAGGACGCTACAAAGTGGCTCGTCTCCTATAATGTGTGGCCGCGTGCTGAAAATTGGTACGTCCAGACTGACTCAGTGAGCGTCCCGATCAGTCTGCTAACGTGGCCTTAGGATATAAAACCATAGTCGCATGACGGAGCCGGGGGATGGAGAAGCTCCAAGAGTGATTGTTTCAGGGTCAGGGGTTCGGAACTAGGCAGTCATAGACAAGCACTCGTCCGTGTCTAACAGCGTCGCTCATGCTGTCTGGTCTCTTCGTTCGAGTTGGAGTAGTGGACCTCCTTCTCCTTCTGCTGAGCCAGTCCTGAAAGAATAGGGGCCATGTCCAGTCTCGTGATACCAATCTTTCGATATTGCGGAGTTTGTCCGTTGGGCGTAGGTGACCCGACCATATCTCGTAGCATGCTTTCGAGCAAAACGTGACGACATATTGGTGTCAACACCATAGTCTCAACGGAGAAGGGTTGGGACCGAACTCGATCATCTGCGGCTAATCATCTTCTCAGCAGAAGCTAGTTGTTGACAACCTTGACACCATCAGACCTCTCTTTGGGGGCTTGAAGTTCAGAACAGAAATATGGGGGCTACCAACAGTGACCCCTACTATAGGAGGTAGTAGTGATTCGACACCACTGAGAACTCCTCTGAGCTTGCTCAGGATCACTCCCGCTTGGGGGTTAAAGGTTCGGCTCAAGGGATTCAGGTATTTGTCTCTAACATACTGTAACCCGAACATACTGTATGAATAGGCAAGTGCGCGCTGCCATTTGCCTCGAATGGCATACGCCAATGGTATCGAACTCGTAAAGTCGCAACAAGCAAAGATGATATTAGGCCATTCTCAATACTATCTTTCGTGTGGGGGTCATATTGGGCAATGTGACGGCCTCGATCCCAATGGCATTCGCCGAGAATTCTACGAAGGTGCAGGACGCGATCGTAAATAAGAGAGAAGAGTCGCCATTGCACGGTAGAAAAGAGGCTTCCCACATTGTCTGCGATGGAGGCACAAAAGTTGTACTCGCATATTTTGCTCAAATACCGCTGAAGGACGGTGCTTGATTATGTTGAAAGTCAGAAAATGGCCGAGTGAGTGAAGGCGCTGGCCACGTGCCTGCCAAGCCATGTAATGATTGTCGAGACCCGTGCGACCATGACGATCATTGGACATGACATGCCTCGAGGGCTCCATGAGATTCGAAAGTTTCGGGTCTCATTGTTGACAAGGCACCACAGATACCACGATACCAAGGCATCCATCGTACTTTGTCCACTTGTTCATTTCTCCTGAATTGTGCTCTCCCGATTTAGCAAAATGGTATGTCTCGCTGCTTCTCTCCGGTCACAGGCTGCTAACATGTCTCAGTCTCTCTCCGACTCCAAAAAGCGTCTGGCGCTGTCAATAATAGACTTCCTGTCCACCTCTCTCAAAGATGGCACTCTCACGGCCGACGATGCCGACAATATTGAGATTGCCAGCAACTGCATCGCAGAAGCATTCAAGGTCGATCCTTCCGACAAGGCTGCCGTCTCCGAAGCCGTCGGTTCTCAGTCCTTGCTCAACATCTTCTCGGTCTACGAGAAACTGCAGGGAAAGGCTCCCCCCACTGAAAGTCAAGCCCCTCCTCCGCAGCCAGCCACCTCGCAGGCGATAAACCCCGAGGCAGAGAAGCTCAAGAGTGCGGGCAATGCGGCTATGCAACAGAAAGACTACAAGACCGCAATTGAAAAGTACACCCAGGCCATCTCCTTCGCTCCTACAAACCCTATCTACCTCTCCAACCGTGCCGCCGCCTATTCTGCAAGTGGCGATCATGCTTCCGCAGTAAAGGACGCCGAACTCGCCGTGGCTGCAGATCCCAAATACACAAAGGCTTGGTCAAGATTAGGACTGGCGAGATTCGCCATGGGCGATGCCAAAGGAAGTGTTGAGGCCTACCAGCAGGGCATCGACTTTGAAGGAAATGGAGGCAGTGAGGCCATGAGGAAAGGTCTGGAGACTGCAAAGAAGGAACTGGCTCGTATGGAAGCAGAGGAACAGAAGATACCTGAAGATGAGGTTGACGATGCTGCGGGTGACACCCGTGGTGGAGGCGGAATGCCGGATCTCGCCAGTCTAGCAGGAATGTTCGGTGGTGGTGGTGGTCGTGGAGGGGGTGGTATGCCCGACCTGTCCAGCATAATGAGCAATCCCATGTTCGCATCCATGGCGCAGAACATCATGCGCAACCCTGAGGCTCTCAGTGGTATTATGAACAACCCGACATTGCAGAATTTGGTGAACAATCGCCGAGAAGGTGGAGGTGGTATGCCTGACATGAGCCAAATTCAACAAATGATGCAGGACCCTCAACTCGCAAATCTGTGAGTAGATCCCGAAGGATACTGAAGACTTTTGCTGACAGCTACAGTGCGCAACAGTTTATGGGTGGAGGTGCTGGCGGCGCTGGTGCTGGGCGGGGTGGTCAACGATGAACTGGAGGGAGATGATTTGCTCTGTGACATAGGTAATACGAAGGAATGATATGTCAAACACGACGACGATAGCATGCCACATATCGAATGCCGATACAATGTGACAATTTGAGAAATCCTTCGTGTGGTACTTGGAAGCTCGATTCAGTTTTGCCGAGGGGTGTTTCTAAGCGCCATGCTGAGCTACTCTGAATCTTTTGTGCAATAGTATCCTCCCGGGCGCATTATCGGCTGACACCTGACACTTGGTTGGGTATATCCTCATGTGAGAATGCTATTCTTCGGCCGAATCGCTGTACCCCCCAAGTCCTCTTGCATGAAGCTAACGTACCAGGCCAATACCAGATCCGATGTGCTGGCATGGATGCGCTGCAACACAACAGCCCCTCCTCGGCAGAGGTACATGAGATGTGTGTCTATGTGGTGATAAATGTCGTGGGTGTTCTACGAATGCTCGTCCTCCCCCCTCAACGTCTCGGATTTGTTATCCACACCTCCCTGAATCCAATCTGACCAATCGTGGTCGCCTTTGCTTGCAGAGCCTCACCATGGCTTCCATCGCCGGCAAGGTCTTTGCCCTGACAGGTGCAAGTTCTGGTCTTGGGTTAGCAACCTGCTGCAGGCTTGCCAGGCTCAACGCCAGAGCTATCTCTATAGGTGACATCAACCCTGGCCTTTTCGACAGTGCAAGGAAGAAACTACAGTCGATCAACCCTGATATGCAGGTGTCGATGACCAAAGTCGACGTCGCTTCGAGCCTGGATGTGAATGCTTGGATCAAGGACACGGTCAACACCTTTGACGACCTCGATGGAGCGGTGAATTGTGCAGGAGTCATCAACATGTCGGCCAACCAACAGACGCCCCTGTTCTTGAACGAAACGGATGAAACCTGGAGCCGAGTGGTGAACGTGAACTTGACCGGGATATTGTACAGCATGAGGGCGCAGGTGAAGGCGATGATGGAGTTGCCCAAGGCGCCGCGGAGCATCGTCAACATTGCCAGTGCGGCGAGTCTATTCCACGATCCGACCATCCTGTCATACTGCGTGACGAAGCACGCCGTGGCATGTCTGACGACCACGGTATCAAAGGAATTGGGCCCGTTGGGGATTAGATTAAATGCTGTCTCTCCCAGTGAGTCTTTACGTCAGATCCCCCTCCGGCCACCCGTGTGCTAACTCGTTTTTCCAAGGCGCAACGAAGACGGGGATGGCGTTGTCATGGTACAAGGACGAAGAAGAGGCTGAGGCGGATATGGCCAGGCGCGGAGTGATCTTGCTTGACCCAGAGAGAGTGGCCGAGACGATAACATGGTTGCTGAGTGAAGATTCGACTGGAATCAACGGTGTCAACGTTCCTGTTGGGGCGAGCGCTTCATAGTTCGTGCCTGCAGTGGGCTGTACATAGTCAGCATTGAGCATTTGGGTATACCTAGGGGTGAATGGTGACCTGGTGTAGAGATGGTTTAGGGAGGATGCCGCCGTTAAACTCTCCCCGCCACCCGCCCGCCTCGCCTGTGTTCCCGCCGAACCATCACCGCCATGGTGGGAGCCACTTCCCACTTCTTCTTCCACCATCAGCATCCATTGTCCATCCTCGGATAACTGCGAGACTGACTTTTTCAGTTTGACATCATCCTGCAGTCTTTCCACGCCACTCCTCGCGCCCACTTCATGCGAGGCATTTCCGCATCCACACACCCCTCACGCCCGCCAGTGCTCGCAACTGCGCCGTTGATTGGCCTCAGCCCACAAACCAAGAAATCCTGCGCCAACTCGTTGCCCCTCAGCTTCTCGAGCAATCAGTGTTTAGATAACCGTTCCTCCTCGAGCAGTCGTCCTTCCCAGATTTTTGCTGCAACAGCGGGTCCAATGGCGGGGTCGACGCTTTCTGCCGTCGCAACCAAGCTGCGGCAAAACCTGAGCTGCGAGGAGCTCATTCAGGAAGCTTGGAGCTTGGATGCTCTAGCAAGCTCTTCGGAAAAAAAGCTTCCTGCTAGAGCTCTGAGACTACGTAACTCACAAGTCATGGCAGTGGTGGCACCAGCTGAGCCCTTCTAGGGATGAAAAAGGTGGGCATGGGTGGTGTTTGCGATCCCTCCTGATTGTCATTCTTTCATCGTCTACATCTCTACCAACCCTGTAACTGTCTCTCATCGATCTGTGCCATCCTTCTTCTATCCGATTCGCTCGCTATCTCCTAACGGGGAATATGCTGTGGGCTGTTCTCGCATTCATCAGCCCTCTTCTGGGACAAGCCTTGGCCTAGTTAGTAACGTCATCTGCTCCCCTTTGGCGATTATCCAGCACCTAATACAAGTGTAGCGACTCAGGATACTGGACGCCGACGACAACATCATATTGGACACCCACAACCACATCGTATTGGTCATACTGGACACCCTCGACAACCTATGTGACAAGTTACACGCAAGCAAACGTCATCGTCACAGTCACCTCTGTGTTGCCTTGTCCTGTCACTTCGACGGTCGTGTACTGGGAATGCTGCGACCAATGCGAAAACAACTGTTACAATCCCCCGACGGTATATCAACCGACTGGATGGGTTGGAACCACGACGGTGACTTCTTACACAACCACTACCCCGGCCCCGGAGGCCGTGCAGACCATCACCAGCAACGGACTGGTTATTGTCATGGTGGAATCCACCGGGGCGCAACAATCGGCGACACCCAGTGTGGTCTATGAGGTTAGCAACGAAGCAGGACCTCTACAGGAGGGGCTCATGTCGAGCCTCTGGCCGATGGGTATAATGTTGGGGGCCATTGCGACGATCATGATAATGTTATAATAATGCCCCGGGTGTCACATCTCACAGGTTAGTTATTGCTATCTGCGTGAGAAAGAAATCCGCTGTCATGTTCTTGTATATAGCTGGGCGACTCCATGACTTTGACGACTGATTGATTTGATGAGATACCGATATTTGAGTGAATAATAATGATGGATGAATATTGCTTTTGCTGATTTGCCTTGTAGCTGATTAGGGCTCATGCACGTTATTGGCTCGTGGACAGCGACAAGGCTCTGAACGTCGTTGCTTGACGCGATAAGCTTAACGTCATCTGCGCCCCAATTGGCCAGTCCAGCATCGCCGATTCCCCCCTCCCATTTCCCATTATCTATCACCCAAACACACTCGTATCAGTTATCGTCCGCCTGCGAGTTCCTTTCTCTATCAGGGGGGAATTCAGCTCCGCAAAATCTGAGTCCTCTTTCTGCGTTTTTATGTTTGAAAAGGTTCCGGTGCCTAGCCCTGCGATCTTCACTCAACATCTCGGTCTGGATCCCGCTGTCCCCCTGCACTATCGACAATCATGTCAGCAGCCACGAGACGGAATCCTGGATTGACCGATTGATTGATTGATTGATTGGTTTTTGTCCCGTTTCAACGTTTCAGCGTGTGTCCCCATTACGTTACTTTTATTTGATCCCCATGATTTCGCGCCGCGCCGCGCCGTTACTACCTCCATACCGGCTGACCCTGCATATACATACGGGGACATAAATACTTACCCTCAGCACGCAACACGACCACACATTGCAAACCCGCTATGCCATCCCCATCCAGCCCAACGGCTGGGAACGCCAACGGCGGCGACCACGCACGAGCGCGCCCAGCACCGTCGAAAAACAAGTCATCGTCCTCGACGTCCTCGCGGCGGCAGCGACGACGCAGGAAACCCGCCGCGGGGAGTGCCTTCTCGGCGCAGTTCCGGCTCAACCGACAGCGCGGGGAGACGGAGGCGCTGCTGGCGACGCAGCACGACGAGGAGGACTTTGCCGACAGCGATGGCCTGTACCCACCGCACTGCACGTGGACGAGCCGCGACCAGGACCGCCTGGGCGGGCGTCCGCCGGCCGAGGCAGATCCCTTTGGCAACGCGCACTGTAACGTCTATGAGAATATTCATCGGTGAGTTTGATCAACGGGTCTTCTCCTGCTATTGTCGTCTATGTTTGTCTGTCCAGGTGGGACTGGCTGTCGATATCTGTGCTTTTTGTTTATGGACCTCGGTCGGTTGAGCGAATAGGGTGTCTGGATGGGACTGGGGAGTATGCAACATCATTCGAGGGAGTTGGATCGTCCTTGGAAGTGCCACTCAAGCACAGCATGAATGCAGAGACGGGAAGTCGAGAGAGAAGGGAGAGCATTTGATTTTGCAACCTTTTGACGAATGCGAATTCTGACGTGTGATCTGTCCGGTATAGCATACGGAGAGACATCATCACAAGCATCGGTGAGTGCTTCCCGACAGAGGTCGAGCTTGGTTGCTAGACTGTGAAGTCATCACCACATGCTGACATTCGCTCTGCCAGATGATCCCTATTCTCTCGACCAGCTCAAAGCTCCGCGGATGAACATCTCTGTTGTGCGGCCATTGGTCGATTCTCTGTACGAGACAAACGACTTATCGATCGGTCTGGTGCCCCTCATAACTCCTAGTTGAATCGTGACTGTGTTCTCCATGCTGATGCATACTTTTGGTCCAGTGTACTGCCTGCTCGTCAACCGAATGCAATTCATCCGTGAACAGTCGTACGCGACGCACCACCAGACGGTGAACCTCACGCGCGCGCTTCTGTGTGAGCTCGTAGCGGAAAAGATCCTCCGGCGATACAACGAGCACAACCCCGGACCGAGGGGCCTGCTCAAGCTGGCAAATATCCTGGTTGCGGGATTCGAACCGTTCCAGGGCGCGCCCGACGAGGTGACCTCGCAGAGTCAGCATGCGATGCACTACTGGACCGCCCAGCGGAGATCCGAGTCCGGTAAAGTGGAGAGGAAACTGACAGCCCTGGAAGTTGCTATCGTCAGCGCCAGCAAGTCGTTTCTGGCGAGCAGTGCTTGTCAAAAGGTCGTGGACGCCATTTACCGAGGCAAGGTCGTATACACGCCCAGCAGTTTCATCGACATCATACCCGACCATTGGAAGAAGAGACCGATTTCCCTGTATGACCCGCGACGAGCCCCGTTGCTGAATCAATACAGATTGATTGTGCCACGGACAAGGAACTTGATTGAAGTCTGTCAATTTGTCATTCTACTCGCCCTATACATTGCGGTTATGGCGGCGCGAGAAAATAGAATGGACACCACTTACGAGGTCCTCGAGCTGGTCTTTGATGTTTATGGGGCTGGTTGGGTACGTCCTTTTTCCTGTGAGAAATGATGGATGGCTGACAAGGAGATCCTGCCAGGTGCTCGATCAACTCGCATCTATTCTCGAACATGGTTGGGGTGTGTATACTCAGAATTTGTGGTCGTTTCTCGATGTCATGTTCTCGACAATATTCATCATATACCTTGTCTTACGAATCTGCGCCTCCTCCTTTGTCGACGAGGAAAAGTCCATTGCCCTCGCGCGGACTGCTCTGGACATTCTCAGCTGCGCCGCTCCGGTGCTTATTCCTCGACTAGCATTCAACGTCATGTCGGAGAATATGTTGTTTCTCTCCTTGAGAGCGATGATGTCTGATTTCCTGACACTGACTGCGCTGGCCGTATGGTGCTTTGCGGGCTTCCTCCTGAGTCTTAAGTGGTTGCATGCTGGCGCTCATCAGGCTGTGACGATCGGGGAGTGGATGATCTGGATTTGGTTCGGTCTCGACGGGACTGGTATTGATCAGTCCCCAGACTTCCATTGGCTCCTGGGACCCGCCTTGATGGTGTTGTTCGCTTTCCTGGGCAACACGTTGTTCCTCACCGTTCTCGTCTCGATGCTGACAAACACATTCAGCGGCATCGTTGGCAACGCTGTTCAGGAAATCCAGTTCCGGCGAGCCGTCCTTACTTTCGAAGGGGTCAAATCAGACGCCATCTTTGCGTATATGCCCCCATTCAACATCCTCGCACTGATACTTGTGCTGCCTTTAAAGTGGATGCTCTCCAAAAGAATGTTCCACAAGGTCAACGTCGCAGCGGTCAGGGCGATCAACCTACCAACATTGCTAATTGTTGCATGGTATGAGAGGAGAACGCTCTGGATTTCGGACAAGCGGAAGATTGCCAGCAGCAAGAAAATTGACTGGAAGCATCCCGGCGGCCCCAGGGCGACGCCTGCGCAATATTGGGCTCTCTCACGGTTTAGTGTACATGGAGATATCCACGCAGTGTTCGACATTGATCCACCACAGTCAGTACTGGACAAGATCGCCGAAGAAGACAACCTGAATCACAGCGACGACATGGGGATCCTTTCCAACACCAAATTGCAGGACCAATTCACGCACTTATCGGAGCAAAGAAGAGAGAGTCAGACGGTGGATTCGAGTCAAAACCCACCAGTCAACCCGGAGCCTGCGAAGAGCGGAAGGAGAGAGTCACAGGTCGACCAGAAGTTGAAAGACCAGTTTCGTGACTCGAGTGATGAGGGTGGAGATGATGACCAACATCCGCCCGGTTATCGCAAGCCAAACAGGCGCGAAAGAATTGACTCACTGGTTGACCTGGACGGTGGACAAGACGGCCGATTCCTGGAGGCGACGGCGAGACTGCACAAGATAGAAGATGCCTTGGAAAGAATGGAAGCCATGCTTGCTCAACTGATGGGCGCGGGAGATGCCAGCAGCGAGAACAGCGAGGGGCGGGAAGAACTCGCTTCGGAAATACGGGAGAATTCCATCAAATGAAGGAATAATTTGGCAGAGTTAGAGTTATGTTTTTTTAGCAAGCGAAGAGATACCAAATTGTATGAATAACAATTGTTGGTTGAACATGCATTTAGCGTGTACACACCATGTATTCTCTGATGCTGGAGTGAAACTGCGGTCACCCAGCGGTATCGCTGACTCAGCCTCGGCGGCTGGTTGCCCGGTCGACTGGGTTTTGTGTTCTGCGCACCCACCGTTTTCGCTAACTGCGACTGCGGCTACGACTACGACTACGACGCACCACCTCACATTATTGAACTCCGCAGCATATTCCCCAGACAGACTCTATCGCCAAAGCAGCAACACAGACACATTCTCGCAACGATGACTACAGCCGCCATGCCTCCCTCGGCATTCGCGACCAGCACATCTTCCTTCCGCGCGTCGCAGTCGCAGCAAATCGCGCCACCCATGTCGTACTCGGACAACCCGCTCACGCAACTGCCTGCGGTTGACTTCAACTTTGAAGATCTCCGCAAGCGAATGGCCGATTTCACAGTCAAGTTTGACGCATTCATTGAGAGGGGAAGAAAGAGGGTGTTGGAGGAGAGGAACGAGTTTCGGGCGCGCCTGGGAGAGTTGAATGGTAAGTCCCTCCACAACAACAGCAGCAGCAGCAAACAACGGTTCGCTTTGCGCAAAGACGGAGTCGGAGTGTTTGTCGGGAGAGCCACAACTGATTGAGGTTCTCGTACAGAGGAGCAGAGATCAGCAAACACACAGATTGTCACCCTGCAATCTACCTTGTCGACGCATAGCCAGGTCCTCGCCCGTGAGCAGGCAGAAAAGAACGAGATGCACGCGCAAATATCCAAGCTGGAGTCACACCAGGCGGCGCAGTCGGCGCAGCGAGACCGGCTCAAATCCGCCATCGCACAAACGCAGCGGCAGATCGACGCGAAGTTACAAGCACAAAGAGAATACGCTGCGAAGATGGATGGCCAGAGCCGACTCAACGGCCCGGAGCTCAGTTTTTGGGAGACATATCTGGGTTGCCGCATCGAAGGCAGCGGGGATGAGAACAAAGTCAGGATTGTGTTCGTGTTCCCACCAGCGAAAGGCAGTGGTGGGAATTCCACCGACGAGAGGGAAGGCCTCTTTGAGTTGCTGGTGCCGGATACCGGACGCGGGAGATACGACGTGTCGTATACGAAGCCTAGGTTAGAGAGTGTCAAGGTCGCAAAGGTGGTTGACCGGCTAAATGCGACGAGGGAGATCGGGACTCTTCTCAAAGGGATGAGAGGCTTGTTTGTGGAAGCATTGAAATGAACATTCTCACAGTGGGTTGACGGTTCACGATGGCGTCTATGATCTTATACCCTCGCGAATAAATGTTTTCTTTCCAACCATCATGACCGGAGGATTGTATGGTCTGTACGAGGTACACTTGTAAACAGGTTACAAGGGCACTAAAGATAGCCACAGGCGGATGATGTTTTTGCTTCGGTGGAATAATCAGCGAAAGGGGGCTCGGCCCGTCACCAACATGACATTATGGCGTGCAGCGCAACGCAAGTGCATTACGCCAAGCAACAATTGACACGTTTCGAGAATCCCAAAGCATCCCCAATGTCCAGGCCCCGGTTCTAGAACCCAGCATTAAAATCATGTCTTCCACAAACATGTCTTCGATGCCTCAGGGAGGTACGTAATGTACACTGTGATCGGTTGTAAACGTTCGCTCATGCTTACTTACCGTGGTAGACCAAAAATCCAAGAAGAAGAAAAAGTCCAAGAAAAAAGGCAACGCGCAAGCCGCAGCGACTGAGACAGAGACGGATGCCCCCACGACACCGGTCGACGCTCACGAGACGCAAAATGGTCCGGACGACGAGGATGACGCAGAAAATGACGAGCGAGAAGCAGAGCAGACTGCAGTGTCCCCCGTCAAAGAGGGGTCAGGGGATGAAGCCCCCGAGACGGTAACTGTTGCCAACGGGGTCAAAGATCTGTCGATCGACGACGACGACAACAATAATGATGCAGCCGCCCGCTTTGACGCTCTTGTCAAGGACCGTGATGCCCTACGACTCGAGGTGACGGAGCTGCGCAAGTCCCTGGAAGAACTGCAGGCAAAGCATGCCACGGAAATCGAAGCGGTCCAGACAGAGCTGGCTGAGACGCAGGTCGAAAAAGAGAATGCCGAGGAACAATACCAGTCCTTGCTCGGCAAGGTGAATACTATACGGTCGCAGTTGGGGGAGAGATTAAAGGCCGATGCAGTACGTGATGGCTTGAGCCAGACGATTTGATGAAGACGGCCCATGGCAAGACTGACAAGTATTCTACAGGAGGATCTAGCGCAGGCACGGACGCGGATTGAAGAGCTTGAAGAACAGAGATCCGAGTTGCAAGAGCGCTACACCGCCCGTTCAGCTGAAGTCGAAGAACTCACGGCTCGAAATGCCGATCTTTCGCAGAAACAGTCGGAACAGTCCAAAGAACTGTCCACTCTCCGCAACCGCCTGACGCTTTCCCAGCAAAACTGGATCAAGGAGAAGGAAGAACTCGTCGAGTCCGAGGCCTACATGCGTGACGAATTCGAGAACGCCAAACAGGCCATGCACGACTGGGAAGTTCTTGCCATGGAAGAACGCACCATGCGCAAGGACCTGGCGGACCGCAACGCTGATTTAGAGGAACAACTCGGATCGTTAAAGGAAGCGTACGAGAAAGCAGTCAGCGAGAGGGACACCTACTCGTCAACGGTCGAAGGCCTTCAAAAGGCACTCCAGGAGATCCAAACACTGCGAAAACAGGAGCTGAAAGAACTGGTCGAAACTTCTCAGAGCGAACAAGAAGACCTGCGAAAACAGTTGTCAGACCTCCAGGCGGCCCATGATTCGACCGCGGCGGAACTGGAACAGACCAAGAAAGAACTCGAGCGAGCCCTTCCCTTCGAAAAGGAAGTCAAAGAGAAGAACCTCCTGATCGGCAAGCTGCGGCATGAAGCCGTCATTCTCAACGATCATCTTACTAAGGCGCTGAGGTTTCTCAAGAAGGGCAAGCCCGAGGATAACGTGGATAGGTGGGTTTTTTCCCCTTTCTCATCTTTTGCTGCAAAAATGTCTCCGAGTGCCTTTTTTCCCCTTTGCATACAGTACACCACATGTCTCCGAAGCCATGTGCCTGGCCGGGCCCTCCATCTTTGCGTTGTGGACGAATGGGTTGTTGCTCCATTCCTCGTTACTCCGCGTTTCCAAAAAAGAATCTCTCCCGAGGCACGCCTCATCGATTCAATGCAGTGTCAGAACTATAATTTTAGAATACTCTCACACCTCCCCCCAAGTTTGCGACGATCATTCGCCACATGACGAGGCTGAGGCCTTTTGTCGGCCCAATCGTGTCGCTGTACCCCCTTTCCACTATCCTATCCATCAGCCCCCCCTTTTTCGCCCTTTCGCAAGTCTCTCTCGTACAGCCCAATCCAATTCTTGTTTAGTTTGGTCTTTTTGCTATTCTCTCTGGCTGACTGACGAGCGCCACACGCCCTTCTCCTCGGAGGGCGGACGCTTATTCCTCCTACACAGACAGATAGTGACGAATCACTTCCTGCACTTCCTGGCCCTCGACCGCTCGGACCCCAAGAAATTCCAGATCCTCCAGCTCATCGCCGCCCTGCTGGGCTGGAACGACGAACAGCGTGAACAGGCCGGCCTGGCCAGGCCTGGGACGACCTTTGGCGGGTCGACGTCGACCACTGCCGCGGCGACTTCGAGCTTCAACTCCCTGCGCGGCTTGGGTTCTCTGACGGCCGCCGTCGCCTCTCCAGGCTCGCCCATTGTGCACAGGACCCCGAGCACCCCGGCCCTCAACCACCCGGACTACTTCGGCGCCGGGCCCGAGAGCGCCACCAGCCCGCACTCCCGCGAGACCCTGGCGGAGCTGTGGCAGCATTTCCTCGAGCAGGAGGCCGCCGCGGGGAGTGCAGCGGCCAAGTCGTCGAGGCAGGGGAGCCAGAGCCATGGTCATTCAGGTACCACTCCGATTCCAGGTTCAGGTCCCGGTCCCGGTCCAGGAGCATCTGCGCCGCCGAGATAGACTTGGAAATCTCACAACTCAAGGATTTCAAGCAAGCTAAAGCAGACGACCAAAAGTTTTCAGACATCTTGACATGAAGGGAACATGAAAACCAGGAACAGCATCACCTGATGAAAGAAAACGAGCGCAGACCGGCTCTGTATAATGTCTGTAACATTGTCAAATAATACATGCAAAACGCCCCAGCTATCATGATCATTGTCGTGTGCTTAATTGCGATCGTTTCCTGTTGCCCTGTTACTTGTTGTTCTTGTCGACTGTTCTGTCCACTCAATCCAACCTGGTTCCAGCCCAGCCCATTCCATTCATGTTGTTCATTCTCAACCCACGTTGCTGCTGCTGCTGCTGCTCTAATAGCCTGAAGCAAGTCTAGCACCTTGGGCTTGAGTGACCAGCAAAAGAAACTAATTGCCCACTCCGAAAATAAACATCAACTTTCAAAGTGACAAGAAAACCGCGTACATCAAAGAGAGTCCCCCACTGAAGGAAGGTCGTGTCGTCAACAAGGATGCCCATCGGCGTCACCGTTGCTTGTAGTTGGTGTCGCCCGAGCATTCAATCAAATGACAAGCCCTTCTGTCCACCCGTCCAGCAGGGTGGTATAATAGTGTTCCATCGGTCGGCGTCATGTCGGCGCTATCGTTAGCACCAGAGGTTCTTGATCCCTCGCCGCACAGTGAACTGCTACGTCGGATCAACATTCAGAAGGAGGTGTCCTGGCCGTAGAAGGTGGTAACTGATAGCCGAATCTCTTGATCAACTCAGGTATAGCGTTCTGCAACCAAAATATCAACTCGTAGTCCAAGGAAGCAGAACGCGTCGACTTACCGGTTCGCTCCAGTTCATGTTATGAGCATCGATCTGCTTGATCATGCTCACATTCAGCATCGCCGGGTCTTCCGGTGCCCATCGCATTCTCAGCACCTTTTGGTCTGGGTCAAAACCAAAATGGATATGGCGCAACTCGACTGCCGAAGGGGGAATCGCACACTCGTCTGCGATCTCCAGCATCCGTCCCGCTATTTGCGCCGCATGATCTGTATTCCACGGACCCTCGGTCACGTTCAACAGTCTCAACACGTTCATCGCTCTTGTCCTAGTCTCAGGTTTCGGCGCCGTGGTCGCCACCAGGAAGATAGGCGGAATGAATCCCAGGCTCGGTGGTTTCTTCCTTCGCGTCTCAACTGTAGCTAGTGGGTCGTATCTTAGAATATCCTCAACTTCAAGGACTGTGAAATTAAATCGACAGCGACGCGGCTCCTCCTGCTCCACTTCGTCGCCTGTATTATCATATTGCGTTCGTGTCTTGAGTTGGTCCAGCAGTATGTTTGCAGCGACATTATGCACAACGAGCATGCGTCGGGTATATACAGGCCCAGTGGCCGTGAGGCTCTGGAACAGATTCATCCACTTGTAGAGGCGGGCGTCGAGCCCTTCTACCTGTTCAATGAGGCGAGGACTTGGACTGAGTAGTACCGTAGCCTGATCTTTGAGCGCGAGAATGTCCCCGATACAGTCGTTCAAGTAGTTGCCTGCATCCTCCAGGCTATTGAATTCAGGGTATTCCATGTTCATGATCCTCACATCGCGTGTTGTCAGGGACAGTGCACTCATCTGGCTAGCCAGTTCCTCGACACGACATTTCGAGGCGAACTTAACTCCGTCTCGAATTGTTGGTTCGATGTATCTGATGATGAAGTCTTTGGAGGGGTCATTGGGTCGGTGTTTGCTTTTCCACTCCCCCAAGATCTTGAGCGCGGCCTGCATATGGTCGATGGCCACCTGGCCACCTCCATTGAAATTCTCCAGCGCCCAAAAGATGACACATGCCGCGAGCACAACATCAATGGACGGTCTGTCAGCCACCAAGGCGCGGATGGCACTGTTGTAGTGGAACACAAAGTTATGGTTTGCTCGCTGTGAGGCAGGGCCGACTGTGGTGAGGTATCGGTGTAGCGAAGCAAGTGCGACGAGTGAGTGCTTGATAGAGGGTTGATGCCATGTAGCTTGAGGCAGGAGCACCGTCCATAGATATGGCTGCGAGTATACTGAGATCAGGTCGGAGGTTTTTTCGAGGAAGAACTGGAAGCTTTGTGATTCCTCCTGCGTGCCGAATCTGGGAACAAGCGCGAGCTCTTGAGGATGAGGATCGGTTAGCGAAGTCGAATGCCATTCACTGTCGTCAAGTGAAGCAGGCTCCTGTCCAGACACGAGGGCTTGGCTTGTCGCGGGCGGGGGCGTTGAGCTGGAAGCTGTTGATGAGGCAGTTGGATCAAATAGCTTGATCTTAGGTGCGGCATATCCATTACATTTGAGGTTTGATTTGATGCATCTGGATCATATCAGTGATGGAATTAATGAAAGTGTCAGATGTCCACCAACCTCTGGCAGGATGGTTTGCCCTCGTCGCACTTTATCCGTCTTCGCCTTATAGCAAGAACAGTTTGTCAATGGAGAAGGACAGTAGAGGGAAACATTTGAAGGCTTACTTGCAGGTAAGACATCCATTGAACGTCTTTGGTGCCCATTTCTTCGTGCGTGCTTTATCACCCGGCATCGCACGAGAAGGCGGATGGGGTGGTGATGCATTGGAGTTGCCCACATTCAGATTACTGCTCATACCAGTGCCGGATATATCTTCAAGCATCTGACAGACGAATTGGTCTCCAAAAAGAGTCAGTGTTGTCTTCGGATCGGTCGAGGCTATGGGCAGAGCAACGGTAGGCTCATAAAACTGCGGGAGTGAGTATCAAATTCTCTTTTAAACGCAAATCAGAACTGATAGGAAAGATCCGGTGTGCAGTGATATAAGTGCCGTGCCCGAGATGCAGTTGGCTGGACAGGAAATAAGATGGTCTCCCGGGCATTGGGGTCGGGAAGGGACAAATCACCCTTCAATCCGAGTGCAGAGTAACATTAAAGGTAAGGCTCAGGGCGGGAAGATCAGGGGAACCAGGGACGACGATGGCTTCTGGGGTTCTAAGAGAGTAGAACGACCCTCAGCCTCATGAGTTTCTCCTTTTGGTTTGCTTTCCTATTTCTCTGAGGTTTTGTGTCCGGGTGAACTCACCACTGTGCGGCTATGTTGGGGCCTTGTGTTCATGACCGAAGGACTTGAGCAGATCGTTTGTTGATATGGTACCAGCATAATACCATGTGGAGACAGCAGTGCAGGAGCTGAATGGGATTGAGTGGGACCCAACACCAGGGGAGGTCGGCGAGGTCCTGTCATTGATCGTCCCTCGTGTGCTGTGACTTGTGAAGGTGTAAGTACGGGAACTGGACCAGTCCATTTCTTCTCATCTGGAGAAGGCACAACCGTGGCTCAGCAGCAGAGACATTATGTAGTCCTGTCCACATATGGGCTGTGCCACTCTAACTCACCGGGGCGGGACCCAACGGGGTCCCTTTGGGCGTACAATAGATAGGGCCGTACGGGAATCCCATTCCGGGTTCAAGATCGGAACGTGGAAGAGTGCCACGACTCTAGATGTCCACGATTGGGACCATATCGTGAGGTAGCGCCTCTTGCGGGCAGCTGCTGACACAGCCGGGTTCCTCCCAAGTATACTGGAATTCTCATGTCCTGTTCTGATAGGACGTACTGGGCGCATAGCAGGAAGGATGTCCCAGTAGTAGACGCAGACCATCGGGTGGAGAACGGGGTGCAAAGTCCACTTGTATTAGGGCCGTAGGGCTTAACGTTCCCGTACAAACTCAGGAGATGGCCCATGCTATCCACCCACCGCTGCTTTAGAAGTCTTCTGCTCGACTTCGAGATCGCGACCTCGCTAATGATACCACGATGAGTGAATAAAGTGTGAAGGAACCGACGTTTCCGGACTCTGGTGTTGGATTTAGCAACATGCCAATCTGCAGCCAATCGTGTTTGAGTGCCAAAGGTAGTATTTCTCTCCCGGACAGCACGGCCAAGGATGTTCTGGGAGTCGATCAATATGACTCTACTTGTACAATATCACCGCACCGGGGTTAAGAAGCGGAACCTTCTTTTCAGCTGCTCGGCCTAAGGCAGGACAAATCAAGAAGAGATCTGCATTGCCTACATAACCTGCCACCGCATCTGTTACCTATTGTCTAGGCACCTAGGTTAAGATCTTTGAGACTGAGTTCGGTTCCAGGCGGACTAAGCGAAAGCGAAAGGTGTTATCAGGGTAGATGTGGAATTAATCCGTGTTGATGCCTGCGCTTACATACCATCGTTGATACTGATGCGGGAGACGCAATGCCAACACTGAGCCAAGGAGTGCTTTCGGCCGAAGGTGCGAATGCATGTGCCTGAGCATAAGGCTGAAGGTGCTGGTCCGCAAGCATTGCCATATTCTGGCTCCAGAGGTAGTCGGTGGCGGCCATGCGAGGCTTCTGCGATCTGCCAGGGAGCGGTATGCGTGATTTTAGAATACGGGGTTAATGAATACGAGGGATCGTCAAGGGCCAACACAAAAATACAACCATGATGATTCTGCAGGCCCCAAGGCGGGATAGTCATGCCGTCCGATGTTGATCAGTTACAACTCGACCAAAAGCCAATCGAAGTTGTTGCGATATGGACATCGAATTTGGCGATGATTGCGAGCCGAGGTCAATGGTGTGGCGGACAATTGATATTTCCAGTTCATCCTAGCCCTCAGCATCAATGACTGGTGGAAAGTCGATGTTGGGTCGCTGCCGGGGGACTCAGCCCTATACAAGATGTACCTGTTTGTGATGGATGCGAGAAACGAGGTGCCTGCATCAGAAGCAACGAGCATCAAAAGGGAAGCAGATGCGACTAAGGGCGGTACACAAGCTGCATGTGCTCCAGTAGGATATGTTCAGAAGTGGGGACTTCTATGTGGCGAAGTGTTGCGTGGTCGCAGTAGGGACTTGAATGGCTGGTAGGGTGGACGGTCGAGGAGGTAGTGGATCAGGAGACATGGGGAAGGGGGGTGGCTGTTAGGCGGACTTATGGATACGATAGTCGAAACTGAGGAGCCTGATCAAAAGAGAGGTTCTAGAACTCTGACAGGAGAGTGAGAAAAGCGGCAATGCAAAGGAGAGGACGAGCACGGACGAGTGAGAGCAGAGGAGTGAGGCGGAAGAAGAGACAAAGAATAGACTGTGGAAGGCCTGAGGCTGATTTGTGCATTGCGTCTGACTCTGACGCGCAGCCAACTTTGACCCTCTTGACCGTCCTTTTGACTCGGTTCGCTCCCTCATCTTCACCTGCGGTGCCTGCGCATCCTGAAAATCTTGCGGTCAACGCCTCTCCTCTCTGTCCCTCCCCCTTCCCTGCGTCGAACATCCTCGCCTCGCCTCGCCTGTGTCTCCTGCTTTCTCGCCTTCTCTTGTCCGAAGCCCCTTCGGACCTTCTCCTCTGTGGTGTCCACCATGGTATTGGCTGCTTCGGAACTTGGCGCGTCTGAATGGACATCAGATCAATGACTGACCGACTCCAGTGCAACCTCTCCAGGATCATCGACACCAAATATTGATTGCTCATTATCCTAGTACCATCGGTCGATCACACTGGAGAGAGAGAGACAATTGATATCCGTTATTCAAAATTTAATCCATCCGCCTGCATCCCAAAGGGCCGATGTCACCAATTTCTTCCATTAGGTCGGTCATTCTGTCTTCTGCTTGCAAGCTACACAGGATAGCTCTCCCGTGCGTGTCTTCCAACCGCAAATGTAGCCAGGATCTGCTTCCTCTTCCTTCAGCTTTCGCAGGGACCGAGAGATCTCTTTCCTGATTTGCCACGGATCTGCGGGGGTCACACGATGAAGAAAGCCCTGATCTTTTTTACACTGCCATATTCACCACCATCCGTTTACTGAACATGCTCGGCTGACCCCGGCGATTCCGAGTGAAATTCAACATGAGCTACTCATGTGCCAATCCTGTCATATCATCATTGTGGAAAACTTGCAGACTGATCTAGAACTCGCCAACATCTACGTCTCTGCAAAGGCGCATCGTGTTCACCAGACGGGCTGAGGAGCCAGGGTGATTGTTGGTCAACGAGAGAACATCATCCCACTCCTTGGCGGCGAAGCCTTTCGTGAGTGCCGATTGCCTTCTAGCAGTTCAAGGTCGTGTTTCCGCAGCCGATGACCACTTTGTTCACTCCGGCCGACGATTCAGCTTTCTCGGCAGACTGACAATACTTCCCAACATTCTACTCGACAACAAAATCAGTCAGCGATGGCGAAGGAAAAGGGCCGAATGTAAGATGCTCGAGAAAGTGAAGCAGAAGGGGACTCCCTACCGTGCTTCCCCGACAAAACACTATACAGCACCCATCATTGAAGTCAGATTTCCAAATCCACGAGCCTGCACCTCCAGACCAGGAGACCTTGTGTATACCACTGTGTTTTCACACCCATGATTGGTTAGCTTCGTCTCTTCTTTCCCTTTCTCCAGGCTAATAAAACGGGAGAAATTGGGGTTTGGTTTACTCGGTTGTCTGTGCTTTCCAATCAGTACATGTTTCTGGGAGGGTAGACTGCTGATTTCAAAACCAGCCAGCAGGAGGAAGGAGCCAGGAGTATTACAAATTTGGCTTGGTCCCCCTGGTAGTCGTACTTGCTCCAGAGGTCGATATTGTATGCTGAAGCCGTGGCAGCCAGAGTCAGGCCGGCATAGAGGAAGGAAGAGAGCCTCATGGTGGCGTTGACTGATCTTTCTTCTCGCTCTCCGTTAGCGGCTATCCCCCAATGGAACGAGACGGAGAAGAGATCAAGGCTAACGCTGAATGACTCTGTGTTAGACCCTTGAATGAGGAGAGTCGGGAACCTCAGAGGCCAGAAGAATGAATAGATAAAGAAGAACAAGTACAGAGGGATTGAAAAGTCCCTGGTCCTTGTTTATATATCACACTTTCGAACGAGCCTTTTCTTCCTCTCCCCATCATCTCGTCGGTTTCTCGCCTCCCCTGTGCCGCTGTGTTTTGTCCTGCACTACCCCCTTTTCCCGGGTAGGATTCTGCATCTCGATCGAGCAGTGTGGACGAAGACGCATCTTGGTGTGCTCACGCACCGCAGCGTGTAACCATCACCAAGACCAAGGCCAAAACCAAGACGGTCGGCAGCATCCAGGCAGGTATATTATATCATTTCATATCCAGACTGCCCAAGGGTATGGACTGCTAGCCTGCTTACCCGTCTTTTGCCTTTTTTGACCAAACGTAACGTTTGACCGACTTGACTCGACTTGATGTAGCTGGTTTCCCACACCTCGCCGCTCCATGCAAGTTCCCCCTTCCTTCTTTCCCTACCTCCCCTCCCTGGCCTCTAGCCTCCCTTCCCGCCTCTACCTCCGCCTTTGCCTTCGGTAGAACAAAACATGATGGGAATCACAAGGCTTTGCAGAGCATGGCGGAGACGGAGGCCCAGGAGCTTTCCCTCTCCACTCGTCGTGATCGTCGTTGTCGTCGACCACGATGGAACCACATCCAAAGACTTGAAAATCTCGGAAAATGATTGCGAACCACGTCCTACACCGGTATATTTCACACAAGGAAAATCGGCCTTTGCATTGCATTGCCGAGACGGGTAGCTCAAGAGCGAGCGAGAGGCTGTCGTCAGCGGACGGGAAGACCGGGAAATAAACAAGGAATTTCGTCAGTCATCACACATACTCCATACTAGTTTACATGTATGTATCTTCGTACGACCCGGGTCGCTCTGTACATCGCCGGGGCGTATGAGTATGTGGGCGAGGGAAAGGCAGGCTTTGCGCTCGAGCAAAAATTCTTGTTTGAGACTCATTGGGTTTGATTTTCCTTTTGTGCCTTTTGCTTCTCCGCCTGTTCCCACGACGTTCTTGCGCTTGTCTCCTGCCCCTCTGCTCTAATGTGCAACATGGCGTCAAACTCAGCTCCAGCTGTTGCAAGCCATATTGCTCGTCGGGGAGATAAGGTCTCATCAATCATGCATGCGCTTCGTCTCTTCAAATCAGTGCCGATCATTGGATCTCTTTCTCTTGATCACATCACGAAACCACTCATACAGCCCCACCCAACATATCCGCTCGTCCTGCGTCATGAGTTCACTTCTTCATCGCAAGAATTTAAACGCTGAGCCAATCCAAAAACTCCGGTGTAAAATAACTGACCACAATTCCTGCTCCGGCTCGTAAGATACCTTCAGTACTCTCAAAAGCCATGGTCTTCAGATCAAATACGCCCGCTTTGGCCCCGGCGTGGATCATGGCATATTCTCCACTAACCTGATATGCGGCGATGGGCATATCCTTTGCAATTTCCTTGGCATCCGATATAATGTCCAGAAAGGATGAAGCGGGTTTCACCATGATGATATCTGCTCCCTCCTGGATATCTCGTGTGATGGCTCGACGAGCAAGACCCCGGCCACCGGGAGGGAGCTGATAGCATTTCCGATCGCCAAAGCTCGGGCACGATCCTGCCGCATCCCTGAAAGGCCCGTACAAGCAACCGGAGAATTTGGCCGCATAACTCATCAAGGTGACTTGGTGTGACAGCCCAGCCTCGATAAGCTTCAATTTGATGGCGCGAATGCGACCGTCGTTCATGTCAGAAGGTGCCACACAGTGAGCGCCAGCATGAGCATACGCCAAAGCAACATCGGAGATGCGCTCAACGCTCATCGCGTTATTCAAGGAGCCGTCATCGCGGAGAATTCCACAGTGGCCGTGCGAGGTGTACTCGCAGAGACAAACGTCTGCGACCACATATAGTTGAGGAAAGTGTCGACGAATGAGCTGAATGCCTTTTATGACGGGGCCTTCCGGATCATCGGCTGCTGTGCCTAGAGCATCTTTCGCATCGGGGGCGAGGGGGACGCCAAAGAGAATGACGGAGCGTAGACCCTTTTGCACAAGAGGTGCGAGAAAAGGGACAAGTTTATTGAGGCCGAGGCGCTTTTGATTTGGGAGGGAAGGGACCTCAGTTATTTCGTCAGGGTTGTCGGTAATGAAGAGTGGATAGATGAGCATTGACTAGGGAATTGTGTTAGAGAGAAGACCCTGCTGAAGAATAGGCTGATGGATGCAAACCTTTGTTAGTTGTCTCTCTGCTTGCCATGATCTAGCAAGTGGATGACTGTAGCCAGCGTGCAGTTGACTGGAGATATCGCCTGCAATGCTCACGCTGGTGGCGGCGGTAGATGTGTATGAGCGAGCCTGTGATGGCCGAGAGATGGTAGACTGGGTGTCATTGTTGCTGACATTGCTGGCACTTGTCCGCGCATTGGTTTGCGACTGCGAGTCGCGGAAGGCAATGTCCTGAACGAGGGAAGAGAACGACATTGCGAGATGAGGGCGCAGATATGGTGGTAGAATTCGATCAGCGATGCGATTGAGCAGTTCGTGCGATACGAAACCGTGAAGGCTACACCACGATACAGTTTGTCGAGGCAAAGTGGTCAAAACAAAACAGATAACGTCGTCTAGAGGAGAGACGAGAGGAGCAAGACGGTCAGCTAGAATATTAATGGGAAAAAAATGGGTGCAAGCGGGTTCGGCGACTAGGTGCCGACAGACTTTGTGGAGATGGGGCTGACAATCGGGCAATCGCCACGAACATCATTCGTCCAACCCCTCCATGTCAGTCAGAAACCAAAAGCCACGAGTTTCAGAAACATTTTCATCTTTGCATTGGGTATTGTATTCAAGTTTCAACAAAGACATTCCTCACGACCCCCTACATGGATATGGATACCTTTATATCTGTGGTACATGGCAGTCTGAAGATGCCGCCGACCAAAACGCCGTCGCCATGCCATGAAACTCGTGTACTTGTATGCACTTCTACAATTGAATCTCATTGTTTAGCAATCGAACCTCTTCACCTGGCTTGAAGGCGGGTAGTCCGATATACGGGCAGCCGTCGCATCGGAAAGCGTCTGACAGGCATCAGCGTATTAGAAAACAAAGGAGTCAAGAACAACGACGGGTGGCTTACCTCCAAGGCTGCAGTTGCCACAGCTTCCAACTTTGCCTTGCACAGTAAAGTCGACCTCAGCGAGATCGTCTGCTTGTAACTTCATCGTGTTCAACGCCTTGTCGGCATTCTCTCGTCTAGCTCGATCTTCAGCTTCCAGTTTCTGTGCTAGCCCACAAGTACAGTCCTTGCATGCTCGACGTCGCTTCGCCTTGGGTTGGCATTCAGTAGCTTGGATTTGTTAGCTGCTTGATCACCCTTGGAAAACACCGTCCACTCACGAATCTTAATAGGCCTCTTCAAGTCCTCTTCATCTAGCAAGGTATCTTCGTCAATCAATTCGTCGTCCGAATCATCCATCCCGTCGTCAAATCCTACACCCGCAGGCACAATAGCATCGTCCGTGCTCTTCCGTTTGCCATTGACCGGCAGCGACACAGACTCGCCATTCCTTGCGCTGGTGAGGCCGCCAGCGGCTTGTGATGTCTTCTTTCTCCCAAATCTCAAAGGGACTGAGTCCTGTGCCCCATAGTTTGGCTTCACGAACCCCACTCCTGGCTGGAAAGAAAGTCCCGCGAGGATGGTCTCGGTCTTCTCTGGGCCATCCATTGCCCCAAAAGACCCGTCCTGACTGCGCAAATGTCCACCACTCTTTAAAGCTTTGACCAGCAAAGCCAATATGTCCCGACTGATCAGATTTTGACTTTCACGACGTGATCCATCTGCATCGGAAAGGATTGTGATGACATCATACGTGGACTGAGGGAGTGAAACCAGGCCGAGAGACAGCCTGTCCAACATCTGCAAGTCGGTGTGCGCGCGGTCGTGCATTTCCAACAGGCCAGTCAGTATTTCTTGATGTGACGAGAGCGACGGTGGCGAAAGGAGGAGTGTGCGGTTCGATGACTGCGGGGCCTTGAAGGCGGGCATGACGAAATCGTCAGAGGTGTCCATGAGAACGGAGGGCGACATTTTGACAGCAAGATGGACGACAATCGGGAAGTTAGGGACCTAGGAGGCTTTGGTAGTAGAGGGTAAAAGAGTAATTGGGAAAAGAATGAATGATAAAAGGCCAGGATTAGAAATCGAGACTTGCCCTGGCGCTAGAGGGGTAGTTATGACGCTAAGGGCCCTGCAGCGGACTGATACAACAGGTGGTGCTAGTACCCAAGGTATAATTCCGCGGGTGTTGTTTCCTGCTATCCCTACCCACGTGGGAGGTTCTGTGAAGGTCGGTACCTGAATGCCTGAGGCAAGTGAAGCTATGAAACCATTTCGCGTTTGGGAAATGATAACTATCTGATGCAAGATCCAGTGCTGCAGCCAGGAGCCCATAGCGACCCATCTCACGTGATTTCATGCTGCCGGAAAACTCCGCCCTCACACCACTTGAGCAGGAGACAGTTGGTGGTGCCTGGGTGCCTGGGTACCAAGGTACCAAGCTTGCTAGCTATGTGCTCAATAATACAAGTACAAGACTGTGAGGCTTTGTCTCAGGGGGCAAATCCACTTCGACAATGCCTTGACGTCTGACTGAAACACAATGTGGAAATGTTGACCGCCACGGAGGGCCCATTTTGCGATATTTTGTGGCTTCTATCACTTGACCTGTAGGCCCCAATATTCTTTCGTAGTTGGTCACGCATGTACAAGTAAGTATCCACTTCACATCGACGCTGGTGGCACCGGTCATCACATTAGCAAATTCCCCAATTCTTGCTCATTGTATTCTGCTGGAAACTCCCTCATGGGGTTGCCGGGGGAAGTTCTGTTCAGCCTTATGTGTTTCTTCATGGACAAATGGGCATCGAAAACGAAAAGCCATGAACACCTTCCTGCTGTAGGTACCAAGTGGATGCTTAAGTGGAGGCGAGCAGAGGCCCAAACCCCGCGCTAAAAGAGCCCATTGGGAAAGGTGAAGGGTGTGGAATCCGGGGAAGGCGCCCTGACGATTGGAGCGAGGGGAAAGAAGGCGCCAGAACAGGCAGGGTGGTCATGCGAGCAGCTGGCCTCTCTGCGTCTTTCTTTGCCAGCTGCTCCCCAATCACAACACTCTCACCATCTAGAGCTTTCTAAGGTTCCACCCTGGTCCGGCTTTCGTCTTCCCTTGACTTACTGATTGCTCTCCCAAACCAAAGGTACCTTTCTGCTTAGAAGTCAATCGTAACCTCTTTTACCTTCTTCCTTCTCTCACTTCCAGCTTCACCCACTCTTCAACTCGTATTGCTATCTGCTCCCAAAAGTAAGCGAAGTGCACTGTGTGGTGAGTTCCAAGTGCTACCCCCTCCCCAATCATCAATGATCAACACAAAAGGGGTGGTCCGAGCTTCTCTCTCTTTGCCCTCACTTGCAGGGTCGCGTGTCGTTCTTATCCCTGTTGCCCAATCCTCAACTCCGACTTCATATAACTGACTCTTGTTCTCACTATCAGTCCCAAATCATCACCACAACCCCCCGTCTATCACTTCGACCTTCTCAACCAACTCTATCCCATCCGTCCTCGCCCTCTACTCCATCAGTAAGTCTTCCCAGCTCTTCCGCCCGCAGTTACTCTGACTAACCCTCGACTGAAGTGACTCGAACCAACAAAGGAAATGACCGCAACCACAGTGCCATTGCTGATGGTTCCGCCCTCCCTGAAGAACGCCTTCCTCGCTACTTCGCTAAACATGGTCACGTTGACGCCGATCCAAAGGGTGTGAAGAAGCAAGGTGGCGGCAAGGGCAATTGGTATGGCTACCCCTCAACCGACTGTTCACTGCGCTCTGAGACACTGACATGTTGACAGGGGTCGTGAAGGCGATGAAGTCCATGACTACGACTACAAGTTCACCAATTCTCGCCGTCGTTCCAACTCTAGCACCCAAGTCCTCGGGGATTTCAAGACCAAGTTCGAAACCGTCGACGCGGAGCCTGTCTTTGAGGAGGGATTGCACGGACCTACCGACGAAGATATCGAAAAGGCCTCCACTCTGTCCAAGGAAGAGAGCACCGACTCCAGCACTTTGGGAGGGAGCTATGATGATGAAGACAAGAAATTGTAATACCACAAAATCAACGAGACTCGTTCGAGAAGATGACGATCCGACTGTCATTCTCGATATATGGCGCTTGAAGGTGCTTTGAACGAATGTATACTGTGCTACCATGCAGCAGGCGCTTGCTTCTGCAAGCAAACCGATTGAAGTGAATGAATGGCTTGGGAACAGGGCGGAGAGAAATGATTCAAGCACACATGTATTAGCTTAGCCGGAATCCAAACCCTTCACCGGGAATTGTGACAACAGATCATACTGGCAGTTTTTTCACTCGTTCCGCTAACACTTTTCAATCTGAGGATCGGACATCGTCGTTGCTTTGATTCCTGCGTAGATGTGTCATTTCCCGAACAACCGACCTACAAGAGAATGCTGACATCCAGGCTCATTAACGTATTTTTAAATCGGAGTTCTCTAGTCTTTAACGGTGCACACTATGCTGTTCAAGCGTATCTCGCAGCCACGAATATATTTGTCCAATGGACACTCGAGTATTCTCTAGGATCCCTTCTATATTCACAAGCCGATGGTGACCAACCTGAATCACTCTTCGGCGTCCGGACATCGACTGCGTACTTCGAGGCTTAAATCGGATGCGGAGGTGACCCTCATATGTTCCTCCTTCTTCCTGTACAAGTTCACCACGTCCAGGCTTGGATGCTGTGTGGCGTAGATTAGCGGAACATGTGAAAGGGCAAATCGTAATGCTGGTAGGTCATTGGGAGTCGTGGGAAGCTAGCAATGTCGTAGATCTAGAAATCTTTAGTTGGTGCAAGAATCTCAGGATTGAGCTGGTCCTTTGCTCAACCGATTCCTTCGGACGATATGTGGCCACCGGAGGAGCTTCGCCGACCCATTCACGCCACATTAAGCGCGACAGAGCACGACGAGTATTGCAACTTTCTGATCTATAACGTCGGATTGTGTGTGGTGCTGGATAGGCTCTTGGGGAGCAGAAAAAGGTGGACGGTTAATGTTAGCTACCCGAGGTAACGAACAGTTGTGGTGGTCGCCCACATAAAGGAGGGTTTTCTCGACTGTAGATTGAAGGCATGGCAGGGAGCAGGAACAACACCATTTCTTGTACTCGGTACGAGAAGAAAGACGTGTTTCTATTAAAGCGGCAGACAAGCCCAGCGTGGCTCTTCGAGACGCGAACGCTTCCGAAGAGGAATGAATGGGCCGCCGCTTTGACATTTTTCTTGGCGAAAACGAACGCGAAAGGGAGCCTTCCGGGGTTTAGCACGGCAATAACATTGCAATAATTCCAAAGCCGTCATCAACACAAACGGCTCAGCCGTTCTAATTCCTCCTCATTTTCTTCAGTCGGGCCTGCCTCTTGTCCGCTGTGCAGGATGTTCTCCGCAGACACCTCGCGGACTCAGTCGCTGCGTCCCAAACGAACACGTCAGGCAGCAGGCCCCGAAGACTCTCTCAAGTTACCTCAAGCGAAGCGGAAACGATCTGCCCTGCGACGAGACACCTTCGAACCCCTGGCCGAATCAAAGGTTGGTGATCTGGGAGGGAAGGATGCGGGTGAGGTTAAGAGCAATGGACATGCAGTTATAGTGGCGCCGACAAAAGAATTGACTTTGCGAGGAGCCAAAAAAGCAGACAAGCGCGCCGACAGAGCTGTCAACACTAATGCTGGGGTGACTTTATCTAATAACGACTTCTACACCGTTGCCCAGCTTCCTGCGCTCCCAGACCAGATCAGAAATCGACCGAACATCCAATATTCGTGTGTGATTTCTCCCGAATACGGCTACGCTTTGGCATTGACGCATACCGACGCCATAATTTGGCCGTACAACTCAACCGCATCAACACCGCCGTCTCGGGATGTCATCACCTTCAAGTTGCCCTTCCCTCCAGCCTCGGTTGGTGACCCTCTACCTCATGCAACATTCACGGCAAAATCTGCGAGCGGAGAACCCGGCATCGTCGCAGTGTCGGCGAAATGGGGCAAGATCGTGTACTGGGAAACCCTTTCCAACGCTTCCTCTGTGATACCCGGTCAAGCTTCAAGCGTCCAAGGATCGATACCAGGGATGATGAGTGGCGAAGTCGTTGAAGAGCTGGTTAATGCAGAGCCATCGGGATTTATCCTTTCACTCCGCCATGGTCGTGTGGCGCACTTGACAATACGTGATCAGATGGGCCGGCCTGGAATTGGCGTCCAGTTCCTTCGCAAATACACGAATGCGGCAGGAGGTATATTTGGAAGCATCAGAAATGTTTTCGGCTCCGATCGACGGAAAGGGATACCCATAATCAAAGCTGGAGGCTCAAGAAAAGGACAACGCGATGTCGTCATCGCCACTGAGGATGCTGAATTAGAATTCTGGAATACAAATCTGGCTGTCGGTAACTCGCTCGAGAACTCATTCAACTTCAAGGACGAAATTCTGGAAGCCTTACAATCAGCGCAGCCGGATGTTATGCGCTTCAAAGTTCTGGATGTGGAACTCTCGATAGGACCGAGCAGTGCCCTTAGCCGACGAGACAGCCATGGTGCCCCAATGATAGTCCTAGTTTCCAGCTCAACGGAACTGGAAACCAGGTATCATATTATCGAGATGATCGTCGACCAAGGGGCGAAAGTCAAAGTGGTGCACCCGATTAATTGCTTTTCTTCTTCATCGACAGAATCGAGCCTCTGGAGACCTCGACTATGTGTTTCGAAATCTCAACCTGTGGCATTCATTATATTCGAGACTGCCATCGTGCTGTTCTCCCTGGCCAGAATACGGGAATCGCCATCTTCTCAATTGCTCATGGAACGGGAGGCATTGCCTGAACCCTTTCAAGATTGCGTTCGATTCCAAGAGTCGACTATCTACGAGGTTCTTGGCTTCGCGCTTGAAGCTTCGGATAAACACTCATCTCTTGTCTTTGGGGTGCGAGGATTTGGCATGGTGAAACTAACTTCCCATCTTCGCGATGACGAGGAAGTCGATGTGGATGAGGCCGAAGAACGAGACCGAATCACGGCGAAGAGCAAAATAGAACAAGCAGTCTTCTTTGGCACCATCAAACAAAACCCCCTGGACCTCAAGCATGCCAACCAGACATTTCCACCTGAGGAGATTGAAGCAGCCGCTCTGGAGATCAGCTCGGAGATCTTGTCTTCCTCATCCAAGCATCTCCCCAAGTCAGCACCCTCAATCGACATGCAAATGCGACTGCGCGCCAAAGCCCTCGACGATCTGGCCGAACACGTGATAAACTACTATCCCTCGGCGGTATCTCGCTCGACGCGTTTTGGATTACTATTGAACGCAGAAAAGCTGGCCGCTGCCCACGCAGTGTGGAAGGTTCAGGAAGAGATTCAACGAAAATACCCACAACCCGACCGCGAGATGTCATACTTGGATTTCACCCTTCGAGCCTTGCATGAGTCTCGGCAAAAATATCCCGACCCTGAAAAGGGGGAGAAAGATCGGGTCAGACACTGGCTTGTGAATAGTGTTAAGAACGTCGGCCATCTTATGTCTGAGTTAGTCAGCTGCATCCCGGAACTTGAACCGATGGATGTAACAGATCCCAGAGTGGTTGCCGACTACTTGAAAGAAGCCGTTGATCTCTGGATTGCAGCATACTCCGCAGCCTTCAAGTTTCGTGAAGACAATGCGCCTCTTTACGGACTTGGAGACGAGGTCTTCGAGAGTGGCGTACTTGTGTCTGGCTTTCCGATCGAGATTCCTCATCCTTGGACATCAACTCCGGAGCCGTTGCGATTCGGACAGGGTCTCATATACGACATCTGCAAGTTTTTGAACGAATGGTGGGAGTTTGCTCATGGGAGAAATAAAAAGAAGAAAATGCCAACGGATCTAGATGGAAAGCCTCATGAAGCACCTAGTCGAATGGCCCTTCAAGAATTGGCCAGTCGTCTACCAACCGAACTCGAATTATTTTCCCGGCTGGTGCGCGAGGAGGTCATTCAGGCGAAATGCCATCTAAAAGCCAACGAAACCGACCCCGACGCATTGAAAGATGAACTCAGCAACCTCGAGCGCGAGGAGCAAGAAAGACTGGGTCAAGCCCTGCAAGCTATTGCATTGTTCAACATGCCCGGGGCGATTCAGCTGGCGGAAAAGTTGAAATATTACGCAGATCTTGTAACCCTCCACTACGACTACTACAAGCAACTGGTGGCTGAAGCTCAAGCTGACCCAACTCTCGCTGAAGACAATCAACGCAAACTCGAGGAGATGCAGGAGAGAGCTGAGTCCTACTATGGTAGATTTGGCAAAGGATGGGCCTTTGCTGCTTTCAGTCAGATGCTCATTGACGGGGAGTGCGGAAGCCTTCTAGTCAAGGGCCAGGAGGATGGAGAGAAAGAAAAATTCCTCACCTGGTTCTTCAGGATAGCTCCCAAGGCTCATCAACAGCTCGGCAAACTCAGCTGGATCCACGATGTTATCTCGTGCGATGATTTCGACCATGCAGCAAGGACACTTCAGGAGGTAGCTGGGGAGGAGACCAGCAATATTTGGAACAAGAAGACCGAGTTGGCACTCGGTAAGCTAGCTACCTTGGCTGCGGACGAGGGTAGCGGCAAGCACAGGGATGTGAAAGCATACGATGATGCTCTTTCGATGATCGCCATTCAGGAGCAGGTCTACCGCCACGTCATGGGATTGGTCGGTGCAGCCCTCGATGAGAAAGCCGCGAGCGATCTGGCTGGGGAGATCTTTGCCTGTCGAGTCGTGGCAAAGACGCCCGCTTTAAAAAGAGAGCTGAAGCAGCTCTTAAAAACCTTGATGCATCAGACACCCTTGACCGCGGAAGAACTGGTCAACCTGCTGACGTTGATGGATGCGAAAGACTGGACCGGACCTCCTGAAGAGGATCCTGAAGTCAACGGTCAGGAGTTTATTCTCGCTCTGAAAATTGTGGATGAATCTCACCTGCCGGCTCCGAAACGAGAGGATCTTCGTGCGCTTGTCTGGAGAAGGGCGATGATCCGCGACGAGTGGCTTGCTTTGAATGAGACTGGCGGCAAAGACGACCAGCGGGTGGAGGAAGAGATGCATCAATCCTGTCTGTTCCGCATTCTACAACATGTTTTCCTGCAGGAACAGACTGAGGGGACTCCGGCTCGTTTATTTTCACCCAGCGACCTCCTGCGCCATGACGCATTCCCCGTCAGTCTCCAAGATCGGTTGGCTGAAAGTGAAGTGGAAGGCCTTCGCAAGGACATGGAAAAGGAACAGGCCAAACTGAGAAGTTTTATAGAGAAGGGACGACTGGAGGATCATTATGGGGGGCTGGTCACATCTGCACAAAAGAGTGTGAGGGACGCCGTTGACCGACAGGGCGAGCAATTAGCTGAGCAGGTCCTTTGAGGAAAGAAGAGGTTGTTGTGTATGGATGGTCATTACAGGTCCGGGAAGGACAATTGCTGTGTTTCTTTTGTAACACTAACGTTTCGAGTCCCATCAGCCGCCGCTACAAGGCCGGGATGGGGCAATCGGGGTGAAGAGAATTTGCTATGATCACAGCCCAAGTGACGCAGATTTGGCACAAGTTCAATGAGGATTCGGGGCGTGCTTGAATACCACACGGCCCCATTGCTTCGTCTTTGTTTATTTGTGCCTGCCTAGCGCGGTTGACTTTGTGATCCCACCATTGCCGCAGTTGGCTATGATATTGTAGACGATGAAAAATTTGGAAAAAGCACCATGTTCACAACCTATAGGCGGATAACCAGGGAAAGAGAGATGGTCAAGCCAGAGTCCGAGTAACGCCAAAACAGATCGTTAGTGTTCTCTGTCCATCCCACGAAAGCCTTGATTGTAGGGGGTGGACCCGACATTGCGGACAAGAGATATCTCATTGTTGAAGAGAGTGTCACTGGATCTGCATTGCGTGCTGAACGTCGATATCACCGAGATAGCTGGGCGTGTAGTCTACAGATATGGCATTGATCCAAGCGGCCAATCTCCTTCCAGCCTTCTGGATCATCTCGTTGATGACGGGGATGGCACCCTCGTAGTAGTCGCCGCCTAGGTCCTGATCGTGGACGTCATGAGCCAACACGTAGGAGCACACATAGCCATTTGCCTCGCCGGCCCAAGACAGCGCACAATCTGCGGCATCGTGCAGACATTCTCCATCTAGTGGATTCTCATTACTGTCCTCCGCGCCAGAGAGCCTCTGCGCCCACAGCCACGCCGCGGTGAACTCATCGTCGTGGCCCATGCCGGCATATTTGTTGGGGATGAGCGTGTCCCAGACACTGTGCAGGTTTGTGTGCCGGTGGTCAAAGGCCACCTCGTATTCATTGCCCCCGCGGTCCTCGGCCTCGGTGTGCAGCGGCTGGTGCACGTCGCCGAAGAAGTGCATCATGAAGCGCAGACTCTGGCCGCGGAGATAGTGCGGCAGCGACGGGTCAGCGACGCGGCCTGTGTGGTTGGCGATGGCGCTGACCACGCACCCAGACTCTACAGCGCAGTCGCGCGTCATGTTGATCCCGCACCGCTGCGGCGGCGAGTCCTGCGCGTCAATGTAGTGCCATCCCCGCGTGTACGCGAACTGCGGCATGTGCCGCACCTTGTCTGGGAAGAGCGCCGCTTCGGAGATGTCCTGCCCGTTCAGCAGGTCGTTCGTCATGTGTGTGGACTCGGGCGTGAAGTACGTCGAGGCCAGGTAGGCGACGGTGCGGTGACCGAGGGAGCCCCATGCCACGCTTGGTTGTAGGAAGAGGGGGAGGAGGGAGAGGACGAGGTAGGTTGTGGAGGACATCGTCGGTGTGTTTAAAGCCAAGTAGGCGGAGGGGATGGTGTGAGAGACGTATGTATAGGAAAGGAGGATAGAGGGAAAGAGAGAGACTGCAAGTGGGATGCCCAGTTTATTCTATTTCTATGGTGTATTACGTTGTTTGTGACTGGTACACGTAGACTGGAGTCACACGGGTCGTCGAAGCGGTCAAGTGATACATGTCAACGCCATACAAATCCACAGTTAGGTGCTGTTCTGGCCGTTGTCATGGGAAAGTTGTGTTGATGGGCGATCTGCAGGCGTGATAGGTTGGTAGCTGCCGTGGCTGGCGACAAGGCTGACCACAATGACCACAAGGCTGCATGTTGTCCCGCCGCTAGAGATGGTCACGCACCGTTCCGCCTCCCGCTTCCTCTTCGAGTGGATTTACCTTCACTTCTTTACCTCTACCACACATTTCAGGAAAGGCTTCATCTTGACTCTCTCTGAACTACATCAACCCTCACCCGTCTCTCAGTTTCGTCTGCCGCAGTTACATTTCACGTAGATTTTGTGGAAGTTTTTGGACTCACCACGCTTCATCATGCCTTGTGTCTCTATATCTATCATTCGTTCTGCCCTTTCACCCGGATGATTAATTGCGCATTCACAGCCAGGTGTCTAATCATAATCCTCTCTCAACTTTGACCTGTGCACCACCTCTGGCATTGTCACATCTTCTTGCATTGTTGACCCCATCTACAACCCTGTTAGCCCTCATCTGATTTCTTCAACCAAGGTCAGCTCTCACTTTCTGACATGGCAGTTATCAAAGAGGTCGAAGTCGCCATTGTGGTCGACGACGAGGAGCTCCAAGAGTATCACCCACCACCCGAGGAAACTTCCGAAGACGCAAAATATTTATCCTCTGATACTCAAATGAGATATATCCAAGGTATACACGATACAAACTTTCAAATCGAATGTAAAATTCGAGAGGGATTCCGCTTCGGCAGAGCTGATCTCCTATCATTCTGCGTCAGCATCGATGGGAACCCATTTTGAGGAAGGTGCTGTCACAAGGAACGCTACCAGGAGCTTGATGTGTGGAGCTCCAGGATCCACGGAGTCAAAGAAACAACTTCATCTGGTCGCGGCCAGCAACTCCGTCTATTTCGTTGGAACAATCTTTCGTCGAGTATGTCAGTCGACCACGCAAATAGGGCTTCTTACTGATTGTTCTAGTCGACCATGACTACAGGCAAGAAGACAAAGAAAAATACCAGAATCTTGGTTCTATCGAGGTGAAAGTTTGGAAGAAGCGTGAGATAGGCATGGACGGTACGCTGGGGAGGGTAAAAGATTTTGCCATGGGGCCAGTGTCCGAGAAGGCCATCAAAGGCGCAGCAATCGATATGCGAGCGAGGTACGGAAACTGAAAAGGTTTGGAGAGACCTATAATAATGTGCTCCGCAGTCTCGATCCTCCCCAGCCATGTCAGGATTCCAGTCTCTGTCGTGGGTTCAACATCGAGAATAAGCCATATGCAGTATTCGTTTTCAAATACCGCAGCAAAGGTATGACTTTCAGGCTGAGAGAGCATTACAGGACTGATTTTCCAATAGAAGCTTTGCAAGCCGTTGGCATTCTCGAACGACCTGAAACGCCTCAGCCATTGGAGGAAAGAGATGTTGAGACTATGTCGCCAGATGAACTCAAGGAATTGGCCCGTCGACTCAAGGTATGTCAGAGCACGCGAACGATCCCAGGAGGTTACTTACTCCAGTTCCCAGGCAGCGCAAGAGGCACAGAGGATCAAGTTCAAGAAAGAAAATGCCGACGCCAATCTTGCTCGGCTCGCTGAACTCAAGAGAAATCGAGATAGTGGCCATGATGACGAGGATGAGGTCAACTTCCTCGGCGAGCGGCCGGTGAAGAGGATCTGCAGCACTGTAGCGGTTCTTGACGACTCGGATTAGATCAACGAAGCTCGAGGGTGATGACGGACACCGGGTCATGAGCATTGGGCTTGTCGAAGGCAGTAAGACGAACCGATATGAGTGGTGGTAGTGGCATTATCGAAGTGCAAGACCGCCGCTTGTCCCATACCTCGACCATGCCAGATACATAGTTATGTGCTGAAATTGGAGGTAGCTGTGCTTCATGCCACGGCTTAGATAGTGGCCTCATGAGCAACATGATTCTATCTGGCTGGCTGGCTGGCTGGCTGACTGGCGTATCTATCTACGTTGCCATTCCTGTCCCTTTATCCCTTTCTCTACTCCCAGCCCTATTTCCCCCCCCCCCCCCCCCCCTCCCTTGTTTTCCCAGTGTGAGCAATCATTCTGGAATCTCCCTTTGCCACTTCCACCTCGACCGATTTATTTCCGTCCTTCTCGACCTCCCTTCCCCCCTTGAGTTGAGTTGCGACCGTTCATTCGACATACTCTCTCGCCGTGTGGCATGGCACAGCGGAGATTATAAAACCTTCTTGCTGGGGGGGTGCGGATTGAACAAATATTCAGCAGGAAGAAGGGTCCACTCACATCTGTGATATCTGGCTGGGAAGGCCAGGGAGTGCATGTTTGTGTGTGTCTGGAGTGTGGCCGTGTGGTCGTGTTGTCGTGTGGTTATATGGTCATCTGAGCGAGGAAAACAACTGGGAGAGAAAAAGCGCACGAAACTTGGGGGCGAGAGACACAGTATATCGCTGGACAAACAAAGGAGCAGAAGAGGTATAAATGGACATTGTTCGGAGCGGGAGTCAAATTACATTTTCGCATTAATCGAGTCATCCTAAGACCGCACGGTCCTCGCCAGCATGCGGCCAAACCAGGCAACGTCGTCCCAGACGCCTTTTGGTCTTTCTGAAGGCGGCTCGACCGAGTCCTCGAACCGGACACTCGGTCCAGGGTGGTCGGCGTCTTTGGCTGGCGGAGCAGTAGATGTAGCAATTTCGGGACGGGCCTTGGGCCTTGCGGCCTCCAAGTCGGGCTGAGGAGTGGAAAAGTCGTCTTCCAGTTGCAAAAAGACATCCACAAGCCCGTCCATCCATCGCCCTAGTCTGTAACCTTTGATCGATTTCCGTAGTTCCTCCTCATCGTCGCTGTCGAATTGAGCCTCGAAATCCAACATGCCGTATGGATCGCCATCGTCCAATTCATCTGCAAAGTCTGCGTCCATCTGTGCCGCAATCTCCGCCTGTGTCTGCTCGTCGGCCCAATCCGGGCCCGTGTCTACTTCGATCATTGGCGTCGTGGCCGGAACGGGGGTCATGGCCAAGGATCTCTTGCTGCGTCTTTGGAAACTGCCTCGTCGACTGAGGTTGCCGCTCGGCGTTGCTCTGCCGGATCTCACCGTCATCGGCGGGCGTTCGTCGATCGGTGTAGCCAAGGAGGTGGAAGAGTCACGCTTGAATATCCATGACTGGCCCTTCGATTCTCTCGAGCCTTCGGTCAACGTAAGACCTGTCTGAATGAGCCACGAAGAATCGGCTTTGTGTAGGGACCGGCTGCCCGAGTACTCTCCCGGAGTGTGTGTCTGGTGCGGTGAGAGGTTCGTCAGGGCGGAGAGACGGGTGATGGATTTGTGACCGAGACCTTCACTCGTCAGTGCCCCAGAAGGCGGAGGGATGCTAGTGGTCCCATCTGTGAGAGGTAATGGGTTTTGAGTCGTCACGAAGGATCGGTTCTTTTTCTTCTGGTTCAGTCGCGTCCGGGAACTGGCTCGCGACTGCGCCCGCGACTGTGCTGCGGAACCGCTCCTCGACAGAATTCCACCAGGGGACGGCAAGCTCGCGATATGGGAGATGGATGCGGAGGTGTGTAGCTCCGATGTCGCTGGGTCGAAGTAGGCAGCGTAGTCGGCCGGATCGATTGGGTATCTGGGGGTCAAGGGCGCGAGGGACAAGTGTTGGAGGTTTGGATGAGAGCGGCGATGCGGGCCTGGGGCGAAGGACGAGGAGCGACTGAGAGGCGAAGAAGGGGACTGTGTCATTTGATAGTCAATATCTCGAGGATGTTACTGAAGGGCAAGGCGCAATGGCACAACGAGTGGGACACGGTGAAGTGGGTGAGGATTGCTGTAGAGAGATGGAGAGGGAGAGGGTTGGTTGGGAGACAGACTTCCATGAGGTCTATTCTTTTATCCTTGTGACTGTGGTCGAGACTCTTCGAGAGCCAGGGGTTACAGTTTCTTATGGCTCACCGCCAGCGAGGAAGAAGCTGGGCACCGTTCGATCAGCAGACGGAGCTTGGTGTTCGTGGAATGAGAGAAGCAGATCATGTCGACGTCGGAGGTTGGGAAATGATGCCTGTAGTTTGAAGACCGAGGCATGTGCTTCCCAAGCAGCGGGTCCAATCACAAGCCTTCATTTGGCTCTATACATAATTGAGGAACCCCCCCCCCTCTGGTAAGTCGGTGTATTGCAATGTCCCCGCCTCCTTGTAGACCTTGAATGGTATACTATTATCCATGGTCTCTCCGGCTTGCGGATGGCGTAGGCTGATCGTGTAACAAACGTGACACGTCAAAGAACTCGCTCAATATCTATTACTCCTCTGCCCTTTTCACTTCTCCCTTGTTCACCACAAACGCCTCCAACGTGGCAATCGCCGACCAGAGCCTGTTTTGTGCCTCTGGGAAAACTAGGGATCGCGGCCCATAGAAGACTTCATCGCTAACTTCCTCCGGGTGCCGTGGGAGGCAATGCATAAACTTCCAATCCTGCGCCGCCCCTCCTTTACGAGCCATCTGTTCTGTCACTTGATAGCCCTCAAATGCGGTCAAGCGTTTTTGCTTCTCAGATTCCTGCCCCATGGAGATCCATGTATCGGTGACGATGACATTCGCCCCCTTGACGGCTTCCTCGGGCGTAGTTGTCTCAAAAAGGGTGCCGGGTCCCGCGGCCTCAATTTCTTTTTTGATGTTCTGTGGAATACTGTAGCCCTCTGGGGAGGCCACCGCCATTTCGATGCCCAATTTTCTTGCCCCAATGCACATATCATACAACACATTGTTCGTGTCCCCTACCCAGGCGATCTTCAATCCTTGTAGTTTCTCTGCCGGTGTAGAGAAGGTCTGTGTCAGAGTTGCAAAGTCGGCAATGATTTGCATGGGATGATACGTATCACACAGCGCATTTATGACTGGCACAGTACTGTCCTTCGCGAGGTTTGCGATGTCTGCGTGTGGACCGACTCGTGCAACGATCCCAGCGACCATGCTCGATATTACCACCGAGGTATCGTATAGTGACTCATTCACACCAAGCTGTATATCGTCCTTGCCAAGGAACATCGGATGCCCGCCCATTGCCACCACAGCCCCCTCAGTTGAGATTCTTGTCCGCGTCGAGCGCTTGGAGAAGAGCATTGCAATGGTCCGATTGGAGAGGGCGGTGCGCTTGGGCCATGTTTGCTGCAGGGCGGATGACTTGTAGGTTGTTGCGTTGTTCACGAGCGTGCTTAATTCGGTCGGTGTGAGCTCGGATATGGACAGGAGGTGACGGGGACTGGGCTTTGTAGAGGTAGAGAGTGAGCGGCCATATTGGCGCAGAGGGAGTTGAAAGGGACGTAGCGCTGCCATGACGTTGGTGGTCCGATGGCTGGTTTTAACGAAGGGTAGGACACATTGCCAGCAATGCTAACCTGGAGGAGACTTTTTTGAAGATGAAGACGGCGTTTGACTCCTCAAGCAAATATTTTCTTTTGCGAGTCACACGGCGGGGAGAAAAACATTGCGATGCAGCTATTGAAGATGTGGCGTCGTGCTCCGCAGTTTGAGAGTTTTGGTTCGTCGATCCCCGGGAGGGGGGAACTCCTCCACTTGAGTGCATGCAAATGTTTTGTACGCTGTCTTGCCAGATCCTGACCACAAAGTTCCTTTGGTGATGTTGCTTCAAATCCGCTTTCACATCCTAGAAAAATGACCTCTTCCTTGTTGCAAAATCCAATCCTCCTTCTGGATGGCGGGTTGGGCACCACGCTTGAAGATGAGCAAGGTATAAGATTTTCGTCTGCAACACCTTTATGGTCATCCCATCTGCTCATCGACAACGTTGAGATTCTCAGGGCGGTCCAGCGTGAATTTGCAAATGCTGGGGCTGAGATTATTCTTACTGCCACCTATCAAGCCAGTTTCTACGGCTTCCAGAATACTCGGGTTATCCACGAACATGGCATTGGTCGAGAAGAGGCGAGGAGATACATGCTCTCCGCGGTTAGAATTGCACGAGAAGCGTTTAATGGGCGACCAGGCTTGGTAGCTCTGAGCTTGGGTGCGTACGGTGCTACCATGGTTCCTAGTACTGAATACACCGGAAAATACGGGGACATGACCGAAGACGATCTTCTCAACTTCCACCTCGAAAGGATCTTATGTTTTGTGCATAGCGAAGAATGGAGCGATATTAATCTGATCGCAATTGAGACATTGCCGAGGATCGATGAAGTCAGAGCGGCGAGAAGGATAATGCAAAGAGTGGACGACAAAGAATATTGGATCTCCTGCGTCTTCCCAGATAGTGACGAGAAATTACCAGACGGGACAGGCGTCGAGGAGTTGGTCAAGACCATGCTGGCAGGAGATCGAACGCCGTACGCAATCGGCATCAACTGTACCAAGATCTCCAAGATTGAGAACTTGATCAAGAGATTCGAATATGCCGCAAATGCGCATGCTCTAGAGCTTCCACGGCTGATCATCTACCCCGATGGCGCTGGTGGTAAAATGTACGATACTGGGTTACAGCAATGGGTGGGCGACGACAAAGGTCAATTGCCGTGGGATCAGCAAGTATATGGGATCATAACAGAGGTTAAAGAGAGGAATCAATGGAAAGGAATCATCGTTGGTGGATGCTGCAAGACCACCCCTGGTGATATCCGGAAGTTGTCTACAAGACTGCGGGAATTGAGATAGAAAATGCCATGGGACTTTTCGGGAGACTTTCCACCTGCGTATTCGCCCCGCAAAACATCAAACGGTCTTGCTCCGCTACTGGAGCTTCACTAGCTTGTCAGGCCTGTCCAAGCCCGGTCCCTTGCAGATCGTGGAGCGCCAATTGTCAGGACGAGTTGCATCTTTCGTGTTCGTCACCACTTCTTCAGGTCTGACCACTTCGAGCGCCACTACTTCTACTGTTGTTGTTATCCTCCCACGCTCCCTATCCATGATTTAAACCCTCCTTCACGGAGCAGCTCTCCGCCTGCTCGTCATGGCCTCACCTCAGACCTCGCCGGCCCCCTCGGAACGCACTCCTCTCCTCTCCGGCCCTGAAGATGACACTCGATCGAGTTACTCCGACCACGCCAATGGTGATGTACACTCTCCGTTGTCCGAATCGCCGGAATCTCCCAAGCCCAAGAAGCAGCGGAGATGGCCTAGCATAATCGCCCTCACTGTTCTATGCCTGGTGGTAGTCGCAGTGTGCTTTGCTCTCACTCTACCATCTACAATTGAAGAATATGCGAAAGAAGGCGTCGTTTTTGAGCCCACCAACCTTTCCATCGACTCCTTCACCTCCCTCGGTATCCGTGCTAGGGTGCAAGGAGATTTCTATATGGATGCTTCAAGAGTCCGCAATAAGGCAACAAGGAATCTCGGCAGATTCGGGACATGGCTGGCAAAGGAAGTCAAGAGTGAAGAGTCAGAGGTTAATGTCTACCTTCCTGCGTATGACAATGTCCTGCTAGGGACCGTCACTATCCCTCCTGTTCGTCTCAACATCCGAAACCGTCATTTCAATCATCTCGATTTCTTTGCTGATCTGGAGCCGGGCGATGTTGACGGGATTCAAAGAGTTGCCAAGGATTTCCTGGATAGAAAACTGCATGAAATCACTGTCAATGCCATTGCAACTGTCTCTCTACAAAGTGGATTGATCAAGCTGGGCAAACAAACCATTTCGCAAACTCTGCAATTCAAGGGCCAGGATGTGCCGGCGGTTCCAAAGCCCGATATCCAACAACTCCGATTTGCCGAGTATGGTATGCCTGGACATCCCGAAGGTGTCAAGGCCATGGCCATCGTTTCTGCCATGAATCAATACCCTGTGAAATTCGATGTACCGCCGCTAGCGTTCGAGGTTCTTCTGCCAGATTGCTCCGACAATTACCTTCTATTCGGAACAGCCAAGACAGATGTCATCCACATCATACCAAAGCAAAACATCAGCGCAAGTGTGATCGGCTTGGTGAAGCAGTTACCTACATCTCTGACGTCAGTGTGTCCTGGCTCAAAATCATCGCCTTTGGACTGTCTGGTTGCCGACTACCTCGCTGGCCGAGATACCACTGTCTACATTCGCGGAGGGCAACAAGACGAAAACACCCCAGAATGGATAGGAAGGATATTACAGGATACAATAGTTCCGTTCACGCTTCCAGGTCATCCTTTTGACAATCTTATCAAAAACTTCACTTTGACGGATGTCCACTTTGCTTTACCGGATCCTATGACGGACTCACACCCCGAGATCTCAGCCGTTGTCAAAGTTTTGATTGGCCTACCTGCTGAAATGAACGTCAATTTGGATGTTGATAGAGTCAGGGCAGATGCTGACGTCTTCTACAAAGGGGAGCTTCTTGGGAACCTTGATCTCTCCGAATGGCAAGCAGCGAATGCGACGCAGGTCGACGATGACCTGTTGATCCAGTCCATTGTCAAGGATGCACCGCTTGACATCAAGAACCAGGCTCTATTCTCCCAAGTAGTTCAAGCGTTGATATTTGGAAAGGGGGCTCCCCTTACAGTGCACGCAACTGTTGACGTCAACACTCATACAGCTCTGGGGGAATTTGTAGTCCGAAGAATCCCGGCAGAGGGCGAAATCTTCATCGATCCGCTTCGAGCTGGGGATTTTCAGATGCCAGAAATAAAGGGTATGGAAGTCGTTGCCACGTCGGAAACCTCATTAACTCTGCAGGCAAGGGTTAATGTGACGAATCCCACGGACTATTCGGCCAAGATTCCCTACTGCAATGTCAGTATTTGGGTCAACGACACTCGCGTCGGCTATGCATGGGCGACTTCACAACAAGTCGTGCCCGGTCCCAACAACCTCACAGCAAATGCTTCATGGGAAGTCGGCAAAATCGGGAGAGAGTGGCTTTCCCAGTATATCTCGGGCTATAATACGAGTCTGACGATCAAGACCCATGCTGGTTCTATACCGAATTTTCCTGATCCTGGCGTGGAGATGACAGTACCAGCTCCACATATGGTGTCGCATCCCCTGAGAGAAGCTACGGTACGTTATTTCACCTCTACAGAATTTGGCTGACGGAAGCAGATGCATATCTTTTCTTCGACCGCAACATTCATTTTGGTGTCGCCGCTCGCCTTTTATGTCACCAATATTGCAGCAGCTGCCTCGTACAATGGGTCAGAGGTCGGAACGATCGAATGGAACTACCCGTTCGCGATCGAGCCCGGAGAGAATCTCACCCCAAAGCTGCCCGTCGAATGGGGTGGTAACGCCCTGGGCACAATCAGGGATGCGCTAGGGGGCACTTTGAAATTGGATGCAAAAGCGGATGTTGGCATAAAAATAGGTAAGTGGCAGGAGAAGCTCTGGTATGAAGGAAAGGGATTGGGAGCGAAAATTAGACTGTAGTATTCATATATGGTACGTTGGGCACGCAGGTGAAATGATATCAGCTGATCGTGTCCAGATACATTTATACACAAATGTGATTTAAATTGCTTCCGCGACCGAGTCTGTGGCGTTAACTCGCTCAAAAGGGGCGCCATGATCCTTGCTAGTTCAACCAGGCGAGAAATTTCTGTGGTTCCGGCGCAAACTCGGCACTCGCGGATACTCTACCGGTCACGTGAGAGGCCTGCATTGAGGTATAATAGATGCCCACATTCTTCCACGGTGAAGCTACACTTCTCCTGGTTCAGCTTGTACATCTAAACACGCAAAAATGAAATCACTAAATCCCCAACTCCGTAAAAAGGGCCTCCAAATGGTCCTGGAGCCAACTGTCGACCCGGCACTTGGACCCGTCTACACCTTTGAACCAATCAAGCCCGGCATGACAAACAACGCCGTGGCGTACCGCCTGTACTACGCCGGCGAGGTGGCCAAGTGGAGTGCATCGAGGAGGAAAGCCATCGACAAGGCTGCGAAGACGATCAAGGCCCGGCAGGAGAAGGAAGAAAGGGAAAGGGAAAGGGAAAGGACGCGCGCCACAAGTGCGAGCGCCAGTTCGACTTCCGGCAACAGTTCCTGCTCGAGCTCGAGTGGCAGCGGAGAGGAGTGAGCAAAGATCGCAAGCGAAAATTAACGAAGATTACGACCGTCTTCACAACCACGATTTACGAATTAAGAAGCGATGCAGTTGACTGGCGGCTTGTTGTCTCGGGTGGACTTGTTCGGGCATCAGCTGCCAATTACTGGGAAGCATTCGAGCGATAGAGCTTCATCTCGTCCTCTGTCATGATCATTGAGTCACCAACAACGGTGCTGGTCTTGAGGCTGGATACATCTTGGAATGGAACCTACTCTGCCCACGGCCATGCGAGACGCCGCCATCGCCATTCGGGCGTCGGACAAAGACACGACGGAGACGGCGCCATTCACGGCATCGACGGCGATGACTATAACAACCTCGAGGTGGTCGAACGGCGCAGGTGGCTGGTCCTCACTCTCTGTTTCCTCGCGTACAGTAGTACGATGACCACAAACCTGAAGCTGAGGATTCAAGGAGGCATTTTTCTGTCCTCTCCGCCGCGACTTAACCTGGCATCGATCAATCAAAATGATTGCGGATCATAGCACGACCATGTCTACCATCGATCAGCAACGCGTAAAGCGTTTTTGAGGAGTACCCTCATGTCCTCGCCACACGCTCACAGAGAATCGAAAGCATCCCCAGAAATGAATGCGGCTCGGTGAAGGAAGGACGGATGGAGAGACTGAGCCGCGCTCAACCACACGGCAATCTGTACCTTATCAGGAAAGAGATGAATGTTATCATGCAGGGAGGAGAGGTTCAGATCGCAAACTTGGAGGACGGTTGGGTGAGAGGTCTATTTCCATTCCTACGCGAGGCTATCAGCCTACCAGCTTATCTACGTATACATACACCTAGCGAATGCAGATACCCGACAATATTTTTTTGCGTCAATGAATTTCGGACATCCAGGACCCCCGAAACAGCACGCCATCTTTTTTTTTTTTTCTGGTTTCTTTCCATGTAGACTCGCCAGTCGATCTCGATGACTTGGACCCGTTCATTTCCTTGCCTTGCCTTGCCTTGTTTTTGTCTTCTGGAATGGTCACATTATTCCATCAACGACGATGACACAGTGAGATTGTTTCAGCTATAATATTATTGTTGTGCGGCGCCATACTACCATTGTATGTACGAGAGAATTCACTCTCCCTACTTGTCTGTCGTCATCATCCGAAGAGGTGGTGTCGGGTTCTCTATTTGTCGTTAGACTTTTGTAAGGAAGCGTGGTCACATCCTTGGTCACCGGCTCTGTTTTCACAGGCCATATACATGAGTTGGTGCCCAAGTTTTTAAGCCCTTTCCTTCGCTGTTGGCAGTGATGACATTAATAAAAGTCTGCGGTATTGGGGCAGAAAGTGCACCCGCCTCGAGCTTTGTATCTTCGGCCTTGCTTTTGAGTTTGACAGGCATGTAGACAGACAAACCCTCACCTTTTGAATCGGAGACATCAAACCACAACCGCAGCCACAACGTCCAGCAGGAAGGTCTTGATAAACCACGTAACCCATCTTCCGCCGCGCAGAAGGATATCCACAAACCACAAAAGCCGAAAAGCGCACAAGCTATTCTCCAGACAGGGCCCTGATAAAGTCCATAGCGCCCGGGGTCTGTGTCCACGGGACATGGTTGTCTTCGAGGTACGGGAGCGCTCTGTTGACCTGTCTCGTTAGCAGGCCACAGGGCCGTTTTGATCCTTGCAGGTGGCCAGAAAAGCGTCGGCCACATTTTTGGGTGGTGGTGTTGAATAAAGCCGTGGAGCTGCTGTAGCAGCGTCTCCAATCGCGCCGTAGTCAGCGTCTGGTCTGCGCTCTCTATGACGGAGCGGTTGTTGCGCACGGCGTCGCAGACCAGGTAGTCGCGCACGGTGTCGTACAAGTAGAGCTGACGATGGAGAAGTAGGGTATGGAAATAACGAGTACATTGGGGACGATGGATATGGACGGTGGACGGGATTGGGCCTCGCCAAGTCAGCTAGACTCAAAGCAGCAGTCCTTCCCCCCGCAGTTTTATACCGACGAGGCTGTTAGTGACAGCCTTGCCTTGCCATTGCATCGACAGTCTAAACAGGACAGGGACTGGTGAGTCTATCCTCCATGCCCCAACATAAATCGTACATCATGACATCCTGGAGCCGCTCAAAAGGACTTCTAGACTGGTTCTCTCTGTCCATCACCCTTGCTAGCAATACATATACATGGTTAGATAATAACCAAAGAAGTATACTGCCCTCTATTGTCAACAGCATGACGGGTAAAGTAGTCATGTCGTTGCCAGACGACCCCGTGATGATAAGAAAGACGAGACTTATCGATATCTCTCTCTCCGAATCGATTCAATTCAATTCAATTCCATTCACCGCGCTAGCGTAGGCCTCTTTGTTGTTGTTCACCTTTGAATCTCTGAACATATCTTCGCCCCCTCTTCACACCTATCCGCGCTGTGAGCATCTTCCAAGTAAGTGCTTTCTTTCGTCGTGTCGACAGAAATTCACACGACATCCTCAACGGCGTCCCCTTCGAGAAGCCCAAACCTCAAAACTGCCTGCGCAAGGTCTGTCCGATCTTTCATTTCCCACTGAGTCTCCAGAGTTTTCTCTCGCAAAATACCAATATACCCGTTCTGTCCGTGAATCTAACAAAGATGCACTTACCCAGATTCTCCCGTCTACTTGCCCTTCTTCCGAAATACCGACACAACAGCAACAACAAAGAGGCCGACACGAAAATGTCTCACACCACCACCACCACCACCACCAGCAACGACGACGCAGAGGCTGGTGCTGCAGCGCCATCTTCATCATCTCCCCCCAAGCCAACGACTCCACCTCAAGAGAACCCCAAAGTCACAGACCACTTAGCCATGCGGCAACCTTGCGTGCAACCGATCCGAGACAGGAGCATGTCGCGCGGCTGGGACAAGGCGATGAAGTGTGCTCAGGTCACGACGGAGAACGAACGCGCCAGGAAGGAAATCGAAGCGGCCGGATGTCATGTCAAGGACTATGCGACGGGATATGGGACGAGGACTTGCGGCGGCGAGAAAGGTCCGACGAAGGAGTAGTGTCGACGATTTTCAGCCAGAACGTGAATCTTGTCGTGGTTACGGTTTCGAGTCTGAATGTCAGGAGCTGGAAAAGGTCTCTTTCGGCACGGTGGTGGTGTCGTTGTTGTCGGCAATAGTGTGGAGGGCGTGTCTCCAAAGTTTGAAAGTCCAGGTGGTAGTTGTTTGACAGAACCAGCCTTCGCAAAGAGCCAGGAGACCACAAGCGATCGACCAAATGTCCGGGTTTGAATAATTGTCCAGGATCCCGGCAATCACCCGAAACAGAACTGTACAAAATCTCCTTCTTGCGCTCGCCGCGCATCAAGTTCATCTCCCCACCAAAAGTCCTCTTCTCCTGCATCTCGTTTGGCCCAGACAGCCTCCATAACCTCCAGCACGGCCATGTACATCTGATAACCAAATTTTCTGAACCACCGCCTGCAGTACTCTTCCGCGAGCTCGCGATGGGTCGGGTCGCGCGCCTCTGATCCCGCTATAAAGACGGCAAACAGGAGCTGCTTCTGGATGATCGAGGTAGGTCGACATGCCGCGATGTGGTCGAAGCAGACCCGTGAAAGAAACGACATTCGTGCGAGCAGCCTCGCCGGGTAGTCCGCTCTCGGCCATTTGAACACCCTCAGGATGTAGATCAACAATGCGTACCGGAACCCCTCGCAGCAATGATAGCGATCTCGTTCGACATGCATAGCTTCTTCGTCGTCCGAGTCGCACTGTACGCCTTGTCCAGGATACATGTACTTGGTAACTGACTGCTCGATCTCCATCACCACGACGGAAATCGCGTTGCTCCATGAACGACCGGAGAGATTGGCGAGTTGCGTCATCGGAACGAACAGTTCGCGTGGACAGCCATTCAATTGGTAGAATGTCCAGGGCTGCCGGCCTTCTGTTTTCAGCACTGTCTCAAGATAGACGTACGGGAGGACGCATTCGGTCCTTGCGAGTAATGATACCATAGTATCCCACCTAGCGCGATCAGCACCGTGGGTTGGAAATAGGTACGAGTGATTGGACTCACCAAAGAATCATCGAGACCTGGACATTTGCCTTCCTACTCATCGACCATCCTCTCACTCCACCGTGGAGCTCAAGCAGGTGATATGCGTCGGCCAAATGAGATCTCCAGATATTGAGTGACGAGATGGTGGCCTGTTTCCACGGTCATCAGAATAGGGATACAGCAAATTTGCCTCCTGCTCTGAGCACGTACCTCGAGTTGCCAAAGCGCGAGTGCTGTATCGAGCAAGCTCAAAGCATTGCCAGAGACGGCAGCTCCTGCCAGTGCCCCTTGATATAACACCATCGCCGCGTTTTTGTGACTCAGTGCCTCCGTGGGTGGCGCGACTTGGGAAGGGGATCGCAGCCTAAAGTGGCAGGACATGGCCATGACGGCGTGCAGCAGATGTTGTGAACCTTTTGTGGTTTCGGGCCTATAGCGGTAAGGATTGACACCAAAGTCGCAAGTGATGGGGTAGTTGCAGAATTCTTGATCATCTGGAACGATCAGAGTCAGCAAACCCCGCAAAAACGCAGGGTCCTTTGAACATACACATATCAAGAAGCCCAGAAAATTTGTCGTGAAGTGTTGGAAAGCAGACCTGGGGGATGTACAAGAGGCTGGACTGGAGTGCGTGTTCAGACGCTGGCAGGTGTCCAACCTCGGACGAAGTTCCGCTGACATTCTCCAAAGAACCAGGGCTCCATACGGTATCCGAATCCTGAAAATGCTGGATTTGCAGACACTGTTCCAAATTCTCACTGTCAGGGGTGCCCACAGCTTGAACTTCGGTTATCATATCGGGATCCAACTGCCCATGTAGCCATGTAACATCAGGAGGAGATGGCAATTGTGGAGGATATAGCTCGACCTCTGTCTGGACCTCACTATAGTCTGTGTCCACTGGTGGGATCGGGACCGTATCTGTCAGATTCGGGAGAGGTTCCAGCTCGTCACTCCGTGTGCTCCTGCCGCTGTCACAGGACGCTTTTCGTGTCATATCGCTCTCGCGGACATGCTCGCGCTTTCGCCTTTTGGTTGGTCGCCCAACAACGAACATGTACTGCCGGGGTTGGCTAGACGACGATACCTCTTTGGGGTCATGGGGGGATTCGTGATTCAAGCCGCCTTCGTCCAAAGACGATGTTTCTGCGCCACTCTTCCTTTGGGACAGGGCTGCCCGCACCTTTGGAGGCTTATCAGTAGTGGAGTGGTGGTGCTGCCATGTCAACTGCATGGAATACCCTTGACACAACCGTCCAGATCGCTGGCAAGTCGTGCATCGCGGCCTCTGTCTATCACAGTGCAGGCCGATTGACTCGCAAGTATGACAATTAGATTTGGCAAAGCCCAGAGAGTTTGTCCGGCGTATCTTGGACGGGGACGAAGTTTGGCGATAAGGAGATAAGGAGGTAGCCATGATGGAATTTCTGTGTGCAGCATCAATTGTTACACATTGCGCGGCGATAGCACTGAGGATCTTTACATCCGGTAGATATCAGTGTGAAAAATACGCAAAGGTGCAAATGGTCGACTTTATGCAGAGAAGGGAAGGAAGATGGAAAGAAATGGTGGATATCGAATCCAATTGGGGAAACTTAATATGGCGACGGCGTCTCCAATGGCCGTCGTAGCGCCGTTCAGCCGAGAAACCACCCGAACGAACTACATTTCAAAGATATCAAAGCAAAGATTATGGGCCGCTTCAAAACGAGATATTATTAGCAACCCCGTCATCTATGTCTGAGATATCTAGTCCTGCGTATACCAGCCTGGCACTATTTTCTCTACCAAAAGAGTTCCCATCATCGACCCAACCATTGCTCTGCGGCTCGCCGTTGGCATCTATACCTTCTTGGTTTCATTTAGCGAGCGCCGTCGAAGTGCTTCAATGACGGCGTTATCGTCACCAACGGCAACTCCATCAATCGTTCGGTGGCCAAGCAGCTCGTCATGTCGAGCAGCCTGAAGAAGTTCAAAGTTGATCTTCGGCCCTTTGAAGACGTGTCTCTGGTTTACAAACCAGGCAACTAGGAGAAACGAAACCAGGCCGACCGTCACCACGCTAGAGTCTTGTCAACAGTGTCACGGCTGAGTTTTGTTGGCGCTTCTTACCTGATCCAATTCATGTTCTCGAGTGTAACGGGGTAGGAAACAGGAATACAGTAGATAATGTCGATGAAGACCACCCAGACACAAGCGAGCACATTCAGTGGAAGGCCATACTTTCCAAGATCCAGTGCTCTTGGCGGGAGAATCTTATCACGTCCACGCCAGGCGAGAATCCCTTGAGGGATCACATATGATGTGGTCATGAAGACGATGCATGCCCCAACCATGGAAGAAAATGCAGATGAGGAGCCCAAAAAGATCAGGCCGTACAGCTGGACCATGGTCAGTAAGAGAGCAACTACTTGCTGGCTCATAACTCACCGAGACTAGAGTTCCTTGCAGGCATGCTGCATTCAATGGCATCTGCCACCGGGGGTGGACCTGTTTCCAGTACCTTGACAGAGGGAAGCAGTTGTCTCTGGATGCTGACCACATTTGTCGACTTGCGCTGGTGACGTTTGCAGTAGCACAGCCAAAAAAGCAGATTGCGAATGCCACCATGAGGACTGAGGTGCCGGCTTTGCTACCAGTTGCTTGATAGTAGACTTCGATCAAAGGAAGGCCGGTGGGGGTCGAGATAACAGTGTCAAAGTCGGTAATCACAAATGACAGTGAGATCGCATATGGGAAGGCTGGCTATGGTCAGCATGAGGATCCATTACTTAGACGAGGAGCTCACCAGTGATGAATCCCATTGCAACCGGATACATCTGAAGCAGTCAGCCAGGATACATTACAGCTCGCGGAACTTCCTCACAATAACTTTTGGCACGTTAACCGTTGGATTTGGGATTTCTTCACACCTGCAGATGGTGGTCAGCATTCACCACCAACAGACCCTAATGTCCACAGGGTGCCCAGAGTTACAAAGACTCACAAATGCGCCCCGCAGTCGACTCCGAGGAAGCCATATAGAGCATTCACTATCCCAAACAGGAAGGCTAGCCCGTCGTTCGGCCAACCTGTTGAATTGGTCGTGTCACTGAAGACAAATTTGGCGGATTGAAAATTCGGCGCTGCGCACGCCAAGATGGTGATCATTGTTACTGAAAGTGCAGTCGCCGAGAAGTACACTAGAGGTTCGAAGATATCAGTATGAGTCCGCGCTCTGAAGATGAAGCCTTACAGATAAACTTGTTCCACATGGGAAGCCACTTTGTCGCGAAGACGTTCATCGCGACGGCGCACCACGTCACCGCCACAAAAACTAACCAGATATGCCATCTTTCAATGACATAGTCTGGATGGTTGAGGACAGCAATCCCGGTAATCATTGCTGCAATAAAGTTTGTCACGCTGGCAAGACCCAGCCACCATCCCAAGGTACTGATTCCCGCAGAACTGACCTTCTTTAGCAACAGCCAACATAGGGAGGCTGTCGACTTACATGTATGAGGCAAACGGCCCCCATTCCGGCGTGGAAACCACAAAGGACCAGTAATATTGGGCGCCTGCCACAGGAAAAGCGCTAGACAACTCGGCCATGCCAATTCCTGTGACTGCAGTCATGGCCGCAGCAATGGTGAGGGTCCAAATGGAACCGGCTGAAGATGCCTCAATGAAGCCGGTGCCGAAAGCACTGCCGAATCCATTCCAGGTTGCGAGTAGGGCATAAGACATCGAGATGAGGGAGAGGAGGGAGAATCGTCGTGGCATAGCCCGGGTATAACCCTGAGCCTGCAACTCGAGGTCATCAATGTCGATCTGAACATCTTTTTGTGCCGCTGCACTAGACGCGGGCTCCATGGTGAGGCACTTTGTAACAGTGTTTGATCTGGAGGAATGAAAGGAGATGTCGTTGTCCACAGGGCAATGAATCTCCTTGCCTGATATGTATACGCTCGTCCATATGAATGTGCATGTCGCTGTGATAAGCTTAGGATAGTCTCGCTTGCCTCTCTAGGCGGAAGAGATAAATGTCGTGAAGTCTAGACTCTCGTGATAGGTTGACAAGAAGAACCTAAGAGTAGGCTCAGTCAATGAGTGGTCCAATCCGAAAAGCCCCTAAACCTTGAAGGGTGGAAGAACCAGCCACGAGCGATAACGCCCAATTGGGCAAGTGAGATTGTGGAGATGACCGAGTCCAGCCAGCCGTTGAGATAAGGATCCTGGTAACCACAATTTCCCATTTGGGTACGCATGTCAGTAGCAGAATCCAGTCTGTTATATACCGGCATGCGAAGGCATGGGAATGAGTTTGAAAACATTGTAAGTAACACTGAAGGATGGCGACCACAACAGTGACAACTACGGAGGCGGAATGTGCCTTTCTCCCTATCAAGGCAGAAAACCTACCGCCTGTGCTCACCTTCGAAGCAGATGCCAACCCAGCAGACATTGTGAAGGCGCTGAAAGTCAGTGGTGGATGCAGGGTCAAAGGAGCCGTTGATAAGGAAATCCTTGCCCAGGTGGAAAGAGAGTTGCGGCCACACATCGAGGCGGATGTCGTGTGGGAGGGAGACTTCTTTCCGATCCAAACTCGGAGGGTCGAAGGTATGATTGGCAAGAGTCCAATCTGTGCCGAGCATATCATCAACCATCCGGTTTACCAGGCTGTGTGCAAGGAGTTCTTGACTACCAAGAACTGGTATTGGAGCGGACAAAAGAAAATCTTCGCAACGTCAGATCCACAACTCAACAACTCAATTTGTTTCTCCATCGCACCAGGAGCCTGGGATCAACCTTTACACAGGGACAGTTGGTGTCATCAAACCTATGAAACAGAAGTCGCTGTATATCCCGACAATTATGACCGTGATGTCGGCATAGGCTGGTTCGTCGCTGGCAAACCCGCGACTCGGGAGAATGGTGCGACAAGATTCATCCCTGGCAGTCATCTCTGGTCCAAAGACAGACCTCCCCAGGATGAACTTGCTGTACATGCAGAGTTAGAACCGGGAGTGAGTGCGCTTTACCATACCAGAAATGGTGATATTGATAGTGTACGCAGGATGCTTTCATGATGTTGAGTTCATGTTATCATGGCGGATCTGCCAACAAGACGACAGACCAAGAGCGACTGCTGTTCAGGTAAGAGAGAGTGTGCCGTTAATCGCATAAAAGGCAAACGGCTGAGGATTCCAGTTGTTTCATGACCAAGGGCTGGTTGCGGCAGGAAGAAAACCGTGAGTTCCCTTCCCTTTGACGATATAATCGATTTTGCCCTGGCTAGACCCGTGACACGGGCTAATATGGGTGCTCAGAATATTTGGCCATTCCAAAGGACGTGGTTCTCAAGATGCCTGTTCATATTCAACAACTCATGGGCTACAAGCTGAGCCAGCCGTTCTGTGGGTGGGTGGAAAGTGACGATCCGCGGGTTGTTCTGGACCCTTCATTGAAGGACGATCCGTCAGGACATTACGACGAAGGTGAAGACAAGCATTAGAGCCATTGAATCCCTCGGTAGGAAGAGTGGCGAGGGTTGTACCGGTAGATGCTGTGGTTGCACAAGTCAGTTCTCGGTAGCACCAGTAGGACAGTCAGGCCTGACCTCTCATCAGTATTTGGCTCCTGTCTTGCGCCATCGTGTCAGGCCCTCAAAGTGGCAGGCTTGTGCCAAATGTAGGAAACGGGTCAATGACAGGATTAACTCCCTCGCTCGGACACCGATGGAATCAGAACGCAGTGGTTATTGGTGATCTTTGCAGTGTCACACCAAGGCGCTAGTCGGTGAAACCCCTTGGGCTCGACCTGCTCCTTCGTGTCACTCGCAGTCAGTCTGTCAATCACATGGGCGCCAAGCATTTAGCTTGGCATCCTAGGCTTCTAGCACCCTTGGCATTGCAAGAACGCGACCCTGGGAAGGGGGAGCTGAAAGTGGTTGATTGGTGACGAAGCGAAACGAACTTCCTGTTTTGGACACTGTCACTGTCTGAACTCCATCCTGCGCCGATCTGGCATTGAGACTTGAAACTGTCTGACAAAAGATCAACCAGTCACCACATTACTTTAGTCTCGAAACGAAGATCTGGTGGTGTCAGACAAGCTTCAATATGCCGCCCCCGGATCCTTCTTGGTTCGACCTCCATGCTGGGGTTTGGCGCGTGGAACTGCCACTACATCGCTCTGCGGGGTCGGACTCCGGTGTAGGATTAAAGGAAACATGTTGGTGCCAAAACATCATCTACCACTCCGTTCGCCCATATGCCCTCCACAGACAGAGATGCCATGGCTGACAAGAACCCTTCCATCTCGACTCCGAGTCTCGACCTCTCGCTGCAGACTACCGAGCAATCGGTCGTGGACGATGAGCCAACACTGTGGAAGTCCATCAGGAAATGGCCCAAGGTCATGGGATACTCCTTGGGTTTGACATCCAGCATCTTGCTGTATGGGTTTGACACTTCGATAGTGGGCAACGTCTCGGCCATCCCAGCGTTTCAGTGAGTTTGCCTCGACGATATCAATCTCAGAGCCTAACAGGATCGTTCTTAGGGAAGACTATGGTCGAGAGTTGAACAACCGCCACATCATCCCGTCGATGTGGATGGGACTCTGGAACGCTGTTAGCCCGATCGGTATTATGATTGGAAGCATCATCGCTGGCTGGCTCCAGGATCATGTTGGACGACGTCCGACACTCGCCCTGGGAAGCTTCTTGTCAGCCGGGGCAGTGGCCATCATATACTGCTCGCATTTCCCCGATGCGCTGGACTCGCGGCGGGGCACCTTTCTCGCGGCCAAACTCATTCAGGGGTTGGCTGTCGGAGCCCTCTTGTGTACCACGCAGACGTATCTTTCAGAAATCCTACCGCCAAAGCTGAGGGGATCAGTCATGGCCTTCTTCCCCGTCTTCACGCTGCTCGGACAATTGATCGGCGCAGTCGTCGTCTATACGTCCTTGAACTATCCCGACGACCGACCCTACACCACGCCCATGATTGCACAGTGGCCGTTTTCTGCTGTCCCTTTAATCCTGGCTCTGCTGCTGCCAGAGAGTCCAACATACCTGCTTCGCAAGCGGAAATACGACAAGGCTGTCAAAGCGCAGCGGCGACTCGACAGTTCGAGGACCGACACGCAAAAGAATATAGACAATCTGGTATACTTGTTGCGGAAAGAGGAAGAACAGGCCAAAAGGCAGGATCGGGCAACGTACGCGGAATGCTTCCGGGGCACAAACAGACGGCGCACGCTGATTGTCATCTTCGCAAACACGCTGCCTCAGTTCTTTGGACTGTCCTTGCTCGCGGACGCTAGCTATTTCATCCAAGTCGTCGGCATGAGTGCAGACAATGCTCTCTTGTTCCTCCAGCTCGGCGTGGGCTTGGGCTTGCTCGCCAATATTGTCAGCATGTGGGTGATCACAAAAGTCGGACGGAGGGTGCTTGGGATGACGACCCTGGTTGGAAGCACCATCCTCTGGCTGGGCATGGGAATTGCCGGTTGCTTTGATGGTGTTGTCGTGATCTGGTATGAGAAACTTTCTCTTCATCTTGGGTCGAGCACGAACCCACTGACTTTCCTCTGTGCAGGTACACCGCAGTCACCATGATGGTGGTCATTGTGGTCGTCGGGGTCGGCATATGGCCGGTCTCGTTCGTTGTCAGCGCCGAGACATCGTCCCTTCGACTCCGCGCAAAGACCCAAGGCCTGGGATGGTTTTCGGGCGCGCTCGCACAAGGAGTCTTCGGGATCAGCCTCCCCTACGTGTACAACGTCGACCAGGGCAACCTCCGGGCCAAGGCCGGGTTCATCATCGCCGGATTCTCGGCCATCGCGTTGGTCCTGACCTGGCTCTTCGTGCCCGAAATGAAGGAACGCACCGCCGCAGAGATCGACGTCATGTTCGAGCATCGCTTACCCGCCAGGAAATTCAAGGACTGGCGGCGAGGCACCATTGGCGAAGTCATGGCCGACGCCTCCTTCGGCTCTCAAGCACATTTGACATAGAAGGAAAATCGAGTCAGGCGAGTGATATATCTCTCTACTGTACGAGGTACTTGCTGGTATCTGGCTATATCAGCACATGTCGATAGGACGATCCCCGCCCCCCACAAAACCAGTCGTAAGCTTGTGAGTTAGTGTTCCCACGCGAGTTGGCGGGGCCCTTGAGGCAGAACCCGTCCCACATCGCCAACAGGCTAGAGGTACTCGCAGGCGTGGCAGGAAACGCGGATTGTCCTCTGGGAACACACCCCACGCTGACTCGCTACCGAGATGTCATGTAATGCTCGCGTCTTTTCACGCACCAGGAATTGAACAGGACCATTTGCTTCGACATCTTGGAAAGAAAGAGTAGCCTTTCCACACGTCCATTGACCTCGGATAACCACATTGCCACATTATCAAACTTGCCCCCGTTACGGATGCATCCCCTCACGCCGTGCCCACGTCGCTATCGCCGGTGGAGAAAAGGACCACAGCAGCCGAAGTAGGTGGCACCAACGCTATTAATGCTCGTAAGGGTAGAGCTGTCAGAGCTCAGAGTGGAACTCGCTCCATGCTGGCGCCGCTTTTATAGCAAGGATACTCTGTTGATACCTCACTTCATGCTTTTCTCATGTCATTGATGTGGTACGTCGACGACAGAGAATGCCTGGTCGGACAGTAGTGTCCTCTCCACCCTCCAGTACGGTTACACTTCACAGACAAGTGAATCTGCGCATTCCCGTTACACGGGCATGAGGGCATTAACATGGAGCAGGAGCTTGGAGTCACGCAACCTTGTGTCCCAAGAGCTGAGATCTATCCCTCCTTAACTGATCACGCCCCAGATGGCGCACCAATATATCCAACGACTTGTTACACAGTAACCGTCGGGTTAGGGATCTCTTCACATGTGCAGATGATGGTTGACCCTGACCCTGACCCTGACCCTGACCCTCTTAGCCCGAGCGTGGAGTGGAGTGGAGAGGATGCTTGTGTCTCTCTATCTCTTACAACTTGTGGTTGTTCAACCAAGGATCATCGAGGAGTTCACGCGCAGTGAGCCGATCATTCGGATCCCACCGTAACATTGACTTGACGAAGTCGAGGAAAAGCCGCTTATTTTCGCCGTCAAGACGCTCTTCCCGGATGTCCAACGATTGCTTGTCGCTCAGATCCACACCAGTCGTGAGGCGACCTATAGAAAGAATCCGGTTCAGTCTCACACCCATTCCAAGGATCAGACGCAAGGAGAACTTACCGGAATGATCGAAATATTTCCAACTTGTCTCGCTCCTCTCCAGGAAAGAGACAGGCGGTGGTCCAAGAACTGCCACCATCTCAGAAATGTGGTATCGGTTTGAAAGTTTGTTTGTGGTCGGATCGTAGCCATCGAATAGATGTTCGTTGTAGAAAAGGTCCCATATCTGGAGTGGGTTCAGCAGAAGATCTCAAACTGGACTTGACACTGAAAGGTTTCCCGTACCATCGCGCCAATGTTCCAGATATCGACACTGTAGCTCCAATCCATGTCCAACAAGATCTCGGGGGCACGGTAAATCTCGGGCTGTATGTCGTCGTTACGATCGCCTCCCTGAAACCGAGCCAGCCCAAAGTCACTTAGTATGGGAAGTCCAATCGTCTTCGGCCTCTTGATCGCACGAGATTGGTAGATTGTTCGGTCCGCATAGACATTCCGCGGACCAGGGTTTGCAGCTTCCTCTTTAACAAAAGCTTCCAGAACTGATTCCTCCCCAAGCCCAAGCATGATATTATTCGCTTTGATATCTGAAAAAGGGTTCAGCTCGGTGCTTGGTTCGTACCAGGGGTTCCTCACCTGTATGTACCAAGTGACATTCACTATGCAGGAAGTCGATCGCTTGCAGAATACACCATAGCACCGGCCTGAGAAGTTCTTCCGTGAGTTTGCGTCGACTGTCTTGGTACTGAAGCGCACGAAGACTCTGCCAAAGTGGTTGGTGCACCAGACACTGATGTTTGCCTTCGGGGCCTTCAATCTCGAAGCTGTCGAGACAGGTGCGAATGTGCTTCTGTCCTGGATGCGCAGATTTGACTTTGCCTAGGTAGTTGTATATCTTAACCTCGTGGTCGGGGCTTGGACTGATGCCGCGTGCGAAGATCTTGAGGGCGACGTATTTCTGTTGACTGAATTAAAGGTCAGCCTGGGCTTTTGTAGTAGGTCATGAGCCTACTCTAAGTTCCGGGCAAGCCAAACGGTCGAGCTGGCCCCAAATCCCAGCTTTCCGACCACCTCATACTTGGAAAGTATCTCTCCAATGTAAACAGGATAGAAGTTGGAGGGTTCGTAGTAGGGAAGGGTTTCTTCCTCGATTTTTGCCCGACTATCCCCCTGCATGTCCATGTTGGTAGAGGAATAATGGGTTCGGAAACCGGGGAAGTATCTCAGGCGAACACATGTCGAAGATTTCAAGACTGTAATGCGGCGATAATGTGAGGATGCTCTTTGCAACGCAAGCATGACATTGGGGTTGCGCAGCTTCCACTCGCGCCGCAGGAGGAGATAAAAGGAGAGAAGGTGCACCGTGCCGGTCTTGGCGCGAATAATAATAGTTTTGGTTCTGGCCAGTGTTTGCACCTGCAACACCTTGTAACACTGCATATTTATTTGACTATTTATAGGCTTAACCACCCAGTCACATTGACAATCCCTAGGAATTCACAAGCTCGTCACCAGCGCCCGCACGCAGCGGCCGCTGCTGTGTAGCCTTGTTGCATGCTCCGGTTGAGGGAGATTTTTGCTTCGTCAGTAATGTCTTGCTGAAAGTGATGAATTACAGGTGATAGGAAGACAAATCTCTCAAACAACAGGGGTCATATCTATATAAAACCGTGCAGTAACACCTCTCAAGCTTGAATCTTCTGTCCACTTGATTCCGAATTTCCCAGACTCTGTGAGAAGCCATTGCTGCCGGAGATTGATTGAAGTTCCAAGATGAACCGAACTGCAATCAAGCTGATTCGATGGACAGACCAGTATAAACCAGAGGATATCACACCCGCCTTCCGCGTAGGTGTTGAAGTATTCGCAAATCACCGAGAAATGAAGGTCAGCGATTTAAATCTTGTGCTTCATGCGCTTTACGCGTCTACTAATTCACCTATCAGGATACACGGATCAAGACGGCTAAGATCAAGTTGCCGTTCCACCCCATTATGATGGACATCTGGCGCTGATGAAATTAGAGGTATTCTACCGCACAAGTCACACAAAGACCCCACCGAGGCTCAGGACATTATATCCATCCAATTCTTCGATTCTAACAATCAAAGACTGGCTTCCGGGCATGCGCGTGCTGATGGGACAGGAACCATCAAGTACAAACGTGGCTCTGAACCCTGAGCACACCAGGGAAGAGGGACAATCACATAATGGTTGCGTGATACGGCTCAACGGCTTCGTGGTGAGAAAAAGCTCACTCGGTGAGATTGCCAGCACCAGCTCAGCCACTATCCTCCTATTGCACCCACCATTTTATATCCGTGGTGATGAACGAATTTCCTCTCAACGACCCTTCAATGAAATCTTGTGGAATTTTGAGACCAAATATATTGTCATACTGCTGCAGATCCAGTGCTTGAATTTGTCGTTGAAATTATAGTGTCTACAATATGCACTGCCCCTTGAGAGAAATTGGTTGTCTGGTGCGCCTAAGCCATCTGCAAAACCGGATTTAATCTAGCATGATACTATCTTATGATCTTCAATAGACAAGGCATCTGCACCGCACAACCGTTGTGCCATCAGATCAGAGTAGACGGAACTAAACCGACCATGAAAGTACCTTGGACAGGAACTTGCTAATGGGACTGGTTTACAAGGTGTCTAGGTCTGAATGAAGTCTCTCTTCACCATTACTTATTTCCTTTACATAGTAATTCCACACGGACCGAGCAGACTCGGGATGGGCGAGTGAGATTTGGCTGTGATTCTCGGCCTCCGCCATACCGACACACTGGGGAAGTGGCCCACCCTGTATTGGGAGCCGCCCCCCCCCCCCCCCCCAACTGCCTGAGCTTCCCGGTAGTA